GGGCACAAAGGCAAAGCAAACAGTGCGGGAACGAAACTAGTAACCATTCCCAATAGTAATAAGCGCAAGAAAGTTTTTTTGGGCTTCTCATCATCAAATTTCCCGTCTTGCCCTTCATGCATCAAGCATCCCCATCCGCCCATATTATGGAGGAGTGGGAAGCCACGGGCGGATCCAGAAAAGTCGAAATCTGGCTGGTTGCCTGGGCGTTGCGATGCATCGGAAACCTGTCATGTGACCTGGTGATGTGCTCTCACATACCCATGCTGGTGAGTTTTGAGGTATATTTGGGTGTGTGGTACCTGACATGATTTTGATGGGCTGATAATTCTTCTTGTAGTAAAACGCCGCTATTTCTTGGCTGAAAGAAAACTTTTTGGTTGTTGAAGCGCAGTTCACGCACCGCGTGGTTATTTGAGCATTTTAAGAGCAAATGGAAAGACTGCATATATCCATAACTGTGGTTGTTGAGCTTTATATTTTTACGTAGTGGTTAATTGCTGCAAGTCAGATGTATGATTCAGCCCTAGTAAGCCATATCTCTAACATGTCTTCTTGTTACTGTAGCAGTAAGATGTGACAAGAGAGCATGTGCAATGCTATGCAAAAAACGTAAAGGAATAAAGGTGGTCGATTGGGGTGTTGGTAACCTAACTTGCCAATCTCAGATCTCAGCAGGAACAAGAAGCCTGGTTTGCAATGTCAGGTCGTCAAGAAGGAACAAAGGAAGTGACGTTCGCCGTTCTGGGTGCCAACGGAGGCAGCCAGAAAAAAAAAGCCAAAATATTCCGTTACAGAGGAGTGGAGATACTGTATCAATGTACTGTCAACCGTTAAATTTCACAGTGTACAGTTACCAGACGGAGCTTTGACGTGAGTCATAGAAACGGAGAGTATTATCATGAGACCACACTGCTCGCTTCGCCGCAGAAGTTGAGATCCAAGTTTCCAACAGGCCCAGTAGTTACATCTCCAATTCTTAAACACGATACGTCTAAGCCTGATAGGGTGCCAGCGTGATCTAGATTGTGCTATGACAAGTTTTTCATTCATAAACTCCAAACTGCCGAAATGGAGGGGAGTGTTTGGAGGTTTTGTTGCAGCCATCAGGGCAGCGGGTATCTGATGTTGACGCTAATGGGAGAACAATGAATACTCGGCACTAAAACAATTCCAAACCCTCTCTATTCAGTGCCACATAAGCTAGAAAGGTTTGGCTGACTACCTCTTGCATGTTCTTCCAGTTAACACATATGGTTGTGCCCCTCCATCTTCTAGCTGAAGTTGGTGTTAGTCTTTCATCTCATCTCCCATTTTACAGTCTTGATCAATGTCGCTTACTGTGCTTGTGAAATCAAGTGACAGCGTGTGAGCGATAAATGAATCCATAATATCTGCACTGTGTGGATTCAGTGAGCACTTCTCGAAGCTCAGGACAGTGGGGCTCCCATTTCTAGGGATCCACTGTGCTGCTACAAGTGTATTAGGGTAGCCCCTCACCATTTTTGACAGTGACAAAGTGACAGCTTCATCTTTTGATGGTAGACAGGGCAAACAGGAAGTGTGAACCATGCCCACACACCAAGCACGTCCCGACACATTGTAAGGTTGCATTCTGGGCTTCTTCAAACGCCTGCCGTTGCACGCCCTTTCTCCTCTCGTGGTGGTTCCTCGGAGAAGGATCCCGCTGTTGCAGGAGCAATGCTACGCTACTCTACAATGCTTCCGCACTGGGGGTACCATTTGTGCGCTTCATCTGGTTCTCATTAAGACGCACTCAGAAATTCTTTACATGCAAAGTTTTAATGTTGATGAGACTTCTGGTACCTTCGAGATGTTCTCGAGAGGATGTTTACTATCAAGCAGTCAAGCAGGGAGGAGTGCAACTAGCCTGGGGAGGTAGATGGATGCATAGTCAGCCTCTCACTGCGAGATTGACATTGTCCCCAACTCATAGTTGCAGAACCCAGCCGCCACACAGACATCCCAAACCATCCAAAAGACCGACCAGCAGAAACAAGACTTGCGTTTCGCCCAAGAACACTTGTTAAAAGCACCGGCGAATCCAAGCTCACACCGGCACACTCACAACGCTTGTTCAAAACCTGTGGAGTGCTCCTCAACCCGTGCAATGACCCAGTTGCTCGGGATTCACGTCCTGCATGTCGGCTGATCATCAGAGCACCCCCTGGGCTGCCGTTGCCAAGATCGGTTCAGATCATCATGACTCACATTGTCTGGGTCCAACTTTCAGTGATATACGCAGCATTACGGATTTCGGATCTGTACAGGCACTGTTCTCCGTTCGTTATTGATGCTGTAGTTCGTTAAACAGCTGTGGCTGGGTGTTTAAATAGACGGTTTGTCGGTGATGGTTTTGTTTGCTTTTTCCGTCTCTCCATGGCACCCTTTTCTCGGCTCTGCTGGGTACACAGTGTTGTGCTGACTAACCCTAACCAAAACCATAGAAGGTATCGAGATGTCTTCTACCTTGCTGGGCGAAAGCCCAACGAACAGAGCATGAAGCTTTGTGAGCAGACTCTCTCAAAGCCAACGGAGCCAACCAACTGCTTGAGCAGCCAAGCGTGTGTGATCCCAGCGTTTCTGCGCCGGCACGGTACCAAAAAAAACCGCAGCAACCTTCACCTACCATAACAGAACAAAGAGCCTTGGCTTTTTCGTTTCTCTTACTCGTCTCACCACCTGTGGGTGACAAGGCCATATACTCCTTTATGAGACGATAATTTATCCTGTTTTGGCACACAGTGAGCGCAACTGCACAATGAAGATGTCAAGGTTTCTGTTCCTTCAATTCCTCCACAAAGTTTTGCTCTACCCCTTCAGTATGCCACGCGCATGCCATGGTAGTTTATTTGCACCAACTGTTCAGCGCACGCGTGACGCGTGTTCTTTCCAACATTGACAAGGACCAGCTTACTTTACTTGCACTCGTGGCCTGACTTACTGTGTGATTGCGATCCTCCTTTGCCCTTGCCCCCGTCTCTCTCAATTGCCGAAAGTCCAAGGGCTCAAGGAAACAAAGTTCTGACACTGTGGCCCAAGAAAATTTTTCACCTTTCTCTGCCCTCTGGTTCGTCAATGAGATAAGAGGGACGGCATGGAATGGGATGGGCAATGGCTCTGATCTTTGTTTTCTCTTGACCCTGAACCCCACGTCTGCATCTCGGCACTACACTTCCTGGCCTGGTAACTTGGCCGACTGGTTGTGGGCTCTGTGTGTGTGTGTGGGTATGTGTGTGTACATGTGGTCTTGTTTGGCGAGAAGAAGGCGGTGCCGGTACGGATTATGGCAGGGAGAGTTGAGTGACCGAAAGCCAGGGACATTCGTGTATGTGTGCATAAGCGTCGGTATTGGGTAAAGGTGAACAGATTGAGTGCTCTCTTCTCGCTGTCTGACTACTCGACCCTCCTTTGGAGGTTGTCAATTCATCCATGCGTGCTCTCTAACCTCAGCCACGCGGTATGGTTTACGTAGGAGTTGGGCAGTGGCAACTCTGCATCCAGAAGATCACCAGAAATTTTGACCATGTGCTTACATGCATCTACAACAGAATGCGCGATGGGATTTCTGCATGCTGACATTATCATTCACACATCGACACCTCTCAGCAGACTCCTCTCTCGGGTAGCCAATCCGAACGAGTTCGTGGTAAAATACACGGTCAATGAAAACTCCCAATGGCTGATCCTCCAACCCAAGAACTCGGCCTCTCCGCCTACCCGTCTGGGCAACAGAAACATATTCCCAACTATGTACAAATTGCTCCGGCATTTGAATGCACAGCCCCAACTGGTAAGGACTAATAGCCACCATCCCCTTCGGCGAAGGGCGGAAAGAATCTGGGGATAAGCCTCTGGTCGCTAAATGCTTGGGAAGCCCGAGGCTGAGATGGGCCATCGCATGGGGATTTCGGCTGCCCTATGGGACGCTTCCCTACCCTTGGAGTTTGCCACAGCTTTGGGTCTGGCCGGCGAAGTGGTCGAGACCGTCGTCTATGGGTGCCGGCTGTTAACACCACCAGGGGCAAGCAAAGGCTTGGCTCGGGGCTACTCCGTGTATTCAGGATCCTCCATCTTTTTCACCGATTGACGCAGACGACTATTTGCGTAGATAGGCCCACAAACTGCCTACTGCGCTTGCCCCTTTGTACGGAAAACACCGGAATGAAGGGTATTCAGGGTCATCTCGTGTCTACCTCTAGGATGAGAAACAAGTCTCCGTTTGCTCCGTTGGAAGAATGAGCGACACGAATATGGCAAAACCGTCCCGTCCCTCGCAAAAAAGCGCTTTCAGCGCCGAGGGAAATCGGGCTTCCCGGAGTCGTCTCGGAGTTGTTTCAGAGGGTGCAAACTCTTCTCTCTCCTGAGAGTTGTCGGGATGCTAAACAAAGAAACATGTCAGGGGAGTTGTTGTACCTGTGATACGGCTACGTTAGTGCCATCTCGTAGTTCCTGGTTCTGTCAGACAGTAGGCAGGTATGGAATAGAACAGTACATGTCCGTAGGGCTTGAGGAACTGGATGAAGTGACACCAGAGGTAAGTTGGGCTGAGGGTTCAGCTCTGTGGAAGCTCTGAGCCCGTGATGAGTGTCCTACATACGGGTGTTCGTATCCTGAGGAGTCCTTGAAGGGTTACCTACACTTCGTCTCCAGGAAGACTCGGAGTCCAACAAGACTGTACGCGTTTTTTGCGAGATGTTTACAGCTGCTCTTGAATCTCAAGCACTGCTTTCAATAAGTTTTTGTGCGCAAGGGCCGTGTATAGTCACCTTCTCTCCAGTTTTACCATCGTCGTTCCTCCACTTCCATCGATCCAATTAGAACAGACGTATTGAACCGTACTCCGTATGATGACTCTACCCCAGCAACAAGTCTCACTAAACAAAGCAAACCGAAACACTCCCACAAAATAAACCACAAAATAGCACCCCAGGTCCAGAAGAACTCAAGTCCTGTTGACTACGGAAGTCAAAAAACTATGCGCCAGCCGCGAATCGAACGCGGGGCTCATCGAGCGTTGTATCCCACATCTTGGGATGAGGGCGGGATGGCAACGATGAATTTTACCACTAAACCACTGGCGCTTGCAGGAGCGAATTTCGGATTAGGGAAACAGTCGGATCGAAAAGATTTTGAGTGGAGCTGGGACGCGTCAGGGTCAGTAGGACGACTGCCAAGCAGTTTGGGTGATGTGGCAGTGAAGAGTTCAGATGTGTTGTGGGGCTCGAATTTGAGAGAGTTTACACAGCTCATTTGCAAGAGATAGGGATGTATTCATCATAGCTTTAGCTGTTTCGACCAAAGTTCGCCCTGCCCAGTCATGTCGATGGGTTACATCACCTTCGGAGAAAACTAGGGCATAGGTGGACGCAGCATGATGAAAAGTAAGACTAAAACCAGGTAATTCTTCCTGGACTAGAGGAAAAGTGCTTAGAGTGCAATGTTGAAAGAGGTCTGGCAATTAAAGACCCAGAGCATCATTGAGTTGGGACAAGTCCGCTTGTCAGTAGGTTGAAGCTGCTTGGAAAGAAATCCAGTAAGATTATAAGACAGCCGCATAGAGATTGCGAATGCTATGGATAGAGCGGATATGGCTTCATGATAGGCAATGTAAAGATTGGTTAAACTCTTTTTATATAACCCGTTACTACTCGGTTTAGGCTGCCCAAATACTTATGCTAGTAATTAGTTCCTCAAGTCTTGACGACCATTTCTTCCACATACTCACCGTGCAGTGCTTGTGTGTTTAGGTGTCCAGTGTTCTGAGCCTGCGTCATTTGATAGCCCGACTCGCCCACAGGAGAACGTACCAACATCCTTATCATCAAGATAGGAGGTGAACTTTTTGAGAACTTAATACAAAGGCTCATGACCCTTCAACACTGGCGTGAGACAAAGGGCTTCACACACGATGTTGAGCTTTCCATTTACCCGAACATGCATTGATAATCTCTCCGTGTAGAATATCATTTACAGAGACAGGCTTTTGTTGATAGAAATTATATTATGATACCTATGTAGAACTACTAAGCATCTCAGGCAGGCAAGCCCAACAACTGCTATTACCTACTGCACATGAACAGTGTTTACATAGTCACTTTTTCTGTCATCTGTCGTCAACCAATCACAGTCATCCTCTCAGTGTCCAAGTTGCCATCAGTAATGAACTTAATGTAGAAGTCCAGACACTCCGACTGACATGCCATCCTACTTCAGTAAATGACGAATCCAAAAGCCAACACGAGCTTGAACTCGCTCATTAAGTCTGACATAGGTTTACCAACAAGGTCGTAGTCGTACATAATACCGTCAACATAACAACTACCACACTCCCTACAGAATTTCGTCCTGATATGAAGTCCAGTCTTCACAGCTACTCCTGTCAGAATTTACCAAATAACCACTCTTCCTCTATTATTCACATAGCCTGCACCAACTCTTCATGCTCTTGATCCCTGTGCCTGGTCATCACGCCTGCTCGTTGTCTCCCCTCCCCCCCCCCCCCTTCAAAAAAAAGGTTGGGATCATTTTTATTCCTTAACTGCTCTACTCCCCGCAGCATTTCCCGGCACAGTTCCAGCAACAGACCCAGCACTAACACCCCCAGCCGTCAACGTCGCTCCAGATTCCAATCCCGAACTGATCTTTAACAGCGGAAAAATCCTCTCCCACTCATCCACATTCAGATGCTTAAAATCCCTCCCTTCCTCCTGCCAATCCTTGTACCATTCAAGAGTCGGCAAGAATGAGTACAGCATCTTCCCATCATCATCTTCTTCATGCCTACCCTCGCGTAAGCGAGCCTTCCGCTGGAGTCTCGCCAGACGAGCCTCCTCATAGAGACGATTACGGCATTTCGAGCGGAGGTAGAGTGATGCCGACGTTGGCGCCGTGGCTGTTTCAGTGCAAGAGGAAGATTGCCCAGTGGCAGGGGGGTTAAAAGACCTAGTTGCCCGCGGCGGGTGGAAGATAATACGCGTGTTTTCGGGGTCGTCATCAGCGTCCTCATCGTCAGAATCTTCCGACGGCACAAAAGTTGCCGAGCGGCTATTACCATTATCATCGCTGCTATCAATGTCGATTGCCGCGCTCGCATCACCGTTAAGACGGTCCGGACGGTCAAGGGGCAGGCGGTTGGCGGACGAAAGGCTGGCGGCAGTGGTATCCTGAATGTTATCGAAGTTTATAGGCCTGTAGCCTCTAGAGATCATGGCGTGCTCTGGCGCGGGGAGGAAAGTTTTGAGGTCGACCAGCATGCGCTCGAGGAAACGCAGGGTCACGTCGAAGAGGTAAGGGCTGTCACAGTCGGCAGGCCACTCAAACCCCCCAAGCCAGCCGCGGTCGAGATAAGTCCCGTGATTAGTCTGGTCGCCATATTCACGGATATGCTGAATCATGGCGCGCTGCATCCAGACGAGCTCCTTCTCAGGTATTCTCTCTTTACCCCTAAATTTGGTTTTGGCGCGGGCATCCCAGATGATCACCTCAGTCCGTTGAAAAGGCTTGATGTGAGGGTTAACAGGCCGGTAGATCGCGAGCCAGGGATACCGCTTCACCGGTTTGGGGGCCTTTCCGTCGGGAGGGTTATCCGGATCCCAGTCGTCGTCGGTGGTGTAGAAGAAGCCGACATATGTGTTGTAAGGGGACTTCTTAGAAGGTCCACCGAAGGGCCATGCGAAGTTGAACCATTCGTTGATCCTGTTGTACAGGAGCTGCGTGTCGTCATAATAGTCGGCCATTTGGATGTCGTACCAGGACACCGGAAACTTGTAGAGAACCCAACGACGCCGTTCCTTGGGCAGGTCAAGGCTGTATTCAAGGTGATCCAGATAGTCCGAGATCCTTGCAAAATTTTCTATCGGAATGAGATCACTTTGGAATGACCATCCTCTCTGGTGCTGTTGCACCAGCTCGAGCTGCCGTTGCTGCTGGCTCCTCTCCATCTTCCCGTCTTCCTCATCATCTGCCTGGTTATTCATCTCCTGGATAATGTCCATAACGGCATCCGGATCGTTCAGCGTCACCTTGGAATACTTGGGGATTCGTATGCGCAGCTCCGCTCTGCGGTCTCCTTTCTTATGGCTTGATCCGACAACATAGAACTTGCGGAACTGGTCAGCGCGCAAGATAGACCACCAGCCCAGCCAATTGACTAGGCTTTGCTCGTCATTTGGGTCGATCGACTGGTCGGCATAGATAACGGTGCATTCGTTCTCTCTATGCGCATGTAGTCCCCCGCAAGCTCCCCGAACAAAGTTCAGCTCTGAAGCAATGTTGGCCACAGCCATCCGGTATTTGCTGTCCTCTTCGGTATCAATCGCGGCTTCGATATCGGGAGGTATACATCCGCGATACCTCTTAAGCGCAAACTCGCGTTGCCCCTTTTTGTCTTCGGCCACCTCGAACAAGTACTCGTGGAAGTTGTAAGGTACGATAAGTCGGTAGTAGAATCCCCAAGCAAAGGCCGTGAACCAACTCAAGAGTTCAAAGGTTTGCCGGGGAGCTGTGACCATGAAGCTGGGCGTTAACATGATGACTGTGCGATAGGGAAAGAGCCGAATAAGCCGCATCTCCCCGGGGCGAGCATTCTCTGACGGCGCGATAGATGGATACATGGGAAGCCGATGCATGGGCTCCGTCAAGCACCAGTATTCATCTTTTTTCCCCCGAAGAAACTTTGACAGATCTGGAAACCGGCGAAGAGACCACGCCAGTGATTCATGGATAATGATCACTCCAGCGTTAGCCTCAACACGAGCCCGAAAAGCCTGCCAGCTACCCGGGCTCAGGCTGTTGTAGACCTGGCACTCTGGATTACAGTCCCGTAGCCAATGGTAGATCATCTTCATGGGCTCCTGTCTTGACCTAGGGACTGCTAAGAAGAAGGTATCAGGCTTGAGTCGAAATTTGTCTGCGGGGAACAATTTTTCGTACTCCAAGCCGAAGAATCGCTTCATAAGGAGGGTTCGAGCTGTAGGCACAACTCCCTGCTCGGACTTTGTGCGGTCATTCTTTTCTGGCTTCTTCTTCTCTTGTGTATCCTCTGCCTGTTCTGTTTCAGCAGCTGGCGTGCTAGGGACTGGTAGCTCATCAGGCAAAGGAGGAAGCATAAGCCGGCAGTCCTGGGTCGCGACGAAGATGAAGAATCTTAGAACGGCTGTGTCGTTGGTGTTTTCCGGCTCTTGGCCCAAGGGAAGCGTCTTCCAGTCGTCGCACTTGGCCGGGTACACAATGATATTGTATTCGGTCTTTCCGCAGTATAGCCCCAATAACCCGGCTGTCAGGTATTCTGCCACCTGGTCAAGGATCTGATGGTCCGAAGACACAATAGTGCCACATGCCAGAGGCTCTCGAAGAAGCCAGCTCAGCTGAGTTGCTACCGCGTTGACGAAACATGAATGCGTAAACTCGATGGTCTCCTTAGAGAGAAAGTCGTTCAGCCATTCATGCTGGGGAAGCTCCTCCTTCGGCAGGTTGTTGAATGTCGCTTGCAGGGATATCTTGCCGGCTATGAGGCGCTTCTGGGTAGATTGAGTTTCTGGAGGACGCTTCCAACTATCAAAGTCCAAGCAAGGTCTGGCCGGCTGGACGCCTGGCTCAGGGGGGTCAACGATGCTGTTTTGACGGTTCCCAGGGCTGTCAATGTCCATGGGTTCGGGCTCCTGTGCTGGAGGGACGTCGTCGTCCAGAAACCGGACGGATTTGCGCTTCTTCTTTGCCGGCTCATCTGTGGTGAAAGTCCGTAGGGCAGGCGGCGCCGCGCTTGGAACAGTTGTCGTTAGTGATGGGTTGACAGGCGTTACTGGGCTGGCGCTATCGGACTGGGAAACAAACAGACCGGGTCTATCGGGTTTGCCATTCGATGCAGATGATCTTCTAATCGCATCTGGCCCCTTAGAGAGATTGAACAGAGGGACTGGGAGCTTCGATGGATCTGCTGGCGCAATGTCCTCGGTATCTCGGCTGCGCTTCTCCGCCAATCTGCGGTAGTGATGTTTATGAAATAACTTGGGCTCTTTTGTCGGGTCGGACATAGCATTTGTGAGATTTGGTCGAGGATTTATGATCTTTCCACTGACGAAGATATTTCCCGCTGGCTGAACGGCGCTCCTTTTGGCTTTTAGTTTCGACTTGGCCCCAGTAATATCAGGCTGTTTTGGTACTGATGTCGATGAGATGGCAGCTTTTATCGTTGATTCGCCTGGTGTCTTGCTGGGCTTTCGAGATACGCCAGGAGGGGGCACAGCTTGATCGCGCTTCGTTGATGAGGAGCTGCGTGAGCTCGACTTATCATCTCCAATACTTGACCTCCTACTTTCATTTCGTTGGGCTTTGGACAGTCCAGATAGCGAAGAGGCAGATGATCTCCGGACCGTTTCTGAACCGGAAGATGCCTTTGTCCTCTTTGCTGGGATAGGTGGTCGTGTTTTATGGAGTGGTACAGACTTAGGGCTTAAATCCTCGATCTCACTAATTTCTTGAGCCTCATTGTCGGTAATGTCCTCATCGTCAAATGGAGGAGTTAAGGGCAGTCCCAGTCGTTTCCGCTTAGCATTGCGACGGCGGTGCCGCTCTTGGTGTTCTCTCTTAACTCTGGCTTGAGCTTCGTGGAAGTCACTGAGCTCGAAAGGCTTGCTTAGGCCGGCACGCTGCCTGGCCTTCTCTTCTTCCCACATCGGCAAGAGTTCATTACCTTTTATGTTATCTTCAGGTTCCCAAGTGCTTTCATGCAGCGGGAAGCCTGCCCACTTTATTAAGTAGTACATCTTGCCGTTTGGGCTTTTATCCTCAGCCAAGATTTCCTCAACTTCGAACTCTTCATCCGGGTCATGTTCCTCAGGAATTGTTGATGTTAACGAAATATCGTCATCATCAACATCCGGCTGGTCGGGAGGGACCTCGAAAGAGGTCCTTGGTTCGAGCTTGAACATGTCGGGTTTTTGGGGTTCCCCAACAACTCTCGAATAGCTTAATATCACCACATTGGTGAATACTCTTTGCCTATTCACCTTTGTTCAAGAGTCCTCCTAGCCAAACCGTTCAATGAGTGGAAAGAGACTGTGTAAAATAGGTCTAGATGTTGAACAAATGCAGTGACGTCAACTGATGCTAGGGAGTCATTCACGCTTTGATTTTCCTCGAACGAGCTGTTAAAAATCATTCCGAGGCGTGACCAGTGAGGTCTGTGGTCAAACTTCCGACGCTCAATTTGAGTTTGATTTTCGATGCGAGGCGACCTGGTCAGGGTGGGCTCGAATATTAACTCTCAAAACAATTGAGCTCCTTAAGTACCACAAACCAGCGGGCAGGAATTAGGCGAAGGTCTGGCGGCACAAGAGTTCTATAATCACACTTTTCTTGGAGTGCGTATATTTTTCATCGAATATAGAGAGCCGAGGCTCTACCGTTGAGCTCCAGGTGAGCTTGCTGTTGGACTTCAGATGAAGGTCAACCCTTGACCAAGAACGAAAAGTCTTGGTGTGAAACTCACAAGAAAGGCTGCCAATTGTTTCGGAAGTAATATCAATTTGATCCTTTGTAGAACATCCTGCGATACTTTATGAATGAAAGCGGCAATTTTATAGAAAATATTGGAAATTCATAGAGGATGATAAAAATAATCTTGTTCAGTCGAGTCGGTTGCTGATTCTTCGTGATGATTAATGGCGTTCTTGGAAGGCGCAAGGTGCTGTCCGTTTCGATGGAGTCACCGTCCAGCAAATCAGACGCGAGGCAGAGACCCACAATGCCAGCATCCAGGCCGCTCTTCCAAACCGTTTTGGAGATCTTACATCCGTTGGCACCGCTATGCCAAAATAGAGTGGTAACGCGTATGTTACCGCCGTTACAGGTACACTGCACCAGCCGGCCGGATCTGATGCGGCTTCCTTTCCGTCATCTTTGATGAGAGATGCCAACATGTCAATAGTCATGCAGGACACATGAGCTGTGGCCTCCATGCTGTGTTTGCATCTATAAGGATTAGTAGAGATCAGCATTTCCGAAAGGAGGGCCCTGGTCCTTGCGTTATAGTATATGGATACCATTTTCCAAGCAAGACAGGCTTTCAACCGTGTCTGATCGTCTTGAATCAGAGATATCGAAGGCAACAGCAAAATCCCAAGTCTTTGAACGAACGCTTTTACACCTTATGGGCCCCAAACAGCTAATTACGCGGCTCTTTATGCGTGGACGTAAGTTGGCATGATGCCTGGTCCGTCAGACTGGTAAGCGTAATCTCGGCGTATTGCTCCGTAATCCGTCATACAGATCAGGCACCGCCACTGGCCGTCAGTAACGCTTGAACCAACCTGGATCAAAACGACCCACCTTCCCGAGCCGCACCGGCCAACCCTCCTTACTCCCCTTAGACAGTCACCCTGCAGACTTGCATTTTGCACAAAGCAACCCATCACGCATCGCCAGTTCGTCGATCCATTCCGAGTCAGTTGATTCCTCTTGCGCGCATAACTTCCTACCGCAGCCATGGCCAACGACGAGTACGATGTAAGGCCCCTACTCACCGTTCCGCCTGTCCCAAGCGTGTGCGCGCCTTTGCGCTAACCCAGTCCTCCCCCCCTTGACAGTTCCTCTTCAAAGGTGCGCCATCTACTTCTGTTCAGTAGATCCTTCGATATCCCTCTTTCTACCCCTCAGCTTCCGTCGCGAAAAATAGCTCTCGCTGACTCCTGGGCGATTCCGTCACGTGCAGTCGTGTTGATCGGTGATTCGGGTGTCGGCAAGTCCAACCTGCTCAGTCGATTCACGCGCAATGAGTTCAACCTAGATTCCAAATCGACTATCGGCGTCGAGTTCGCCACACGGTCGATCCAGATTGACGGAAAGACAATCAAGGCTCAGATCTGGGATACGGCAGGGCAGGAACGGTACCGCGCCATCACCTCTGCCTACTACCGGGGAGCTGTCGGCGCGCTGCTCGTCTACGACATCGGCAAGAGCTCGTCTTTCGAGAACGTATCCCGGTGGCTAAAGGAGCTACGCGACCATGCCGACAGCAACATTGTTATTATGCTTGTCGGCAATAAGACTGATAAGCGGCATCTGAGAGCTGTGTCGACCGAGGACGGCAAGGCCTTTGCCGGTATGTGCTTAGGTCCATCGATGTGTGCCCGGGGTAGCAGCTAACATATAACACCGCAGCCGAGCACGGGCTGTCGTTTATCGAGACCTCGGCCCTTGAGGCCACTAACGTAGACCTGGCCTTTCAAGAGATTCTTACCTGTACGTGAACCCGCTCTCTTCCCTTGTCTCTCACATGTCGCGTTATTGGTTGTTGTTTTCTCGAACACGCCCAGCTGACTAGTTCTCCAGCCATCTACCAGATTGTCTCCAGCAAGAGCCTGGCGGAGGAGGGTGACGTGAGCAAGAAGTTCGACCCAAGCCAAGGCAACAACATCTCCCTGAGCCAGGAGAAATCACAGGAGGAGCAGAAGGGCTGCTGTTAATAGGCACGACAGATACGATCTTATGGCGTCACTTATGTCTGATACGAAACCAAACACACCACCGGAGGCAACTATTTTACGGGCCATGGGGATAACGGATCTGCTAACCTTGGGACGTTGGGGATGATCTCTTTTCTTCTCTTTTGTTTGTTCTTAATTGCTGCCTTTATACTTGGCCCATGCTGGTTTTTTTGGGACTTCTTGTCACGGTTACTACGCCGACCTCGATTACTCCCGATCACGCATGGATTACGACCGCAGCTAGTTGAATGGACCCCAATGATACCTATGTCATCTATACGTCATGGCTTTTCTGGCCATTTGTTCAGAAGATGCGAGATCTTGAGGGCCATGAACAACGTAGGGTCCTGTATTTGATTCCCTTAAACTTTACAATATGGAGAAATGGGGATTTGCATCGTTATCGCGATACAAGTTCTCCGCTTCATTTCCTTCAGCAATCAAAAATCACCAAAAAATCATAACAAGTCCTTTGACGCGGGCTATCTGGGCCACCTGTCTACCCAACAAATAAGCTCTGGCAAATTTCCGCGCATTTGTTTCATGTTTTGAAGTTTCGGGGGCACGAGCCTGTCGGTCATTTCGTCGATTGACCCCTGACCGCCCTGGCTCTCAGACGACCGATAAGGCTTATCAGTGGGTGGGGGCCAACACTTATCGCAGCGACCGCCGAACTTTTTTTGTCGAAGAGCATCCTCGTCGCGACGGCTGCAATTGAAGGCCCCGCCAAGAATTAATTCACATTCAACACTAGTCAACTACCAAATAATAGTCACAAAATGGCTGCGGTGTACAAGACGATAGCGAAGGTGACGGGGTCGAAGGAGGATAAGGACAAGGAGGATCGATCGAACATCATTGCCGAGAGGAAGAACAAGCAGAGAGTGCTGGTTCTGTCATCAAGAGGTGTCACTTACAGGTATGGGACTTCGAACTCATCGACTGTCGATATGGGAGCGCAGGACTGACAGGGGGTTTCGCAGACACCGGCACCTTCTCAACGACCTCGCGTCGATGCTCCCACATGGCCGGAAAGATGCCAAGTTTGACACCAAGTCCCGACTGTACGAGCTGTGCGAGCTTGCCGAGCTCTACAACTGCAATAATGTCCTGTTCTTCGAGGCGAGGAAAGGGAAGGATCTCTACATGTGGTTCAGCAAGGTTCCGAACGGGCCAACGGTGAAGTTTTATGCGCAGAACTGTGAGTGGGAGACCTGCGACTGGCGAGCTTAGGAAGGATCGCGCTAACACGTGTCTGTAGTGCACACAATGGAGGAGCTGCATTTCCAAGGCAACTGCCTCAAGGGCTCCCGCCCCATCCTCTCCTTCGATGCCGCCTTCGAGCAAGAACCATACCTCAAGGTAATCAAGGAGCTTTTCCTACACACGTTTGGTGTGCCGCAGGGACACAAGAAGTCGAAGCCGTTCATCGACCATGTTCTCTCGTTTAGCGTCGCGGACGGCAAGATCTGGGTGCGCAACTACGAGATCCGTGAGGTTGAAAAGGTTAAGGGCGAGGCCGACAAGAGGGAGGAGGGTGAGACCGAAAAGCCGAAGGCGGCTAAGCCCGGTAGCAAGGACACCGACATCAACCTGATTGAGATCGGCCCGCGATTTGTCCTGACGCCTATCATCATCCAAGAGGGCTCGTTCGGCGGGCCGATTCTATACGAGAATAAGCGCTTCATCTCGCCCAACAAGATTCGTGCTGAGCTGCGCAAGGCTAAGGCGGCGCGCCATCATGCTCGTATGGAGCAGCAGCGCGATTTATTGGCGCGTAAGAGGCAGCTGGGTCTGGATGAGAGCACCCCAAAGAAGAAGGATGATCTTGATACCCGGGAGCTGTTTGCTTGAGCTGGGGTAGGGGACACATTGTCTGGGATTTCTTATTTACTATCATTAATTCATGGCGTTCTGCGTGGTTTTGGGACAGCACACATGGATTTTGTTCTATCTACGGCGACGTTGTGAGTGGGACTCCTTGTGATCTATGCTATTGTAGATGCATATATGTCGGTTTGACGCTTTCAGATCTAGTTCCAGTGTCTTGAGAAGCAATTTCAATGTCTTGAGCACTTGACTGTGACAATATCTTGAGAAGTTTGCCTGGTCGTCTTTCTCCGATGGCTCACAGTTTTGCCAAGACACGGATCGTCGGCCCCTCGAAACCCGATGCCGACAGCGCCAGGGCCGCGGCTCAGACAACCACAAGGTATCGCGCCGCGCGTCTTCCGTCCCGCTATCAACATCGTGCTGCAAATACCCCTATCAATATGTCCTGATCTTCTTCCATCTTTTTAGTATCCTGCCCCAACCGGCCTCTACTTCCCCAACTGGTCCCATTTGACCGACCCCTTGCCAGCCCATGCATCTGTTACTCTTCTACATCTTCTAGAAACCCTTATCTTGGCAGATGACATCAACTTGGCGCCGCCCGGCGGCAGCCTTAGTGCCACTCCAATGCTCGTCATGCCATACAAACCTGAAGGCTGCTGACGCCTTCACTTCTTACTCCTCCTCTGTTCTCTGTGAAGGCCCCACTGACGGGGTGGCCGCGACATAGGAGGTTGTGGGTTGTAAAACATAGGGTTGTCGCTTTTCTCCAACATCGTTCGCAAGCCCCAAGGCACTGTGTAGGACACAAAACGGGAAGTTGGAGAACATTGGGTGATTGATTACTTTCCTATTGCCTTCACCTGTCTAGGAAGTCCGTCTGTTTCGGTGAGGACAAAACGCTGGTCCTTATAATAGCAAGCGTGCGTCTGAGTGGATGGTTAGGTGCGTGGCTCTTGCGAGTGCTGTTGATCGCGGCAACGGCACGGGTCTGGCTGACAGGGTATAACAGGCTTCTTTTCCTCAGTGCGAGCAAGTTTATTCTTCCTTTCTTCGACAAAGTCCATTATCATTATTGTGACTAGTTCACATTCACGGCTTCGAACCGACCTGATTCAAGAAGATGGCGTCCTTTTCCAAGACATCCGAGCCACAGCCGTCCGCTGTCGAGGCCGAGGAGGCATGCTCCCTGGGGCTTTCTGACATGCCTGTCGAGATCATCATTGAGATCATCTCCTACCTCGACTTCCCCTCATTCGACATCCTCTTCTGCTCCTCCCGCTGGCTGCGAAACATCATCACCGCCCACTGGGCCCACATCTTCCCAGCCATTGTGGCTCGGGATTTCTCTCCTGTTGTACTATTTAATGAAGCCTTTGAGGAGGCTGTGCTCCCAAAATACGAGGAGGATGAGGGGCATCATCATCACCATCACCATCACCACCACCACCACCACCACCACCATCACCACCAGCAGATCATCAATCACGAGGATGAACAGGAGAACCTGGACAATGAGAACAAGAAGGATGACGAGGATATTGAGACCGAAACCACCTATCTTGCCTCCCTCTCCCCTCTTCACCTCCGACCCCTCCTCAACTTTTGCCGCGCCATCTTCCGCTGGCAATCCACCTTCCAATACCTACGCTTCGCCGACTGTCCCGAGCATGGCCGTGCCCTACGGCCACATGAACTCCGCCGCCTGCGACGCGCGCTTTACATCTGGTGGCTGTATGCAAGCCACTTCCACACGCCAACAATACTAGGGGTATGCAGCCTTAGCACTGAGATTCTGGAAGCAGGCGGATGGTACATGCTGGAGGAGGAGTGGCAGAATATGAGGATGGACTTTTTAAGGAGGTTTACCACGTCAACAGTGAGAGAGCTGTGTGATTTGTGGCGGACGGTGCGTGCTGCTGTGGGGAGGGAGGTTTGTCCTAGTGAGGGTGTTGTTAAGAAGGTTACAGTAAGTTTTTCATTGGATATGGATCTGGTTAAAGTAGCTGTCACTGACTTTGGATGATAGGGAGATGAGTTTACCGGTGCTGAGGCCGCGAGAATTGGGTGGGGGGATGATTTTGAGAGTGAGCAGATGCTGGGAACGATTATGAAGCTTCGTCCCGAGGAGGTTTTGCATTTGCTGGTTTTCAGACACCGGTATGCGACGAAAAGTAGTGTGATGCAGTTTATTGAGTTGCATCGGCAGTGGTGTGTGCTGAACAGCCCCCTTCTTCCTACTGCCCATACCATATCACTAATACTTTCTTATCTAACACAGCTCCGAAAACCACTTCTGTACCGAATCCCTAACCCAGGCAATCTCCGACCTCTTAACCGAGCGCCAAGGTCTCGGCATCTTCTTCCCTGGCGAGCAGAACTGGGCCTTGCCGGCTGTTGGATTCCCTGATCACCAGGGAGGAATCCTGGACCTGGATCGGAACTCGGGGTCTTCCTCCTCACAAAGCAGCTCAGGCTCCCAGAGCCTATCACAGCCGCGACTGCAGTCGCAGCCTTTGCCGCACATGCCACAAACAGCTGCGGAAATGGAACTCTTAGTGCAGGAACTTGTTGGTAGGATAGAGGAGATGTTTGTGAATTAGTGTAGGTTTAGTATTGGGGTAAATGGATTGTCTTTGGGGATTACAACGGAGGTTGAATGTGTCGCTTGTGTTCTCCCAAAGCATGTGTGGTGACGATAAGGGCAGTGAGGCTGGGCACTAGCACGGGACGGTATGCAGCAGGGGTTTCAGAGAGTGTTATGACTTCCCTCCCTCTGCGCTCAACATGCTCAACGCAGCTGTGGGTGATCACATCGAGCTGGGAACATCTCTACTTTCACTTTAACGAAACTCTAGCAATATCTGTTATTACCCCAGCAAACTTCTGTCACTAGCCCATTCTTCATCCATCGATCACAAAGCGATCTGGAACCGAATTCAACTCTTGATATCCAATAAGAATACTATGGAGATCGAATGGGCTCCATGGTGGGCAAAGCCAGAGGATTGCGGTAAGACAATAGCGGGCAGAGAACGAGGAGCAAGGTCATGACTAGTGTGCTCGGCAGCAACAAGCGCGAGTTCTTTTCATGGGCCCTCTCAGGAGACAATATGTTGGAAGACAATACTAGGGAGAACAAATAGGGATGGAGAATGCTACTCACCAAGACTGTCAAAGCTCAAAAGTGGGAGGTGGCTTCGCCGTGGTGAAGAGGGCACTTTGCAGTAATGGGAGAGGTCCAATGGCCGGCCGCAACAGCCATTATGGCCAGCATTGTGTAAGCCCTGCAGGCCTTGACTAAGAGGAGTTCAGCAATCGCAGATGCAACCTGAGTGCTGCGGTCATGCGAGCAGATGCTCACGCGCTCCCAAAAGTGATGGGTCATGTGGGAATCATCGGAGAATAACATGCATGGCCTAAAAAGATACTACTAGCCTTTAGGAGCCTACCCAGCGTGATGAAATTAAAGGGGGCCAACAGCTGGCAGAGGAATGGTGAATTACTGCTTAAGAACGGCTTGCCTTTGGGGAATTCCCACAAGACGACTAGGAAGTTCTTTCAGAGTGGCGAGGCTGGAGAATCCTGGATACGAGGATCCGTCAAGTTCGGCTTCTCTGGAGCTATCTTTACCCATGTGTTTAGCTGGGCTCAGACATAGGAAACATGTATCCGGTTCTGATAGCTCTGTAATTTGTGATGGACAACAGTGACGGCAGAGGGGATGTAGAATAACGGATGACTTCGTGTAGAGTGATATGACGCTACCCGCCAATATACAAAGCATGCTGGGAAGACCATCTTCCTTCATGATAAGTATGGCACTTGCTTGACGCAGTCTCATCAGTTTCACTCTACAATGGTTGTGAAATGTTTATGCAGGAGAAAGAGAACTTGAGATGTAACAGGAAAGAAGAGATAGAAGACTAGTCTTGGTCGCCTGCTTGTTGACGCTGGTGCTTGACTACCATTATGGCTAGAAACTCCCCATGTCCTTTCTTATGGCGAAGTATAGAACGGGAAATAGACAGGAGCAAAAATAATGGGAATCTGGCTAAACCTTTTTGTCCTATGCTAATCCCATACACGTCCAAAGTTGGCACAGGTATGTTCATGACTGGCGGTCTCTCATTAGAGGCCCAATGGTAATGTTTTCAGGGAGGAATCTTGACATCACCTGCAAACTGCAAGTAGACCTTCTCTATTGAAAATTCGAACATCTAAGCATTTCACGACTTAGAGCTTGTAGTTGTCCAAAGTTGAACTTGATCTTCGTGTTTGGACTGGTGCAAGTCCTATGAGACCCAGACCAAATTGCTGCTGGCTGTAGCGCCCCACTACACGCTACAAGATGGGACCTGATACAGAATATCCCAAGTGCCACGCCAGCATGAAGCTTTAGCGACATGGCTTCCCAAGAACATCAGTAATTAAAGCTTTATTACTACTTGGAACATTTTAATTACAAATTGCCTTCTGGTACTGCCATTCTGCAAAGTGATTTGTCTCTACTTGCACTACTTCAATCCTGAACTCCCCAAAACCGCTTAGCCAACCGAATATTCTGTAACAGGGGGCAACTTGGCACTCGGGCCAGTGGGCGCTGGTCACCCAGCCACTCATGCTGGAGAATATCAACACTCCAAGCCAAGACAAAACTCAACTGACAAGCTCACAAGGAGTGTGTCTTAAGTGAAACGAATCGATTCATCGCTGCGCGCGCAACACTGTCACTCCAGAGCTTGATCGCGCAGGCATAAACTTGCACTCTTGGTATGTGAGAGATGATATTTTGTTGTCTTTATTCGTATATGGGCCTTCCTGTTGGAAGCAGTCTCTTCGTTTGGGCTGATCACTTCTCACTTCAGCTGCGGCTCGAAGCCAGTGAGAGTTGGGATGAAGTTCCATGTTTAGTCGGCCCTGTCTTCTCTCTTCGCCCGACGCATCGTCACTGAGCCCCTATCGTTCTATCCGATTGTATTTTTATTCCCATCTAACATATTCGTCTCATTCGGTTTGCTAACCCCAATAGCGCCTGCCTGCTTCTGGTCTTGGGCACTCCTCCTCCTCCCCTGCACTTCTCGCTTCAGCTCTTACACTTGATTCTTGATTCTCATCTCCCTCACGTGTCATCCCGCCCTGTCCTGATCATCACGCTATCATTCTGAGGCAGCAGACTTGTTTATTGGTTTCAATAAAAGAAAGCCGGTAAGTAGTCTTGCCTGCTTCAGTCAAGGTGGACAAGCATCTTGTTCGCGGTCCTCTCATTGAGGTTCCTTTTTCTTTAACTAATCCTCTTTGCTGATTCACTTCACTTCTATCGTCTGCTCATGCTTTTCACATCTTGGCGACCGGTTGCTGACTGCTCGAAGCTGAGACTCTCCACTACCCCTTCCGGCACCCGTCCTGCGGCTAACAGCCCAGGATGGATGCCCACGACGACGTCATCATGGACGGCGAGGACCATCGCATGACCGATGGGCCCTTGGCCTCCAATGGCTTCAGGGACGCGACGACGGGCGAGAGCTCGCTGGAGACGACCAACGTCCAGAGCACAGCGGGCACGTCCAAGGGCGAGGAGGAGGAGGAGGAGGAGGGCGGCAGTTCTAGCCAGCTCGTGTACCCAGAGCACTTCCGTCGTCGCGGGCTACTCCCCACAGGGTGCTGCTATGATGATCGCATGAAGCTGCATGCCAACGCCGACTTTGGGCCTAATCCGCACCATCCGGAAGATCCTTCGCGCATCGAGCACATCATGCAGACCTTTAAGAAGGCCGGGCTTGTCTTTACCGGGTCGGATGCCGAGCTGGCACGTATTATCAAAACTGAGCCGACGAAGTACATGTGGAGGATTCCTGCACGACCGGCTACCAAGGAGGAGATCTGCATGGTTCACCACCCGAGACACTATCTCTGGGTCGAGGAGCTGTCGCGCAAGTCTACCCAAGAGCTGCGCCATCTCTCTGCCATCATGGACCAAGGTCGCGATTCGCTTTACGTCGGGAGCATGACCTACGAAGCATCCCTCATCTCAGCTGGCGGCGCGATCGAGACGTGCAAGAGCGTGGTCACTGGCGTAGTGAAGAACGCCTTCGCCATTATCCGGCCCCCAGGTCACCACGCCGAGTATGACCAGCCCATGGGCTTCTGCCTCTTCAACAACGTCCCAATTGCCGCCAAAATTTGCCAGGCCGACTATCCGGACCTCTGCCGCAAGATTCTTATCCTGGACTGGGACGTCCACCACGGCAACGGCATCCAAAACCTCTTCTACGACGACCCCAACATCCTCTACATCTCGCTTCACGTCTACCGCAACGGCGAGTTCTATCCCGGTAAGCCCGACAACCCGATGACGCCAGACGGAGGGATCGAGCATTGCGGTGCGGGGCCCGGCCTGGGCAAGAACGTCAACATCGGCTGGCATGACCAGGGTATGGGTGACGGCGAGTACATGGCGGCTTTCCAGAAGATCGTCATGCCCATCGCGCACGAGTTCAACCCCGACTTGGTGATCATCTCGGCCGGTTTTGATGCCGCCGCGGGCGATGAGCTCGGCGCCTGCTTTGTGACTCCTGCATGCTACGCCCACATGACGCATATGTTGATGTCCCTTGCGGGAGGAAAGGTTGCGGTGTGCCTAGAGGGCGGGTACGATCTTGAAGCAATCTCGAAATCAGCGCTGGCCGTTGCCCAGACGCTCATGGGCGAACCGCCGCCGAAGATGGAGATCCCCAAGATCAGTCGCGAGGCGGCCAAGGTGTTGGCCAAGGTGCAGGCGTATCATGCGCCATATTGGGAGTGCATGCGGCCCGGCGTGGTGGATGTCCAGGAGCTGCAGCTACAGGATTCGTCGAGGCTGCATGATGTAGTCAGGCGTGCGCAGCGGCAGGTGCTGAGTGAGAAGCATGGGATGCTGCCGTTGTATATCCAGCGGGATGTGCTGTATAAGTCGTTTGAGAACCAGGTGCTGGTGACGAGAGGCATTTCGGAGGCGAGGAGATTGTTGGTTATTGTGCATGATCCGTGGGTTCACCTTGGAGATGGCTTATAGGTAAGAAGGGATGCTGACATCGGCCTCTAGTCCGGAACTTCATGCGCAGCCTGATCCACTTGATAACCGTGTTGAGCCGCACAATGCTTGGGTGGTAAGTCGATTATAGCTTCCCCAAAAGAAAGAATGGGCAGTTGACTGATAGTATACAGACCGATGGCGTCCTCCGCTACATCGACTGGGCCATCAGCAAGGACTTTGCCGTCATGGACATCAATGTACCGCACTACATCACGCATCCTGAGGACACCGATGCCTACACCCCGCGCGCTGACGAGCGCACGCTGCAAGCCCAGATCCAGGACCTCATGTGCTACATCTGGGACAACTACCTCCAGCTGTATGACTGCGTCGAAGACATCTTCCTCATGGGCGTGGGCAACGCCTATCTCGGTATTAAGATGCTCCTGATTTATAGGCGTATGTGTTCCTCTCTTCCCCTGCCCCCTAACCATCGTAAGCGTTACTAACAATGTATACAGCGGACGTCAAACGCCGCGTCTCCGGCGTAGTCAACTTCGTGAACGGCGCCCTCCGCCCCGTCAAGTCGGACGTCGACACGGAGCTGTCCCAATGGTATAAGAACAACTCGCAGGTCTATGTCACGAACGACCATGCCTGCTGGGCCGACGCCGACCTGGCACGCAAAGTCCTCAAGCGTCGTTTCGGCAACGTCATTCGTAGCGAGGCTAAGGGCCTCTCAGCGATGATGGCGACACACTTCCAGGACGTACAGCAGTTTATTCTGGAGAGGATGACGCCGCCTGAGGAGGTGGGTGAGACCACTGAGGAGGAGAAGGCTTGATTGAGAAAAAAAAGGGGGAGAGTAAGGAATGATTGCTGGGTTTTGAAGGGGTAAATAGTTTGATAGTTTGCTTCTTGGGGAATATAGGGGCTTGAGAGGGGGTTTACTTCTGGAGTTTGATACGGGTGGGTGATGGGGTAGTGAGGAACTGAAGAGGTTTGGGAGTTTTTGGAGTGAGTCAACCAAAGGGGCAGGTGAGTTTAGATACTTCGCAGGGGCTGTACGATAATGCAATCATAGTACCTAAACTGGCACATAAAGATCGTTTCATACACATTTACTTTCTACACACCTTCACCTGCTCAACTCAAACTTTTGTGATCCAACCCTCTCCTCATCGGCAAAGACCCTGAAAGCATGTCCATCTCACGTGACGTCATCCTGCAGTATCGCCACTCGTCTCCCGATAACCCTTTAGCGGCATAATCCGTATCGATATGAATTATCGATAAGGATAACAATATCTGGGCAAGGGGCCAAAAACCAAGAAGCCAAGAAGCACCCTTCCCCTGCAAGGAAGAGGCGCTGTCGCGAGCCGCGTCTGTGGAGCCGGCATTTTTGGCGCTTGTCCCTTTGTGCCTTTTTTTGACTTGTTTTTCTGCGAACCTCAACGACGTCTCGTGTCAACGACATCCTTCTGCCAAACTCGCCCCTTGATGCCAACTCGACCTCGACGGAGGAACTGCAAGAGAAGCTGGGTCAGTGAACACCAAAGCGCGCAGTCGAGAGAGATAGAAGCAGGCTCGGTTGCCTCGTTACCTTAGAGAGCGAGAGTCTTGAAATTTACCTGTTGCAACGGCAGGCCAGCGAACAGATTTGGTCCAAGATGGAGCGGAGTAGGAGGTGAGTTGAGAGTTTTCTTCAGCGTTCGTTGATGATCATGTTTTTGTACACGGCTTTTATTACGCATTGTTTTTCTATTGTCATTCTGTTCTGCCTTTTTGTCTTAACTCTCAAGTGAGCTGAGTTAGCGCCAGTTCCATCGCTTCCAGGCAATGCCATCTCAAGTGAGTCGCCTATGAGTGCCTACTTGTTCGTTAGCAGATTGATCCGATGCCCACGAGATTCAAGTGATGGGTATCGGATTGATGCTAGCGTTTGCTTTGTATTACTTTGTCATCGAGCGCCTTACCGCCATGTTGCCTATGGTGGTTGTCAGGGAGAGGAGATAATGGCCTCGAGGATAAGAGAGAGATGGGATGAAGGGTCCTGTGGGGTTTATTGGTTTTGTCGGCATGATTGTCATCGACCCTCACACTCCATGGTATCTGAGGGAAGAAAAGATGACGTTATAAATACGACACGCCATGCTCCGACATCGTCATGAGGAGTACACCAGATTAGAGGACGATGATGGTATATATATATATATATATATGACAACTGTTTACAATCGGGCGGTGTACGCTGCGATGCGCGCAGTCTCGCGACCAGATACAGCCAATTACCATCTCAACGCTGTCTGAACCTCCACTCCACCATCCCATTTGGTACACACCCCCGTTTGCGCCCTCACCATTACCCGATTCGGTCAATGCATACCCAAGGCTGCCCTCATCAACAAACAATAATGCTTCCATCACATCAACGCTCGACACAGAACACCCAGCAAGTCCAAGATGGATATATACAAAACCTTTCCTAAGCTCACCAGCACAAAGAAGACCACCCGGCCATTGGGACGGCACCGTTTTGCAGCAGTTGTCGACAGCTGGCCATAGACGTTGGCAGGTCAACGGGTGGTTTGCCGGAGTGGATCCGCTCCTGGGGAATGGGAGCAAAGGGTCCCAGCGAGGGTTAGGACGGGAGATTTCCTCCCTAAATTTCGTCATAAACAAGTCAAGATTCAATCAAGATGGCTTCCCCCCCTCGCCCTGGGAAGACCTTGCGCCTTTCGCCTTTGTTGCACGATTCTGCTGCCTCGTGCTCCCGTGCGAAGCTCATCTGGTTTTACGATGCCATCATGACCATCATCGCTTGGACCGCTGGGACTCGAGTTTTTGCCCGCTTCAACCCAATCATGCAGCCACTGAAGCTTAAGCAGCCGCATTACTCCCCATATTGGCTGAATCTACCAGAGACACCGGAATTCTCAAAGTCCGCTCAGCAGGAATTTCATCCACCACCATGTCGTCCACGTACAAGAAGAGCTGGATTAAGCGCTCTTCTGTCCGCGAGCAGCTGCTGAAGCTATATAAGGACGAGGAGAATCGTTGGCAACTTTGAAGTCCTTTTGAATGAGTGGCTCGAGAAGGTCAATAACCTGGCAGCCCTGGCTACCCTGACCCCCGAAGACGGCAAACTTGCCCATCTTCATTCTAAAATGCATCATGACAGTCTCCGGCATCGATCCAACACATCACGAGACTTGAGAAGGAGAAGAAAAAAGTCTCTTATCTTAGGTCTTGTTGACGAAAATCAGCAAGATTACCCCCCCCCCTGGCCCCCCGAGGCCCCAGACTGGCCAATTGACCCCTTCGCCATCCAAGAGCCAGTCGCCCCAGCCACGGTTTCCCTGGCGGCCGCGTTGATGAAGGTGCAAGAGATCCGCGGATCCTCGCCTATTAGCGCCAGCTACCTAGAAATATAGGACGGCATTTAACATGCCACTCCTGTTGCCATGGGAGAGGGCCCATTTGCCTTCGCCACCAGTGAGTTCCCCGAGTTGGTCACCACAGAGAGCGCCGCCCCAACCGATATTCGCCCCCTCTCTGGAGTGTCAGTTCGGCGCTGGCACCTTTCCCAGATCGGTGCCCCGCAGCCCAGCGAGACAATGATGCCGCACGCCGCCCGCAAGGAGACGGTCATACTCTGGCGGTCGTACATCGCCCAGCGGGAGCGGGAAGTGCCTGACTGGCTGAAGAAGTGGCTGGCCTTCTACGGCCCGTACGGTCTTCGCTTGTTGACTGAGACCCAGTTCGAGGCCGTCACCAGTCTCAGTCTCGAGCGCCTGCATGAAGTCTTCAGAGCTGCAATGCATGGGCAGTGTTCTGGAGGAGCTGGTCTGGGTACACATCAGCAGCGGCAGGGCGCTTCTGGATTTTTGGGACCAGACAGTCGCCGGGAGGATCAGTAAGGCTGACAAGGTGGCTGAGTGTACGCACCTGCTTGTTGATCCTATGTCATGGCCCATGGTTCCAAGCCGATTGCGTCAGGGTTGAGCTCCAGATGTCCTTAAAGAGGGGGTCTTGGATGGAGACTCTGTTGATGAAAATACGCCCGAGCTGATGGATACCGAGAGCTCCTCAGCAGATGAAGAGGAGTTGGAAAAAACATTTCTAAAAGCTCTGGGCTAGGATCGCCGCGGGGAGGTAAAACAAAGTTAGCTCAGGCAAGGAAAGTACTCCGGACTAGACGCTGGGCACTAGCTCGAATGAAGAGGCCGAGAAAACCCACCTTGGAGAAGAGTCAACCCGGTGAAGATAGGGTCGAATTTAAGGCCTATTTTGCTGGCATCACTCTGGGGTTGTTAGAAGTGGGTATGGGCGTCGACAATAGCAATAATAACGACAAAGATCACGTCCATTGGTGAAGTCAACATGGACATCATCCAGGATTCATCTGCTCTGAGAACTTCGGATGAGAATATCCATAAGAATCGGGATGAACATGTTTTGGTGAGTTGCCTGATTGAAAAAGGACGATGTAATCCTAGCTAATATTTAAGTCCAGGGACCTGAGTCCCCTAATCATCTTGACTATCCAAGCGATGACTAGGAAAATGTTTTGGTAAGTTACTTCACAGAAAAACTAATGACATGTTCAAAGCTAACACTGATATGAGAACTGTGAGCCTCATAAGCTCTTGTCTTATCCAGACAGACAATGATCAAACCAACAATGCCGCCTTCCCAAACCCAGTCGTCTCTTCTGGTCTTGCCCAAACACATGCTTCTTCACAAGAAGTTCAGGCCAACCAGCTGCTCCTTGCAGAGTGATTTGCAGAGGACAGCTTGTTCGCGCCTGTTGAGCCCATGGCACCAGGCAATAGCACGCTTAAAGTTTCGCAGATGGTCACTGTACCAAGCACAAACGAGATAGGGATGATGATGATTAGCAGCCGATCAAATGCGCGCGCAGAATCCTGTGGTGGTCCTGCTCTTTTTCAGAGCAGAGCTTAGCTGTTCCAGAAACAGTAACATCTGATGCAAAACCTGAAGCAACCAGCCTAGAAGGTGCCTGGGAAGTACAGAGCATGATGAAGGCACACGACTGAGCAAAAGAGCCTGCCGACGGGACGACATGCAGGAGAACCAGCTCTAAGTTATCCTCTTAAACACCTTTGACAGTCACTGCCCATACATAACATGTCGGGCTTTTTCCCGAGCTGATAAGCTGGCTTGAACACAAAAAGGTTCAGCCAAAATCTTCATGCGCAGTTATCACCTAATAAATGAGCTCAGCCTACGACCTTGCTCGTGATGACTGCCTCTTCAAGGTCAGCTCATTTTATGAACACTGACAGCTATTCCCTTCAACAGTGGCTTAACACGTTGACTTGATGTCTGCTTATCATCTAAACACATTCGACTTGATCTTCATGTCTATGCGAACTCAGCTACTGTCCTGCTGTCGTCCCTGACGATGACCACCTGCCGATGATATCAATCCAGCTCCTTTCTTCTGACTGTGATGGCATCCCGGCAATGGTATGCTCGACTTGAAGTCACCTCCGATGGGGAGTCCATAAGGACAGCTAGAGGCAAAGAAAAAAAAGATTTTTCAAGCCAACGAGTCAACGATCAAAACGCTCCCCTCCCCCCCAAGGCATGAGAGGGATTCATTGGCTACGAAAACCCTGGTTCCTCGGAAACCCCCCCCCACAGCTGGCCAACACTCTCACTTGGTAGCGATTCATGCTACCCTTTGCCGATGTATAGCGAAGACGAGGGCAAGCTGATCTCGGAGTCTGGAGAGGACGAACCGATGGACAATAGCCAACGATCCGACAGAGGGAACCAAGACGAACTGATGGATAACAGTTAACCATATGACAACAAGCGCCAAAACGAATACCATGATCTTGTCTATTGAAGACGCCAAATATCTCAGAAACCGGTATGGCTTGGCTGCGTTGCGTCCTGTTGACTGCTTCCGGTAGCTCGCCGTGAACTCGGCTTTCTTCCATTGTCAACTGTTAGAGCCTGGTGATGGCGAGCTCGACTGGGTTCTAAGGTCAAGTACAGTGCTTGGTGACGGCAAGTTTCACTAGTCCTATGGCTTGTTGCTGATGTCCGAGGCCGGTGATTTTCGCAGTTTGCCCCAATCTCACGCAAGTGAGATCAGCACAGGAGAACGTCATGCGACTGGAAGCCAACCAGCACTAGACTCTTGAGTCGCGACATCGACATCCCTGATGACAGCTCCGCGCCGGGGCGGCTGCCCTCGGCGAGGGTTTATCTCTCACAAACAAGTGCTCGTTGCAAACTTCTTTTTCCTCTTTTCTCACAATGTTGTCACAAACTTTGCAAGAAGTCACCTCGCCATCACCAGGACTGCTGCCGCTGCTGACCGGCAGTCTTCTTCCCCGCCCCCGCTCATCAGGGCTAACGCAGATCCCTTGGGGTCAGTCCAATCGGTTTCTTCGTCATTCCTAGTCCGTCTGCTTTTCCCGCGATGCCAACACCAATGGCAACAGCAACAGCATCTTGGATTTGTGGCCCCTCTGTGTTCATCAGAGGTAATGCCGTGCCAGTTGTTAGCAGCAGGACTGGTTCTTTTCACCCTTCTAGCTCGGAGTCACCTCACCCCCGACTCAATGGGGTGAATGGGATTCGCCCTGCGTACTTGTTAAGGTGTTCAGAAATGGGGCACAGCTCAATTCCTCTTCCTAGTTTTCTTACTGGCGCTAACTCTCTTGCTCTTTGTTTCGCACTCTTGTTTTCTTGCTCTTTGTACTGACACACATTCAATCTTTCTTTTTCTGGCCGTCTGTCTTTTCGTGGCAGAAACAGCTTCATTAACCATCCAGCGGCTGAGCTTGTCAACGACTATTTTGCTAACCTTCTTCCTACCGCGATCATCAGATACGAGGACGGCGAGGTTAGGCGTTACGGAGCCGGAGAGTCCTACCGCCCTTATAATCGCGATCGGTCTCCGCCGAGAATGCGCAGCCCTCTAAGAGATAGGGCTCGCAGCCCTCCCCCCGCGACAAGCGATAGCTACGTGCCGAGTCGGTCCCCGCGTCGCCGTTCCCGCAGCCCAGATCGCTTCAGAGGCAGGCCCAGGTCCCGAGACCGTGTTGTTGGCGGTGGTGAGCGCTGGCGCCGCAGTCGTAGCCGACCGCGCAGTCCCCTTCGTCGACCGTCCCCCCCTCGCCGCGACCGCAGCCCTCCCAGAAGATCTCCTCCTCGATATGGCTCGCCCCGTCGCGACGATAGATGGGATGACAGGAGAGATGATCGCCGAGACGATCGCAGGGACTTTGATCCCCGAGATTCCAGGTAAGCTTGGACCGCTGACCGACTTGCAGTTTCCAACTTTTCCCCCAACCCTTCACCACTTGTGCACACTTCCCTCGCTATCTCGCAAGTTTTCCGCACCACATACCTTGCGCTCAGCTCTGACCCCCAACTCCCTACACTTCTGTTTTCTTAATCAGTGCTTACTCATGGCCAGACGCAGGTCTCGCTCTCCCCTGCCGGACCGCTTCCGCCGCTCTCCCTTGAGACGATCTCCGCCGCCTGGTTCAAATTCTTACCGCCCTCGCTCAAGGAGCGGTGACCGTCGCGACCGTGATGATCGCTACCCCCCTCGTCGCCCTTCTCTGCCGCCTCAACGCGAGCCTATCAACACTGGACCCATGCATTCTCGTTCTGCTTCGGGTCGTTCTTCTCCCCGCGCTGCTTCAATCCGTCGAGACGACCGCTCTGCGCCGCAGTCGCCAGCCAGATCTCACGCATCCAACGCGCCTACTCCGACTACCGCATCGCTTCCGACTAGAGAGGCCCGCGACATTCGAGATTTCAAGGACAACAGGGACGCCCCTCGCGAGACGCGTGAGATTCGAGAGCCTCGTCAGGATCGGGACCTTCGTGAGACACGCGACATCCGTGAGCCCCGCGAAACTAGAGATGATCGTGACCGGCGTGACATCCGTGACGACCGCGAGAAGCGTGAAGAGCGCGACTTGCGCGATGGTCGCGAGCCCCCCAAGCCGGCCTCCCAACCTGAGCCTGTCCAAGTCGCTCAGCCCGCTCCTAAGCCCCTGGCAACCGAAGCCAACGCTACCCCGGTGAGGTCTCCGCCGAGAGGGCCTGCAGCGCTTCGTGCTCCTCCCTCCGGCCCAGCTGCGGCTCGCAATCTGCCTGCTCCTACAGCGCCCCAAGGTCCGTCTCCACGTCACCCGCCCCAGGCACCCAGCGGCCCTGCTCGTACCGGCACCACCAGCCCTGTGCCCCCTGCCGGCCCTCGCGGTTATGTGCCCCCGAGAGGCGGCAGCTTCTCTGCACGCGGCGGCCGAGGCGGTTGGCCCGCCGGTCCCAGCCGCCACAGCATCTCCAGTGCCAGCAGCCAGTCCGTCTCGCCCACTATGCCTCCTGCAGGCCCCATCTCCACCACAGGAGCCAACACCGCGCCCATCGGCATCCCGACCGGGCCGCGCGCATCACAACCCTCATCCGTCTCTTCCACTGGCTCATCCCAGCCCGCCCCAGTTGTCCCCAGCACTACCCCCCCAGCCGGCCCTAAGTCCTTCAACCCGCCTACGGGTCCGTCCCACGGTCTGCACCACCACCCTCGTCCAACCCTCGCGCAAAACCTCATCAACACCATGCCACCCATCATTCCCGGTGGGAAAGTCGACCCGTCGCAGTTGCCTCCGTATGAAACGGACCCGAAGCAGCGCGCAGCGAGGGATGAGGAGGAGAGGATCCGGCAGGAGTTGATGGCGAAGCAGGAGAAATTGAGGCGCACGCTCAGACAGTGGGATAAACTGGAGAGGGAGGCACGCGCGTGCGAGATGAGGACGGAGGCGACGGAGAGGAGCTTGAAGAAGATCGTGGGGGAGGAGGTTGGGGGGGTGGGGTTCTAGTAGAGCTCCGAGCCCAACGTCAACGTTTACCTACCTACCTACCGCCACCACACCATGACAACTGGTGCATTCTCATCAACTTGGGAATGATCAATACCGTCCTCTCATTGTCATTAAGTTGGGGATGAGAATTTCATCAAGGATCGACACTTCCATTATTATCACGGTCCCATCCTCATTAGGTTTGGGATAGATAAAGGCCGGCTCGTTCTCATTAATCTGGGGATGGGGTATTTTTTTTTTTTCGTTTTATAACCAAGGGTGTCGATTCTTACTATGTTGTGGTGCAGGAATAGGGTGATTATAGATTGACGAGAGTGGGACTTGGGTGCGCTACGGCATGAGGATTTACTTACCTGGAGACAAGGAGTTACCTGGAGAAGGGTTGACTGAAAGGTTGAAAGAAAGTGTGCATCGTCATTCGTGTAAAGATTATTTAGGTACTGCCTGCATGGATTTGCTTTTGATGGAAGAATGGGGTTCCTATGGGCATACTATCGATAAGTTTACCTTTTTGCTTTGCTAAGTATCTCTTCTCTGTGGAAAATAGGGATGCAAGATAGGGAACGCAGGCAACCTTTGGAACCTTCCCTCTTAGTAATAATGGTGCTATGGAAGATGCCCGTAGATGGACCTCATAGAGGATACGTTCTTTGGGGATGGCAACGATGAGCTTGTACAGAACGTTAAGGAGTAAAAAGCCAGGAATCAGGAATAAACAGAGCAGATAAGCTAGCTGATAATAATGGAGGAGATTCATACAAACTACCTAATTGACGTGCTCAAAAGTTGCCGACGTGTTGGAAGGAGCATACCAGCCTAGTTAAAACACCTAAAAGTGCTTTAGATATGGCTTTCAACGGGAATTTTTGATATTTTCTCAGGTTTATTTCCCTCTTGAGAAACAATATCGTGTTTATGATGCATGTGTGATCGTAACAATAACAAAAAAATCAACTGGCTAGCTACCTGCCTAACTTTTTGCCTACTCTCCTTATCAAACAAATGGGCACACAATCGTTGTGCGGATGACGAGCTCCTCCTCCTCTAATGCAAGTACAGAAAAGGAATGAAAGGAAGAGGGGGAAATAATCTATACTATTCTAGTCAAACCCCACTGTGCATAAAAAGAAGGAAAGAAAGGAAGAACGCAATGCGATGAAGTGAGCGATGAGCGCGGCCATCTTGATCGTGGTGGTCACGTGATATGACCCACTATATGCAGACAGGGCGTGCAGGATACTGTAAGATGACGGTAAAAAACAGTCTAGAAAATTTCAATCGTTGTCGAGCGGGTGGGTCATGACAAGACGTCTGAAGCTATAGATGTTTATAGAAACTAACATTTGCACGGCAGGCGAACCCTACGGATGTTTTACCAATGACTAAACGTCTATAGAGCTACTATCATTTCTTAGGTACCCTATCATATAAAAAGAGGTTAAATACAACGTTCAGTATGTCAAGTGTTTCTACGATCAAGACGATTCTATGATAGTTTGTCGACTGGATGTTTCTACCTTTTGGCACTGAGCTTAACAAAATGCTTCTAGGTAGGGCAAGTGTCCTCCTATAACCCATCAGAAGAATTTCAAGACCCAGAGTTCGATTAGCTCTGTCATCTTCCTAACCGCCCCCCCCCCGGGGCGGCCCAACTTCCTTCATCCCATCCATCCTCCGTCATTAACCCGATTCTTCGTCTAATATACCTTCAGCCCGTTCGTCCTACGCTCGATTCCCTTCCATAAAGCTAGACTTAGGTACGTAGTTTCTATCCTGATAAGTGTAATTATGGATATTCGGTACAAGTCAACTAACTATACTCCTCAGATTCCAGTGACTACTATACTCCTTAAACAGGTTTGCTTACACTTTGCCGAACCATTTCAAGGTTTGCCCCTCTACTAGGTATATTTCTCACGTCAGCTGGAACATTGGCCTTGGCTTTATGTGGTGCGCGCTGAGTAAAAAGCATAAAGCATATTGGATACCATTGAGGAGGTGATAGTGGTATCTGTCAACAGAGTAGCAGCAGAAGGGAGTAAGTAGGAGAGATGAAGCAAGAGCCGGGAGGAGGACCCGATCCGTCCGGGCCGACAACAATAGGTAGATCCAGCCAATCAAGCCGTCGTAACCCAGCAGTGCAGAGCCTATAGGTGAGGTGCCCTTACTCCGTCCCGAACGATCCAACACTGTCCGAATGGCTTCAAACCCCAGCCGAACTCGTCAACGCCTGGTCAGCTAAATGTCTCGAGGCGTCAATGCTTGGCCCAACCAAACGTTTGGCCATTGAAACGTCTATAGGACAAACGTTGAAGTCCTACAGTGTCCTTATATCCAGGACCGTTCGTAAAACACGCACCGTTGCTCAGAGCGACCGAAAATTTTAAACGTTTCCGAACTTACGAACCGTAACAGTTTCTCACCCTCCTCTCCTTGGCGGTACGGTCATCCATCTACGAGAGCGACGAGTAGTTCTCTACAAGATCCTAACCCTGGCTGCCCCATCCGCCTGCTCTGTTGGATTTCAAGGCTCAAAGATGATCCCTTCCAAAAGCCATGCTTCTAGGTTTAATTCAGAACATTTCTGACAGCTGCCGTTTGATCCGGCTTACGGGATGACTCCCCCAAATTTCCAGCTTTCTCCATTTTTCTTGACTTAAGCCTAAAGGCTTGCCTCCGGTAGCAGCAGAGAATGTCATTGGGAAGCAAACAAAGTGTTCAACAAAGAGGATGGCTGTGTACAGCACGAAACAATGACGGCATCTCGCTGCTAGAACTTATCTTTGAGAGCGTTGAAATAGGCATGACTTGGAGGAACCAAGCTTCCCAGAAACAGTCTCACCGCAGCAGATGTCAGGCTATGTAAGAGACACTCTGAGGAATCAACACAAGCACGCATTGCACACATAACAGGACCAGTTTGTTCATTTTTTTTTCCATTAAACCCGGCTACCTATTCGATGCCGTAAGCTGTCGCGTGTTGCTACAAAAGGAAGAAAGTCTTCAACTACAAACGGGGGGCGCAACCGAGCTACTGCTTGCTGGCATCAACCTTGGCAACGTGGGCAATGAGGTCGAGGACACGACGGCTGTAGCCCCACTCGTTGTCGTACCAGCTGACGAGCTTGACGAAGTTCTTGTTGAGGGAGATGCCAGCCTTGGCGTCGAAGATGGAGGAGTTGGGGTTGCCGAGGAGGTCGGCAGAGACGACATCGTCCTCGGTATAGGCGAGGATGCCTAGACAATGTTAGCTGGGATTCAGACAAGGCTTTGAAGGTTAGAAACCTACCCTTGAGCGGGCCCTCAGCGGCCTCCTTGATGGCCTGCTTGATCTCGTCGTAAGTGGCCTCCTTCTCCAGACGGCAGGTGAGGTCGACGACGGAAACGTTGGCGGTGGGGACACGGAAGGCCATGCCAGTCAGCTTGCCGTTGAGCGAGGGAATGACCTTGCCGACGGCTTTAGCGGCACCGGTGCTGCTGGGGATGATGTTCTGGGCAGCACCACGGCCACCACGCCAGTCCTTGGCGGAGGGACCGTCGACGGTCTTCTGGGTGGCAGTATAGGAGTGGACAGTGGTCATCAGACCCTCGACAATGCCGAACTTGTCGTGGACGACCTTGGCGAGGGGAGCCAGGCAGTTGGTGGTGCACGAGGCGTTGGAGATGACGGCGGCGCTGCCGTCGTAGGTGTCTTCATTGACACCCATGACGTACATGGGGGCGTCGGCCGAGGGGGCCGAGATGATGACGCGCTTGGCGCCGCCCTTCAGGTGGGCCGAGGCCTTCTCGGTGGTGGTGAAGACACCGGTGGACTCGACGATGTACTCAGCGCCAGTCTCGCTCCAGGGGATGTTGGAGGGGTCGCGCTCCTGGTAGAACTTGATGCGCTTGCCGTTGACAATCAGGTCGGTGCCATCGACCTCGATAGTGCCCTTGAACTGGCCATGGGTCGAGTCATAGCGGAGCATGTACTCCTGTGGGGGACATTAGCGGCGATCCAGGGCTTGATGCATTTTGCCGGAGCACTTACAGCGTACTTGGTCTCGATGAAGGGATCGTTGACAGCGACGACCTCGACCTCAGGGTGTTCCTGGGCATTGCGGAAGACAATGCGGCCAATGCGGCCGAAACCGTTGATGCCGACCTTGATCACCATTTTGACTGTGGAGAGAGTAAGTATGGAGTTCGTGGATGAAAGTGTGATGAGGGGTTGAGAGCGAGACGGGTTATGAGACGGGCTCTGAGACGGAGAAAGCAAAGAGACCGAATGGAAGCCCCAGGAGGATGGAGCAAGATTTTATAATGAGTTGCTGGCACGGTGGGAGAAGGGGCCGGAACCGGTCAGGAAATGGCAGCAATTTGGAGTTCTGCTCGTTTCTGAGGTCCGATTCAGGCGGGGCGCGACAAGACCGACAAGGACTGCAAGGAACCTCGTCGCCCTGGGCGGCCACACGTTGCCATGGGCAGTGCGGGGTGCGTGGGGGGGTCCCTGGGTGAACTCATAGGTAGGTAGGTAATATCATAGGTCATGGATACTCACCTGCTGGGACTGTGTTGATGAAGCGAGCTGTTGAGTTCGATGGGCAACGAGCCTGGGCGGGCGTGGGCAGGACTGATCGAAAAGGAAAGGTCCTAAAGAGCTGAAAGACGGCTGAAGAGCTTATGGGACGAAAGAGAGAGAGGGAGAAAGGCAGACAGCGTGCTGGTGGCATGAGCGTGCGATAAAAAAGGTTGAGAGCTCCTCGATGACGGGAGGTGGGGGGTGGGGTGTGTCTGGGTTGCCCCTTCTTCTGATTGCACTTGCATCACACAGCATTTGCTCGATTTGCTCCATTGCGCTCCATTTGCGTTGGGTGGTGGGGCAACGCCGCCGAGCTGCGATCCAGGTCCGTTAGTGCGCGACTTTGTCGCTTGTCCACCTTGTGCACCGGCCGAGTCCGCTTGGCCCTCCGACGGCACGAAGGGCGATGCATCATCGGTCCTTTCCTGGAGACCTGGGACCGCTGATGACAGCCTGTCATACCGGTGCCGGTATCCCCTTGCTACAGTGAGAACAGCCTCGTCGCCACGATCGGCCAGCGTCCAGACAAGGCCAGTCCCTGTCGCGTGTGACTTTTAAGGAGTGTAGCAGGCTATTTGGCAGCTAGCTTGCTAGGCGTATGCTGTGGAATGAGCCCGCTCCAGTAATAAGCGAGCCGCCGCGCTGGGCAGAAGAGAGGCGCTCCATCCAGTGTGGTTGCTGTCCTGTTTCGGAGGAGACCAAAAGAACTTGATTTGAAATCCCGCACGCCGCGCTGATGGTGCTCCCAGAGCCCACATTGCCACTCTAACAATTTTGGTTTACAAGTTTGCAAAAGGCTCTGCGAGGCTATCACCAGAGTTGTCGTCTAGACCATCTATCAGCTACAGGTAGCAGCTTAACGTTCGGGACTGGGGTCTCGGAAGCTTCCAGCGGCCACGAAAATCCAGGGCCGGTAGGAAACGGACGAAGACGGCTAAAAATGGGCCTCTGGGCATCCAATTCCACGGCAAACTCGGCCTAGACCCAAAATCATCGTCCACGGGATCTGCCATGCTTATCCGCATCCCCGCCGAGTCCCGGGTGAGAACCGTGATGGAAATCTGGGGACGAGAATGGGCAATTTGCACGCCGGGTTTCTCGTGAGGCGGGTGTTGATGTGGTAGCTGTGGACGGCTCCTCCAACCTCAGGCCAGACCGGAGTCCGTCAGACTCCAGTCTCCCACAACAGTCCGTCTGGACGTCCGTACATCTATTTTACTTTACATATTAACCTTCCAGTCCAATCGGCCCGCTTCAGCCTTCTACACCTTGCCGTCACGCCACAGGGCGTATGTCGAACCAAGAACTTGTTTCTCTGCACGTGTTGGACGGGCAACCTGATTGGCCTTGCTGGCGATTCATGACCCGAGACCGAGCAGGACAAACTGCGGAACTGACGAGAAGCCCCTCAGGGACCCCTCAAATTCCCAACTCCGCCTGCCAAGCCTCAACTTTCCGCTGCCCCTCCCCCGCCAAGCAGCAGAGCCAGGGCACAGTTCGCGAAGCTCCAAGGGCCAATTGAGCTCCCGGCCAGCGAACAGTCGCAAAATACTGATGAGTCAGTTCCATCGTAGCCAAATTGCCCTGTAGAGCATGGCATTTTTCATGATACCATCGCCGCACCGGATGCCATTTGATGCTCTTCCTGCTCTGGTCGCTGTCCCTCCTCCATGTCCGACGTCATCTCCGCCCCACTGCAGCTGCTCCCCCCTGTCCAATGCCAGGCTGCTGCTGGGCTGCTGTTGTCCCAACCAAAAAAATCCTTGGTGGGGCTCTGGAGCTGTCACTCTCCCAGCCTCTCAGGCTCCAACATCAACCCGCCCTAACCCCTGAATCATGCAAATGCCAAAACACCTGATGGTCATCAACAACAGTCAAACCTCAGGCCACTGCGCATGGCTCGAGATAATGCCTGCTTTTTGCTTGTTTGAATGTGTTTCCGTCGCTTCAGATCAAAGGAGCACCAGTTGTGGGGTGTCTCACCTGAAACAGCAACCTAGCAGGCAGACGAGCTCGCTCAGGCCGTGCTTGCCCAGTGATGTGATGAAGCTCGTCCAAAATAGTCAGGTAGGTAGCTTGGATTGCTGCTTCCATAACGAAATGAGAATAGCAAGCTGTTGGGGTTTTGCTTTTGCACATTTTCTGACTAAAGTTTTTGTTGGGATCTGTTATTATTGAGCTGCTCTCACAAGCCTTAAGCCCATCACTATGGTTGTTGTATGCTTTCCGGATTCACGAGTTCACATTTGTAGGATCACATTGCAAAGCCCAGCTGGAAGAGTTATGTGAACAATGAACTCAATAATGTTTCCTATGCCCTCTCAATGACAGAGTATTCGATATACTTTCTCCATGCTAATGTCAAATCCTATTCCTGCTATTCTCCATCTTCTCAATCCATAGCGCCCCCTCCTAACATCTCAATCAATTTCTCAGAAGCTCATTTCCTTACAGAACATTTCAACCTTAGACCAATTTCAAAGTAACTCCTTCAACCATCTCAGACCCGATAACTCCATCAACCATGTCAACGACAAACGTATCCTCCCTTTCTGAAGACCTCGAGGACTCAACTCAACTGGCGATCCTTTAGAAAGCAGAAACAAACACCGAAGACTCTCTGCCGACCCCTCATTGGTGGAACATATCCCCCCCAGAGCACGTCGTAAACAGATTCGCCAAATTTTGTTCCAGCGTGAGCCACTGCCGCCACTCGAAGTTCTCCGGAATCTGGTCGGCTTGAATCTTCCAGTTATACTCAACCGTGTTCAAAAACTGCCGGAACTCGTCCCCCATGGCCTCAGTGCCCTCATTCCCCAAATTATACAACTTCCTCTCCGCCCCATCTGGACCACCATTGCCGGTGACCATATAAAAGGTGTAATCCTTGAACGAGAACAGTGCCTTGGGCACGCAGAAGGGCTCGCTGTTGCAGCCACTCGGGGATGAAGAGCCGGAGCCAGAGTTTTTGCCCTTGCTCTTCCTCGCGGTACCGCGGTGGGGCTTGGGGATTTCAGCGCCTTCTTCTTCGGGTTCCATCACGATGACGACTTCTTCGCGCGGCGGGATGTCAGCGTACGAGGGGAGGTTTGGGATGTCTTGGTGGAGGTTGAGGTCCCGAATGAGGTCCTTGACTTGTTCGCGGGTAAGCTTGCCGCCGTTTTCTTGACCGTCCTTCTTGGGGCTGGCTTTGCGGCGGGACTTCTTGGGGGTGTTGTTGTCAACTTCTTCGTCAGCTCTATCACTGACTGAAGACTTGCGAACCCTCTTGCGAGGAGGCTGGGACTCGCTGGACTTGTGGTTATCAGCCTTGCGGGCGCGCATGCGCGAGTTGGAGGGGCTGCTACCGCCACCATTGCTGCGCTGGTTGTTGCTGCCACGAGGACTGGCGCCGTTGGCTCCTTCGTTGTTGTTGTCGTTGTCATCATTGTCGCTGTCAGAGTCATCGGAGCGGTCATCGTTAGAGGACTTAGAGTCGTCAGAGTCATCGTCAGAATCTGCTTCCGATAAATCTTCCCGAGCAGCTTTCTCAACAGCAAGCATCTCATCAGAGTTAGAAGGAAGCTTCCTCTTCACCCGACGCTCGGCGACCGGAGCGCTGGGTACAGCCCGTTCTTGAACAGCACCAGAGGTCGGGGTAGTAAGAGAACTGCTGCTCGGCGTGCCCTCCGGAGCGCGATATCCCTTAATCAACTCCTGCCACGCCCGCCCAAAAGCCTGCTTCATCCCCTTCTCCCTCACCCCATCAACCGGCCCTTCCATAAGCAACTGCCCAAAGACAGTGCCAAAATCCTTCATCTCCTCCATGACCATCTGGAACACCCTGAACGCGCCCTTCGAGTAGGCCTGCCGGTCGTTTTCTGGGTTGGTATACAGAATCTCAGCAACGAGTGGCTTGGTCGTAACCATGACGGTGTGCCTGGTTTCAGCAGAGGCAAAGTCGGTTTGTGTGCCTTCGAGCAAGGCCTGGTCGAAGATGGTGCCGCGGTTGGAGGCTTCAGAGACGAGGGATTGGACGGCGGCGCAGAGGCCGCGTTTGATAGATTGGGGGATGTCGACGGGTTGTTGACCGGCCTGCGGAGGGGAAGGTGTTTGGGGGACTGGGAATTGTTGGTGCTGGTTCATAGGAGTGTTGGTGGAGAGGGGAGTACGGAGGTATCGGGTCGGAGTGGGTTGAGAAGGTGTCGTGCCAGAGAGATCAGGCTGGATGGTGTTGGTATGGGCGAGAGGCAAACAAGGGGTGTTGAATACGGCTGTACCCTGAGTAGGAGCGCGCTGGAAAGGCATGTTGCCTCGAGCAGGGCGGAAGGGAGACGCGAGGAGCATGCTTCGAGGGGAAGCGAACGCGGGGGATGCTTTTGAAGTTGAGGTAGTTGAAGGAGAGCTTCCGGTAGGAATCGCTTTCCCGTTGCCACGCTGACGGCGCTTCGAAGGTGTTTCATCGTCGTTGGAGTCAGTGGAAGCCTTGCGCTTGTGGCTACGGCCGGAGAAGGACTGTTTTTTGGTCGAAAAGTTCTTGGACGCAGAGGCAGGAGGCTCCTCGGCAGGAGTTCTCTGAGCATTGGACTTGGACCTCTTGCGGGTCTTGGGCTCCTTAGTCTGACGGGACTTTGAGTCCTCGAAAGAGGATATCTCCGGGGCAGGCACCGGAGTTGGAGTCTGGACCATGGGCTGCGGGTTCGTGGTACTGAGTTGCATCGCGTTCTGAGCAGCGGCCAGGGAAGGAGGCTGGGGGATGGCGGGAGGAAGAGGAATTTTTTCCAGCTGCTTCTCAAGCTGGGTGACGAGCTCAGGGCTGATAACCACGTCCTTGCTGAGGTCGGCTTGGCTCAGCATTTCGTTGAGCTGAGCGGGGGTGATATTGTCCTCGGGAGGGGGAGGAGGGTTCTGGTTGACGGCCGGCTGGTTCAAAAGCGCGTTGACCTCAGCCGGGTTGACCTCGGGGAGAGGAGGAGCGTTCTCATAGGGGTTTAATTGGTTGATGAGCTCGTTGAGCTGGGCCGGGGTAATGTTGGAGGGAGCACCATTGTTGGTGTTCACCGGGTTGAGGGTCTGGTTGATGTTGACCTGGTTGGCGTCGGCCATCGAGACATCGGCGAAGTCCTGCGCGTCCTGTTGAGGCCCCCACTGGAATAACTGGTCTGGAAGCTCGCCGTCGAACATCGAGATCTCATTTAGATCGAAGTTGACGTTAGCGCGAAATTGGCTCATCGAGTCGTTCTGGTTGTTCTAGAACCCGAGGTCCTCGAAGTCGCCATTGAGATCGTCGAACGCGGCTGCACGGGTATCGTTGGCGAGGGCTTCAGCTTGAGCAGCCCTCTGCTGCTCCTCGAGTCGGGCATGCTCTCTGGCGGCAGCATCTTCTTCCTCGGCTTTCTTGCGCGCCTCTTCTTTAGCGTGTCCACGAGCTTCCTCTTCAGCCTTCTTGCAGGCTTCTTGCGCCCGATGGCGTTCCTCCTCCTCGGCCTTCCGGCGAGCTTCTTCCTCAGCATGGCGACAGGCCTCCTCCTCCTCCTCCTCTTCTTTCTTGCGAGCCTCCTCTTCGGCCCGTTGATTTTCCTTCTCGGTCTTATGGCACTCCTTAACGGCGCGATTCTCGGCCTCGACAAGCATTGTTTCAGCTCCCATCATCGCCTCGACACGACGACGCCATAAGTCGTGCTCCCGCGACTCCCTCATCAGGGCGGCCATCTGATCGAACTGGGCGAGGCTGGCTTGCCGCTCCTTTTCGTCCTTGACCTCCTCGACAATCGCTTTACGCTGTTTGTTTTCGAACCGCGCACCAGATTGGACCAACTCCATCTCTCGTTGGATGCCGTCATAAATGACGGCCACTGCGGGGCAGCTGGCCTTCCAAGCCTCGAAGGCTTGGTGGTTGCGGAGATAGGCCATCTGGGCGTCGATAGCCTCGCGCTTGAGCTTCTGACCCTCCTCGTCGAGAGGAGGGGTCGTGGTGGAGGGGGAGGGAACCGGGACTGAGCCATCGGGCGAGAACAGACCATCCACAGGAATTGAATTGCTCTTTTTGAGCCGAGCAATATGCTCGGCCCACGATTTGTAGGCCTCCTGATAGCGGCACAGCAGCCGAACATCCTCCTCGTGCCGGAGGAAGAGCTCTCTGCGCACCGCATCGGCGCGCGGCGTCTGCCCCAACTCGGGGCACTTATTGGGCCCCAACGGGCCGCCGGTCCCGGCTGGTCGGGTGATCTTAACGTCGACCAGGCGCGGGGGTAGGGACGGAGGACAGGTCGGCTCGGCAGGCTCCACGAGCGCGGCCACCACGGGCGCAGCAGCAGGAGCCGAGGAAGGGACGGGCGCGCGGGCGGGGGTATCGGCTTCGGCCGCTGCACCGGGCAACTGAATGTCGCCCGCCTCAGCAGCGTCAACAAACAGCGCCTTGTGCAGCGTCGACCCGAACATGGCGATGCCGACGATGTCGCCGCCGCCCAGTTCCAGTACGTCCTTGTGCTCGAGGCTGCCCTCGAGCTTGCGCTCGGCAGCCTCGGACCGCCGCACCTCTTCTTCATCGATGACTGCAAGGAAGTATCATGTCAGCAAAATGGATAGTTAATGTCGGGAATTGTTTTGGGAGGGGTTTGGGATAGATGGAAAAGGTCGGATACAAACGTACCGATTGTCGCGGGAGCTGCTGGAGTGGCTGAGGAGGCGGCAGCGCGCATTGGCTGGGACTGGGCTGTTGGGCAGGAGGTTAACATTTGCCTGGCAAAGTGAGCGGAGAGAGATAGCAGTGGGCTAAGGGTCGGACTGGCTCAGCAGGATCGACCATCGGGCTCCGGGTAGTGCACCTGGCTGTCCGCGCTGGATGGCTTGGGGAATCATCGAGATGATTGCCCGCCTAGCTCATGCAGCTGGGCCGTCGGTAGTCCGAGGACAGCGGGTCTCACCTGTGGCTGACCATATGGATTGGCCACTTGGCTGTGCCTTTGGGCTGTCCTATCCGGCTGTCCCTTCGGTTGGCTCATTGGGCAGTGTCTTTGGGCTCGACCAGCTCGACCAGCTGACAAGCGTCATCGGCTGCACCATGGGGTTGACCCAATGGGCCGACCTTAACTTTGCCCTCACCGAAAAGACCACATTAAGTTTTCGTCGGGTGTTGGGGGAAAGGGGGAAAGTAAGAGATGAGTGATTTACCCTTGACAGTCTTGATGCCGCTGGAGTGCGGTGTGACAGTGGTGGAAGAGTTGGTGACTGAAAGAAGATATTAGTATTAAACGATCGAAGTTTGGGTTGATGAAAAGGGGGTGATGAGGACATCATCACTGTGGAGGAGATGAAGTGTCATCGATCTCGACGCAACATCATGAAGAGGTGATCAATTTTGACTCGAGTGAGTTGAACTTACTATCAATAGTAGCAGCAGTGGGCAGGTTGCCAGAAGACGAAGAGGCGGTGCCATTGTTGACAGTGCTGTCTGGGGGAGAGTTAGCAGACTGGGGATTGAATAGGGTGTTGATAAAGGCTCGAAGATGGAAAGGAAGTTAAGAAGTTTGAAGATGAAGGTGAGAATGGAAAACTCGAGAAGGGATGAGAGAATCTAAGTCAGGGGCAGGTATAATTTGGATGAAATCTTGACAAGTGACAAGAGATGCACCAACTGGGGGAAGAAATCACGTAGTAAAGACTAGAAGACAAAAATTGAAGTCAAAGGAGACAGTGACGACACAGCCTTGGATGAGTCAAGAGATTAGAGATGTCAAGAGGAAAGCCGACGAAACCTCGCCATGTGACGAGATTCATGAAGTGAGAGACAGGGGACAAAGGCTCAACGATAAGCTTAGAAGATTGAGAACAATGACGATGAAATTTCGGACAGGACAAGAGGAGAGGAAAGTTAGTGGGAGAGTTGACCAAACCTCGCCAAGTGATGAGAGGCACAACAACTGTAAAAGGTTCGAAGAAATTTGGCATGACAAGGACTCAACAACTGAGACAAAAATAAAATCAAACTTACTTCTCTTCTGGGCCTGCTGCTGCGCAGCAACATATGCCTCATGCGAGGCAGCAATGTGATTCCAGGTGAACGGTGTGGCAGCAAAAACATTGTCATCCTCATCTTCATTATCGTTGTCATCGCGGCTGCCAGCTTGACCATTGGCACTAATGGCTCGCTTGTCGTCGTGTTCAGAAATTACCTTGTCAAAGAGAGGATCGATCTCTTCCTTATTGTTGGGCTCTGTGGCACCCTGCTTAGAAGTCTCGGTGATGGTAGCAGGGGAGACAGAGTCAAGAGTGGTAGGGTGAATAGCCTCGTTCTTAGCAATGGGGAAGGACATGGCGCCGAACATGATAGAGGCCTTCTAGGGGTTAGCACATGTTCAATTGGATGAACGAGTTGACTTTTTTTCCCCTTTTTCTTTTCTTTTCTCAATAACAAAAACGGGATGAGAGTATCAGGAAAGTACATACAGGGATGGCGCTAAACTCGCCTCCAGCGAGAGGGGGTATCCGAAAGCCGGGAAAGTTAATCGAGCCATCGTTATTGACATTGTTTCCAGTGCCAGTAGCGGCAGCAGTGTTGTTGATGACAGTAGTCTTGTTGACGCCATTGCCAAAGGTAGCAGTGTTCTCGTAAATGTTGGCAGACATTATGACTGGGATGATTGAGATTGGTACAAAGTTCTTGATGAGAGTTGATTGTTTCTTAAAGGGGGATGAAGAAAAGCTGAATTTTTGTGTCCTTTTTTTTTCTTAAGAAAAGTCTTGAAGTCGGATGACTTTTTCGAAGTCAAAGTCTTTTGACTGAAGAGCTTGAGGAAGGAGAGAAAAAGTGGTAGTAACAGTGAGGCGAGGTATCAAAGTGAGTTCTTGGGAAGAACAAAACTTAAAAGTCGCGAATCTTTGCTTGGTTGGCACAAGAGCAACTCAAGAAGGCTGTTGTTGAAAGGTTAGAACAATCTTCTCACTCGACTAGTGAGTAGACGAAGGCAGGGAGGATGACGATGAAAGCCGCTATGATCACTGTGAGCGGTATAGTTATTCGTTAGGAGAAAGTGCTTATGAAAATTGACAGAGTTATGATAATCGCTCTAGTTGTTGATTGCGAGAATTGAGTACTTGTAAGCGTTGCCAATTTGGTTCTAGGAATTCGAGGGAAAGCAAAAGAATTGTGAAGATGGTTGAGAGAGAAAGACTGGGTGCAGAATTGGGTGAGTGAGTTAGTTAACTAGTCGGTTGATCTGTTTGATCAGTTGATGGCCTGGTGAGCGTTGAAGTTGCTGGATAGCTTGAATTGATTGAAAGTCAGTGAGTTCGTCGTCGAAGGCGAGGAAGTTCGCGAACGTGCTGTCGTAACTATTGAATTTCCATGAAGAAAAGGAAGAAAGGAAGAAAAAGCAAAAGGTCAGAAGGGAAGATTTGTGGGAGAGGGCGAGGGCTGCGGGGCTCGCAAGGTGGTCAAGGCACGCCTGCGAAGTGCAGCAGCAGCATGGGTTGTGAGGATTTGTTGGTGGTTGTTTGGGTTTGGCAAGAAGGTGGTCTATGCTTTAGGGTTTGTGGAAGCTTGAGCTGGAGAGGGACAGGAGGGATGGTGATGGTATACGTGGGTGTAGTGAAGGAGAGAGTGAGGGCTGCGAATGGGGAAGACATTCGCATTTCTCACGACATACAGTTGATTATGGCTTGGGAGATGTTTTATGCTTTGAGAAGATATTTGGGTAGGTGTTATGGGATTAAAGGCAATATAGTTGGGTATAGACCCTTGGTGGCGAGGTTGTCATATCCAGTGCGAAAGGGGGTGACCATCAACACCAATGAGGTTGTCATGACGGCCACGCGCAGGTTGGCAATTTTCACACTTAGGCATGCAAGTTGGTGAAAAAGTCTCAATGAAGTATATTAGTGCTAAATGGAATGTTTTCTGTCATTTCCTTGGAGATGTACAGGCTTAGATGGATGCATTAGGTAAAGGGGGAATAAAGGGTTGGTGAGAGTAAACATTGTGTTAGTGAGGGGACAGACACATCCGCAGGACACTTGGCTATAACAGAGCACACATTCACAGCACGGGTAAAAGATCTAGTAAACAAATAAATATGAGCTCATTTTGTATGCATCCTCTGGCTCCAAGTGATCTCTCATTGCGAACCGCATGTGTTTGATGGTCTTACTCTCCCTACAAACTATAGCAATCACTTCACCGCTCCCACGAGGACATTATGCAACTCAGACTTAAGCGAATCCCCCCCCCCCAAAAAAAACCGCATACTTTCTGATCAAGGAACAACATAGAAGACATACATGAACAGAATTCAAGCAGTCACAAATTGATACAAGGTTGTGTAGCTAATGCTTCAAAATGGCCTTCAACGCCGGGTTTTAGGTTAGATAACATGAACAATGGCAGCGGCCTAATTTCTGCATTCTCTGACATACTCTATCCCATGAGAAACAAACTACAAAGCACTAGTGTCAGTTCAAGGACGTGGATATCCAAGAGCAGCTACAACTTTATGTCATGCTCTGGTAGAATAAGTGGAAGATAAGAGCTTCTGTCAATATTGCAACATCACACTTCGCTCAAAGTACAACCGAAAGCGTGAACAACTCCACAGAACCATAGACTACAGCAAATTTGTAGTTGTATTTTTCCATAATATATAACCAGATCTACTGGAACATTTCTCAAAGAAAGACCGAGGAATCTAATTTTGGTTTCCTAAGAAGAAAGGGACAAGACATCATACAAACAAGTGAAAGCAGTCAATCTCCCTGTCTTTACCTTACACTTCCCAATCCATCAAACACCGATCTGTAGTGTATACCATATGGAAGTATCTTCAAATCAAACCCTCACCCAACACCTTCTTTTCTCCCTTCTCCTCGAAGGCTTATGAAACCTCCTCGACCATCTTCCCCGCAGGCAGTCCCTTCCCCGGGCCCGCCCCAAACACAACCCCCGCATGGGTCCCCAACAACTCCTCTGGCACCGCCACGACACTCCCCATCTTATTATTCACCCACCTAATCATCATGGGATCCGGCCGTTTAGGCTGCTTAGCCGCCTCCTCGGCTTCCTCAGCGGCAGCTGCCGCCTGCGCAGCACGCCTGGTCGTGCGCGGCGCCTGCTTCTTGAGCAGCTTGTTGACAGTCTCCATCTTAATTTCCTCGTTTCGCTTCTCGGACAGGTTGCGGCGGCGACGGGCCATTTCCGCGCGGCGCATGGACAGCTCTTCGGCGGTGAAGTGTTTTTTGGATTGGACTTCTGTGACATAGCTAGTATCATATTGTCGCAATAGGGAGAGAAGAATAAACAGGAAGAGAACGTACCATCGGAGAGCTTGAGGTATTCACCCGACGCCTCACCAAGCCTAGCCCTTTGTCTTGCGGTAAGACGCGACATATCGGGTGTCTGAGCTCGGGAGATCATCTCGTCGTCGTCATCCTCCTCTTCCTCGTCCTCATCCTCGTCCTGCTCAACATCTTCACCCTCGGCGTCTTCATCAGCGACTTCAATCTCTTCCTCCTCCTCCTCCTCTTCGCCTTCGGCATCAACCTCGCCCTCCGCATCATCATCCTCGCCCTCTGCGTCCTCGCCGCCCGCAACATTGACTTCCTCTTCGGGCTCGCTTTCCAATGAAGAGAGGGACTCATCGTCCGAATCGGGGGCAGGGCGTTTCACCGGAACGGCGTTGTCGTTAGCTTTAGAGGCAGTAGCAGCCTTCCCGTTCGAAGGACTCTCCTTCGGCGGCTTAGTAACCTTGATCGCCGGCGGGACAGCACGCACGGTCGTAGCCCTCGCGCCCACAACCCCAGCATCCATATTCACATCCCCATCGGCATCTTCCTCTCCCTCAGCATCAACATCCATCTCATCATCCTCCCCGTCGGCATCCTCCTCCCCCAAATCCTGCATCTCTTCGTCTTCATCCTCAACATCTTCCTCATCCTCATCATACCCCTCCCCCTCCCTAACCTCGATTTCATCCTCCTCCTCTTCCTCTTCTTCGTCCTCATCCCCCAGAACTTCAACTTCGTTCTCTTCCTCCTCCTCCTCACTACTCTCCAAAACCCGACTCCTCTTTCCCCCTCTCGCCCTCTTCACCGCAGCTTTACCTCCCCCACTGCTCGAACTACTACTCCCCACACTTCCCGCCTTTTTTATCCCAGAGCTAGAAGTCGCCTGCCGCAGCTTGCTCGAAGGTAGCTTAACCGTCAGGTGGATGTGTTCTGGGTCAGAAGCGCCACCGGCTTCTGACCGAGAAACGGAGGCGATGCCCTTACCGGGCAGGCGGGAGCGGGACGAGGAGTTGAATGAAGACATTCTGGAGGAGATAGGGCCGTGGCTGTGGTCGGACTCGCGGTCTCTGTCAGCTAGGTCAGTGATAGCTTGGCTTGCGCGCTGGGCGGCGTGGCGACGGGGGCGGGTTGACATCGTGGTTGTGCTATGGAGGTGTGTGTAGCTGGTGAGAGTGGATGTTGACAGAATGAGGTTAAGTGAGATTGGAGATGTGGTAAGAGGTCAGAGTTCGGAGTGACAAGTGCGTGAGAGGGGCAGGCCAAGCGGCAGAAGAATGGCGTTTGCTGTGTGCCCTCGGGCGGGGGATGCAGTCTCAACGGCACTTCTGGGCAGGATAGAGCCAATCCGTGCAGCCTGGCCGAGAGTCGCAACGCTTAAAGTAGCAGGGTGTCGATGGTAAGATGCAAGCGTCGCGCCAATGCAGATTGGCCAGGCTAAAGACGGGATGACTGCGATGACCCTCGATGGCCCTGGATGGCCACGGCGAGATAGGATTCTTGGGATTTTCGATGTATTTGGTGTTTGATGCTGATGGCGGCAATGTCGATGGCTTTGCAGAGAATGAATAGAGGCTGTCTGGCAGTTGTTTTCAAGGCACAGCCCAGTGCAGAGCCCAGAGCCCAACAAGACAAAACACGCAAGTTGTAAGTTACGAAGCACTCGGACGTCACTTGGACCCAATCTGCTTGAGTCTTCTTGGTCATGCCTTGTGCCTTGTGCCTTGTGCCTGGTGCTTTCTCTGTGCCTTGATTGAGGCTTGTGGTTTCACAGCAGAGCATGCAATCGCGACGCGCCCAGTCCACTCAATCTAGTCCGACTCCCCTCGCGTTGCCCTCGCTTGCTCCCCCAACACGGATGGTTCCATGCCGAAGCACGTTGCTGCCATTCTGCCTGCCTGCCGCTTGTCTTGTCGTTTGTAGCTTTGTCATTCTGTCACACAATCCCTCCGCATTTGCATCACATCCAAGCCCTTGGGACGGACGGATGAATGCAATGTGTCGCCACACTCACCAGCCACAGAAAATCACGGCAACATATTTCACGATGACATTGGTTGATGATGGTGATGGTAGTTGCACTCACATTAGAGATCTGACTCTAGTAGATGTTCCAGCAGCGATGCAGCGCTACAGTGATGTGGACTCCAGGTGCTAAGTGGTTCGTCCTGTGCAGTGCTGGCACGGCGATTGGTGAGGATGTCTGCTGTCGGCGCTGGTGTCCTACACGAGTCTGAGGCATGAGTGGTCAACCACGGATCCGGTGTTCGCTGAATTGCTATGTGAAGTGCCACTGTTTTGGAGATAGAACGTACTTCGAGACTTTGGTTTGGGGCTGAGCGTCAGTGTTTCCTTCAGAATAATCAATCTTTGTGCTGATCAAGCGATAAAGAATGATCCTGGTATATAAGAGCCGGACAGGAAATGATGAGAATACAATTGTAGAAGTCGTTGCAAGAATCCAGTTTCATCTCCAATCCAGGGACCGGCCCATCCCACGTCGCGACTGTGACCGCGCGGATCGATCCAGCTGAGCCAAGAATGCCAAGACCACTTGTGGGCCTTAAGCCTTGGCATCGTGGCAGTCTTGGGCTCCACTCCAGCCGCGCTGCCGCTGCTTGCTGCTCGGGTCAGCACTGGCGAGCCTCGGCTCAAGTCAAACTCCAAGCAAACCATCACTTTCACCTGCTTCAGCCTTCTTTTTTCAAGGGTTTCATAACAAAACACTCCAATTCTTCCCCGCTTCTTTCTAAACTGCAATTTCCGTGCATTTGGTCAATATAACCCGCGAACCTCTCAACCATGACCGACAAAGACGGCAAAGCCCAGCCTGACGCCCCTTTCGCGGCAACAACATCAACACCAGCCTCCGAGTCTCAGTCCCCATCGCCCGAGACAGAGCAACAGCAGCAGCAGCAGCAGCAGCAGCAGCAGCAGCAGGCTCAACAAGATGATGCGCCTAAGGAGGGAGCATTCCAATCTCGCGACGCTATCCTCGAGCAAGCGCGCAAGTTCTTGCAGGATGCCCAGGTCCAGAACACTCCGCACGAGCGGAAAGTCGAGTTCTTGAAGAGCAAGGGGCTGTCTGAGGGGGATGTTGATGCTCTGCTAAAGGAGTTTCGGTCCGCTTCACAAGAGCAGCAGGCTGGGAAGAGTCTGGTATGTTGATTTCATCTCACGTCGCGTTATGAAGCGTTCTGTTGCGTTGCCTGGCTCACGACTAACATTCATCAGGTCACTACCACCTCCAGCGCTCCCTCCACGACTGCTGCTACGCCTTCCAACTCTGCCTTGACCACCACGACAACAACGCAACAACCAACCCCCATCCTCCCCCCAACCCTCAAATCAGACCGCCCCCCGATCATCACCTACCCCGAATTCCTACTCAAACCCAACCGACCCCCGCCCCTCATGACCGTCAGCCGCTTCATCAACACGCTCTCCGCCTTCGCCGGCGTCTCGACCTTGGTCTACGGCGCAAGCCGCTTCCTCCTCAAACCAATGGTCGACCAGCTGACATCTGCGCGCCACGATCTCGCCGAAACAGCTAACTCCAACCTCGGAAAGTTCGTCGACAAACTAGAGGGTGCCGTGTCCGAGATCCCGGTATATACTTCGAAACCACGCAGGCCAGGTACGCCGGCTTCGGAACGGGCCCCGACCGAGGCGGAGGCAGGCGCGGACAAGAACGAGGATAGCGAAGCAACATCCTGCTTTCACCGCGACGTAGGCATCCAAACCTCCGCCTCCTTCTACCGCACTACGGGCATCGCCCCGACCCCGGCAACTCGCACTGTGAACCAGCAAGCTTCCTCCCTCCACAGTCTCATCACCCAGCTTCAGTCTCTGAATGAGGACCTGGCCGAGGACGGCGAGTTCATTGGGGACGTGGAAACAGTCATGCACGCGCTGAGGGATGATATGGATAAGTTGGCAGCAGAGTCGACTAGCTTGCCGCCGTATTACGGGGTCAGCGGGTACTTGTATGGAGGGGTGAACGGGGGACGGTCGGAGCCCGAGGACGAGATTAAGAAGGTGAAGGAGAGTATTCGGCGCGTGAAGGGGGTGCTGTTAAGCGCGAGGACGTTTCCTACTGCGGCGGGGGTGGGAGTTGGGCGATAGGCAATTACCTAGCTACCTACCTACCTGCCTACCCACCTGCCTGCCTGCTGTGTGGGGAAGTTTGTATGGGTGTTGTCATTTCTTTAATGAGTCGTGATATTGCTGGTTGACCATGCGAGGAGTCTAATGGGTTAGGACTGGAACAGTAATGATGTGACTATGTGCCCTAATGAATCATAGGTCTATATATGGATGCTGTAGTGTACACATTATAGGGAATATCAAAGAGATTAGAGCTTTCTCTTCTGTATTAACACATCCCCCGCGATCTACTCTCCTTCCTTTTATTCTGGCTCTTTAATGCAGCCAGGTAATGAGGCTCTTCCTTTTCAAGTAGCTTTGTGCTTGATTGCTGGATATCCCTCTAGCCATCCAGTTTCGGAATGTTTTTCTTCAACAAGTTGATGGCTGCGGTCGGTGAGTCTTCGACTTGAGTCTCATTCAATAACCCTAGAAAACTTCACATAGTTGGCGTGTTATCTCCTCACTGACCGTTGTCGACGACGGCATCCTTTAAATGAAACTCCGTCTTCGTTTACCAGTAATCAATCTGCCGGTTAAAGTGGTTTTTTCCCCCCCCCCTCGAGAGCATAATTAAAGGCATTCTGGGTTAGGTTGATATATATATTATTCTCCGATTGAGTGAACGAACTATGTGATGACAACTCATCTTCACACTCCACGTAACTATGCACATCATCTGAATCAGAGCAGCATTACTCCTAGTTCTCACAAGTCTCAACTTGATACAAGCAGCTGAGTTGAATGAATTATGTCTAGTATGACATACATAAGTCAATACCCGTTGGGGAGCATGCAAATCAGGACACAGCTCTCCTATAGTAAGTAACCTCATCGTTCTAACAGGAGACTGCTTTACGATCCCCTGCCCATGCCCAGCCAACCACTTCTTTTCTTCATCAGTTTTTTACCTGACTTCCGGTCTGATCCAGTTCCGTGGAACCAACTACCGTAAGCTACAGATGACGTGTAAGTGCCCTGACATCAAGCACCTCGGGTCTTCTCGGGTACCGTTTCCACCCTGATGCCACCACCGGAAGTTTGGGTTCTACCTAAATTTTCAGACATCCCAAAAAGCAAAGCCGATGCGGTCTTACTCCAGGCTGTCGGGAATAGCTCGGGTTGAGCTGGCCCGAGTCTGCCGGCACGGGTTGACGGGATGTACATTCCCGCTACTGTCATTTATGTTCTGCCGGAGGGCGCGGGATGACGACATCGTTGGCGATGAGGATCATGGGGTTTGCTCGGAACCAGGAAAAGTTTGGCATCCATCAATAAAGATACCTAGGTACCTTTTCATGTAGCCCAAGTGATGAGGTTCCCAGATGTGAGGAGACAAGCTTAACTAGGTATTTAAAGCTAGGTCCAGCAGTGTTGCTCCTCATTTGCCAACCTTTCCGTCTCCATCGTTGCCGAACATCCTTACCCGTTTGCTAACCGAGCAGATCACACAATGTAGTGTGCGTACTGATCAGAGATGGTACGGTAGCTACCATCCCCATCTCCAGCGAAACTCCAACCCGTCTGCCGTGTCAACTTCCAGCAAGGACGTAGGTCATCTTGCCCGCATACCACTCTTGATCCTTAAGCCCCTCTCTTCACTTGCATAGGATCTGGCGTGATCCCTTCATCCCCTCCTCTCAGAATCCTCCATCTTCTTCTTGGATCTCAAGCCAATCCTCCTTTCCTTTCCCTCCACCCACACGGCCCGAGTTGGTCCCCTCAGTAAATCGGGCAAACCGTGCCCAGCCAAGTCTGTCGACTGCAGTCTGTTCCCCAGCCCAGCCAAGAAGCAGGATTCCAAGCTCTCTGATTGGGCCAGCCTGCAGATGCAGATTCATGTGGAGGTTCCGCAGCAGATGCATGTATGTACTACTTAAATAGCGGGGCACCGAACTGTAATCACAAAAGCATCACAAATGCGGATGGAGAGGCAGGGTGGGGGGGGGGAGGGGGGGAGCAATATCAGCAAGTCCTACGACTGGATTTGCATTATGGTGTGGTGGTGGTTAATCCCCTGTGAGATAAAGGAATATGTAGAGGGAGGAAGAGGAGTCATCCGGTTCTGTTCGCTTGACGTGATATCGATTTGCCTGCTTGCTGGGTCCCGATACCATTATGGGGTGATGCATATGGAGCACATGTTCGACCAAGCAGGTAGTGGATGGAGACATCCATATGGTTGGATGGGGGAACTCCTCCGCTGCACGGGTCTGTAGGGATTCAGTGATGTCGTCGTATCCAACGTCCTCATAAGCACTTTTAAAACTAACACAGTATAGACAATCTTGAGCCCGTGTAGATGAAAGGGCTAACGCTGCTGCAAGACTCACATTGACCTTACCTAATGGCAGCTCAGTCTCATGAAGTTGATGGCTTAGGTTCGGTTCATCGGAGACCCTTTTGAGATCTCCCCTTTGAGGCCGTTACACACCGCTGATTCCATAATTGGGCACTGTACCCCACATAGAGCGGGAGGTATCGGGGGTTCTGCAAAGCCTGGAAATCGCCCAATCGAAGGGTTGGCCGATGAGCGGGCTGGCGGCTGGAGGCTGGGCACTTGAGGTTTTGGGTTGCCCGCTTGCCGTGCCAGCTCGGTCTGCATGCCGACAGGCAGTGTGGATCCCATCGTGCAGAATTGCAGCGATGCAGCGGTGCAGGAGATGCCGATTGACGCTTGAACCTCCCTTGTGCTGTGGAGGTTGATCGAGTGACCGCCTGGTCTGGCAAGCGGCGTAACCGTCAGCAGGGAGAACGAGGATAGGTGGCAATGGGAGTGAACATCTCCGTGGCTCAACATCAAAGCCAATCCTGCTTGTGCACATTACACTATACAGAACACGGCAGGAACATTGGGATCGCGTCACACAGTTCCATAGCGGCACTCGTCATCAGTACAACTGCAGCGCTCACGAAGTGATTGGGAATACGTGAAGAGACGGGGATCGATTGGCGACAGCGTGGTTGACGATGGAGATGCCTTCAAGTGCAGTTACACTTGAAGTTGCTGGGTTACTGGGAATGTTGGGCTGGCGAAAGCTCGATCCCGGTCACACGATCTCAGTAAAAGGCTCTGCGGCCCCACTTGGCGCCACTGTCCCATCGCACCCCAACCCACAGTCTCCACCACCAGCAGTGGGCACACTGCGGATGTTGGAATTTTTTTTCCCTTTTTTTTTTTTTTTGCGATCCAATTGTGTTTTTTCTATGTGACAGCAAGTGTCGTGCCGTGTGCGCAATCTTCCGGTTCTCCAATCTCATCGTGGGATAGCATCCATTCCCATCGGACGGAGCCGTATTGTACTTACTGCCCGTCCCTGGATGGATGCAACTTAGCTCAGGTGAGTGCCTGTGGTCAGAGTTGCGCAACAGCTACATCAGCGACGGAGAAACACGGGGGGGGGGGCGCCAGAAGACACTCTAGCAGAACAGGGCTGCATTGACGGAAGCGGGCGGCGCCAGGCGAGCCAACGGCTGATTGACTTAGACTGATGAGCGTGGCGCTGGACCCTGGAAGGGACTCTCAGAGTCTCGAACACAAGGCAAGAATGGCCGGCGAGCACAAGCACACCCACATCCTTGACAGGCCCAGCAGCACACCGGCCTCGTCCCAAGATGGGCACGAGCGGCTGGCGACTGCCGCCGAAGCTGGAGACGCTGTGGCCAGGCATGACGTGAAGTACGAGCAACCGCAGCAGCTGTCTGGTGCGCCTGCCAGAGCTGGCAGCATGTCGTCAGAGCAGGCAGGACTGGCAGGAGAGGAAAGAGCACTAGGAGCGGCAGGAGCCCAGCACCAACCTTCCCAATCCGTGGCCTTGCACGCTGTTGAACGAGCCACAAGGCGGGCAGGGCAAGCGCTGCCCTTGGCTAATGAATCCACAGCCGGTGAGTTTACCTAAGGTTTACTTCATCTTCTCTTTCTTTGTTTCTCCTTTATTTCACTTCACTTGCTTCTGGTTTGTTTTGCCTTCAATACCAGTTATACCACTGGATCCTCCAGGCTACTGTGTCACCTACACAATAGTGGGTTCTTGGCCCCGAACTCACACCCCTCCTTCTGAGTGCCACGCTTAAAGCATCCATCCATCGTTCCAATCCCTTCATCGCTTCGCTCTCGCCTGCAGCCTGCGCCTGCTCCTGCTAGCGTAGAGTACTGCTGTGAGGCTGCAGAGGTTGCAGACGTTCTGGTTCACTGGATCATTGGATTCACTGGTGGTCGCCCAGTCAAAGCACCCAACGTCGCTGACGCTTGCTCCCCCCTAACCCAGGCCTAGACGAGCCAGGCCTGCTTGGCAAGGACATCATACCACTTTCAGCCTGGGTCACCCCGCACCAAGACCATCAGGAGGACACCGGGTGCGGCCAGGAGACCCTACCCCAGCACCAGGGCATCCAGGACAGCCGCCTGCAGCCCATACTAGGCCCTCCGCTCGATATAAAGCCGCCGTGCGCAGCAGCTACTCTGGCCGCTGCCGCTGCCGGTGGCGATAAGCATTCTGCGTCGTCCACCGTCGCATCTTCATCGAATATTAATACGCACCAAGCCATGATCTTTTCCGACCTCTACAAGTCGCCGAGGTCGCCCCTCAGCAAGCTGCGCCATTCCTTCCACGAGCCGTCCCCGGTCCCCGCAGACATCGACCCCGACCTGCTGAGTCGGGATAAGACGCGCCAGAAGGAGGCCGTCAAGCGCTACCTGGCCGACAAGATTCGCAATGACTGGGAGTTTGTGTGGCCGCCGGTCACGGCCGCTTCAACATCTATCACGGATGGTCTCGTGGTAGAGGAGGCTCCAGCTGCAGACTCGGACGCCAAGGATCCCGGTGAGGAAGCCGATTCCGAGTCCGATGCCGAATCGGTCTACAGCACCATGTCGGAAGATCCCGAGCACTGGCGCCCCCGGGCCGAGTGGACCTCGGATCTATCCGACGACGAGGGCATATCCCCCACCTCCGTGTCGCCCACCCGACGCGATGCTGATGCCGTTGCCGTGCGCGAGACCATTGAGGAGAAGCGCGCCCGCAGGCGACGCGCCGTCCGCGAGGAGATGAAGTGGAACCCTGGTCTGGCCTGCTTCGAGGCCCGTCGCGCCGCCTGGACTGGCGCGAAGACGGTGCGCCTCAAGCCGAAACCGCCAATCCCGGCTTCGTCTACTTCTACACGCCGCCTCTCGTGGTGGCGACACAGTCGGTCGCTGTCGTCAGCCTCTCAGAGCGGGTCGCCGCCCGGTCTGACGTCCCCTCTGCAGCCCACGAGCACGCACAGCTCGCAACAGACGGACGGTGCCGTCTCGTCCGAGGCCGAGTCGGCCAAAAGCGAAACCGCCGCCCCTCCCGTGCGCTACCCCGTCGAGACCATGCTCCCCATCCCACCCCCGCTACTCCCCCCGCAGAACCCCATGCGCGCATCGATCCAGCCGTCTATGTACATCTCTCTCTATGATAAGGTCGTCCTGCAGAACCTGCAGCCCTCATGTCCAGTTAACCTGTCCGACATGATCCGCGCGTGCGTCGTCGGCTGGAAGCGCGACGGCGAGTGGCCTCCTAAGTCGAGCTATCCGCCGACTACTCTAGCCGCCCAGGCGACTACTGCTGAACTTCTAGCGCTGCGCCAACGTAAGGCGGAGGAACAGCGCAGGAAGGAACAGGAGAAGAAGGCCCAAGCTGCTGCGCGCAAAAATTCCGTCGGCGCTGCGTCGACTGGCGGACACACGAGGCGATTGAGCCTCGTCGGGATCTTTGGCGGTGGGCATAAAGATAAGAACGAAGGGGGGTCGGCTGAGATCAAAGAGAACAAGGAGGCGAAGGAGGGTAACAGTAACAACAACGGACAGACCCGCGGCCGGACATCATCGCACTCGGATGAGGCGGGCTCCAGCAAGACGCTCTTCCGGCGTAGTCTGCAGAAGATGCTCTCGTTGGGGCAGCACGTCCATCACGCCGAGTCGACCGGCGCCAATGGGTCGGGTGCTCCGCTGTCACCTACGTCGCCTTCAACCAAGGAAGTTGCTGCTGCTGGTTAGTGGCCACTGCGCAGGAAGTGGTTTAAAAGGAAGCGGGGGGTTTAAATATGTTCTTCGGTCGGAGCTCTCTCTTTTTTTTTTTCCCTTTTCCCCCCCCTTTTTTTTTTTTTTACTCGGTTAGGTTTTGGGTTTCGGTGGTCAATTTCTTTCCTGGATGTCTTTTTCTCATGATTGATATCGACGGATGACGGATTGATTGGTGTAAAGGGACGGACGGGATGGCTTCCATGCCGCGTGATACCCTGGTCTTTGTTTTTACATGCTCTCTGTCGTCGATTGTACTTACGCACACACTATGTGTTGGCTTTTTTTTTCTTGTAATGGGATCCATACATGGAGGGATGGGTAGGCATGATGGATTGTTCTTCGAGTCTTTTGAGTTATCGAGCAATCAGTTCATGAATTCATAAAAGGTTGTTATCATCATCATCATCATCATCATCATCATCATCAAGGCAGCGTTCTACTTGACTTGAGGTCTTGGGAACGGAGCAGTAATATATCGATGTGATTTTTGGCATGTGATTTATTTGTCATGGCCGAGGCCTTGGAAATTGTGAAGATATTTTGCCGATATATCAGCTCGGGATCAGGTATTTTGTCCCTGGGGTTGGTCACCAAGATCAAATGTGCATTTGTATATCTTGCTGGGAAACGCAGGAGGCTTGACTTCCATATCTAGATGCCTGATACTAAGAGGAGAGATGGATGCTACCATTGACTTCGATATCTCTCATGTCCAGAACTCAACAGGCAATCCCTATCTGTGGAAGCTCTGTTATGCTGAATGGACCAAGAACCTGCCGGTGACAAATCTCAATTGACGAATGAACAATGTGACGTACTCGACGCGACCGGCCAACTCTCAAACGCAAGAATAATTCCAAAATCCACACCGCACAACTCCTCGGGATATTCCTCATCCCATGCAAACCTCTTAAGTAAAATAGGTAACTGTGATCATCTATGCCTTCCTCGGTGACCGTTTTCCTGTTCTCCCCAACGTCTTGACTGCTGCCCGCGTATTTCTTATCCGAACGCAAATCCAATGACCGAAGAAACGCACTCTCTTTATCCGTATCTTGGAACAACCAACCACCCAACCAACCAACCGACCCACCGACCGCCTCTTCCGTGTACCTTTTTTTTTTTTGGCAGTCTACACTCATACCACGTGTATATATCCCATCCCATCCCATACTACCTGAATTAAAACAACCCTCTAGTATTAAGCTTGACAGAACTTGACAAGGCATTTGAGCAGGGTGTTCACCAACTGATTCCATCACAGAATAGTAGCATTGGCGGGGAAGAGACGGGCTCACATCCCAGTAATCCGCATAAACCCGTACCCAACTGTAACCACCACGACCAACGTAATCAAACTACTCGGTACACCGACCCGAATGAAGTGCTTCACCTCCAGGTACCTCTGGCCGGCGGGGTCTTCTTTCATGATAGCCGCTACCATTCCACTCCGTCAGCATTCCCATCCACACCAGTCAAGGTAAACGAAGAAGAAGAAAAAGGAAGGACAGGGAAGCACTCACTCATATTAGGAAACCCACTCGTCGGCAGCGCCATAGCTGCACTACACATTAACACGCCCGCCATAACCAATAAGTTCGGATGCGGCTCGTCCAGGCCCTTGCCCACATCATACACCAGCGGCAAAATTATCAGCGCCGCGACTGTATGACTTATAAACGTCGCGATACCCAAAATCAAGCTCGAGAACACCACCAACACGGCATACAAACTCATGCCCTGTACCTTTTGCGTAATCGCCTCCGTGAGGGTATGCAACAATCCCGAAGAGTTCACCGCCTTGCCCAGGGAAAGGCCTCCGGCAGCGAGGATGATGATCGTCCAGGGGAAGTTATTAAAGTCCTCTTTAGTAAGCACGCCGATGCCGAAGAAGAGGATGATGGGCAACAGGGCGATGACGCCCATGTCGCCAAAGACATCTTCCAGCGCGTGCGAGGCACACCACAGGGCGATGGTAGCCAACGTCACAAGCGACACGAACCACTGCAACCCGGTGAACGGATCGCGCACGGGACGAATCGGCACAATTGTTGTCCCGCCGCGGGCGGGACGGAAGGTGATGAGTAGCAAAAGCCAGATGAGCGTGATAGAGAGTATCCCGACGGGCAGGACGATGAAGAACCATTGGCCCCAGGTCGGAGGTGGTTCCATGATGCCGAGGGCGACGACATTTTGAGGCGAGGCGATGGGGCTGAGCATGCCGCCGATGTTGGAGGCGAGGGCGATGCCGATGATGACGGCCTTGGACATGGGGGAGCCGGCGGGCAGGTTGCGCAGCATGGGCTCGATGATGCCGAAGCAGAGGACGGGGGCCGCGACGTTAGAGATGAGCATGGAGGCGACGGCGGCGACGGCCATGTTGGCGATGAGCACGGTCTTGGGCTTTGTGCCGGCTTTAGAGAGGACGAAGGTCGCGATGCGCTTGTCGATGCTACACTTGGAGAGTGCAGCGGCCAAAGTAAACCCGCCGAGGAGGAGCATGATCACCGGCGTCCACATCGCCGCAAACACGGCGGCGGTCGCGTCCTTGGAGCCCAGGCGGGCATGCTCTGGGCCGGGGGAGCGGAAGACGCGCAGGATGACGCAGAGGAAGGGGATGATGAGGGAGGTGACGAACAGGGGTAAGGCCTCGGTCGCCCAGAGGAGGGAGACGAAGACCAACATGGCCAGGCAGTTCTGTTGCTCGGGTTGCGACAAGATGGGGAGGGAGAGGAGGGCGAAGAAGATGATGAGGATGATGAGCAGACTGAGGGTTGTGGAGGTGACGAGCCAGGTCGGGCAGACGAGCCGGCCCAGGGGCGTCGTGATCTCCTTCGTTGGCGAGACGTACTCCTCATCCCCCAAAAGCAGAGGGCGCTGGTCCGTCTCGCGAGCGAGGAGTTGGTGACCCAGCGTTGCCGCTTCGGCACGTCGCTCCATGCCGATGAGTTCCCTCCAGACGGTGTTGCGCTCCCAGACGACGTGCTCCCTCAGGTGAGAGCGCAGGTCGCGGAGGGCGGTTTCTGCGTCTCCGTGAGTGACGATGGCCGTGTACGCATCGACGATCTGTGCGATGCGATGCTCCAACCCCTTCATGGTCTCGGGCAGGAAGGGATACGCCGTGTCCACAAAACTATCCATATACCTCGGCCGCATGTTCCGATCAATGATCTTGTCAAACTTCTTGAGCACCTTGCTGAATCCCGTGCGATTCAGCTGGATGTATGACTTGAGCTCACACAGCTGCACATAGAGGTTGACCATGCGCTTCTTGAGCATGATGCCCGCCGAAAACAGCACGGCCTGCTCGGCATAGTCGTCATAGGTACCGCTGTAGCGGCGCGAGAAGTCTGTGGTAATAGAGGCTGTCAGGTCTGTGGATGTCACCAGGGAACTGGCCCGCCGCGCCCGGTAATGGCTGGTAGCAGAGTGTGGATGCCTACCGCGACTGACTCGCCGCAGCCTGCTTGTCAGGCCCGTCGTCTCCTCGCCGCCTTCGTCGTCGCTGTCGTCGACGGCATGCTCGGTCGTCGAGTCGCGGCTGCGCAGGCTCTGGCTGCGCATGTGAGGGCGGCCCCGGGAAGAGGCCGTCGTGCCGCGGGTCGACGGACGCTGGGTGTCCTCGACCGCGTCTTCCTCGTACTTCTCGACATCGCGGAGGAGGACTTCGACCTCGTCGAAGAGCTCTTTCTCCTTGAGTGCGTAGAAGGAGCTTATCTTTTCGAGCTCGACGTCCAGGGCGCGGGCGAAGACGGCCTCGGGGTCTTCATTTTGGAGAAGGGGGCGCGACTCGGCGTCGCCGGGAGGAAGATGGATGGCCTTTTCGAGGGAGTAGATTCTACCAGGGGTTAGGTGACACTGTAGGGGGGACTGTAGCACAGGCAGGAAGATATTGGGGGACTCACAGCTTCTTGAGGTTGCTGTAGGCAATGTAGTGGCTGCTCCAGTCCGGGACGGCGTTGAACTGGAGGGAGTGCGAGAAGCGCATCTCGTCCTGCTCCTCGAGCCAGCGGCGCTTCTGGGCTTTCTTTTCTTCGTACTTGCGCTGGCGTTCGTCAATCGCCGCGCGGTCTGGTCTCGTGAACTCTGTGAGCTCGATAGCGTTGTCTCTCAACTGCGTCCCTCCTCTCTCAGTGTCTTGAAAGAGCTGGCCTCTGCTAGTCGATGCCGACGCTCGATGGCCAGAGGAGGGGCTCGGGAAATTCGCTGGGGGCGTTATTTTCGTAAGGGGTGCCGAAACGGCAGGACATTGAGGGGAAGATCAGTCTGGATTTCAATACATTGGATCAGTGCTGTCACGGGTACTGCCGCTGCGTTGTCCGTTGTCCGTTCGTTGTCAGTCAGGTGGGTGTCATTTTCCCCGGACTCTCTGATGGCTTTTGTGTCCAATGCATCGAGCACGAGCTTGCAGGGATGTGAAATGTCCACTCGGAGCTCCAGCTCAGCGGCTTGGCACCACTGGCTTTAGCGGGATGTAGGGCCACAGACCCACTCTGAGCCACTACCCAGCCCACTAATTATCACTGGGGCTTCGCAGTCGAAACCGCCTCGTTTAGAAGGCGTAGGGTCGTTGTGCAGTTTACACAGAAATTGGGTCTTTGTTGAGGCGTCAAGCTACTCGTACTTCCTTGCCCTTCGCCGTGGTGCTACGGACTATGACTATCAGATGAGAGATTGTAGAATTTTACGACGAAAAATATTACCTGTCTTCACATCGTCTCTGTCCCAGAGCGAGGAACCCCACAGTAGATGTGGTTGGTGCTGCAGCCGGGATAGAGCAAACAGGATATGTCATGGCGTGCTTCGGCGCTATCGTGATGCAAGCGGCGGCGGGGCCCATTGGAAGCTGATCGCGAATTGGGCAGGGAATAACGGGAAGAGAACATCTGGGAAAGGCAGCATGTCACGAGAAAATGCGAAAGCGAGGTCGTCAGAGGCGAACATCCAATAGACGGCACGGTGTGTAATGTCTCGGTCTGTCGGTGACGGCGATGGTGATGAGTTGACGAGGGCTGCAAGTGGGAACCTTGACGGCCACGGACCCGACGCCAAGCTGACCTCGAGATGTTGGCCGACAGAACCCTCATGCTGTTCCAAATCAAGAGATACTCAGGTCAACCTTGATCGAAGTAAACTTCAACTTAGGTCATTCTCACTCAGATGCTATACCAATGCCTTGTTCAACTGAAGCTTCAGCTTCGACCATGTGAACCGCAAGCCTAAGACAACCCTAACCCTGATACGACCCATCCAACCCGCCAAACATCAATGCTCTCTCCCGCCGAGGAACAGTTCAACCACAGCCAGCCAAGCTAACTAACTATTCTGAACTGGTATCAACGACGCAGCCACGGCGCAGTCCTGACACTGGGCTCATACCGCAGCGCCGTATAATCCCCTAATGTTTCAATAACCGGAGACTCACCGCGACCAGCTTACCAGGGCTGGCGAAGACGTCGCCATGCTCTCCGCATTCACAGCCCGACCCATCATCGAGCTCAAGCCGCGGGACAAGTCGCGGATCGAGTGCATCCTCGCTTATGGTGCCTACCCTCACAAAGATTCATTTAGTGTTGACTGAAACTAACTGAGGTGTTCAGGCGACCGCGTCCTAGTCGGCCTCAACACCGGCTCTCTCCGCGTCTACCGCGTCAACGACCTCTCCCCGTCCCCCTCTCCGGCCAACCCATCTGACTCGCAATCCCCCGAAGCAAGCCAGTCCTCTGTCAACCCCGACCCCTCCTCCTCTACTCAAGACCCCTCCTCCCAACCCGACTCTCAGCCAGTAGTCCCCCAACAGAAACCAACCGACCTCCTCCGCGAGATCGAGCGCTTCTCCCCCCGCGCAATCGAACAACTCGCCATCATCAAAGAAGCCAACACCCTCGTCTCACTCTCCAACTATTGTGTGTCTCTCCACGACCTACACACCTTCGAGCCCATCGCTTCTCCCCTTCCGAGGACCAAAAATGCCTCCGGCTTCGCAGTTACGAGTAACATCGTCAAGGATCCGGCGACGGGTATCCCCGAGATTATTTCAAGATTGGCGGTCAGCGTCAAGAGGAGGTTGTTGCTCTGGTCGTGGCATGAGAGTGAGCTGGAGGAGGAGGTGAAGGAGGTGGTGTTGACTGAGTCGATACGAAGCATGACGTGGGCATGTGCAACGAGGCTGGTGTGTGGGATGAATAGCGGCTTTGTGGTTGTTGATGTTGAGACGGGCACCGTCGAGGATATCCTCGGCCCCCCTGGGGGGGCCGCCGGAGGGAACCAAGGCCGCTGGGGGGCTGTGAGTGCAGGCGGGATGGGGTACATGGGACTAGGGGGCTACATGCCCAAGCCGTTGTGCACGAAGCTGGCGGATGGGCAGTTGCTGTTGGCGAAGGACGTGAACACGCTGTTTATTGATGATACCGGAAAAGCGTTGGAGAAGCGGCAGATACCTTGGCAGGCGGCGCCGGATGGGATTGGGTATAGTTATCCGTATATTCTGGCGCTACAGCCGCCGGCGAAGGGGTGTCTGGAAGTAAGGAATCCGGATACGTTGAGCTTGCTGCAGACGTTGAGTTTGCCGGGGGCAGCGGCGCTGCATTTCCCGCCGCCGACGGTGAGTCTTGCGCACGCGGGGAAGGGGTTTCATGTGCTGAGCGATCGGGTCGTGTGGAAGATGGATGCGACGGATTATGATTCGCAAGTGGAGGAGCTGGTGAGGGGCGGGAAGCTGGATGAGGCTATCTCCGTGCTGACGATGCTGGAGGATGCGTTGCTGAAGAACAAGACGGAGACGCTGAGGGAGGTCAAGATGCAGAAGGCGGAGGTGCTGTTTCGGCAGAAGAAGTATCGCGAGTCGATGGACCTGTTTAATGAGGATGAGGTGAACGCGCCGCCGGAGAGGGTGCTCAGATTGTTTCCGAAGAGTATTGCGGGGGAGCTGTCGGGAGTCGAGGAGGAGAAGCAGGGTCAGAGTCAACAGTCTGATTCGGAGCAGGAGGGCAGCTCTAATGGGACTGCCACTGCCGATCAACAGCAACAAGAGCGCCCGAAGACTCCCGACGTCGCTGAAGTCTCTTCTACTCCCAAAACAGGCGGTTTCGCGCGCTACCTGATGCGCACACGCACCCTCAACCCCGAGACCGCCTCCATCGCCTCCTCGAAGAAAGGCTCCGACGACGACGCGACCAGCATCAAGGGCAAACCCATAGACGAGCAAGCCCAATCCGAAAAAGACCTCATGTCCGCCGTCCTCGAACTAAACAGCTACCTCGCCGGCGCGCGCGCCCGCCTCCAACGCGTGCTGGACCCCGTCACAGGCAAGCTCAAGCCGCGTGGCACCAACACCCAGACAGACGAGGCCTTCAAGGCTCTCTTGCTCTCGAACCCCCACTTACAGGGAGCCGACGACGCGCAGCTCGAGGCTCACTTACAGCACACCTTCCGCGTCATCGACACCAGCCTCTTCCGCGCCTACATGTTCTCCCGCCCGACCCTCGCCAGCTCCCTCTTCCGGATCCCCAACTTCTGCGACCCGGCGGTCGTGAATGAACGATTGATAGAACAGAACCGGTTCCACGAGCTGGTAGATTTCTTCTACGGCAAGAAGCTCCATCGCGAGGCGTTGAATCTGCTGAAACGCTTCGGCGCGTGTGAGGAGCCAGATCCCTTATGTCCTACTCTACACGGACCGCAGAGGACGGTGCTGTACCTCCAGGGCCTGCCGGCGAGCATGGTGGATGTGATATTAGAGTTTAGCGAATGGACACTACGCAAAGATCCGGACCTCGGGATGGAGGTGTTTTTGGCTGACTCAGAAAATGCGGAAACCTTGCCGAGGGAGAGGGTGATGCGGTTTTTGGGGGGGATTGATATTGGGCTGGAGGTTAGGTATCTTGAGCATGTAATTGGGGAGCTGGGGGATGCGAACCCGGAGTTTCATAATCGGTTAGTGGAGTTGTTCATCAAGCAGCTGAGCACGATGGAAAAGGGGGAAAAGTGGGAGGGGACGATGGAGAGGTTGGTGAGGTTTTTGAGGGAGAGTAAGCAGTATAGTTTGGGGAGGGCGAGGGGGCTGATTCCGAAGGATGGTGAGTGCCCTGACAGGAAAAGATGCGGGGAGAGGTTGATTTGATATTGACGTTGATACTGACGAGAGCAGATCCCGCCTTTTACGAAGCCCAGGCCGTTGTGCTCAGCAACATGGGACAGCACCGACAGGCGCTGATGATCTACGTTTTCAAGATGAAGAACTATGGCAAGGCAGAGGAGTACGCCCTCTTTCCCCCCCCCCCTCTCCTCCCTCCCTCCTACTTTTTTTTTCATTCCCATCTCTATTTATATACTAACTATAACCCCCCCTTTTTTTTTTCTCTTTAGATACTGCAACCGCATCCACAAAACCCTCGAATCCCCTCCTCAACCCAGCGGCATGCCCATTTCCAATCACTCCATCTCCTCCCCCTCCCCATCAGCGCCCTCCTCTCCCCCTGCTTCAACCCTCAACCAACCCATTTCCCCCTCCTCCGAAAACCGAAGAAGAGAAACCCACAATCTACCACACCCTCCTCTCCCTCTACCTTTCCCCTCCAGGCCCCGATCACTCCCCCCTTTTGTCTCCAGCCCTGTCCCTCCTCTCCAAACATGGCTCCCGCCTGCCCGCAACCCCCTCCCTCTTCTCTCTCATCCCAGACACACTACCTGTGTCTGAGCTAGCCGGGTACTTCCGCGGCAGGATGCGTGCGGCAAATTCGGCGGTAAATGAGGCAAGGGTGGTGGCTGGGCTCAGGAGGGCAGGGTTGTTTAGCGTGCAGGCAGCGGTGCAGCTTGATGGAAAGACGAAGAAGGTTGTTGTCGGGGAGGAGAGGGTTTGTGGGGGGTGTCACAAGCGGTTGGGGGGAAGTGTTGTGGCGGTTGTGCCGGAGGGGGCGGGGGGCGGGGTGGTGCATTATGGGTGTTTGGGGAAGGTATCGAAAGGGGTAACGTCGGGGGTTTCGAGTTCAGTTGGGTCCGTTGGGACGTGGAGATGAGGTATTGAGTCTGGTTGAGTTGAATGAATGGTTTGTATAGGTTTATCGAGGTCCTGCCCTTTTTTTTTTTTTTTTTGACGGATTGTTTTCCTCTCACGTCAAATGTCGAGTCATCGAATGGTCCATACAACACTTTCTGTAGTCGGTACGGTAGCAGGCCCCATGAACGTAAATGCCAACTCTTTCTCCATTATCTGAAATTTCTCTCCCAATCCTTAATCCTCCTCCTCCTGCATCTCCTCGCCATAATTCTCTTCCTCTTTCGCATCATCAACCCCCTTCTTCCCCTTGTTTTCCCCCTCCTGGGCAGTCTTCGCGTTATCCTCCTCCATACGGGCCGTCAGCTCGCGGTTGACGCGGTCTTGTACGCTCAGCACGGCCTGGTGCAGCTCGCGGAGGTAAGCTGTCTTGTTCGCGACTGTTGTGCTGTCTGCGGGGGAGGTGATGGTTTGCAACGCCGTGAAGGAGGCGTTTGTCGAGGAGATGTAGGTTGCGGTCAGGGCTGGTTGGTCCATTTTGGTTTTAAGTGGTCTCTGAGTCGAAATAAATAATTAAGGGAGTAAAATAATTTTTCGTGGGAATTCTGAGAACGGTATGGAAGATCTGCTGCGATGTTTGAACTAGTGATGTGTTTCCGATGTTGAGCTCGAGGCTGGACATGCCCCGCAAAACTTCACGCTGCCCCAGGTCAAGATTGCGGGGCTAGCGATGTCTTGGCAGCCCCTCACCCCCTGTCAGCACCCGCCAAACCCCCCCCAAGCTCCTCCACTGTTCATCCACTATGGCAGCCATTTGAAGACGGCATGGCGCCGATGCAACCTCACTTCAGCCAAGGGCCAAGCAACAAACAGCTGGGCGAGGTAGACACATTCTGCGACGACACACATTCTTCCGTTTCTTCCAGCCGCACAAACGCAACAGTGATCGACGGCTGCAGAGCTCCTGTTCTGCTCCTGTTGCATCCATCTGACGCCATCGTTACGAAGAGAGACGAAAGACGAAAAGCCATTTGGATCCGTGACCGTTGTCGATCCCATACACTTGGTGTATTGTTAGCGAAACAATCGATATTCTTACCGCATAACTGACGACATTTGAACACAAGAGCCTTGGGCAGGACGACCGCAGCAGCCAGCATCTCGTCGGGCTGACGTGCGGGTCGTCTCTCTCTGACGGCTTCTCGGGCTATTCGCGACGATTTCTCCATGTCCTCGTCGTCCCTGTGAACCGGAAGATGTGACGTCGACGTCGCCCTCCTAAAGCTCTACGCCGTCACCGCTTTCTCCTTGTGATCCTACCCGCCTACAATCCTCCGCACAAGCACCCAACAATGCAGTCCTCCAGGCCAGCGCAACCTAGGGCTCCCGGGAGCTTCTCACCCTTCCCAGCGTCCACAACAACCTCGTCGCCTACTCCGTCCTCGACCACAGACCCCACCGTTGACGCCCGCCAGACCCGCCAGGGCTCTCTCTCCAGCGACATCACCGACCCCTCGACACCGCCCGCGCCGTTGAACGTTTCCAAGACGCGCGCCTCGCCGACGCCAATATATATCCCTTCGAGTAGCACGGGGAGCGGCAGTCCTAGTTTGCAGCCGCAAACAGCACAAACACAGCAAACCCAAGGGAGCTATCCCCGCCCAACGCTCTCTACCACAGCAGTGACCGCCGCGCGATCTGTGTCTGGCGCTGTTTCGCCGAGCAACATGACGCTGGGTGAGTCGCTTTCTCGGTCTGCGACCAGCACTGTGCCGCCGGCAGGTCCGTCGCCTATTACCCCGACGTTTTCTTCGACAAGAGGTACGACGACGTCGGGCAACCACGCGCGCAAACACTCTGCCGGCCTCTTCGAGCCGACATTACCCTCAACAAGCACATCCAACCTGTCACAGGTCTCTGCGGGAGGAGGACTGTCGCCGCGCAGGGATATTTCCCTTTCCGCAAGCCAGATCGCTGCCCAAACGGCCGTGATGCAACACCAGAGTCAGCAGCAACAGCAGCATGCACAGCATACGAGACGGAGGTCGTTGGAGACGGATACCAGGCCGCCGGCGTTAATGACACCCATCTCGGCGAAGAGAGGAAGCGCGGGCTCGCTGAACCCGCCGTTGCTGAATATCACTGAGGCGAGTGTCTCGTCGGATAGTCCGCTTGGTACTACGAATGCGACAGCAGGGGGGTATCATAACGGGTTGCCGGGGAATCACACGCTGGCAGCGACCACGGCAGCGAATATGGTGTTTACAAGGTCACAACAAAGTTCATCAACGTCGGCGAGTCAGCCTTCGTCAGCGGCCCCGCCTCCTCCACCTCCCCCGCCGCCACCTGCTCCGCAGATCAGCGAGAAGCCTGCCAAGGAGAAGTCGTCTAAGGTCAAGCTGTTTTCGCGACCGGTCAAGATTGTAACGGGGAAGAGCGATTCGAAGGATAAGGATAAGGACAAAGAGAAGGAGAAGGAGAAGCCGCTGCCTAGCCCGGGCAAGGCGGTTAGTCATGCGCTGTCGAACTTGCAGCGGATGAACTTCAGCACCACGAGTTTGGACTCGAGCAGTCATTTCTTGTACAGCCTGCCCAACAGCTCGGCGGTGACTATCAGACCGGGGGATATCATGGGCAGCGGGGAGAAGGAAGGGAAAGAAAAGGAGGGAAAGGAGAAGAAGCACCATTTCCTGTCGCGTCAGAAGCACAAGCTCAAGGAGGATTACCATCTGCCGTTGTCCTCCGCAAACAGCAACTCCCGACCCGCAGACCCAAATGCTCCGAGCAGCTTGTACAGCTTCAGTCTGCCATCCAGCCCAGGTCCAACAGCCACGAGCTTCAAATCCGCTCTGGACTTGCGTCACGGGCCCGCGGCACGTGTCCTACGGGACAAAAAGAAAGATTCGGAAAAAGAAAAGCTCGAAGATTCCTCAGCCGCCGGCGCAGCAAGCGAATGGCCTGGCTCCAGCTCCCTCCCCTCGACCGGCATGATGATGCCCGCGGCAGCCGTGTACATCCCCGAGCCCTTCGACGGACACAAGTACGGTCTGCACAATATGACGTACGACGACGCCTGGCCGTTTCTTAAGGCGAAGCTGCTGGTGGTGTTTGAGGCGGAGGATTTGCGGCTGCCGATCGAGGATTTGAATCGTGTCGTGACCATGCACTTGCAGTACTGTTTGGCGAGGAGGAGCCCCAGGTTGGTGGTGGATGATTTAAGGGAGTTGTTGACGACGGGTTTCTCGAGCTTGGATCAAACGCTGAGAAAAACGGCCGAGGAAAGGTTGATTCCCGCGTTGGTCGAGCTGTGGATTTTTACGTTTACGAGTATCCTTCCCTTCTTACAAGCGGTCTTCTTACCCCTCGACTTGGAGTTCGCGGGGAACGGTCCTTTAATGGGGCCTGATCAGGCAAGGGACTTCTGGGCGGGCATACTTCCCTCCTCCTCCTCCTCCTCCTCCTCCTCCTCCTCCTCTTCCTCCTCCTCCTCCTCTTCCTCCTCCAAATCCAGCGACAAGAAGGCTCCCGACGCCCAACCAACCCGACCAATCCCCCAATCGACCCCCGTCCTCGAAGTCCGCCGCTTCGTCCTCCTCGCCTTCCGCGATATCGTCATCCTCCCGCGCTATGAGATCCTCAAGGCCATGTTCTCGCGTCTTTCACTCGAGTTCTTGCCTCAGGCGCTGGCAAGTAATGCACTCGCCTCCCCGCCATTGCCTATACCCGGGCAGGGGTTCCACAATACCTACCACCACGGCGCTTACGGCCAGGGCGTCCTCTCTTCTTCGGATCCCCACTATAATTACGCAGGCTACACGTCGACGAGTTTGCCTACAGTTCTGGGAGGAGGATACCGCCCCCCCACAGCAGCCTCCTCCTCCCTCGACCCCTCCGTGGCAAGCTACAATTCCACAGGGACAACGCTCCTAGGCGACAGCGGCCCCAACGACTCGTCGCTCTCTCGTTCCCGCGGTCTAAGCAACGTCTCTTTCGGCTCGGACTCTGCCTCCCATACACATACCCAATATCGTTCCCGCGGGGGGACGACAACATCCAACCCTGGCATCGGTTTGGGTATGGGGTTGGGCTTGGGTATGGTTAGGGATAGGGACAGAGAGCAGCAGAATGTCGAGGACTCCAAACAAGTCACGGAAATGGTGGGGCGGATGCTGCAGTGCATGAGTGTGCTGGCGAGTGTGGGGGGTGGGCTACCTGTGCCGGCGACCAACCCCGTTACTGCGGCAAGGCTCGGGTCCAGCGCAGGGAAGAGATCTCTTGATCTCGTCCGCACGAGCTTAGACAACACTTCCTCGCCAGGGTCTGCAGCGGGTAAGGAGCCGGAGAAGACCGCCACCGCTGCCGGGGGTAGTTCCGGTGAAGGAGGGGAGACTGCGGGAGAGGAATTGGATGAGGATGTCAAGATGAGAAGGATTGAAGAGTTGAATAGGCTGTTGAAGCTGAATTGGCTGGGGAGGGGCAGGACGGGGAGAAACAGACGGGGGATAGTTGGGGGGAAGGTGAAGAGGAATGCTGTGATGGGGGGTGTGGGGATTGGCTTGGGGGTTGGGGTTGATGATTGAACAAACGTATGGATATATCTTGGGGAAAGGTTGGATGGATGGATGAACGGAAACTAAATGTGTGTTTAGTTTGTTTGGGTCGTGTCTCTTGTTGGGTTATCACTGTTGGGTTCTTTAGGTCACTGGTATGGAGGGATATGTAGGATGACGGCTGGATGATGAAACGTTGGCTACCTATCATTATCATGAAAATGACGCTGGTTGGTGTTGTTGGATGGGCTGGTTGGCTGGACGGACGGACAGATCAGAGAGGAACGACATGTGAAGGGGTTCAAAGACAGACGGAGTGAGAGAGGAAGGTGTGTCGGCGTTTGTTATGAATGATGATCTGTTATGGGATTGTACCATACCATGATACCGATGCTGATGCTGCGGGTACAAACGAGGCTGTTTGTTGATAGACATCTCGCCGTTGACTCGTGCCAATCTAAATTTGCTCCCTACAGCTTGATGTGATGCTTACGTCTACAAGTGCTACCAGGGACTGCTCCCAGAAACCGTTTTGAGCTGTTAGCAAATGGTAATACTCATGTTCTTCGCAAGGAGGTACACACTATTATCTACGACTTGACATTTTTTTTTGGGGGGGGGGTTTGAATACAGGGCAGTATCAAAAGCTAGCATTTCTATACAACGCTGGAAGCACAATTCACCAACATCACAATAATCAAGGTCCAACACATTTGAAATTCAAAAACAATTGCATTGTTCGTCTATGTGAATCAATATATATATATATATATATATAGTACTAAGCTGCTATGAGCTCTTGAAAATGATTTGATGCCTAGAACCAGACTGTTAGCCGCTGGTCACGCAATTGATACATGACCCAAAAATCTGTGCTGTCGTAACATGCGTTCATACATCCAAGGAAGATTTGACCCTCATATGTCCCTAGATAGGCTCTGGCGGGACTCGAGTGGAAACTGCGAATATGGAAAAAGTTGAATCATTACGCAGGGAAGGGGGTGCAAGAAAATTATGAACCAACCTTTGTTGCAGCATACGCAAATAGTTCCTGCGTGGTTAGTAGAAAGGTGTAAAAAGGTCGATGGGCAATGCGTTGACGGCAGCCGGGTATTTGTACTCGTCGTCGGGATCTGGAAGATTCTGCGTTGCCTGGTCAGCGCCCATCCCAAGAAAATTTTTGGTGATAGTGGAACCAAGCAGAAAATTGAGAAATCCACCGAAAATCGATGGAATCCCATCCGCGCAGTCAGACAAAAATACTGGCAAGTAACAGGCTACTCCCGAAGGAGGGAAGCCCGAAACAGACTGACTTTCGTTCATGGTCGAATCAGGTGGGAAAAGAAGACATTTCGAGAGTTGTCATCATTCGAGCGGAGGGGAGGGTAAAAGCGAAAAGGGATGTCAACTTACTCATCCAGACCGAGACGCACCTTAGAGAAGCACGAGAAGTACCACCAAGTGCTCTCTCCAAGGTGCGATCAACTCAAGCAGCTGATTTCGCGCGTAACGACAACTGAGAAAGCTCAATGAGTGCTCAAGTAGGTAGTTCGAAAACCACACTCGGTCCTCGCTGCCGTTGCTCGAAACAGCTGCTTGAAGTTGCTGAAGTTGTCGATGGAAAAAGAGAATTGAGGTGAAGTCGGCCAGCCCGCGGCAAATATATCTGCAAGCCGATAACGATAAGAAAAATCTGGCCGCTCAGTCACGTGACTGTTCACGCGAGCAGCGAGGCTTGTCCAAAATTTGGCGCGCGATCCGCGCGATGGCGCGACAGGTCCCGTGGCTCTGGTCCGAGCGCGCCCGATATCGGCACGGAACAACGTTTGAGCGTGCATATGCGGAGCAAACTGGCCAATCGGACGCGTCAAAGGCTAGAGAGACGGCAAGCCAGCCTCTTCGCCCGAGAGTGGGAAGCATCCCCAGGTTCCCCCAAGCCCCCGGCAGCCAGAAGCCAAGCTCGACTCTGGCACTCTGCGACCCTTCCATACCTCGCGGCCAGCCTGCGACTCTCTCTCTTCAGTCCAGGGACCGGCTCTCCACGTTCCTGCAGCGCTGAACGGGTCGCGTGTGCTCGAGAAAAAGTCCCCCCCCTCCTCCCCAAAAAAAAAAAATCACAAGCTTGAAGTATCTGATCTCTAGCTTTTGGGATCAGGCAGCACGTCGCATCCAGTCCTCCAGTCTCGCCTTGCCTGTGCCGTTTTCCTTGCCAGGAGCAGAGCCAGGCTGCAGCGAGGCTCGCTCGTCGTTGATGAGCGAAGTCCACTCGCACTCACCTGTTGTCCGGTCCTCATCTCGTCCTCTGCCGTTGGCCTGGGGCGCTGCCCACTTTGCATTTTCCCTTTTTCAACCTCCAAGCCTCTCCTCCAAAGCAATCAGGCAAACCAGCCCAACTGCTTGCAATTTTTTTTCCTCCAAAACCGCAGAACAAGCCAGCCTCCTCATCAAACGGGTCGCTGCTCTCCGGCTTTTAACTTTTATCTCAATCGGCCCACGCCGTTCAAGCGACAGCTTCGGTAATCTGGTCCCAACTTGCCAGCTTCCCATTAGCCATCCATCCATTCTGCCAATCAATCCCAACCCCCCGTTTCGCTGGTCTCGTCTGTGGTCTGCGCTGCAGCAGTCTGCACACTCCACAATTCATCGACCACGACACGTCGATTCCTCAGTCTTCGCTGCCCACGACGCCCTTTTGCCCTCGCCTACGTCCTTTGCACGCCCAAACGATCGCCCAACGTCCTCATATTAACGTCTGTACCGCGGTGCTCTTCGCCTGCGTCGCCGCAGTCGCATCGCTGCTACGCATTGTCCATTTCCTGCATTCGCTGACGCCGCCGCCTGAGCCCGGCCGCCAGCTACAATTTTTAGTGCCCGTCTCTCCTGTTTGCACCATTTCCTTGGGCTGCTTGTTTGACGCTGTCGCACCACCCACGGCGACACCCGACCTCCCCTTCCACCCTTCCACACTTTCACACTTCCTCACCTTCATACACACAACATCCTCCATCAGCATCGCCCGACAGCACCACACACGCCAGCCTCCGCAATCGCTCGCTGCCCCATCGCCATCGACGCTAAATAGCCCCCCTCCCCCTCGGGTCCTTCCTTTTTCGCGCCATCGCGAACCGCATCATCTCCGAACACGCGTGTGTTTGAGCCTGCTCACCTGCCCTTGACCATCCGATCACGATCACGCATCGTCCATAACGCGCGCGCTCCCCCGTTTCGCCGATCCGACGGCAGCCATTCCCCATCTCCTAGTCCAGTATCGCATGCGATAACGCGGAGGCGCCATTGTCGATATCCACTCTGTGGATAATCGACACCCTTCGAGATGATGACCAGCATTGGACCGTCGTTTTCGCCGCACCCCGGCGGGATGCAGCAACATCCAGGTGCGCCTCCGGGCCATCCCATGGCTCCCGGAATGGCTCACGCTCCTAGCCAGCCCGGCGCGACGCCGGGGGCAATGCCACATCCTCTCGCCGGGCCCATGGGTGTCTCTGGGCCCGGCCCTCAAATCAACCCCGCCGCCCTCATGGGAGGTATGGCACCCGGAGCAGGCGCTCCCAACGCCCATGTCATGCAGCACTTGAATCCGGCCGCTCAGCAGATGTTTCACCAGCAGCAGATGAACCAAATGTGTATGTCCGCACTCAGATTTAACTTGCCGAGGGTGTACTAACAGTTCCCAGACGCGAATAACCCGGCTCTCCAGCAACAGGTGCAGCAACAACTGCAGCAGCAACGCCTGCAGCAGCTACAGCAACAGCAGCATGCCCGGCAGGCCCTGATGGCTCAGGCCGCCCAGCATCCGGCGTATCAGAACATGGGAGTGCCGGTTGGCCTCCCGCTTGCCCAGATGCCTCAAGGTGCACAGGCTGCGCACCTTGCTGCGCTCCAGCGTAGCAGAATGCCCATGGTACCCTTTCAGCAGGCCCAGTTGCCCCAACAACAAGGGCATCCTATGAACGTAAGCTTGGTCGTCTGGCCGGTGCGTTTCGGTACTCTCAGACTAACATGCCCAGTCCCTTATGGCCCAGCAGATCGCTCTCCAGCAACAACAGATTCAAATGAGCCAACAAGGCGCCACCCCAGGTCAACATCCGCTGACCCCACAACATAATCTCATCCAAGCACAGCAGCTGGCTGCGATCCAGGCCCATCAACAGCAAGCCGCCGCCGCTCAGCAAGCGCAACAACAGGCGCAACAACAAGCAGCTGCTCAACAGCAGGCTGTTCAGGCTGCGCAAGCCGCCCAGGCCACACAGGCCGCTCAGGTCGCCCAGGCACCGCAAGGCCCAGGGCAACCCCAGCAACCTCCTGTCTCGCAAGCCCAGCCGCCACCTGGTCCTCCACAGCAGCCGGCTCCCCCCCCAGGCACGACAGCTCCGGTCACCACTGCTCCCATCACGGCCTCGACGCCGGTTACCCAGGTCCAAACACCACAGCCGAATCCTCAGCAGCAACCGCCAGCGCCACCACAGCCGCCTCAAGCTACCCAGGCTCAACAGCTGCAATTGGCTGCTGCTCAAGCTGCTGCTGCTCAACAGCATGCTGCGCAGGTTCAGCAACAGGTCCAGCAGCAACAGCAACAGCAACAACAACAACAACAGCAGCAGCAGCAGCAGCAGCAGCAACAGCAGCAGCAGCAGCAGCAACAGCAGCAACAGCAACAACAGCAGCAACAGCAGCAACAGCAACAGCAACAACAACAACAACACCAACCGCAACCACAACAGCAGCAACAGCAGCCGCAGTCGCAAGTCCACGCGCAGCCGCAGCAAGCTGTTGGTGCTGTGATGATGCGACCTCAGCGGCCAGACCCTCTCTTGCATCGGTTCAAACTGTTCCAGTTTGCGGAGTATCTGAGCGGCTTTCAGGTACGTTTTGTCTCTAGCTCTTGTGGTAGCAGTCTGCTAACACTATCCAGCCGGTTAAGGGCAAAGATGACCTAGAGTATTGGACCCGCTGTGTTAATGTCTTCTTCTCCCAGAAGGGCATCTTCAGGCACGTGGTCCTTATGCGGGAGAATGATGACCAGGCTCAGGAGAAGCAGTATGAGATTGCCTTTCCTGCCCTTCCGCGCTATTTCCAGACGCACTTCGACAGCGGTGTTAGGAAGATCCAGCTCGTCATGGACAAGGGCTATTCAGAACGCTCCCTGCCCAATGACTGCTACGTCCTGGAAAACAGGAATTCGAGCCTGGTCTACTGGTTTGATGGCGACTCTCACGTAAGTTCACTGGGTATCTCGAGGTGCTTCTCCTGCTAACCATCACAGCTCGTGGCGACTGGCATCATTCGCGTCCAGTTTGACAGCGATCACAAGTTCGACTTGATGGAGTTCATCACGACTGGTCATGAGGAGTACATCTCACGACGCCTCGTCATCCAGGCCGCCAGACCGGCTCACAACTGGGTCAAGGAGTGGCACCAGCTCAACAGTCAGCCCGACGGCAAGCAGTCTCCCGAGATGAGCAAGAAGGGCAAGACCAGGCCGACCAAAGCGCCTGCGGGCCCTCCGCCTGATCTCGAGCTGCCACACTCATATGTCAAGAGCAATATGGGCCTGACGGAAGCTGTGTATCAGTTCTTGGAGGTTGGTGTCCACCTCCCTTCACAATTTCTGACAGTCACTAAGTTTGACCACCCTAGATGGTAGAGATCATGGGCCAGATGAACCCCCTCTTCAACTACTACCACAACAACCCCGGCCTGTCCCCGTACACCGCCCTTGACCAATACGTCAACCTGATCAACCAGCAACAAGGCATGAACGGCGGCCAGCCGATGCCGCAGGCCGGTGCCCCCCGCACCCCAAGCTTCGGCCAGTTCCAGATGACCCACAGCCCAGCCATGGCCAACTCGATGCTGCCCGGCTCCCCGCACATCGCCAACTCCCCAGCGCCCGGCTCGATGGCCGCGCCCGTCATGCAGATGCAGGCCAGCCAGCAGGGCACAAACAGCAGCGGCCCTAGCGCCAACACGTCCCCTGCCCAGGGCAACAAGCGTAGGAGACCCTCCACCGTCAAGGCCGAGGAGGATGCCAACAACGCGGCAGCTCAGCACGCACAGAACGGTCCCGTCTCGGCCCCGACCCCGGTTCCCGTCCCCGTTGGCACGCCGCAGCTTAATGGCGTACAGCTTAAGAAGCAGCCGCCTACGCCGAGGCTGCCGAATAAGAGACAGAAGACAGGGAATACGTGAACCCCTGATTAATTGGCTTGCATGGTTTCTTTGCTTCCTCTATGCCTACCTGCTTGCCTATCAGGATAAACGAGACGAAGAAAATGAGAGCGAAATGAACGGACGGATCTTGCCTTGTTACTTCAAACGTATACACGAACCACTCTGGTCGGTCAATTGGTCGGTCGGTCGCGAACGAACAAACATATGGCCCAGTGGGTTCCGGTTTTCTCGGGTCCGGGTTTCACAGGGTTTTTTTTGGGGGGGGAGGGTCATACCACTACTACACGTCTCATCACATCACACGTCTCATCACATCACACGTCTCATCACATCACACGCGTTTGGCTTAGACTTTACACACCTACATACCTTACACCAATGGAAGGTGGTGATCTGGTTTTACTTTTTGGCGTCCCTGGCTGCTCAAAGGTTTCTTCTACTCTCTTCCCATCCTCTATATCATTGCTGGCTGGAAGGAGGGGTTTCATAATGATCTCTGCCTGCCTACTCGCTCCGCGCTCACACATTAGCACAAGACAAACACAAACACAAGGCCTTAATGGCTTCCACAAAGCAGAGCATAGTGTCTCCTGGCTCTCAAACCTACCTAGGTACCTCTCCTCTTCTAATTGACTGGCTGGCTTTACGATGTCTTGGTCGTCATTGTTTGGGTACAAACAAACAAACGACGGGACAAGACAAGAAGAATAGGCAGGGGTTGTTTGTGAAGAATATCTGGTTTGGTGCTCTCTGTTTTATGTTTCATGCTTCTATTGTTTTTCTTTTTTTTTTGGAATTGCTTGCCCTACTCTTCACTGACTGCGTACTACTACTGCTACTACTACCATGGGATCTGGCGGGATTATTAAGCAATGCGATGCCAATCAATGCAAAGGGGAATTGATTTGAAGCTTAAGTTACCAAACTTAATGGGGCCACATGTTTTAAGTGAGGAAACAAGGGGAAGATGGAATTGGAGAAGGGTGAGGAGGACAAAAACGTTGAGTTGGGAGAGGTGAGGAGGAGGAAATAAATGTTTGATGGTAGTTTTGTTCACGCACGTAAAAATAGCATGTTTTCCCTGATACCATGGGCCTGCCCTACTTACGTTAACCTGGTGTTATCTTCTCTCGCATTGTACTCCCTCACGTCTATCCTCTCTGTCCATGCCGTCTTCTTTGAGACTGCCTCGAAGTTTGCCCTGAGCTCTGTCCATATCCCTCCTCCCTTTCAATCCCGTGATGGTGATTTTGTGCTTTTGCATATACCCAGTTGTTTTCAACATTTCAGTCTTTTCCCGGCCCTGTTATCATTCTCTGTTCACTTATTCAGGCTGAGTAGTAAAAGCAAGCGGGGGAAAGAGAGTTGTCTTTATATATGTGTTTATAATTCCTAACGGATTTTTTTCTACTCTACCTGAACCCTTTTGTTGTCGCTTGTTTTGCTTGCACTGCCGTATATCTGCTGTAGATGTATCAACCTGCGTCGCTTTGCTCATTTCACAAATATAGGGTGGGAGGATGGAAGCAGGAGTGAGGATGAAGGAGAGCTAAGGTTAGGATGTTTCATTTGGAAGAGGGGAGGAGAAACAGACAAGACATGGCAATAGGAGCCAAAGAAGAGGCCAGCCAACATTATACTCGCCATAGTCGACGGCAACCATAGAGTACACACAAATCCTCATCCATACCATATGGGGGCCCCGACGACCCTCAGTTATGCCCACCCATACACGTCCACACTGGTCAGATTTGAATGATCTTCTCAAAGCAGATAGAACAAGGAGCAGAACGATCATAACATTGCTCGTCATATTCTGGTATCAAGTGGTCAGAAGGGGAGAAGAGGCTCGTTGGTTGCCAGTTCAGCTGGCTTGGAGAATAGTGAACAGGATAGTTGTGTATGTGTGCATACATAGCCTGTCACTACAGTTGATGCGGATTGCCGAATACAGCTGTTCGTTCAAGCTATGTCCATTTTTGGGTCATTGTCTAGGTATTCAGGAATCCATGTGACATTGCTCATTTCACTATATCAGACTGCTCCTTGGTAGCTGGCTATCGTGGGACGTCAACTGATGCACTGTTTCATCCTGTAACCGTTGGAGGTCAGCTGACTGGAGCCTGTCTTTATCGCGAGTCTTTATCCTTCTTTATCCTTAAAAGGTTTGTTTGCTCGGCTTGAAGTCGCGTCCCCTTTGTTCAACTGGTCAAGGGAACTTGAGGTGCCAGTTGGGATGCCGTTTAGAGGCTGTCTTGGAAGTGGCTTCGATATTTGAACCTCTATTGGAGGTGTTTTTATCGGCTGCTTATCATCATTAACCGGTTACTGCCCCAAGGACCTGTCCATAACGTTCCGATTTTAGTCTCCAATCCTTTCCTGGCCCCTGGTAGCATAATCTCGATTTACTGATCTTGCTTGGACGGGGCCGAGAGTAAGTTGTGATAGTTAGAATCACTCAATCTCATCCCATCGCAGTGCGAGCGAACTTAATGGGGCCTAGTACACGCCAACTGGGACCATGATGAAAGGGGTTTAAAGACCTTTCCAAGTCTTGTTGAGATAAATCACGCTGGATGACAACATGACTTCGAAAGGGACTGGGCTGTATTAATCGACTATCCACGTGATTCGACTCAACACGGTCTGTCCTCAACAACACTATTCCCTCAGCCTTCTGCCCCTAACGCCCCTTGGCTCTTGAGCTTCTGAGGACATCCAGGGCCCCAACCAGGAAGTCACCGGCTCCACACCCGACACCGCCGGTCCACGGAGCCCGGGATCGACCAGCTTAAACGGGGCAGGGGATAGAGCCATGACGTGCGAGAACCTGGGGCTGCTTATCAACTGGCCTAGAGAACCCCGAGATATGATCCGTGTGTAATTGATGCCTGAGCCAGCGAAGAAAGGGGTAGAAAGAAAAGGAGAGATGGAGTGAGAGTGGATATGTTCTCTGACAAATTCAGGAAAGGAAGCGTGAATTGTTGTCCATAGTATCCCAGCATAATGCTCAGAACGAGCACTTGGAAGCGTGGACCCTACCGTGCGGCTATAAGGGTCATCAAGATACGACACCAGCCGTCACGTTTCCTTCCCCGCCATTATGTCGACGGTAATGTCCATGTCTTGACCTCTACCATCTTCTCCAGGATGTACCAAGGCACGTGAGCAAATCACCGCAAAAACCATCAACAACGTGCCGACAAGCAAAGTCAAGCCAAACCACAGCGTAAGATTACTTCACACACCGACGCACCGACACGCACAGCCCAATACGCTTCCTCTCCATCCATCCATCCATCCATCCGTCCAGCCACCCACCCATCCGTCCATCCATGAAGTGCAGTAGTAGGTACGTAGTACGTAGTAGTAGTGTAGTTCCCTGCAAAAGCCAACCTCAATCCCTTCCGAAAATCACAACACAAAACCGAAAACGCCGGATAAGTAAAACTAGGTTAGGTAGGTAGATAGGAAGAAGAGCAGTGGTAAGGAGTCAAGGTATGAGAGATGGCTCGTCAAGCATCAATCACTACTGTTCAAGCAGACTCGAACCCGCCAAAGGTATTCTCGCCTGAGTAGGTGATGTAGAGGAAGCTGTATTGGGAAGGCCACATGGTCAGCCTTGAGCTTGGTCACCTGACCACTCTGCCGCGACAGGCAGCAGCGTGCTAGAGGAAAGAAAAAAACTTACCCATCCTCATCCTTGTGTTCCTCATAGATGCTGCTCATGAGCGCAGCGGTCGGCGGCAGGGTCTCGTCGACAAAGATGAAGATAGCCTTCTCGGGCGACAGCTTGATGCGCTTGCGGATGACGTAGACGAACTGGCCGACGGTCAGGTCCGCGGGCACCAAGTACTTCTTCTTGTCGATGGTCGCGATGTCGCTCTTCTCAACTTTCTCGCAGATGACCTGTTTTGTGTGTGGTGGTTGGTTAGTCCAAAGTTCGCACGTGGCACAGAGCGGAGGTGTGTGCGACGGCAAGAAGGAACGGGGGAAGGGAGGATGGCAGGCAGGCAGACAGCGTAGGGGTTGCGATAACGAGGTGAATGAAATAGCTGATTTCTCTTCACATCATACTCGCGCAAACTGCCTGCGATGGATGGACTCGAAGAGGAAAAAGTGTGACGGGCGGACTTACGGGAATGCGATCGGAATACTTCTGGCGGATGCGCTCGGCCTCGGCCTTGCGCTTCTCGAAGGGGTGCTCGTCCTTGAACTTGCTGCGCATTTTGGCGGGTATTTTGAGACTTGAAGGTGAAGAATTGCCTTCGAGTGTGTGGTGTTAGTAGGAAGTTGGTTGTTGTCAGAAGTTTTAAGAGTTTCGAAGCAGGTAGAGGCGGTGACTAGAAGCAAGAGCGGTGATGATGTCAGCGGTCTGATGGAGCAGCGATAGCGATAAAGAGGAGACAGCCAAAGAAACGCGGGTGTTGCGAGCGCGCGCGATGGGAAATGGGGATTCGAAATACCTTGTTTGCGGGAGACGGGAAAGTGACGACGAGGGAAGAGGTGTTCTTGATGATGGAGGGAAGAAAGAGAAGGAGAAAAGAGATCAAGTTGGGTCGGGAAGCCTTGCAAAATGCAAGTAGAAGCCGCCTTGATAAACGGGGGGAGGGGGTTCGGGTTGAACGTGCTAGTGCAGAGGACTGCTGAAGGCAGCAAAGGCGGGCAGGGCGGGGCACTGAAACCCCCCGGCTCGCAGGCGGGCTGAGCAGATGACTAACAACGGAACGCTAACTATCCTGACCGCCCGTGCTGTGGTCGCCTTGACGGTGTCAATTTTGATCGTTTTTGGCTTGGCCGATATTTGTGCACATGGACGCTGTGATGCATAAATAGGAAAAAAAAAGGTCCTACGCACGTACATCATCGTTGTGCTCGTTGTTCATGAATATCCCAGGCACCTTAATGGGCTGCTTATGTAAGCTACGATCGCATTGCAACAGCGACCATTCCACCGTTATCGATATGGAGACCGTGAGGGTCCGTAAAGGGACCGTTTCGCTCTTTTGTTTTAATGATGATTGCCGTTTTGTTGGGGCCGCGTGACCGTTGTTGAGGACAGCACTTTGACGCAATCCCTGGACTTGTGCAGGTGACATAGACACACTGTTCAGAACAGTGACACTCGCTTTTAGAAGCACGCATCGTGGTCATCCCGTGCTCTGCGTCCTCCAGTGCCTGCTATCAATGGACTTCGCTTCCGTTCCAGCAGCCTTGCCCGGCGATACGATAACCCCTCCTCCGTTCCATCATCTAACAGAAGACAGCCCCACGTCGCGGGGTCAAGGTTGCAAACACTGGACAAAGCCCATTCACTCACTGTGACGAACCCACAGCAGCACATGCTTGCAAGTTGCGCTGCGGCATCGCTACGCTCGGGACGGAAGCGCGGCCCTCCCATCAAGACCTCCAGGCACTCTATGGGCCTTAAGTACCCCTCTGCAGTGCGCCCCTCCCCCCTCATTAGAAGTAATCTTCGTGCAGCTCCCATCCCAACAGTATATAGAACTCGGGTTCCTGGCACCGGCATGGCTCGCGATTCCTGTCGATTCCGCCGCTTCGGGGCCAACACCTGATTGTGGCAGCGACATCATCCTATCGCAGGGCAGCCGTCAACCAGTCGGGTACTTAGAAGTGTTCTGGGACCCTGTCGTTCGTCGGTCGCGAACGGCGGATCCCTCGGTGGACGACAACCTTCTCCGCGGTGCGCCCGGTCCCCTGGGGCACCTGCGGCCCTGCTTCGGGAAAGTGGTCTTAGGATCGCCTGATTTCCACCTCCGGCTTGGTGTTTTGCCGCGACCTGGACCGCGATGCGTCTTGCGTAGTGTCGTAGAGTAATTTATAGAATTGTGAATACCCTCGTGCTGGGGAGTTGCTCGTCTCTCTGTCTTCTGTTTCTGCCAATCCAAGTCCCAGTCTTAAAGATTACTTAGCACCAATTGAGCCCCGTGGACCCGTCCTCAGTGCTTCACCTTCCCCCTCCACTTGTTCTTGTGTCTGAACTCCGGAGAGCGCCGTCCCGCATCTGCTTCCACAACCACCTCTATTCTCTCTGAGCAGGGCCAATTGGCTTATAAGCAGCCTGTAACCAATTCCCTTGGGGTCATTATCACATAATTCTAATATGGTACGCCCAGCGCATGCCCAGGACATTTGCGTTGTGCTCGCAGCTGGTGGCTGACAGTGACCCCGCCCCCGCAGACCGCAGACGACAAGATGGCCACATCGTCCCTCGCCCAAGCCGACTCGAAGCTCAGGGAACAGGAAGTTTCCGAGTCCTCTCCCATGCGCCTGCGCATGGAAAAGTTCGTCAAGGAGCAGCAGCGGGAGATCGTGAAGGCGCTCGAGGAAGTGGACGGCAAGCCGTTCCGGGTAGACGAATGGTCCCGTAAAGAAGGCGGCGGCGGCATCTCGTGCGTACTGCAAGACGGCAACGTCTTCGAAAAGGCCGGCGTCGGCGTCAGCGTTGTCTACGGCACCCTTCCCAAGCCCGCCATCATCAAGATGCGCGCCAACCACAAGAACATCGCCGAAGAAGGCAACATCCCCGACTCGCTCGACTTCTTCGCTGCCGGTCTCAGCATGATCGTGCACCCCAAGAACCCCATGGCTCCGACCGTGCATCTCAACTACCGCTACTTTGAGACCGCAAAGCCCGGTGATTCCTCCGGTAACTCCGGCGCGTGGTGGTTCGGCGGCGGCGCGGACCTGACGCCGTGCTACCTCTTCGAGGAAGACGCTATCTTCTTCCACCAGCAGCTCAAGGACGTGTGCGACAAGCACGACCCCGCCTACTATCCGCGCTTCAAGAAGTGGTGCGATGAGTACTTCTACAACAAGCACCGCGAGGAGGCCCGCGGCATCGGCGGCATCTTCTTCGACGACTTGGACGAGCAGACCGCGCCGCGCGAGAAGCTGTTTGCTTTCGTGCAAGACGCGCTTAAGTCCTTCGTGCCGACCTACGTGCCGATTGTCAACAGGCGCAAGGATATGGAGTTTACCGATCGCGAGAAGCACTGGCAGCAGATTCGGCGTGGCAAGTATGTCGAGTTTAATCTCGTACATGATCGTGGTACCGCGTTTGGTCTGAATACCCCCGGTTCGAGGGTCGAGAGCATTCTCATGAGTATGCCCCTGACGGCGAGGTGGGAGTACATGTATTCGCCGGAGCCTGGAAGCCGGGAGGCTGAGATGGAGGAGGTGCTGAGGAATCCGAGGGAGTGGGTGTAAAGGGTTTAGGACAGAAAAAAAAAAAAACAAATAAAGTCCTGTATCATATGGATTGTTATTAGACTTGTATCTTGCACATACCGGATGGGGAATCAACGGGTTTTTGGAAGTCATGTTTGGCCTTACTTGATATGTGTTGTGGTGCATGCTCCCCACCTAACCTCAACTTTCACCTTTCAACTTCAGATTACATCACCCCAACACCGTGCAAGCCACAACTACACACCACCTTACCCTTCCAACAAAATGAAGACATTCACCGAACAGCCACGAACAGAACCAAGCAGCCAGGGCCCAAATGACGAAAGCCTGCCAACCTCTCGCAAACTCCTAACTTCCCTCTTCAACGCCATAGCCACCATCCCCCTTGAGCCAGATTCTGATACCTCCTTCAGCGACTCTGAAGGCGCAGATACAGACAGCAGGTCCACAAAAGCGAGGAAGTCGAGGTTAAAAAGCCTCGATGATACCAAGACACAGACAAACCCCCTCCGTAAGGTGCCCCAATCACACCGGTCTTTGCTCGTGACGCTGCATGCCCTGTTCCCGGGGATGGTGCTGCCTGCGTTGGATCTGCTTGAACGAGGGTTGATTGGGAGGGTGGTGCTTGATCTTAATGAGGGGGGGAATGGAAAGAAAGCTACAGTGAAGAGGGAGACAGCTACGGAGAGGGATCATCGTGATTGTGAGCTCGGGCACGGCCACGAGAGCCAGTCCAAAGACCATACACATGACGCCGGACAAGATACTGCCTCGGCTGCTACTGCCCAAGGGAATGAAAAGGGCAAGAAGCACCAAGAAAATGCCTTCTACCTAGTCACGTCTGCCTCTGCCCTAGAAGAGCTGGAGCGGCGAAGGCGCCAGCGCAAGTGGCATGGTCGACGGGCTGATGTTGATGATGACGACGATGAGGACGGCGACGGGATGGCAGTCAGGAGGTACATTGTTCGACTTGAAGCATGGCACTGTACTTGTGCCGCGTTTGCCTTCGCTTCTTATGGACAGGGGAACGCGGTGAGTTGGACGTTCAATGAAGTAGAACAGGTCACTGGTAGGCAAGGGGAGCAGGGAGGGGATGCTGAGGGTGATGGACTGAAGGAAGTAGAATGGTCCTTTGGAGGGCTAAGTCTAGATGGTCTGGAGGGCGAATCGGCTGCTGGAGAAAGCGTACCGATGTGTAAGCACCTGCTGGCTTGTCTGCTAGCTGAAAGATGGAGTACTGCTCTAGGGAGATACGTTGTCGACAAGAAGGTTGGCAGGGAGGAGATGGCGGGGATTGTGGCCGACGCGTAGGCCGGCAGCAAGGACACCAAGGCATGTCACCAGGAAGAGAACCTAATGATCCCAACCATGTCATCATAATATTAACATCTATCGCTCGCCCTTCCGGGCAATCGTCGTGTTTATTCCCAACCCATATGACCTCTCCCCTCTTCGTCTAATTCATTTCTTCTTATCCTTCTCCTTCTCCTTTTCCTTCTCTGTACCACCCTCCTTACCACCTTTCCCGTTCGCCTCCTTCTTATCCCCCTCCTTCCCAGCAGCAACCCCATTCTCCTTTGCATCACTCTCCTCCTGCTGTTGTCTATTCTGGATTTTATTCTCAATCAAGTCATGGAACGCCGTGATCGCCCGGATCAAGCTGCTCAAGTAGATCGCCATCAGCTGATCATTGGTCTTGACGCTCATGGCGTAGTCGAGCTCGCTCTGGTGGCCCTTGACGCCCGCACCAGCGCCGCTGCCGGCCTTGGGCGTCGACAGGTTGGGCAGCAGATTGAACACGTCCTGCAGGTGGCCCAGGATAGTGTGGTTGACGGGCAACTGGCCGTCGAGGACTTTCTGCAAGTACGCTTGGATATCGCGTAGACGTGTGTGCAGGCCCTGGAGGGACTGGAGTTGGTTGGTGATGCGGGTCGAGAGCGTGCCGACGGCTACGTCGCGGATGTCGCGGAGGAGGTGCTCAACGCCGATTTCTTCGGCCTCTTCAGCTTCGATGATAGAGGGTGTGTGGACGAAAGTCTTGGCTGTGGTTGTGCCGTCCTGGAAGAAGCTACGTTAGCGGGGGATTGGTCATAGAATGCGTACAATCTTGTAATCTTTGTCTCACGTACATCCTTGATCTCCTCAACCGCAAAGTAAGCGTCTGTCGGCACGCCAGTCTCTTTCGGTTGTACATCAATGATGACGAGCAGCGGGTTCGGGGTGTAGCGCTTGAAGAGTTCGTTGATCTCGAGATCGGACGCCCGCAGCTTGGGGCCGGAATGATACCACCCTATTAACTTCTCGCGGGCATTGACCTTCTTGAACATGTCCCGCATGGACTCAACGTAGTTGTGGTCAAGGAACCAGACCGACGGGTCCTTCTCGTCCTCCTCGAACGGCACTGCAAAGCTGTTGGACACGCGCACGTTCTTGCCGTCATTCTGCCCTAATAGCACGCCCACCACCCGCTTGTTCTTGCTCTTGTACGCCTCTACACGGTTGTAGTGGTCGACCACGGACAGCAACACCAGCGGGGCGACCGAGACGGTGCGCGTCACCAGCGACAGCGTCTCTGCGGTGGTGGTCCGCACCATGGTGACGACTGACAAGTGGGATCAGAGAGTGGAAGGACTGGAGGAGGTCGATTCGGGACGGGCCGAGGCTGGGGCAGGGACGCGGGCCAACTGTGCGGGCTGGTCGGCGGGGTGATAGGAAAGTGGGAGTGGTGGTGAGCTTGTTTGCGGGGTGCAGATGGCGGGTTGCTGGGCTGGTTGGATGTTTGCAGCTTGTGTGTCGTCCGTCGTCGTCACAACTTCGCTGCCTCGTCCCCCAAGGTCAGTACCCGATCGGGCTAGTTCCACTGCTGGCCTGGTGGGCTTGACCAGAGCCCCACGCAACAGGCGGGCTGGGCGGCGAGGCTGCCAGGCGCTTGGGCCAGCGACCCTGCGCGATAGCTTCTCGATCCGGTAGGTTTACTTGCTGGCTTACGTAAGCCATTAGCGCCAGGAGCTGCCTGTTTCAGGTCTTGGTTGCTTCGCCTACTGCGGCCCGCCAGTGATCTGGTGGGGAGACTGGTTAGTGAGCAGCCAGCGGGTGGCATTCATCAAACAAGGGGGGCATGATCCCGTCATAAGCCACCGTCCTCCCAGCCCGCCATCAGAACTCTAAAAACACCTTCAAACCAACTGCACAACGCAAGAATATCGTTGTTCTCGTCGACAACCACTTTGCAAAGGCACACAACGCGAAGCTATAACTCGAAGCGACCATCATCACACGCTCACGCTCACCGCCGCCATGAAGCCGATCACCGCTATTACTGCAGCCCTGGCGTTGCTCTCGGGCGCCGCTGCCCTCGACATCCAGAAATCCGTCATCATCAGTTACCCGCCCGAGACTCCCGACTCGGTTATGACCCAAGCCAAGAAGGCCGTCATCGACGCCGGCGGCATCATCACTCACGAGTATAAGATGATCAAGTAGGTGCTCGTCGAATCGTTTGTTAGGGAATAGTTCTGATTGTATTCTAGGGGCTTTGCGGCCAAGGTCGGCGAGAAGGTCCTCGAGACGGTCTCGGCCATGGGTGCGAAGTATCAGGTGCTCGTTGAGGAGGATGTTGAGGTTCACGCGGTTGGTGGTCTTTGAGCGACGTCCCTGCAGGGTGGGAGTGTGGTCAAAGATCAGTGACTGGGCACGAAATGGCCGTTGTCAAAGTCGACCATAAAACAGCCGTCAAGCAGCAAGTTAGGTTCGCTCCGTTTTATGAATGGAGGATGATGATGTAACGCAACGATGAGCATGGCTCTTTTTTTTTGGCGTTTTGGATGATTCATGAGCAGGCAGAGATGCCAAAACTACATGATGATACCTCTTCTTCTATGATTTGCTCGTTACCTTGATTTAGCGAATACACTACAGAATCATACAATACGTAGCCGAGCCTGCTTGATCAGCTTATGTCCGGGCCCAGGTGATGCTGGGCTTCACATGCAAAAGGTGTTGGTGACGACGGGTCCTGATCTCCTGGATCTGCCCGTGGAGATGCGGGGTACAGGCCACCTGGCTTCGCAGGCCTGCTGAAAAGACAAAAATGTTTCTAATAAGCAGAGGAGAGATTAAGAGCCAAAACTCGGGGACAGGTTGGACATTTTGTCCAACCACATTGTGCATCTGGAACATCGACGCTCAAATGGATGGATTGAAAACGCGGCTCAGCATCATGCATGAGCGTTGGGCCTGCACCAGGGTCCAATGCCGAACCAAAGCAGGCCCCTGCACGGGTTTTGATAAGGCCCCACGGGCGCCTGCAGCAGCAGCAGGGCAGCGCCCAGAGTCAAGTGTGGGGCATCATTATTATGGGGAAGACGGCCCCAAACAGGCGTGGGTCGCACCCCCAGCTGACTGAACAATGTCTTCTTCGACGACAGCATCAGACGGGTCCGGCAGCACGACCATGAAACGCGAACAACCTGACTGAAGCTGCAGATCCTAGGACGATTCATCCTCGACTCAATAATCCTCTGTACCGTCATTCTTGCACCATGCGTCATAGTCTGTTCCTAGTAAATCCCGCGTGCCTGTGAACTTCGAAGTTCGATTGGGACCTATTGGGACCCGCAACTGGACCTGGACGCCCTGCGAGCCCTGGGAGTGTACCTTACCTTACACCGACGATCCATCACCTATCGAGGTGTCCCTGCGATTGCGTGTTTAGGCGGCGCAGGCCGAAGACAGTCCGACACAATAGAATTACCTTTCAGACGCCAACCTTAAGTTCATAGACCGAAGAAGAATATATACAACACTTCCTTTCACCGACCAGAAGTGGTGTCGCCCTGAGAAGCACCCCCTTTCTCCTCCCTACCAACCATGCCCACGACGCGCCATTCGACCATGACACAATACAGCCCCTCCACACAAGCCGCCCTCCTGAAATGGGTTGGCACATTCGATACGGTCCGCAGGGCTCAATCCCTCCAGGACCTGCGCGACGGCGTCATCCTCGGCCAGATGCTCGAGCAGATGCTGGGCACCGAGTTCCACAGCGACAGCCTGATCCAGAGCCCCCGGTCCGATGATGAGATACGGCAGAACCTCGAGGCCGTTTACCGTGGTCTGGCCGGTTTTCTGCGTGTAGATAACCCTTCGCTTGCACCTTCACCTTCCGAGTTCCGTTCCATTGCAGAGAGCCTCGATGACAATGCCCTGTGCGAGTTCCTATCCTACTTCCTGTCAGCCGCCTGCCTGGGCTCCCTGTCGACGACATATGTTCCCAAGGTTATGAAGCTGGACCAGCAGACCCAGGCTGAGATTGCCAAGATCATCACGGAGAAGAACCAATTGAAGACGGAGACTGAAGAGCAGGAGGAGGAACCGCAGTCGGAGTCCGTGGATGACTTTGAGAATGTCTACCCGGTCAGGGATCCGGAGCTAATGGCTGAGGAGCTGGAGCAGATGCGGGACAAGATCGAGATTCTGAAGCGGCAGAATGCCGACCTCCAGACACGGATCGAGAAGCTCATGGACACGCGGGAGGCCCTGCTGGGCGACCTGCGCATGGCCCAGGATGAACTCTCGACACTGAAGCGGGCCAGGGGCTCCGACGTCTCGTCTACCATCCGGGACCTGCGTAACGAGATCCGCGAGAAGATGGTCGAGATCGACCGCCTGGAGGACCTGCTTGAGAAGGAGACGGCTCGGGCTAATAAGCTTGAGAAGGAGAACGAGAACTTGCGGGCCAAGGCTGCGCGCGTCAAGGATCTGGAGGACAAGGTGACGGTGCTGGAGCACGAAACTAAACAGCAGCAGCAGATGATAAAGGGGCTGGAGAACTACAAGAAGAAGGCTCAGGACCTGACCGCCATCCAGCAGCGGAACCGCTTGCTCGACGAGCAGATCCTGCAGCTGGAGCAGGAGCTTAAGATGTTTGAGGAGGTCAAGGCGCAGAACCGGCGGCTGCAGCGCGAGATCGATGAGAAGATGAAGGTGTTGTCCAACAACGAGCAGGAGATCATCTACACGCTGCAGTCCAAGAACCACCTCCAGGAGGCCAACGAGGAGCTCAAGAGGCGCATCGAGTACCTCGAGTCGAAGCGCCAGCTGGATGAGGAGACCATTGAAAAGCTCCAGGAGCAGCTGCACTATTACGAGTCCTCGGGCGCTGCCGCCGCCGGCCCGCTTAGCCTCGAGGAAGAGCTGGAGGGTGGTGGCGGCGGCGACCCGTCCGTTGCCCTGCGCCTCGAGATCCAGCGTCTCAAAGCCGAGAACAACCTCCTCCGGAATAACATGACCGTTGCGTCGGAGAATGAGCGGCTGCGCGGGGAGCTGGATACGGCAACGCAGAAGATCGACCACTACCGCCTCAAATGCACCGAGGCTATGCAGCAGCATGCTGTCATTGAGGAGCAGCTTACTGCTTTGATGAACCATGCTACAACCGAGAGGTTAGATATGCCAGATATGCCTGCTTGGAATGTTCTTAACTCGTTCTGGTGCTGACGCCAGAGTGCTTTTTTTTTCCCAGCGACGTCGCCTTCGTCAATATGCGCAAAGAGCTCACAGCTGCTACGCGCGAGCTGGAGAAGGCCCGCAAGCACATGCAGGATCTGGAGCGCGAAGCCGCCGACCGCGAGCGTGAGCTGTTGCGCCTGAAGGCAGACCGTATGTACCCCTGAGCATCCCCTTTCCTTGCTTCCGCATCGCTTACTAACACATTTCCACAGTCGAAGCCGTCGGGAAGGACGAGACAGCCGCTCTCGCTGCGCTCAAGGCATCGGATGAGCTCATCTCAGAGTCTCTGCGCACAGAGCTGGAGGCGACGCGCAAGCAGCTGCAGCACCGCGTCTTCGAGTACGACCAGATGAAGGAGCAGTTTATGGAGACTCTGGTCAGTAAGGACCGCGTGCAGAAGAAGCTGGAAGAGGCCCTCGCCAACACTGGCGAAGGGCCTAAGGGGGAGATGGCCCAAAAGGGCAGAAAGGAGGATGCGGAGAAGATTGAGAAGTTGAAGGCGGCATTGAGGCAGAAGATTGAGGTATGGCCCTGTTTAGAGGGCGTTAATAATTTTTAAGGAGGATGGATGCTGACGCTTGCTTGCAGCAACTGGAGAAGGCTGAACAGGAGAAGTACGATCTACAACGACGGCTCAAGCTGGCCGAGACCAAGGTACGTCGGTCCTCGAGGGGTCATCCTCTTTCCAAACCCCTGTTCTGCATTCCCATGTTTACTCTTTGATATCTGGGGATGTCTCATCCCTGACTACCCTTAACCTGGGCCTACCGTTAACCGTCTTCCCTGCTTCACACCGTCTTCTCGATCTGTGCTAACGTTCCACAGGCGGCATCCGACCAGATGATCCGCAACCTCCAGCGCGAGAACGCCATGATCGCGACAGCGTGGTACGATCTGACGAGCCGTCTGCAGAGCAACCATGTCGTGTTGCAACGCCGCCACGACGCGCCCCGCAGCTGGGTCAACAAGCAGCGGCAGATGGTATACGGTATGTCGTCGTCTCCATCCTACCACCCTGCTTCCTTCAATGAACCGGGATATGGTTAGACCGTATTGCTGACGCGGGGGTGTGTTTTTTTCTGGAGGTAAAGCTACGCCGAGGAGATAGTGGCTCGCGGATCTATAGCGAAGCCTGCTCGCCATAGTGTTCCACTTCCTGAACGTGGCGCTCGAAGCCGCTGCCGGTAGGGTTGAGGTCTGGAAGCGGTTTGCGGCTGCTGTTGCGGAGGCGCTGGGCTCTAACGCTGCCGCCGTGGATCGCCCAGAAGATGAAGAGTATGAGCTGGAAGGCGTCATCACTGCGGATGATTGTGATGAGGATGATGCTGCTTTCCTTAGGGAAGGAGATAGCGGCATTGACTTGTGATGTATCTCCATGAGCTGTTGGGTTCGTGTTATGATGTCTTCCTTCCCCATTTCTTGTCTTTCCCTTCTGTTCTTCCCCCGTTCTCTGCTGGCCGGCTTGGGCGGGTTGGCTTCTCTGGTGCGATAAACAAACAAAATCTCCTCTTTGGTTCGGTTGGATGTTGATGGCCACTATCCGCACACACTGCACAACAACAAAGCATGGACGAAGGACATAGGTACAGTTGGCATTGGAGTGCATACCTAGCATAGCATGTACATGGGGATTTGTCATCTTTGGCTTTTGCACGGGCTCGAGCTGGGCGTTCTCACGGCCTGTTTAGCACGGCTTTGCACTACCCCTTTTTAATTGGTAGCCTTTTGCTTACTCTTCCCTGGTTACGGTTTCAGGCTTTTGACATTTTAAAATTCGTGGATTTCCTCCTTCTCTTGTACGCGTCAACAAAAGAGGGGATTGGCGACATAAACGCAAGTGCCTGTTGCTAGGGTCTTCGCCAAATGTATAGAGATAGATGGTTATCAGATACAAAACTCATCGAGCCCTTCGAGATGTAAGAGCCCGTCTACTTGCCGTGAGTGGCACCCATATCAAAGAAAGCCATTGAACTAGACCTTGATAATCGTCCACACAATTGCTCTTGTCTACAGTAAATAAGTACAGAATCCTCTCTATCCGCACACAACCAACCCAGCCAGCCAGACAGAATTTGTCCTGGCTGTGGGTATACCCTACCGGTAAAAACGTCCGTAACGCCTCGCAGTCATGCACTATTACCCTCGGTTGCTATGCATGCACGGTTGTTGGGCAGCTTGGATGGATTGTCCGGGTATGTTGATCTCCGCCCCTCCCCCCACCATCATCTCTTTCCTCATTCCATTTGTATTTCCGTTATCCGTATTTTTTTCCCCATGCTTGATCAAAGAACACAGTTATGATGACCAAGACCCTTATTTTATGCCCCTTTTCCCCTTCACCCCATCAACAAGCTATTTTGATTGTTGAGTTTTTTTTTTTGTCATGTGAACTCCCACAACCGCTGCCTGCTCTTACACAACCTCTTCTATTTCACCAAGCGCGGCTGAACTACAGCAGCAGCTCGAGGTCGCGCAGTTTCCGCGATTCGTCCGTTTTTCTGTCTTCCTTTGTCCCCTGATCACTACCGCTATTGTTACGATTCTTAGGGTCGTTGACAGAACCAGCACTACTGCTAGCATTAACAGTACTACCAGAACGACCCCAGCCAGCAGCCCCTTCCGAGCCCATCATCAAACCAGAACCGAAACGGGGGAAAGAGCCGGCAGCGCCGCCGCGGACAAAGCCCATCTAGGAGCTGGCCGCGAGCTTGCCCGAAGCAGAGGCGGACTTGGCCTTCTCGCCGTCAAAGATGGCCAGCAGGCTCTTCCAAACCTGGTTGGGTTCCTGGGCGGCGTCGACAGCCTTCCAGATGCCCGTCTTCTTGTAGTACTCGACGACGGGGGTGGTCTGCTTGTGGTAGGTGGCCAGGCGCTTCTTGAGGGCCTCGGCATTGTCGTCGCTGCGCTGGACCAGCGGCTCGCCCGTGATGTCGTCCTTGCCGGGAACTTTGGGCGGGTTGAAGGTGACATGGTAGCTGCGCCCGCTGCCCGGGTGAATTAGACGGCCCGTAATGCGCGATACCAGCAGCTCGTCGTCGATCTTGAGTTCGATCGCGTGCTGCAGCGCCTGGTTGCGCTCGCGCAGCATCTTGTCCAGGCCCTCGGCCTGCGGAACCGTGCGCGGGAAGCCGTCCAGGATGAAGCTGGCAGGAATTATTGTTATTAGTCTGGTCTAGCCGACGCCTTGATTTTGGAAGGGCTATCGCGCCAAGAGCACAAAACTTACCCGCCCTTGCACGAGGGGTTGTTGTTGAGCTCCTCCTTGATCATATTGATGACAATCTCATCGCTGACCAGGCCACCGGCGTCCATGATCTTCTTGGCTTCCAGGCCGAGGGGAGTCTTCTTAGCGACCTGGGAGCGCAGCATGTCACCAGTAGCCTAGATGTCGCGATTAGCGATCCATTCATCTTCTCTTGAACTCTCATAGTGTTTGAGCTTACCAAGTGGCAGCAGTTGAACTTCTCCTTGATCTTGGGGGCCTGAGTGCCCTTGCCTGTATGCCGGGTGAGCGCAACGTCCGGAGATGTCCATAGTCTTTGCCAATGCCCACATACCAGCGCCAGGAGGGCCGATGAGGATCATGCGGACAGTGTTGTCCTCAACGGGCTTTTTCTGGGCCTGCTGGCCAAATTGCCTCTCCTCCAGGGCCTTGACCCGGCTCTCAATGTTGGCGATGATGCCCTGCAGGCGCTTGACTTCGTCCTCGAGGTATCCCATCTTGTCTGGTATCCGGTATCGGCTGGGCGAGGTTCTTCGGAGGGGTTGGGCTTAGGACGAAAAGAAGGCGGGGTCGCGAAGTGCCTGGGAGGTCTCGGGAGACGGATGCGAAGCGAATTGACCGCGCGAGAGGAAGGTCAGAGCGGGAGGAGCAAGAGTTGTTCCAGCAAAAGGACGAGAAGTTCGGGAACCTGAAAGGTACAGGTTGCTGGCTGGCCCGAAATTTTGATGGGGACTGGGGCCCTCTACCACGGCGGCCACTGAGCAGCCACTCTGGGGATTGGGGACGTGGATCTCTGTAATTTACACGCTGAGATGCAGGGTTACGCAGACGTTACACGTAGAAAATGCAGAATCCGTCCGCCACACGGTAACGATAATCTTGGCTGCGGCAGGCAGGAGCCTTTTTTTGGCCGAAACGGTCCAGGGTTGCCCGCTGGCGTTCAGGGTCCTTCCTCTGCTGTGTTGTGCCGAGTGCTCGCCTTCACACACCTGCACTTACAGCAACGGCCCGGAACCTGCTTTGGATCTAGCATGCTGTCAATGATGACTATGTGGTGCCTGGATGAGCTCTATGTTCTCTCGGAAAAATCTACAATAATTTGCTCCATATTCCAGCCAGAGCCTGCTCCTCGCCGAGCGCATTTCAGATCTTTTCCACGATCTCCGTCCCACGTCGCAGTCGCTGGCCATCCGAGGCACAGCTGAAGAGGCCTCTTTTTTGCAGGTTGCGCCCTGCGACCTACGGCAATCAGGAGCACCAATGGCCATGGCAGCCGATCGGCAATCCGGATGAATGGCCGTGCAAGCGGGGACGGTGCAGCAATCCCGAGGGCCACCGACCTCCACAGCATGTGGGCTCAGCATGGATTTGTCGGCTTGTCTCGTACGGTCGACATGTGTAAAGCTGTGTAAGGCAACCGATGTGAGCGTCCTCTATGGCGACATATTCCGGTGGTGAGGCCCCCACGCTCTTGTGTGAGTGAATTGTTGTTCCGACGGCTCATAGTTTGCATGTGTTGAGATCAAACTCACTCACAACGGTCTTCCAGTGAATGAAGACAAAGGGATCTCACCTGAGCCCGAATTCCTTTTACACCGTCCAGACAACGAGCTTGTAGCTCCAGTTAAGATATGCCAAGCTCTTCAGGCCCACAAAACTTGCAGCTAGTTGACATCATCCAAGCAGTCGGGAGAGCCAGAAGATGGGATTTATCATAAAATTACTTTCGGTGCCTCAAATCCATAGCAGTGGTATCTCACACCTAGGTATATCCCAAAGCCAAGCCGCATCCAGTGCTTGAGCAGAAAAGAAAAGGAACTGGCAACCCAAGCGTCAATAAAAGTCATTATGTAGTAACCCAATACCATACCATAACGCCATGCCCGACCCAGAAATTAGCTCTTCGAGCTGTCAGGGACACTCTCCTGATCTTGTTCTTGTTGTTCATCTCCCCAAAGCTGCTTGCTCTCCTGCTCGACAGCTCTCATGGAAATGGCCACCTGGTCCAGCTTGGCAACCACATCCAACACACCTTGATTGACCCTCTGGAAGTACCGATCATTCGCCTCTCTGCGCTTCCTGGCCAGCAAGATATCCACCTCCGTCTCTACCTCCTCCTCCTTGCCCTGTTGCTCAGCCCCAGCAACAAACCCACTACTCCCCGGCCTTGCTGCCGCTGCACTCATTGTGCCCGCTGTGCTCTTGGTCCCGTCACCAGCACCATCAACGCTTTTCGCCCCAGCACCGGTAGCAGTGACGGCAGCAGCCGCTTCTGACGTAGCCCCTCCCCCATCACCTCCAGCCCCAGCCCCTTCCGCATTCCCAGTCTCAATCGCCTCATCAGCTTCACTCCTCGCCCACGCTTGCGCAAGCGCGATCTGTGCCTTGCGTAGCTCGTCGAGCATGCGTTCGTGCTCAGGGCTGAAGATACGACGCCCGCGTACCCCTCCAGTAGCACCTCCTTGAGAGTCAGATCCTCCGATTGCTGCCCCAGCTGATAACTCAACTGCCTCCAGCGTAGCTTGCATCTCAGCCCATAGTGCATCAACCCGGTCGCTAGCTGGGCCTCGGCGTGAAGACGAAGCACGAGAGTCGCGGGATGGTGGACGGGGTATGGAGAGAGAAATAGAACTTGAGCGAGGGTGAGTCGTAGGTTGCCCTGCTGCTATCCCAGTTGGAGGAACCGTGAGAGAGGGGCCTGTACCGAGACCTGCGGTAAATGGGTTTTGGAGAGTTGTAGAGGCTGTTCCTGATGTGCCAGGACGTAGCGAATTGTTGGTTCCTGAAAAGGCAGTCGGGGGATTTAGGGTTGATGTGAATCCCGATGTTCCCCCTGAGGGGGGGCCTGGCTGAGAACCATGAGGAGTGGTGGACTGAGATGGTGGTTGAAAGAGAGAGGGGAATGGGCTGCGGGTGCTGGCTGTGCCTTTTGTGAGCTCTTTCTGGGACATTGTTACATTTTGGTCAAGCATTTGTTGTTTTTCAATGCAAAATTATTAAATTTTGGGAGTGGGTTGCTAGGCTCTCCAGCCCGTGTTCATCTCATGAACCCAACAGTGAGAGGTTGCCAATGACATGCATTTATCGCGGCATGCACATTAGCGATGATTGCCATGAAATTGTGTGCACGGGCCATGTCCACAGACCCCTCAGTTTTTGCCCCGGTGGGGTATTGTGGCCTGAGGCGGAATATTTTTGTCCAATCGTGGCTTGCATAGGGTTTTCACACCCTACTGGCAAACTCGGCGCCCAGCACCCAAAAAATATCAGCGACTGCTTGTGTGAACCTTTCCATCACGATCGCACCCAGTCCGTGACCGTCAACAAGTCGGTACGTTTCCTCCGCACCCGCCCGCCATAGCTTTCAGCCTTTTTGCTATTGACAGCCTCCCCCTCGACAATTCCTTTGAGGCTGACATCATCGTGATACAGCAAAAATGTCTGGTGGAAAGCCCCGTGGCCTGAACGCCGCGCGCAAGCTGCGCAACAACCGCCGTGAGCAGCGGTGGGCCGATCTTCAGTACAAGAAGCGTGCCCTCGGCACTGCCTACAAGTCCAGGTGTGCATCGATCGAGTCGTTCGGATCCAAAATGGCGGTTGGCTAATGTGTTGGTTGATAGCCCTTTCGGTGGTTCCTCTCACGCCAAGGGCATTGTCCTCGAGAAGGTCGGCGTCGAGGCCAAGCAGCCCAACTCTGTATGTTTTCTCCGATCTGATGGGATATTCGACCTCCCATGATGAAATAGAGTGCTTCGATGGCTTCGACTAACCCGGGTGATCAGGCCATTCGGAAGTGCGTTCGTGTCCAGCTTATCAAGAACGGCAAGAAGGTCACGGCTTTCGGTATGACTACCCCGACTACGAGATGAATTTGATATGGTCTGGATTTGGCGCTCACGAATGTATCTAGTCCCCAACGACGGTTGCCTGAACTTCGTTGATGAGAACGACGAGGTCCTCCTCGCTGGTTTCGGTCGTAAGGGCAAGGCCAAGGGTGATATTCCTGGTGTCCGCTTCAAGGGTCAGTTCTCCCGGTTTCCTGCCGCTATATTGCCTCTTTCACTAATCCCGTATAGTCGTCAAGGTCTCTGGTGTCGGTCTCCTTGCCCTGTGGAAGGAGAAGAAGGAGAAGCCTCGTTCTTAAATGCGGGGTTCGCAATACAAATTGGTTCGGGTCGGTATCATGGGGAGTCTGCTTGGCGTTTTTCACTTTGGCATTCCGTTTCCCGGTTCGGGCATCTGGGGATTCACGGTAGACGCGGTCTAAAAATAAGACATCATCACGCCGATGTAGCAGACGATGCATGTTTGGGAATGGCGCCATGTAATGATTGCATTGACTCTAAGGCTGGCTTTCTGGCTTTCTATGTAACAGGAGAAGTCTATGCTACAGAGTACATGATGGTATATTACACAGGCGCCTTCCACATACAAGTCGCCAAGCAGCACTCAATAACATCACGCCGATTCCGTTCGAGCCACCTCTTTCTCTGCCTGCGCCAAGTCCTTCTTGCCTTGTGTGTATTGCAGGAGGTAGTCTGCGCCCAGCCCAAAGCAAATGGCGCCGCCCGTGAACCAGCAGCCATTGATGAACCACCACCAGCAGTCCTTGACACTTTTAAGGTTGACCTTGTAGATCATGTAGCCCAATGTCGCCAGAGCACCACCACAGCTGCCAACGAAGAAAGCCGGACCAGCACCCGCTGCAATACCGGCCCCAGCAAGTAATGCCACCTGGGTAATAGCCAGCCCGGTAAGCACTTGCTTAGTCTCCTTCTCGTGCTTCAGCGCAATGCTCTTAATGCCCGCCTTAGCGTCATCCTTGATATCCATATGCGCGTAGATCATGTCGTACAACACCGTCCATGCCACATTCGAGCTGTACAACAGCCCCGCCGCAGCTGCCGCCGTCCCGTTGCTCAACAAGTCCACCCCGAGCGCGGGGAACCCCATAATCGCGCCCCACGAGAAGGTCAACCCGAGAACAAACTGCGGGTAGTATGTCACGCGCTTTGCAAGAGGGTATGTTGCCACCAACAGCAAGCTCGGCGTCGCGTACCAGAAGCAGGCTGGTGGGAATTGCAACAAGACTACTAGCCCGGCGAGTAACTGCCCACCGGTGAAAACCAGCGCCTGAAAAGGAGTCACCGCGCCGCGCGCGATAGGCCTTAGCCTTGTGCGCGCGACGTGAGGATCGAGGTTGCGGTCCCATAGGTCGTTGATTGTGCAGCCTGCGCCGCGCATGATAATTGCTCCGGCCAGGAAGAGGAGGGACGTGCTGATTACGGTGGTGGGTACGGCGATGGGATTGGCCAGGGGGGCCGCCAGCAGCGTGCTGAAGATGCACGGGAAGTAGAGGTAGTAGGAGCCGGCAGGCTTGTCGAGGCGGGCGAGTTCTGCGTAGGGAACCCAGGAGGGGGGCAGGTAGGAGAGGAGGCCTGTGGTCGGGGGGCGATATTCGGCCGGGGGAATTGGGTTTTCACGGGTGTCATTGGGGGTTGTGGATGCTGAAAGAGAGGAGGTGGTATGATACGTCACGAGGGCCTTAGGGGCATTCTGATAGGAGGCGAGGGCTAGTCGGCGACGGATGAAGAGGTTCCGGCATGGAGAAGAGATGTGGTTGAGAGAGTATGATGAGAAGGTCCTGGAGGAGGGAATGAGCCCTCGCCGAAGGGGCAGCCGGGCGAGGAGCCGGCTGGTGGACATGGTGGTTGTATGGTCAGGAAGATGACTCAGTTGGTCAAGTCTGAAGCTTGCGTCAATGAATTGATCATCTCTATCGTTTCATTCTTCGCGTTCTGCAGGCTCCTAAACTACTACTTACACGAAGCCAGGGCTGAACCCTTCCCTGTCAGAAACCAAAATGAGAAATATCTTACGCTGCCACCGAAGATTAAGGGAAATAAAACAAGAAGACAAGAATGAAGTTTTGAACGCCTCAGATTAATGCATTAATATTTGAAGTTCAAGGAGAGAAGAATGAAATGAAGCAAAGGAACCCCCTCAGTGGGTTTTTGCGAATTTCCACATGAGACCTCGGTTTTTCAGCCTTGCCATTTGGTGTCGTTCCTCGAATGCCAATTCTTCCGCATTATTGGTCACAGAGACTTGCATGTTCCCACAGCATCTCTCCACTTTTTTCAAGGCTGAGCTTCGATCAGCGGCCAATCCCTCCGGAATTTCATCCAAACTCGGTCATCGCGCCTTCCATTCATCGCACCGCATTTCCACCCTTCTTTGCGCCCATTGAGCTGGGCCACTTTCAGCGCAAGAATCCCCGACATGTCCCAGCGAGCGCATTCGGGTGCCATGCAGTTCGCACATCAACATCGATAATTGGCGCCCATATCCTCAACACTTCGCGACTCTCGATTTCCACACACGTCCAGCGCCCAGACAGCAATCGTTGACGACGAACTGACCATGCGACCCGTCACTTGAAGCCGTCGCAATGCCGACCGCGCTGCATCCTCAGGCAAAATTCGATCCCATCCCTCCAGATCTCGATCTTCACGGCCTCGTCGAGAGGACGCCGAATTTTCATTGGGTCTTGCGCGTCCCTGCTGCCCAGATCAGAAAGCTGGGTCCGCAGGAGTTTGAGAGACTCGTATATTTGCACGTTGTTCGCGGTGGAAAACCGCTCGTAATTGAGAAATGGAATGACTGGCTTCCCAAGTCTCTCTTCAGCGCGCGGTGGCTGGAGGCGACATACAATAAGAAACGTGCGCAGGCTAATACACTTCCTCGGGCTTCGACCCTGGAGTGACTGCCAGTTTTAGCTGACTACTTGCAGCCGAAATTGTTCGCGACATCGTCGCACAAGCAGACATCCCCATGACTATGGGTCACTATCTCCGATCGATGAAACAGCTTGCGAACCAGTGGACTCCGCATAACTTTCGCGATGAGCGCCGTCAACGACTGTACCTCAAGGACATCGACTGTCCTCCCGAGTGGGCAGCTCACCTCGCGACAATCATCCCGCCCAACCTTTGGTACCTCAATGAGAATGTGGACGAGCGACCGGGGAAAGCGCGCAACGATGACTTGAATCTGTTCCCTTCCGGCCTATCTCCCGCACCGGCGGGTGACTTGATGAGCAGCCTGCCAGAAGAGATGCGCGCCCAGAACTTGATGTGTTACATCGGTCACGAGGGTACATACACTCCGGCGCACCGTGAAATGTGTGGCAGCTTAGGTCATAATATTATGGTTGATGCATCTGGCGATGAGAACGGCGAGAAGCCCGGCAGCTCCATCTGGTTCATGACGGAAACGAAGGATCGCGAAGTTGTGCGCGAGTATTTTCTGTCCATGCTTGGCCACGACATCGAGATCGAAAAGCACTTTGCGCAGATAAACGCCTGGAAGAAGGCGACGTTCCCGGTTTACATCGTCGAGCAGAAAGTTGGCGACTTCATTTTGATCCCTCCTCTTGCGGCCCACCAGGTCTGGAACCGCGGTACCAGGACAATGAAGGTAGCATGGAACCGGACGACCGTCGAGACCCTGCAGAACGCTCTCCATGAAGCGCTACCCAAGGCCCGACTTGTTTGCCGTGACGAACAATACAAGAACAAGGCCATTATTTACTACACTTTGGACAAGTACTACAAGATCATGACAGAGGCGGAGAAGACCGCCGACATTGGCTTCCTTGGGTTTGCACAAGACTTGATTAAGAGCTCGACACGTATGAAGCAGCTTGCGTCCGACTTCAAAGCGCTTTTCAAGCTCTACACTGAGATCCTCGTCGACGAAATGTTCGCGACCCGGGAGAAGGAGGTTGAGTACATCCCATACGACTCTAACATCACTTGCTCTTACTGCCGAGCCAACATTTTCAACCGCTTCCTGACCTGCAAGAACTGCATACGGACGCTGGTCACTGGAGACGAGGATACCTACGATATTTGCATGGAGTGTTATATCATGGGTCGGTCGTGCTTCTGCGTCTCCAACCTGACCTGGTGCGAGCAGTGGCGCTGGTCCGAGCTTGTGGACAAGTACGAAACCTGGCGTGCGCTCATCATCAAGAACGATGGCTACATCAGCTTCGACAGCTCTCCTCTCCCCTTGGAGTTGGAGAGGAAGCGGACTGGCAAGAAGTCTGCTGCTCAGATTTGCCAGGAACAACTTCGCAAGCGGCCTTTCAACGACATCACCAAGGTCAAGCAGATGCCCGATCACGAAGGATCAGAGATTGAGGTCGACGAGAATGGTCGGCGCATCAAGAAGAAGGGCAGAAAGAAGAAAAAGGGAAATGTCTATCGCTGCCACGTTTGCGCTCACAAGGACTACACCTACAAGCTTGCTTTCTGCACCAACGAGGGCTGTACCGATGCCTATTGCTATGGCGTGCTCTACAGAGCATTTGACCTGATGCCCCAAGACGTGATGCAAAACGAGAGGTGGCAGTGTCCCAAGTGCCTCGAGATCTGCAATTGTGGTTCTTGCCGGAGGGCAGGCAACGGCACTCCTTACATTCCCAAGTCAACGTTCATCGGCCACGACACTCGTCGCATCGCAGATGACCGCAGTGTCGAATCGCTCGTTGACTTTCGTGTCCACAATCTCTCTTGGCTGAAGATCGGCGGTGATGAGGGCCGAAGTGTGTCCAGCAAGCGCATGCAGCGACTGCTACAGGCTGCCGAAGCTGAAAAGGCCAAGCACGTCGAGCTGGTTGGCGATGGATTAACCAACGGCGTGATCGCTCAGACTTTAACTGCCGCCTTGCAACAATCCGCTGCTAATGGCTGCAGCGCCCAGGGCAAGAATGCTGAGCCTGACGTTGCGCCTATGGGAGTATATCCTGCTCCTGGTGTTGAAAGCATCAGAGAGCATGCCCGTCCTGTGGTAGTCGCGGGCGCGTCTATCCGCGGCGATGAGTCATCGTACCCTGATCCAACAATTCTCGGCCGTAAGCGCATGCTTGGTATGGGCTACTACGAGCAAGATGACAGCCCAGACAAGATTCTCTTTGATCCTTACCAGGCACCAACAACCGAGAGTCTGGTTATCAACGACGAACCCAAGATGTCAGAGTACCTCAAAAAGCAGCTGCGTCTTGCAAAGCGCAGGGCTCATCAAGAGGAAGATGGTGATCCTGATTTCCGGGCGTCTCGTTCTCATTACAGGAAGAAGCCCAAGCTCGATGATAATCAGCCGGTTCAGCGTGATCACCAAGAAATTGCGCTGAGCAACATGGACCCAGCTTTGTTCAATGCTTACACTACCATAACTGAGGCTCCCACTAACGGAGAGCAGCGAGCCCTTCCTCCAGAAACGGCACCCCAACGGACAGCAGAGCCCTCTATCGAGCCGCTAGCGTCGGCAGCACCTCGTGAAGAGTCTCTGCATAGGCCGGTTCTTCGACATGCACGGTCGAAGATGTCGTACGCGGAGCAAAACAACGCCGAGGACGACATCGACGAGGTCATCAATCCGCGCTTGCAGAAGCCGCCAGAAAGTATCACGTACTTTAATGGGGACGATGCTGAGAAAGATCCTCTTGATGTGGCAGCCGCTGCTGTCCGGTCTATGGCCGCGCCTACAGCTGCTGCTGCACCTGTTGTACCTCCGACTCCCAACATTCCAACGACAACAGGCACGGGCAGGAAGAGAGGTCGGCCGCGCAAGTCGGAGGCTGCACCGCCGCAGCTTGAGCCTCAGCGAGAGCCTACTCCTCAGCCAGAGCCAGGGAGAGAGCAGAAGAGGGAAGGGTCGCAACCAGAGCAGCCGAGGCGCCGTCGTGGAAGGCCACCTAAGGCTCGGCCATCGACTAGCGCCCCTCCGGAAAGTGAGAAAGAACCCGAGGATGACATCGACGCCCAACTGGCGAGGCCACTCGATGCCTTCAACGACAACGGGGAGGCCATCGCCCAAGAAGCAGAACAGGCCCTGACGGAGGAAGTTCGTGTCGCACCCGAACCCCCCAGGAGACGCGGCCGTCCTCCGCGCAACCCTCAACCAAAACCCCAGCCTCAGCCCTCACCACCGCCAGCGAGACGAACGGAGTTTATGATCGAACTCCCCTCGCAACCGCTCATGTCCATAACCGAACGGATGCGCATGAGGGGCAAGAAGGTCAAGATTGTCGGGCGTAAGAGCACCAGCCAGGGCTCTGCAGCTCCCGTATCATCGAAATCGGCTACCCCCGCAAGGGAAAGCATCCACCGTGAAACTGGGTCCGCCCGGTCTTCCGTAGCACGTGAGACCCCTCCTCGTCGGCGTACCACTGAGGAGATAGATAAGGACTTTGATCCGACCGCCGAAGAGGAGGCCGCCTCAACCGACCGGCGTGCCTTCACACGGGCGACGGCTCCCCGCTCTACCAGCATATCGGCATCCCTTTCCCGCTCATGCTCCCACAGCCTCCCGGCATTGGCAGCAATTGAACCTTCGGCTTCTGCCTCCGAAGAATCCCAATCCGAATCCCGCTCCCGTTCCCCGCACCCACTCCCTCGCGTTCCCTTCGGTCTGACCATAATAAGGCTCGGCGACGACTCGGATGACGAGGAAGATGGCAGCTACCAGGCTTGTGACAGCCGTGACCAGGAGAGCGGGTCGGAGTATGGCGCAGGCAGAGGCAGACTTGATGCCGCTGCAGCAACACAGGAGCCAGTGTCGGAGTACGAGTCGTCGGACGATGAGGATGAGGATATCCCGGCGAGAAAGTTGACTGCATCTGTTAATGGCAGAGGCAGTGGACACAGAGGTTGGGGTGGTGCTAGAGGTGGGGGGAGAGGGAGAGGAAGACGGGACAGGGGACGGGGGAGGAAGAGCAATTAAGAATTGACAGGAATGTTTGGGGGAGTCAGGACAGTTGCATATTCTGAGCTGAGTGCTTGCTTCGTTGCTATGGTTATTACTACCCAGTGACAGAAAAGCTTTTATCAAAGTAAACGTGTCAACTGGTTGGGTTTTTATTTGAGTATCGCTGTTCTCTAAGGATGCCAATGGCTTGGGGGGTAGGCGTAGGATGGTTTCAGAGTTCGATACCACGTCGGTAGCGCAAAACCATTCAACCGGACATAGGAAGATCAACAAAAGTCTTACTATGCATCTGTTATCCTTAGCCAGTTTATACGAGCTGCCCATGCGTGACAGTAAAATGGTTGTGCCCGTTTTGCTCAATGTAACAATCCCAAACCTTCATTTTTTTATTCCCCAGACGTCCTCAATCAAACTTAGTGATGCCCCAGCTCTCTATCCATCTTTGACCTTCCATAGCCGCTAATAACCTCTTCCTTTACCCAATCTCTTGTAGCCCCATAAACGACGTCCCCTCATCAAAATCAAAATCAAGCCTTCTCCTCCAACCCATCCGACACACTAGTCCCCTTCTTGGCCCTCTCCTCAGCCGAATACTTGGTCTGCTCCTGCAAAAGTCGAATCGACTCCGGGTCTGTCTTGCGCGGACCCGATCGATCTGCCTTCACACTCTCCTCGCTCACGCTCGCCAACTCCGGCTTCCAGTGGCCCTTGCCTTGCTTCTGCTTCTCCAGAGAGTCGCGCTTGTGGATCTCCGTCGATTCAGAACTTAAATCTGCTTGTATCCCCCGTATTTATGGGGGAAGGCGTTAGAGGTGGTGTTTGGCAGGGATTTCGGGGGAGACATTGAGGAACAGGGAAAGGGGGGAACAAATACCTATTGCGTCTTCTTTTAGACCGCCGGGGGCATCCCGGCGAAGGGAAGTTTGTGTAAGGGCCCGCCGGGCGGTTAGGGACGTGAAAGCTAGACGCTGGGCATGGACGCGGGAGGATGCGGTGAGAGTTAGGAATGCTGAGGACATCTTGGTGGTGTTATATCTGCTCAGATCGATAAACGGAGAGATTTAGTGGGATGCTGATTGTTCCTTCGAGTTGGCCTGATGTTTTAAGTCTCTGTTTTTTGTGTTGGTGCTAGAACGCAGGGACGGATAATCTAACTGGCCTTGGGAACTAATTTGAAAATTGTGACACTCGGTAAGCTTGTGATAATCAGCAAGATGAAAGTAACAGGCTATAGATGATAATAACCGGTTCTATAAGATTCAATATGGGAAATTTTAAGGCAGCCTTGTCCTCGTCAACAGGGCAAGAGCAGCTCAGTAGGATAACCTCCCAGGCCTCGAGCTGCCGACACTCAGCGTGTAATCGACGATGACGTCATTACTGAGTGGACCTCTGTTCTACTTCTTGGCGGGATTTTGCCATCCGTTTCTCATCAAGAGATCGAGATTTCGGGGCCCAACTCAAGGTCATGTTGGCTCGTTTAGTCGATGTGTATCAATGCCATTAGCTGCTCAACTATTCTCTTATCTGAAGCGTTTATTCTCTTCAGTGTCAAAAGTGAAGCTCTGAAACTCGATTGGTAATAGAATGCGGGGCGCGGCGATGGACTGAGCAACGCCGCGCTGCTGCGAAGCTTTCAGGCTTGATGAAGTGACACAACAGCCTGGAAGAGGGTGATCATAGCAATTAGATGCCATTTATTTGGAAAGCCCCAACATATTCGCGAACTGATATTGTTATGACATGTGCCAGACATTAAGTTTGTGCGAGATATGCCCCTATTTTTGAATCACGAAACAACACCCGCGTTCCAGAACTTGCGACTACTACTTGAATTTACCACAATCAACGCTGACCTTTCCGAGGAAAATTTAACGCACAAGACATAGCGCCAAGACGTATTCTATGCTACAGGAAATGAGTGGCTTTGGGAATATCGTTCTGAGTTTTATTTCCTCTAGCACAGCCAAAGCTAAGACAAGGCCATGGACAAGCTCAACACATTGAAGTCGTAACACAACACGAGGAAAGTAAACAAGCCCCAGCCAGGAACAAGCAAAGGGCATTACAAACATCTACGCATGGGTCTTGTCTCTGCCTCAGACGGCGGCAACACAAGGCCGAATAAGCTCAAACCTGGCCCGATCGGGGTCGCCCGGCCCTCGGCCCGGCAGTCTCACACTAAGCCCAATCTCCAATACAATGAATTGCTATCATCATCAGCGCCTGTGCACTAATGCCCGACACAAGGGCCCAGTCAAATGGCGATAATTCGTTGGCCATGACATGAAGCACGCGACCAAAATTCCGTGGCAGTCAAAAGCGCTCGCATGTTCTGTGGGGCAACCGCGCAGGAGATCATCGCTTGTTCAAGTCAACAGTACCCAGCATAGCGTCAATTGGATACGTGGTTCAATCCGGGAAGGATTCCGATTTTCTCTGCTGCTCTGGGTGCTAGAAAATATCCCTTCCGAAGCCCCGAGAAGAAAGGGGCTGGATAGATAGGGCCAAAGACACCGCTCAACCCGAAAAGCCAAGAAAGTTGTGGATATTCTCGCGACTCCACTGCCGGAGGAAGACGGAGTCCGACGGATTGTTTAATGTGTACTCAGTCTGCCAGGCGGCGAGACCGCCCGTGTGGACGGTGAGATGTGGGCAGACCGAGGTGATCGCGGAGGTCACACCATTCCTTTTGAATGGAGGTAGTCTATCTAAGTCAGTAGTAACAAGTTTGCCCGTAATGTTAACAGCACAGCTGTTGCCTGGCAAACTCGATCCGGTAGGGCTCGGATCAACTTAGAAGACGATAAGACTATCAACAAGCGAGTGGCCGCTTGACTTGCTGCTTGGTGCCGCACGGATGGCATGCAGCTTGCCCATGAAGAGAGCGGGCAATCTGCAGACTGCAAACTGGCCACATGTCGTCCTCATCTGAGCCTTTTCAAACTACCCCGCTGTTGGTGAACGACGAAGAGGCGAGCCCGCTGCAGACGGGAAGCACACCCGAATTCGCAAGCAACAGCTGAGAGCGCATGGTGTAAGGAGGCGTGGAGACAAGATGCGATTGGACAGCGGTAGCTTGACCGCCTTACAGGACCATTCCTCTCTCACCAGCTCCTTTATAGATGCACACAGACAGGGCAATATAAGAAGACATGGCGATATCATGGTGCGCCCTCTCAGAAGAACTCAGCAGATGAGCGGCACGCACTCACACCCACGAACAACCATAACAACTGTGATGTCGTTTGCATTGTCTCTTTTTGTCCGTACCATGCTTTCCCATTCCCCTCCATTCATCCATCCAACAGCAACACCGAATGGATCTTGGAAGCAAAAAGCGGTGTGTGATGGTTTCCATCTCACACTCATTGCAGCAGTTGTTTTCCCAGTTTTCCCCCCGGCCCAGCAGTTGTGTGTTTGTCCGCCAGTCGGCTTCTGTGGACGAAGAAGCCGCTTCCATCGCCTGCTCCATGATTGGGCCGCGACCTGCTCTGTCAAGCAGCAGAACAGCAGGACAGGCCAGGCACGAGAGTTTCGGCCATCCCGTGGCCCGTGCTGCGCCCTGGCCAGAGGGGTACTTCTGCTTGGCACAGTGTCAACTGACACTGGGAGATCTGACATAGCACTGTTTCCAGTCCAGACAGGAACCTGCAGCATTGCGAGTATCTTTGTTTCAAAGTCCCATGACATCCCTTGGGACTGGTGCTCGAGTCATTCCAAATCTAATCTCGCTCTCGCTTTGGCCCGTCTGAACTACCCGGCTCAACTCAGCTACTGAGAGCCCAGGGCGATATTTGCAAATCGTTCTTTTGGTGAAAATTGTGATCTTGTTGCCTGCATACGCACTAGGTTTTCACTTGAGGACAACCAAGACATCACGATGCCGTGAAGTCTGGTGAAGTCTCGTGTTGTGTCACCACACTGTACAGTGGATTAGGGTCTCGTGGAAGACTGTGTTGGGCTGAGCCACACCAAGGGTGTGCTGGATGGGGAGGGTTCGTCCAACCCTCCCGCTCTCGCTGGGCTTCTCTCTTCTAGGCTGGGCATTCTGCCCGCATGCAACCCCACTGGCAAGCTATCGGGAGCGGCGGGCGGCGAATAGCAAGTCGTGGGACAGAAGCGCAGGTTCACATAGCTCTGCACTGGTGGTGCAGGTGATGCGAAAGCTTTTTCTCGATCGCAAGATGATCGCTCCATTCCCTCTTGTCGAGGTCAACCACATTAACAACTGGTAACACGTGTTTTGGATACCGAATGTATCTGGCCAGATGGGCAATGTCCCCCAACGTGCATCTAACTCCATTGATGACCCCCTCCCGCTAAAACACTTCGATGGGGTGCGCACGGCGGTGCCAGGCATTTGGGTTTCAAGGGGAAGGAACACCCCTCGATCGAGCTGCCTCCTCCACCTTTTCTCACTTGATCTCGCTTGCGGCCCTGCCGGATCACTGGTCAACATTCATCGTTACATGCTCTGTCCTCGAATCAACAGAACAATTAATATCTGGGGGGGGGCTGCCCAGTCCCGGCTGTTGATGAGCTAAAATGGCCCGCCCCGCTTCAGGCACAAAAGACATTTGAGGTCGTTATGTAACCGTTACCTCTACTGATTGCTCGTCGACAACGTTGATGAGCAGGAAGCCTCAGCGAAATGAGAACATCAAGAGCTCGTTTCTCGCCTGTGATCACTGTGATGAGGTCGCCATTCGCTATTGATGAGCCATGGAGCCAGCACACACAAGAATGCAACCCCCAGAAAACGGAGCCCGTCAAAAGCCCGGCCCAGAGTGCCCCTTTTGTTAACCCCACCCATAGAACAGTCTCGGAAGGGTGGGGGGTTGTTCTGCAGTCAAGCCCCGAATTCAGATGGGAAGACCGGCTGCCAGCAACCGCGTCCAAAGTCAGGCCCAATATCATGGTTGTGATGACCTTGCTAGTTATGGCTACGACTTACTCAGATCCTGCAGTCGATCTCTCGCTGTTCCCATAGGAAGTCGTAGGTAAAAAGGCAGCGTCAGTCATCCGGCGAATACAGGCAGCTGGTGAGAGTCAAGCATTTTTTCAAGACATCCACAAGGTGGGGTTGTGAGTTGCCTCCGTCGTCATGCAGCTCTGACAGGCGCACATGCCGGCTGATAGGGCATGTCAATGATACCTTATGGTCGCTTGCCGGGCATCGAAATAATCGCGAAGGCTTGTAAGCGGTTTGCTGTGCCCAGACTGTACATCGATAATATTGGAATGCCGACAATGGAGCGATGGTGAGAAGCGAAGATTGCCCAAGAATGCTATTGTTCGGGTCACTCAACGCCCGAAATCAAACGCCTGAGAGCAGCAGAGCGTCACAACCGCCAATCGGTGTTGAGCCTGGCCAGCATGTTCAACCTTCAGCTGTTGTGGCTGCCGAGCCTAGGCTTACATAGACCACGGGATCGGCATCCTATCGATTGCCAGATCCGGTTCTGTGTTCCTGCCTGCTGACCAACACTCAAATTGATGCCAAGTGAACAACCCCAGATGTTCCCCGGATCGATCTTATCGGGGACCATGCGTTTGTCGACACACCATGACATACGAGTGGCTCAGCTCGAGGGAGAGAGGGAGGGAGGGAGGGTGATATTAACGTCGAGACCGACCGGTCTCCCCCTGGCCGCCCAGAAGCCTGGAGCTTCGTCGCAGTCAGGAACCATCTGTCAGGAGCATGGAACGTAGCGATGATGGAAGCTTGCCGCCACAAGGCTGGCCCTAACCGATTGTGCTTGCTTGCTCCCAGGTGGCCAATGGCCGCTTGCTCGGCGGCAGTTTTGGATCATGCACCGCAAGCCGCCCGCCGCGGGCATGGTTGCTGCAATGTGCACAAGACCCGGGCCAATTGGACAGCAGACACCCGCTCGAGAGTCAACAGGCGCCTGTGTGCATTGTTGCCGCTTTTACAAGACTATTAAGCTTCTGGGGAACCTGAGTGACGTTAATCAAAATAATGTATGGTTTTGCGTTTGTTCACTTGCCAGAAATGCAAGCTGGCCGTTGGTGTTGAGCTGACGGATGCTTTCACAGGTCTACAGAGCTCCGCAGCAAGGCGAAATGGCAGGCGAAAAGCCGCGCGCTGATCACAGTGAGAAGTCAGCGGCCAGTGGACCGCAACACAACAAAGCATATGGATTCCGGGAACCCTCGTCTGGGCCACCAATATTGACCGGAACCGCGACTTGGGACTCGATGCTTACAGCACCACACTAATGACGATGACCTTGTCCCAATGTTGTTGTCTCTTCGTCTCCAGTTTTTCTTGTCTTGGTCTTCGAGAACGCTTCACTAACATCGGGCCACGTCGGGTGACGCTTATGGCCCGGTCGACAAAGACGCCAACCTGGAAGAGCTGGGTGGAGCTCGAAGCATCGTTCTACTTCCAGCTCCAACCACAGCAGGCCAGCACGGCCGGTGCTCAGCGCCCAGCCGTTTTCGGCACTGGTCTGCTGCCCGCTGAGTCGCTGCTGTCCCTGCTGCGGGCTGCTCCTGCGCTGCTGCTGGCTGTGTCGAAACGCCTGTCCAGGACCAAAAATTGCACGACAACAGCAGCACATTGAGCTAAGCCACTTACGGACTAGTACAACACCTTTGGCCAATTGAATGTGAGAAGTCCCCACCTCTCGCTGCTGGTCTTGCCACCCTGCCCGCAAGCAGAGTGGTCAGTGCATGGCAAGTGAGTGGTGGGCGTCCGGGGTCCTACCTCTCTCGTGCATTAGCGCACGCCCCTGTCGATGTCCCCACCACTCTGAGCCGTTGTCCAACCCTTCCGCCGCTCCGGCTGGGACCCTCTTGCCTTCGCCTCTTTTTCTTACTTTACCCTCACCTTCCCCATCCCCACGTCCCACCAAAAAAACACATCCTCTCAAAATTGCTGTTCCTCCATTTTGCTTTCTCCTCTTCCACTTCCACTTCTGCTCCCGCTCCCACATCTCCATCTCTCGTCACCTCACCTTAGCCTCCTGACAACATTCCTCTTCTACGTCCACTTCCACACCCTTCCCTATTCCATCCCGACAGTTTTGCATACGCCGAACCGACGCACGTCCCCTACGACGCTCGGTTCCTTAGTGCTTCTCGTAACAACAAAAAAGGCATTCTGTCGGCTCGGTCCACATTTTGTCAGGCAAATTGTCGGCTTAGATTTGCGTGCTTTGCCTTTACCCCTTAGCTGCTGTTGCTACCACCTACCAATCATAATGTCTTCGTACTACTTCGGCGCGCACCCTCAGCCTACTCCTGCGACGGCTGCTCCCGTCTCCCACAGCCACCATGGCGGACGCAATCGCAGAGCGCCGAGGCTATCCGTCTCGCAGAACCCCCAAAAGCAGTTCCGCGGCGTCCGAAGCATGAAGGACTTGACCGAATCCCTCAACATCACCAACTTCCGCATGAAGTTCGAAGCGCACCGGTCCTTCGACCTCGAAGATGACATGGAGTTTTGCCCGGGGCTGTTGACAGAGAGTGATGTACGTCTACCGCCGGCAGTGGTATTATAGTATTGATGGTGCTTGGACCCCTCCCCTGAACCATAGGCTGACTCTTGTCTTCCCCCGCAACAGCTCATCTCCATCCACAGCTCGGCTTCTGAGCGCTCCTCGCTGGCCAGTAACTCCCCTCAAGGCTCGCCTACTCAGCAGCCTACCCAGATTGCCACGGCATTCACCCTCCACTCGGCCTCTCCTGCCTTCATCCCTCCGGCCTTCCAGCCTCAGCAGTCTCCCTTGAAGCTCCACCAGCCCTCTGCCTCTCGTCCCCGGAACCCGATTCCGATCGTCAACCCGGTGACTGGCATGAGCATGTCGAGCCCGCCGCCCTCGGTCTCCCCTGCGCGGGTGCAGCAGACCGTCGGCAGACGGTGGTAAGATGCTGGCCGTGATGTCTCGCTTCTGTGAATGCCCAGACGAGACTGAGCCGACCTGAGGCCGTTTGTCGTCGTTGCAAACAGGACCTGTAAAATTATCTGTGTGTATTCGCTCATTTTCAGCTGTTCATCATCTTGGCGGCGGGCACCACCGACATTCTCGACAACTCAGCAGGCATCGATTATTTCTTTTTCTCCACCTCTGGCAGGCAAGGGATACGACAACAAGTACCTGGAGTTTTCAAGGTCGACTGGATCCTCGACTTCCTTGGCAACTTTCATCTTGGCGATACCCAACCCTGTACAACTTCTTGTCTTTCATCGGCTTAAAAAAGCTTCTCTTGCTTGGAAGCGGCAAAAAAGTTCTTCTTTACGTTTCTCCGGATGGCGCGACTAAAGATTTAATCGATACCTGGGACGGCGGTTTCTACGGATACAACGTTCAAAATGACGTCGGCGCGGTGTTTCCCGATTCCCTAGGGTGATGGGGAGCTCTTTTTGTTGTTTCCAAAAAAAATGGGCGTTTCCACGGCGGTTTTGCATCATCCTCAGCAAGCCAACGTTTTGCATCGGTGTCTAACGGAGTTTCCGGGTTTGGTTTTGTTTTCAGCGATACCATACAATACGGTGTTTGGGCGCGGTTTTTCTCTCTCGGGTCATCACGGAAGCGGGCGGCGGTTTTCGAATCCCCATACGATAAAAAAAGCGTTGACGGTTCCTCTTTCTCACGGGTTTACGACAAAGAAAAAGACGTGTTTCGATTTATAGAACGACGGCTTTTCTTTCTCCGGACGGACGGTCGGACGGGGTGGGTGTAAGGAAAGGAAAGGGGTTTTCCGGTGTTTGTGTTATTTTGCAAACCTTTGGGTGTTCTCGATCTCAGCTTTGGGGGCTACTACATGGGCAAATATCTTTGGCGGGAGGTGTGTGGGCATCGGCGAAAGAAATCATTGTGCGGTTTTCTGTTCTTTGGAGAATTTTCCATCCAAAGTGATTTGGTATTTTCCGGATCATTCACGGTTCATCATCAGGGGCGGCAAAGGCAAGGCAAGGCAGGCATGCTAGTGGGGTGTGGAGTTGGTTCATAATTCCTTATTTGTGTGATTTTTTGTTGTTTCACTGTATCATGGGTTTGATGGCGGGCACATAGCATAGGCATGGCTACGGCTATTGCTTTAACATCCGCTTTTTATATCCATTTTATTGTTCGTATTTGTTCTTTTATGGGTCTGCATCATCATCTCATGGATTACGGTATCATGGCGGATTTTAGGTGGGCTGGCGGAGTGTCGGTGGGTGTGATTTTGATGCTGTGGCATTGCTTTGCTTTTAGCAAGGTTCCCCTGATGGATTGAACTGTTGTTCAAACATGAAAGCTGTTATCCCACCCTTTCTTCGGAGACTTTCCCTTTTTGCTTTTGGTGTGTTGTGTCGTCAGATGATTTTTGCTTGCCTGTAAACCTTACGTGTCCTGTAATGTTTACCTACTTTATAGCCGGTGTTCCATGGTGTTTGTAACAGTAGTTTGTCCCCATCTGAGCTGGATTGAATGGCATGAGATAGGATTTTTGGGTAGGAAAGGGGTTTGGCATGACAGCAGCGATGATCTGCATGTTTGACGAGTATTGGATACACTAAAATAATGAATCAAGCATATTGCTTTTCTCCTGACAACTGGATGGATGGTAAAACTTGAAGTGATATTAGGGAAGTTGGGAGTTGAAAGTGGTGAAATGTGGTTGACTTTTAAAGTCTGGATAAGCCATGTGGTTCAGCCTAGTGAATTTTACTAATTTTTTCCCCTTTTTTCTTCGACCTTGATATTATTGTGGTGTAGATACTTCTGACTCAACACGACAAATCCAATATTAGTCTTGAAACATACAATACATTGCTGTTGATGAGCGGTCCATGCTGCGGTCCAGCCCGCAGTTCAAGCTTTGAGCTTAATATGAGGTTTCAACAAAGCTTCAACAAGATGTGAGTTGTTCACAAGTTCTTGGTCCACAAGTAGTGAGAAATGGCACCATGCTGTTCTGGCAAGCATAACATTGCGATGTTTTCAGAATAAAGAAAAATGTCAAGGGTTCAGAAGGTGAAAAGCTGGAAGTAAGCACCTCTGTCTCCACATATCTGTAGAGTCTTCATGACTTCAATCGCCATGTTCTGAGCGTGAAACTTGTAAATGAATAAGTCCTACTCACTGTTAGCTTCATCCGCCCTCAGTTCGACAATCGCATTGTTAGCTGGGAGATGGTTAGTTGTTATTGCGATTCCATCTGGCGCTTCCACGCATAGTATGATGCTGGCCACTCTGAAGCTGCATATGGACACTCACTGGTCTCAGTGTGCTAGTCTTTGGGATACACGGATCTGTCCATCTTTTGGGCATGGGCTAGTATAGTGGCTTTCTTCAAACTTATATACCTGATGTGATTGTCTCTTACATTATCAGACAGTAGAGAATTGTCCTGAGGCAGGAAAGGGAGCAGACATGAGATTGTATCGATCTTGAATAGCTGAAGTGTTAGGGCACAAGAATTCTTATCATGCTTTCATCACAGATAGTCCCTATATTCGATCTATGTAGCTCACACGTATGTTCAGAACTCTTAGTCAACATATGACTCCTGGACAAAGCCCAAACTATTGGGGGGAGTTAGCTGAACTTGATAAATCGGTCTTGTCGGGTAAATGGGTTTATATGATTCGCATAGCCCCAAACTGCTCTGACAGTCATGGCGTTTGCTTCTCGAATTAACAGCGGATGTTCACTCGGCGTTCTCATCCAGATGTTGTTGGAGATCGCTGATGACACATCCTCGGATTGTATTTCATAAAGATTCCTACAAAGTACTAATCTGGACTAAGCGAAATATTACTACCTGTTAAAAAACCTTGGGAGACATCATGTTTTTCCATGCCATCATCATCTTGAACGCGATCTCAACTGTACAGCAGGTACCCAAATCTCTTTGTATGTTCGCCATTCTATATGATATCACCGCAATCCCATGTCCTACAAACTTTCGCCCTATAAAGATTTGTTTGTCTTCGGTTCACATGGCCCATGATAGCCGCTTTTGCCATGGACACGGCGAGTGCAAGGCGCGATGATGTTTCCCTTCACTTTCCCCGGGTCAGCCCCGCTCTCCAGAGGCTTGCTTCCTGGTTGTTAATAAAGTTCCTCGCTTTCTACTCAGATCCACGATTCTTTTCTCGATTTTTTCATTATTCTTCACTTCTTTAAGGTGGGTTGACGTTGGCAGCGCTCTTCATCTCCAACAGCACATTATAAAGGCAGACTCTACAAAAAGAAAGCTTTGGGAAGAGCTGTTGATGCTGTTCAGCTTACCATCATTTCAAAGTAGCCATTAAGTACAGAAATCGAGTTCCTCCTTCAATATATCCATCATGGCGAGTCCGAGTCGTTCCATGCCAACTCCCACTCTGGGGTCGGCGAGTGTTCCTCCCCCTGCTTCACAGACTGCTACGCAAGTAAGCATCACATCACCGGCCGGGTCTGACCCGACTGATCGGTAAGTAGAAAGTTCCATAACAAGCGTACTGGGTCTCGCAAGTCTCGGAACGCTTGCTTTCTCTTTCCCGCCCATTCTCTCCAAGATACCAGGGCATCGAAACAATCGAACAGTGAAACACCGAACATGGCTAACCCAATTCGACTTCACCAACAGCTGGCTCACTGACCGCATCGTCACGGTGACGGTTGGAAAAGAGGAGAAGAAATGGGCCGTCCACGAGAAGCTCCTCTCGAGCAAGTCGCAGTTCTTCAACCAGTACTTCAACAGCGCCGACTCCAACGTTAACCGCGATGAAATGAAGTTGCCTGATGAAGACCCTAAGTTGTTTGGCCTCTTCATCCGCTGGCTCTACGGCAATGCCTTCGCCACCTCGGGCGGCACCCGTCCGTTCCGTTTTCAGCCGCCTGATGGAAAGGACGTTACCGTTCGCGACTAGTAAGCATACACGTTACTTCTAAAAGTGAACTGATGCTGACGACTCCAAGCCTCGCTCTCTACGTTCTAGGTGGCAAATTCGGCATGGTCGGCTTGCGCAACGCAGCCATCGATGCACTTTACACGCACTTCGGCGAGGTGACGGATTTCCACGAGTCGCCCAACTTCGAGGATATCGACTACATCTTCACCCACACGACGCCTGATGCACCGATCCGCCGCTTCCTCATCGTCCACGCGCTCTTCTACCTCTTCAGCAAGGGCCGTCGCAACGCCCCTCTGCCCGCCGATTGGGGCAAGGTGCTCTGCAAGAATGGCGAGATCGGCTGGGCGATGATTCGCATGCTCGCGGACTGGAACTGGACTATGGGCGTTAATGCGCCGCCTATGAAGGTCAAGGCGAGGTACCAGTTCCATGAGAAGGAGGCTGAGTCACCCAAGATTAAGCCCGAGAGACCGGATGCCGTGGAGATGGGGACTATTCCGAACATTGATGTCGACTGAGCTGGTCAGGAGGGAAGATATTAATTTTATAGATAGCGGAGTTCGTATCCATGATGGGGGAATCTAGGGACCTAAAAGAGTTGGCATGGATGGGATGCTCTTGTTCATACCAGCTTAATGCCAAACTTGAGAGAAACAAGTATTTGGACTCTTTAAGTTGGGCTAATTCGTGCGGAAAACACAAAGCAGGTCTAGAAACCTACACCTGAACTAGTACAACCTAAGCTCGTTGATATAATTTGCAGCCCTTCGGGTCCTTAAGCAGATGCGTTGTATTCGAGGAATCCAGGTTCCCGTTAATATGGGCAATGAATCTTAACTTCCCTCGAGTAATAACTGGGCAGTAAGGATTGTGGTTGTAGGCCCGGTGTTGAAGCGGCAAGAACAAGGAACTATTCCTGTGAAGTTCTGCGTCTCTCCTCCTCGCTCTTTCTCTTGCCTCGTCAAGAACGTTGACGAGGTCAGCCGCTTCTGGTTGTCGATGGACTGTTGCTTCCTGATTTCCAGGGTAAAAGATTTGATGCCAACACATGAAATCTCGGCCAGCCTGGCTGAAACTCTCCATTCTTTGTCGGTGCTACTCTTCCATCAAGTGACCACAGAACTACCAGTATCAGTTTGTCATCACCCCTAGTAACCAACTTTTCTACTTGATGAGCTTTCCAAACATCAACTCCACTTCCTCTTAACCAATACCCACGGCACCAACAATCAGCAATGGCGCCAGTCGAGAGGATCAAGAACAACGGCGAAAGCAAGGACCCTCAGCCAAACAATACCAAAAATCTTCAAACTACGTCCAACCCCGAAGTCATCGTCGACGCCGAGCCAGCATCAACTACTCCGCCAAGCCCCGACTCTTCTTCGAACTACACCACAGCCCGCTCCAGTCTTTCCCTCCCTCCGAACTTTCGCGTCGCCGCCAAAGACGACAGAGCTGAAAGCGTCTTGCGCTTTGGCCCAGCCAGAGCCAGAACGGTAGAGCCGGTAGCGCGGGCAACGTCTCCATTTGCAAATATCAACACCCCTCAGCGGCCGGCTTCGACCCCGGCCGGCGGGAACTGGCACATTCGTCATCGGCGTCAACAGCAGCAATCTGCAACGTCACAAAAGGAGCCCGCCGTGCGTCCCAACAGATTTGAGAGAGCGCACGGGAATCTGACTGTCCCATCGCTGCCGACGCAACAGGGGGATGCCACCTCTGAACAGCGGGAACGGAGGACGGAACCCCATGAGCAGCCCGAATTTGGGAACGGAGCCGGCTCCCAGTGAAAGGCCGGGGAAATTGCAACGAATTCGAGCTCGGTGTCGATGTATAATTAAGTGGCTCAAACGTTTGCTCAGATTCCTGGTCCACCTGTTCTTGCTCGATCTCTTCACAGAATTAGTCTTCGACGCCATCTCGTATCAGCTTTCCGCACTTGGTATTTATCTGGCGTTTTCCCTTTGCGGCATATTTCTCTACGCTGGTCGAGCCGCAAGGACGGCCATCTATATTACCTGGCACTTTGCTACCTTTCCTCGGCAAATCTTTCAGTTTGTTTCTGAGTGGGCGGCTTGGTGGCTCGATCCTCCCCATTACCAGTTGTCTTTGTCGGCGTTCCAGGTAAGGGAGTGTTTCGATCAACTTCTTGGTTGGACGCGTCCGGTGATCTCTGCAAGTATCCGCTTAGCTCTCCGCATAGAGACTGCCCTTCTTGACATGGTCGCCCAGCTCGCCACCCGACTTTTCGGGCAGATGATTCAACGGACATTCGTCAAGCAGTGGGTCCCAGAATACCCGGGTTGGAGGAGCGCCCATCGTTAAGGATCCGACGACAATGAGATCGGCTGAACAAAACAATCAGGAGTGATCGGGTTCAGCTGATACAACCATGGCATCGAACTCTCGAACCCGAAGTGCGAAGGGGAGACGTAAGGCAAATGGAAGGGCAAGAGGAGGAAATGGAATCATGTCTAGCAAAGGCAGAAACTCCTGACGAAAGGGAAATGACAGAAGACCGACGCAAAAAGTAAAAAGGACGGAGTTGCAATATGAGGAAGGGTGATGGGAACAAGAGGACCCAACAAGCTCGAGATTCGGTTCTTGGCCGCATCTTTTCGCAAAAGGGAGCATTGAGTTTTGTTGCGGGCAAATAGTGACCAGGGGGCTTTGGTGCTCTCTGATCCACGTCATGGTACCGAGATGCAATAGAGGTGTTTGGCTATGGCGATGTGGCGCACTGACAGCCCGAACTTGTCGCTTGTTGGATGTTGCCGATATGGGCTGGCTAAGAAACGGAGGAGTGGGGGGTTCTCCTGGCTCTGTCGAGAGTGAAGTTGGTACTTTCAAACTTGAAGAGCTCAATGGGAAGCATAGGGGTGCTGATGCCAGGTAGTTGTTCATGTGATATATTAGCGTAACAATACTAGCGTTGTTATGAGCGAACTGGACATCTTCCTGTCCGTTGTTAGCCCTGAGCAATGGTTCTATGGTGAGAACGTGTTCTGGGGCGCGCTTACGGACTGTGGCTTTCTAGCTTATTTTACTTCTCAGCATTCAGTGGCCATGTGTGCTCTATTCTTGGCTTTTCCTTACTTTGGAAGAACGCGTTACGCGCTATATTCCGTTCTTCCGTTGCTCACGGAATGCCCAGATGCTGGCACATGGCAATTCCAGGTTATAGTGTCACTGAAATGACATCGGCATTCCTCTGGGTTCCTTAAAGGCCAGATGAGCTAGAGGGTAAGATAGTACCAACCGCTGTCGTGAGACAGGGCAACACGATAATTGGGACATGGCAGGGCTATTGTGTACCTTGAGTGAAGTGCGAGCTCTGCAGCCTTGCGTCGTTGTGGTGACAAGATGAGGCGCAGGGGCTTGAGGGTCAAACCGGGCTAGCAACTTCATCGGTTGCTTCAAGCTCCAGGTGGGCGCACCTCAAATGACGTTTGCTCACCAGAGCCACTATCCACTTGGAAATAATTCGTCACGTTAGTTGGGCCAGATACTCCCTCATTTATCCAACCCCCTAGCCTTAATAAATCGACTGATCTGCTCCCGCGTGTGCTTATCATTGTATTGCTCATGGCACTCATAAAACGAGATCAGCTCCTGTGTGCAGTCTACCATGGCGTCGATATCAATATTGCTGTCGGCAAGCCACTGTGCGAACCGCTGGACCTTAGCCAGCCTAGGGTCTGTGGCCTTCTTGGGCTGCTCGCTGCCAGCCGCTTGCCCAACACCCGAGGCTCCGCCCATACCGTCTGCCCCCTGAGATCCGCCTGCCATCACGGCCGCCCTGGCTTGCGCCTGTTGGGCCTGCGCCTGGGCGAGCGCCGATGCGGCAAGTGCAACTCCCTGTGGCGCGTTAGGGCCTGTCGCAACTCCGACGGCTGATCCGGTGCCGGCTGGCCCGGGGCCCGTGCTACTATCCCTGCTGCCGCTGCCTCCGCTGGGGCGGAGCACCAGCGCAAGGAGGATTGCTGTGAAGGCGACAATGTGCGGCGGGTGCAACAAAGGCAAGTCGGTCATATAATGGTCATTGATCACCGTCCACGCGAGGGCCGTCTCGTCATGGGTTAGGCCGAACTCTTCCTGGACGGCCAAGAGTGTGCGGTAGGGTTGGTGCACGATGAGCTGGGAGTTCATTTCGGAGATGAGGCTGAACTCGCACTCGCCGACGCGCGAGGCGTCGTGGCCGTGGAGGTCGGACGGCCAGAGGGAGCGGGCTTCTTGGGTGAGCAGGCGGATGTGTTGGGGGCATTCTTCCATTTTACAGGCGAGGTAGAGAGCGGTCGTTATGACGAGGTATGGGTTTGTGTGGCGAATCTGGACACGCGTGTAGAAGCGTTTGATGTAGACTTGTGCTGTGGCCATCCCTTGTTGGCGGACGCCGAGACGCTTGCCTAGGCGGTTGATCTCTGTGAAGAGAGGATTAGCTTGAAAAGGATCTTATAGGTTCGGCTTGGGAGACATACGTTGATTGAAGTAGATGTTGAGGTGCCGCATCTGCGGCAGGGGAAACATCTGGACCAGCTCCTTGTCGGCATCGTCAAGTCGCTGGCGGATCGCAGCGAGCTCCTCCTTCGTGAACTGCCAGAACTTGCGCTGGGTCGATTCCCAGTAGTTTGCCGCCATGGCGGATGTCGCCCGTTATGGGCTGCCCAAAACCTCAGATCTGGACGCCAGCAATCGAAATAGTCACAGCAGTAATGCTCGTGCTACGGCGACAGTGCGTCCTGTGATGGCTTCATGTCACCAACCACCCGCTCCTTTGCTGTCGCTCTTATCGATAATAATCGACATACTTCCTATCTTATCTATAAGTTCATTTTGATATCGTATCCTAATCTTATCAAGCCGCCGGCGCCTGTCCTCGGGTCAAGCGCCTGCCGAAAACCCGACATCATGGGCGTGAGATTGGCATCGCGGCTCTGGCGAATGGTAGCGCAGCCATTTCAGCAAGCGCGCCTGTCCTGAAGTGGGGTTGCGCCTTAGCGTCGCTGTTATGCTCCCTGTTCTCGTGGTGGGGCACGGACGTCAGTTTCACTAGAACTGTCGAGGTACCTCTTAGCATAGGGTGTCTCAAACACTACAGTAATATCGGTAAAATGCTAAATATTTTTGAGATAGAGCAATACGTGAGAGCAATACGTGGATAATAACGAGGCCAGCATGCGTTATTTTTTGACATATCTGTGTATAACCACTCTGTGTTGATATGAGGGGCGGAGGAGTGATACCGTCTGATGCTTCGGTACGACGTGGATAAGCTTTTTTGGGGCTGTTGGTTCCGCTGCTGCCGTTTTTTTCTCTGCTCTCCCCCCCCCCCCTTTGTGGGAACTGACGTCCCAAGATTTCCCGGGACGCAGTCAAAAGCTTGATTGCAGCAGCTGCGTCAAGGCCATCGCCATCATCCCACCGCAATTGGTTGCTGACCGCCGAGAGGCATGTCTTTCCCCTCTGTCCGATGATATGCGATAGTCGAAACGAGGCCAACAAAGCCCAATATCCTCAACAGCGCCTTTGATCTAAGCCCCGGGATGCCGCGTCCCTGGCTTTAGCTCGACCTCAGTTTTTTTGCCCTTCTTCCCTATCTTTCGAGCCCTTGTTTGATCTTCGAGGCCTCGGGAGCTGCCGCGGCTTTTCGCCCATACGTCGTAACCACCAGCACCGTCCCTCTGTTTGCATGTGGATAGTAGCGGTCGCCGGCTAGCTCTGCCGATCGCCGATCCCCAATTCCGCCGCGATCGTCGCCCCCTGACCGCGTTCCCTATGATGCGCGTCGCCCACACCGGGCAATGAGTGTTATTTCTGATGTCGTCTCGGAGCAACAATCACCGGTAGCTGTCGCCATGGAGGAGTCGCAGCACGAGCGCGACAAGCGCATTGAGGAGCTATGGAGAAAACTTGACCCTGCTGGACATGGCGAGCTCGACTTCAAGGGCCTGCAGAGGGGGCTGAGGAGGATTGACCACCGTGAGACCTCCCAAGCTACGCCTGGTTAAAGACTTTGCTCACGCCCTCCCGTACCACAGCTCTCCAGAATGCCGACGAGATGCTCAAGGACATCATCAGCCACCTCGATACGAGTGGTGACGGTAAGATTCAGTACGAGGGTATGTTGGTTTGGGTGTAAGATCTGGTTATTGTGTGCCCCTAGCTGAGATGGTGTGTCGCAAATAGAGTTCCGAGCCTTTGTTGAGGCTGCCGAAAGACAGCTGTTCCTGTTGTTTCAGTCCATCGACAGCAACCATGATGGCCGCTTGAACAGACATGAGCTAGAGGCAGCCTTTTATCGGGCAGGTCTTTCCGTCCCAAAACGGCACCTAACCGGCTTCTTCAACGAAATCGACATGAATCGGGACGGTTACATAACTTTTGACGAGTGGCGGTAAGTTCCATGGCTTTTACGTCCTTGACTTGTCACGTTATGCTCTGTGTGCTCTTGGAGAAGTGGATGTCTGGTCCACTCCCGGGTGGATTCCTGTCACCAGTTGTTGTTTATTTTCACTTTTGCATGGTTTTCGTTTTTTTTTTTCCTTCTCGGCAAACCTCGGGCCCAGTCCTATATTTGTGGTCGGAATGGGCCAATGCGTTTCACAGCGGGCAAAGACAGTGGTGGTTTTCGGGGATGATAGCCAATGTTGACCCAAGTATTAATCACGTCGCCTTGCTAACACCATCCAAAGCGACTTCTTGTTGTTTATGCCACCCAACCACAACGGGTCGCCTCTAGAAGCCGCCCTGTCCTTCTATTCATCGATTGTCACCGTCAACCAGGAAGGCGATTCGCTGGTCAGTGATGATACATTAGAGGGTCATCTAGGTACGGCAGGATTCCTTCTTCAAGCCCTTTTTGGCACACTTCTTAGGCTTGCGAGCCCGGATCTGGGACTGCCTCCTGTGCGCTCCCCGGACATAACCCGACCGTCGACTCTGCATCCGTCCTCTCCGTCGCTTCCTTATTCCGAACAAATACATAGCTTGCCGCCCGAAATGACATCGAATCCAGCAGCCATGCGTTACGGCCCCACTGGCGGCATCTCCTCTCAAGTCCTGGCTGACGCCGGACTCCAACGATCCGTACTGCAGTATGAGGGTGTTGCACAGGCTAGCACCCCGACTTTTACTGAGCTTCTTGAAGCTGAAGCAGATCCGTCGGCTGGGCGGGTGACCACTAGGCTGACAGATCTCCTGCCCGAACCAGGCTACTTCCTCGCTGGTGCTGTGTCGGGTGGTGTGTCACGAACAGCGACTGCACCTCTGGATCGTCTCAAGGTGTATCTTCTTGTCAACACAAAGACTCGCTCTAATGTATCTGTGCTCTCGGCCATCAAGAGCGGTCACCCGATGACAGCATTGAAGCATGCTGGCGGGCCGGTCATTGACGCCATCGCGAGCTTGTGGAAGACAGGTGGTTTCCGAACCTTCTTTGCAGGTGAGTTATTGTAATCTTTTGATGCTTTAATCAACTTGTTACTAACTTCTATCAAGGAAATGGTCTCAATGTGGTCAAGATTATGCCCGAATCAGCCATCCGAGTACGTATTTCTCAGGAAAAGTCTCATAAAACAGTGATTTTGCTGACCCAGGACAGTTTGGCTCCTATGAAGCTTCAAAACGCTTCCTTGCGGCATATGAAGGTCACAATGACCCAACTCAAATCAGCACCGTGTCCAAATTCGTCGCTGGAGGTATCGGCGGTATGACAGCTCAGTTTTGCGTCTATCCCATCGACACACTGAAGTTCCGACTTCAGTGTGAAACCGTTCAAGGCGGCCTCAAGGGCAATGCCTTGCTTATTCAAACCGCAAAGAACATGTGGGCGGATGGTGGTGTTCGCGCAGCTTACCGCGGTCTTGGCCTCGGCCTGCTTGGCATGTTCCCTTACAGTGCCATTGATATTGGTACTTTCGAGCTGCTCAAGAAGACCTACGTTCGACTATCGGCCCGCTACTACGACATCCGCGAAGACGAGACACAGCTCGGCAATGTGACGACAGCTGTCTTAGGTGCGACCTCGGGCGCTCTTGGTGCCACTATTGTTTACCCGCTTAACGTTCTCCGTACTCGTCTGCAGACTCAGGGTACTGCTATGCATCCACCTACTTACACAGGAATTATCGATGTAGCAACAAAGACCATGCGCAACGAAGGTGTGCGTGGATTCTACAAGGGGTTGACTCCTAATTTGTTGAAGGTTGCGCCCGCGCTCAGCATTACTTGGGTTTGCTATGAGAACATGAAGAACTTGTTGGGTCTCAATTGAAGACCCTAATTTTCACTCCTTCATCACCAGAAGTTACGACTACGTTGGGTATCCAGGGGGCTATACTCCTGCTTCAACGACAGCGGAAGAAGAAAGAAGAAGAACAGCATTATAGTCGGCGTCATCAGGGCATTACTGGGAACTGTTGCGTTCTTTGGGGCCATCGTTTCTATTTCCTTCGATTTCTTTGGTTGTGGCGTTTTTGGGTGCCAGCAAACCGGAAAGATACCAGTTAGAATGCGCGGGATACTATCAACAAGAAACAGCTTTGAGAGAGAGTAACCTATGGTGTCATTGCTTTCCATCCATCCAGGAACTGGATTCTTTTGATCAACAGGGATAGAGGGGTATGCTCGGGCTAATTGATATGATATGGTTGAAGCCTTTTCCCTCAGTTTGTGGATTGTTATGTCTTTCCTGTCGCTATGCGGGCTCTCTTTATCGTTTTTGACTGCAGTCTGGAACTGCCTAATGACTTCTTAGTGCTTTTTGTTCCCACACCTAAGTATATCAATCCTGAGTCCCTATGCTATACCATTCAGTTAAGTGTTGATAGTATCAGGTGTTAATAATTCTCCAGGAAATTGCCATTAGTAGTAAAAAGGGAAAGTAACTGGAAGTGGTGGCCTGTCATGCTCAGTTATGTTTCTAACATATTTGATAAGCTCATTCGTATGCAGACTCACGCACAATCATAGATGCTATAGAGAGTGCTGGTCGGCTGCCATCAGAGAAGCAATTATTACCCTTGAGTGACAAAACCGAAGCACGGTATTGTCATCCCATGTTTCACAGGGTCGTTCTTTCCTGGAAGTGAGGATAAAACATCTTTGAAGCACAGGTCGGTATTTGTCCTTATCAGCGCCTTCTTTGACCATTCTTCAGCTCCACTGCCCTTCCTAATCTTCATCGCCAGGTTGGTTGTGTTCACAATGCGTTCTTCCCTATCCTAAACTTCATCCCCCTCACTTGCGTACCTAGAAGCCTTGCTGCAGCTGTCTGGTGATTTTTCAAGCCTCTTGATCTTTCATGAATACAAAGTTAAAAACTCACAGGGCCATATCAGTAGTCTCCTCTGTCAATGGCCAGTATACTTCTGTCCATGCGGATTGATTCACGTCAGGAATCGAATTACTACTTCGCTATGGAAAACCCTGAAGTCAACGCATATCAAGTGCATGAGATCTTATTTTGCATGCCTATTACTAGTTCAATTAATCTATAAGAATAATGACCTATGCTGGTCGAAAGGAAAGTCACCAGGCACAAATCCTCAAAAATAATGTCCTAATATCATCACTTTGCTAATGAACAGCATCAATCATTATCCCATGTCTGATTTTCTGCATAAACCACTACAAGGAGCATAAGAATAACTTTAGAACTAACTATCGCTCTATATGTGTGCGATAATTGATTGTTAATGGTCATAAAATCATAGATGTCGAGTCGACATTCCTTTCAATGAAGGAAACTTTTGATCAAGCATGCAAGCGTCTATGAAAGTCTGAGAGCCAAGGGATGAGAGAAGTGACGATATCATCAGCCTAACCTCACTTCTGATCGGTATCCTCTGAGTCTTGTTTCTCGATGCTGTCCACCGGTTGAGTCGATCAAACATAGGGCTCACACGCCGAGAGGTGAATGCGATGTGGGTGTCATTCCAGTATAGGAGGTGGACTGTACTCTTTCATCCCATCTTACTCAAGGAGGATTGTAGGGTCTAGATCTCCCAAAGCGCCAACGAGAGAGTAGTTCACGCAAAGTGTCGACCACACCTTGGGCCGTTTTCTGCCTTTCATGCTGGCTGGTCCCTTTTCAACTTTTCTTCAAGCTCGGTCATAAACTTCCTATTTTCCTCTTGCCATCCTCATACAGACTGCGATCGTATTGCCAGTGCCAGTACGATTCGCCTTCCTGTATGTGAACCTATTCCTTCCACAAATAGATTCAATCAAAACTAACGAATGAAACTAGTAGTCTGTCGTGATAAGAGATCCTTCGAGTGCCAGCAGCAGCACGCGCGAGCATTGTGAGGATGTGGTGCCCGCGCAAGAAAAGTAAGTTCACTTCCGGAATACCTTTATTGATGATCTTCGACCTTTGCAAGTCTCCATGTGTCCCATGTGGGTGATTTCTGCGACGCGAGGATATCCTCGAGTTGTTCCATGGCCAGCGTGATGCTGAGTAGAGTCGTGTTCTGTCGAGGAGCCTGTTGGGGAGTCGAGGACCCAGGGAGAGAGTGCAGTAGGACTGCTCACACTGTGGGGGAAGCGTCTCTATTCTCATTCTGAATATCGTGGCTAGTGAAAGAAACTCAGGCGAAATTCAGGAGTGCTCACTTCACTCAATCGTGGGGCTGTATGAGCACGGAGGGTCTCCTGTCTTCGCGCTGGGCAATGCTGAGCGCTCATTCACTTGTGATACCCTGATTGATCGACTCAAAAAGTGCTGACCATCTGTGTCTCCAGCATACACTTCCCAACCAAGCATTCACACCATTGAGGAAATCGAGCTAGGACTCGGTGATATTGGCCGTAAGTTTACCAATGCAGAGCCCTAAGATTGAGAGCCCCAATTTTTTCACACATTCGCCCATAAATCTCCTCCCTCGCATTACTTCCCTTGGGTTTTACCGCCTTCTCATTTCAATACTTCGACATTATTTTCTCCCACTCTCTTTCCCCGCCACACCTTGTTTACTTAACCAGCCCGGAAGAGATCCTATGAAGCATCAGCCATTGTCATTTCCTGGCAACCAACATAAAATTTATAGGTTTGACTCCATGTGATTTTATCATTTCTGGCTTTTTGACCCTTGAAATACCCCAGTCGCTCAAAGAGACCATGAGGGTCTCAGAAAATGATTGTTTCCTCTGTTTCTCTCGTGCCACGGGGTTTTTGATCATCTAGTGGGTCTTGGGGAAGCATCAGCCCTTTCACATACAGCGCGCAACACCTGGGCAGAAGGGGCCAATGAGTTAAAAATTCTGGCTTCTTGGTTCCCCATTTCCGAGTGAAGTGCTGGGGTGGGCTGATGTCTTACCCAATAGTTTGCTCGCGAATGCAAGGCTGCCAGAAGAGAGCCTGATCCCAGAAATTATATTCTCGGACATGTTACCAGGCTGAAAATGGTTCAGATGAGGCTAACTATAATATTTGACAGGTGGCGCTGATTTCCCATTGTCAAGGAGCCGTGGCGGATCGCACTCCTCCAAGCGCGGCCTCGACATTACCAGCCCCATCGCTTATTCTCATTTGCGTGCTTCTCTTGGGGAAGTGGCTCGACAGCAGCATCTTGAGAACTACCGGTGCAAAAACGACTACTACGACGAACATCCGACTTATACCATGACCGAGAAGCCTGGCCAGGAGAAGCACCATCAAGGTGCCAAGGCGGTTGTTGCCCCGTCACTCGACGGCAAAACCAACAAGGAGATGTCTAAGGCCGTTGAGAATGGAAAGATATCAGTCCCCATTGTCGATGCTTCGCTCACTTTTCAAGATTGGTCTGGAAGCACGGACTGGCCTACTGGCACCGTTCAGGGTAGGGACATCCATCCCACTCATACGGATGGAATTCCGAAGCCCCCTGCTTTTCGTATGTGTTGCTCACGTGCAGCCTTTATGCTTCGTTATGATTGTTTGAATTCACCTTTGGCTGTATCATTCTCTCGGGTTCTCGGCACTATTCTAACCATTTTCTAGATCATAACTGGACTCGTCCCAATCTGAGGGCTGCCCAGGGATACAGGGACCCTTCCACTCTTATCACTGCAGCCACTTACAATGGTGTTCCAATCGGATCTCGTACTCGTCCCATCGACTTTTCCAAGCCTAAAAAGCAGATTTCACCTGAGAAATATGGCGCTGAATGCTCAAACAATGTTTACGGCCCGGTCGAGCACGCGCAGGCCCACTTCTTCTCTTCGGGCATTTCGATGAAGGCATCTGGTCCACAGAAGGAGCAGGGCTAGAAGTACCAGCACCAAGAGGACCAGCAGTACCATGGATGCCAGGATATTAATTCTGAAAAGTCTTATGATGGTCATCACGATGAGAGTAGTGGCACCCAGCTCCAGGGCACTGGCGAGCAGCCTCTCCACATGCCTGAGCAGAAGAAGGGAGAATACGACCTTACATCCTCGGAGGAAGCCCGGATCCGTGACTACTTCAAACACCCCCAGGATTTTGATGAGAAGTATGGCCTGGAGGTTCGCCACCTGGTTCGAAAGCACCTTCATAACCTGGAACATATGTTTGAGGAATCCGAGAAACAACGCGAGAGAGAGTGCTCGTATGCTTGGCTCCCTCCGAAGCCGGTCGAGCCCGACTCTGTTAGTATCAAGGCGGTCAGCGCCTCTTCTGTCAGGCTGTCCCATAGCCCCACTGTCTGCAGCTCCAAGGCCGAACTGGTCGACCTGGACAGCCAAAGTGAGGAGCAGTCTGTGAATGAGCTGAGCCTCAAGATGGCCGAGCTGGATGCCAACGACAAGGGGAAGCATGCTGCTACCAAAAACAACGCTCAGAGCCTATCCGATTCGTCGTCCGCTTACGATGACAGAAAGTGGAACGAGAAGCTGGATCTCTATCGTGCGTCCTCCGTCTACGATGATGACGGAATGGGAGGCTTTGGAAGTCGCGACAACCGCTATGCTAGCACCTATGGCTCTGGTAACTACCCAGGCTACAATGGCAATGGGTATGCTGCTGGACCAAACCCTTATTTTGACGGCAACAACAATCCCTTTTTTGAGAACGGTGCTGGGCATTCCAACGTCAGCTACGGTACTAGAAACGACAACAACCTTGCCGACAACAACGGCCAGGGTGCTTCGGGATACATGACTTGGGCTTACGAGACTTACGAGATGGCTTGCTGCGATGATGGTAGCTACGAGAGCACTTACGTTAACCGTGGAAATGGTGCTACGGAGCACACCACTCAGCCTCCTGCTCAGCCGTATGCTCAGAAGGCGGCCCAAAAGGTCCAAGGAAACTACCCCTGGCAGTGGATTTAAGGATCAACCTCCGAAGAAACTTGGTGGTATGACCAAAACGAATATGAATGGACATGCTCAAAATTGGCGATAATTGGGAGGAATATAAAGTTGATATGGAAGCTAGTTTTGAGGATGCTCAATGTTCATGTACCTAACTCAGTGGGAGGGGTTTGGTCGCAGACCACCGATAAGCCCCCTTTTGTTTGTGTTTACCTTTTACTGGGTCTGGTTTGGGGATCTTGGGGACCGGCGTTTCGGCGCTAGGGTGTATCACCAACGATGTCTCAACGAAATATACCAAACAGGACAATAACTTGATGATTCGTACATGTGGTCTATAACTGTTGTACATCTGACGATCGTCGTTGAGCGATGCATAGCGGTCAAGTCTGGTTGCTAGAGCAAGAGGATCAGGGTTAGGGGTGGCCACAATCATGCCAAAACCACCCAGTAAACGATTACGTAAGCCTCCTGAACGCTCTGCATGACATCATCGCCGTTCATCCCCCAACACCCAGTAACACCGTGAGTGCTCTCGCCAGCACGCGTTCAATCGGTCCATCTTTGCTGCGGTGCAACGCAAAAGCCTTAATTCAGTTTCATCTGGAGCGGGCAGTTTGTTCATGCAATTTCGTACAAGATGACTGCCCTCTTCCCAATCCTTCTGGCTGCCCTCCTCCTTGCTCGTCCCATTCTCTCCAACACCGAGAAGACCATCTTCCTCGCGCCGGCCGCCTCTGTCGCTTCTTCTGATGGTCGTGTTTCTTTACTACCGCTTCAAAAACTACCGGCTTTGACCCCCGAACATAACACTCTTCGGACGAAGCTGCCGGCTATCTTCCCCAACGCGACATATCCGCGCGGAGCGGCAACTTGGTTCCGGTTGGACGGCCTGGAAGAGGGGAAGAGGTATGAAGTGAGGGTTTGCTGGGCTGCGACTGTACGTCTTCTACACCAGATGACGAATGCTGAAGGCGAGGAAACTAACGCGTGTTGTGACCAGCAACCAACAAACTTCTACCTCATCACCCACACCCTCTCCGACGTTCTCTCCAACCCTGAGCTTTTCTCCTCTCTCCAGTCATACGCCCCTTCTCCTTCGTTCGCATCCGCCTTCGAACCAGATTACTTATCCGAAAAACCAACCATCCTCCTCCGAATCCAAGCCCAAGCCGACTTCTACACCCCACCGCACGGTCCACACGGCGAGCTGATGCGCTCCCCGCAGCCAGTCGACGCAGACGTGATCCTCGATCCATACATTCTGAACGTGCTGCCGCGGTCCCTGCTTGGGACGGTGATATACATTACTGGGTTTGGAATCGTGTCGTGGTTTGTTGCGCGTAGGATTGCCAGGTGGGTTGAAGGGGTCGCGTCTGGGGATAGGGATGGGAAGGGAGAAAAGAAGGAGTGAACGGTTGTAGTTGTCTATAAATATCGGTATTCGGATGCCTTAGCTTTAATGGGTTTTAGGGCGTTGAGGTAGGTTGTACCAAGTGCGTTCTCTTGGATTTTGGAGATACCCCTGTAGTTTCGCCATTATTGCCTGAGAAAAAAGAGGAAATGTTGCAAGAAAAGATATAAATTCACGTGCTTTAAGTGCTATGATAAAAGACGCTGTGCCTTCATGACTAACAACCTAGGTATAATCGGACATTTCATAACCTACAGATCAACCATACAGAGAGATTTGACACGGCAAAACACCCGCTAACAACTAGTAATGGTTCTATACGAATAAGAAAGGAAAATAACGTATACCGCGAGACAAACTGCGCCAATGCCATTTCCATACAACCCTCCACACAGTCTCCATGCAACCGCAAGCTAACCTCTAAGGCACCCAACATGGAGTAGCCCGACTTTCAACTTGGCTTCTTTTTATCAGGACCAACATTAGACGACCCAGAGCCGGAACATGAACGTAGCCGTGGCCGAGGACGAGGGGGAGAGCGATCCTCAGACGGAGGAGGGGCATGCAGCCCGGGATCAGGTTGCGATGACGGAGCAGCGTCCCGCAAGGAATAAGGGGAGGAACTGAGGAAGGGCTGGCGCAAAGGCTCCGGAAGCGTCGAGATGTCGAACTTCCCCTCTTCTGCATCTTTGATCTGCTGAAGATGTCGTGTTCTGGCTTGGGAGAGACGCTCCCGACACTGCCGGTATCGCTTCTCCTTTTCTTCCCGTGCTTGCCGCTGTTTCTCCTTACCCAACTCCTCTTCAAGCTGAAGTAGCCGTTCGTCTATTCCATTCAGTCTGTTTCGTGCATTCGTCTGTTGTATCCATTGTTGTTGCTGGATCTGAAAGAGCTGGTCATTCATATGACTGCGGATTGCAGCGAGCTGGTCGTCCGCATGGCGCCGCAGCGTGCCCAGTTCCAGCCTTAGCTGGTCAACTGCAGGCAGATGCAAGTTTACTTCACATCGCAGTGCCTCCATTCCCGATTCGAGAAGTTCTTTAATCTCAGATAGCCTTTCCTCAACTTGAGGCCGCCATCGCTCCAGTTCTGACTCGAGCCATTTCTTCTGTTCCTCTTGACGTTGCCACTTCTCTTCCTCTTCTTTTTCCTCTCGCCTTTGCTGTCCTCGACTTTGATATGGCGACCACGAGCGTCTGTCTCTCCTCGCTCCCTAACTCCGAGAATATAACGAAGCCCGCCTGCACAGGGCTTGAGCTATCGAATTTTCAGCCACTAAACTCGGAAAACAAAGTATGTTGGGGTCCACATGAACAGGATTCCCCTCTGTATTGCTCGTGGGTAAACACGACTAGTGGTATTGCCCGTACCCTTGCCCATACTGAGACTGAGGGGGGTATCCGCTTGCCGGAGCACTATTGTAGTAGGAGCTGGCTGCCCCATATGAGGTTGAGGTGGGATATGGGGCTGGGACAGGAGGGGACTGGCCGTAGTTTTGCTGGCCGTAGGGCTGGCCGTGCTGAGGAGGTGCGCTGTAGGATGGGGGGTATTGCTGGCCCGCGGGTGACTGGCCGTACGCGGAGTGAGGCTGACTCGTAGTTGGTTGACCACCTTGGTAAGAGGGAACTATATTAGGAGTTCCAGGTTGCGAAGGCGGTTGGTACTGGGGTGGCGGGGCCGTTCCAGTATAACCTCCCGGCGTGGGATTATTGGTGTAGCCGAAGGGCTGTGAATGGAAATGTTAGCCGTTGTTCCCTACCATGGAGATCTTGCTCCCAACTTACGTTGTCCCGATGCTTGCTGCTCCCTCCCCCGAAGAGTCCACTAGCAGCGGCTCCAACCAAACCGGTCACTAAGTTTGCCGATCCATGGCCGCCAAGCAGGTTCGACGCACCAGACCCGGACCCATGTGAAGATGAAGACTTGCCAAAGAGGTTGGAAGCTAGCTGACCAGCGAGCTTACCGCCGAGACCGCCGCTGCCGCTGCTGTGTCCGCTGGAGTGGCTACCGCCAGCGAGAGTGCCGAGCACCTGACCAGCCAATCCAAGGCCGCCGCCACTGCTGCCATGGCTGCTGCTAGAATGGCCGCCGCCAGCAAGAGAGCCCAGGACCTGACCTGCCAGCCCAACGCCGCTTTTGCCTTGCTTATTGCCAAATGTGTTGAGTGCGCCGCCGATCAGGCTCTGTGGATTAAGTCAGCAACCATCCAAACCACAGAACAAAGTCAAGAGCAGAAAACTTACCCCCAGGCCCCGATCCGAGCTACCATCATGCCCAACCCCCCTAGTACCAGCGGGCACGGGCCCCGTAGTCCCATCTTCCCTAGGATTGACAGGCTCAAGCCTACCGTCGGGATACCTCGCGGTCTGCGAACCGTCAGGGTGGACAATGATCTCTGCGGGGGCTTGCGGCATGCCATTGGCTGGATTGGCTGGATCATCGATGCCACCGACCGGTGCAGGCTCAGTCGGCACCTCCCATTGTGAGGTGCCAGTTGACAACTGCACGAAATAGTACTTCTTCGACTGGGCATCCCACTGAGCTATCCAGCCGGCAGGAAGAGGGGGTGGCGCATAGGTCGGACCTTCGCCGCCAGGTGAGGGCGGGCCTGCCATTGTGTTCTGGTGGTCGCTTTGTGATTGTTTAAGTGTGTAGAGAGTGCTAGAATGAGCACACGACGGTTTGCGCGATGCTAAGCAGTAAGAGAAGGGAAATCAAGGATTGAGTAGGTGATTCAATGCGATCTGACGACTGTAAGTAGGACACTGCGAGATTAAGGTTGTAACGCAGATGCGCGCAGCTTGTGCTCTTCACACGACTGCCTGAAACCCAGTCTCGTGACAAGATAGGGAAAGGAACGCGCTGAAGAAGGCGCGAGGAGGTTGGAGAGGTCAGCAAATGTCTGTTATGTAAGTAGCGGGGTAGTTGATGCAAGCGGTGATATGGAGGGGGCGGGGCAGACGCCGTGTGCAAAGACGGTGGCTATCTTGCTGCACTCCTGGCTCTTGGGCTTCTTGGCTTCCGTGTCTCGAGTGAGCAACCGACCAGAGAACGTGACCGGTGACCCTGACAGGGATTCTTGGAATCGGATTTGTGGAATGCGATCGTGTTTGTCGATGAGCAAAAAGACCTGCGGCTGGCAGCAGTTCTTTGTATGGCGAACTCTTGCATGTTATAAACTCTCCTGACACAACCCTTGTAGACTTTGTGAGGGAGCCAACTGAATCCCATCCATCTCAGTGTGTGGGCTGAGTGAGTATAATTATGTATCTTTGTTTAAACAGACTAGGCTAGCCTCGCTAGAACACAAAGAGGTTGCCCGTTATAACTTATAGGGGAGTCCAGAATAAGAAATCTTCCCTGTCTACTTAGCCGAGAGCCATTTCGACGCCCTTCCATGTTCCCTGGCACCGCACAGTCAGCCAAATTAAGTGAAGCCCATAACGTATCTTCCAAGACTCGGCTCAGTATATCTCAAACAAGTTAGCAGGTCCAATGCTGCCAGCAGCGCCACAACATAAGAGCGGGATATCCCTCTCTACAAGGATTTGCATCATCCCGCCAAGCTGGAATATGCCTAGGGCACAGCCTCATCGCTTAGGTGTGGTGTGCTACAGAGCAGAGTTGAGGGCATGACCAGACTTTGCAGCCTGGCATCAAGATAATCAAATCTGGTTGTGTTAGAAAGACCGCAGGACGACGTGATATCGCAAGCCACAACAGCTGCCAAGTTCAGCACGTCTGGGGTTAACACCTGCACAGAGACGCGCAACATATCTGACAAGATCAGCACACAGCAGCAAAAGCAACGGCTCGAACGCCATAATCGCGAAGCGGGAGGCAGCCTATCTCACAGACAGATCCTTCGTAGGTAGGGAATTGGGGATTACAAAGCATGGTGAGTGGGGAGTGACTTCCATTCGCATTTATCAGGCTGGAAACAGCCATGAGGTTGTGCAAATGGTTATGCGAATGGACCATGCTGGAGCTGGTACAACAGGCTCCTTTTCCATTCCTGTTCATGAGATCCACTGTGATGATGAGAACTAGAGCTCAAGAGAAAGAAACAGAGAATCTACCCAGATTAAAAGTACCGCGTGGTATCCCATTGTCTGTGTGCGCCATCCCCATGCAAACACAAAAAGTAGGTAAATATTTCTATCCTTGAGCTCACTCCAAGCTAGAAGCCGAAGCTGAAGCCGATGAGCTCTCCCCAGTATTTGCGGCAGTCGCCCTCTCCTCCTTTGTGCCCTCAAGCGCCTGGTTCTGCTGCTTCTTCTTCTGGTTATTTGCCGCCTCCTGTGCGGCCGTGAGCTCTTTACGAATAGCCAGGACGCTGTCAACAATGACAGCATCAATGCCTTCCTTGACTTGGCGCTGTGGATGGTGTTAGCATAAGGCCAATTCAAGCACTTCGTGTTTAGGGAATCACCAACCTGAACCAGCTTGGGATCATTGTTCTGGCTCCCATAGCTGACACACACCAAGCCATTCTGCTTGACAACCCTGACCAGCCTTGGGGCAAGAATAAATGGCTCCGCGTTGGCCACGATACCCAGCAGATTCCATCTCGATGCAAACCGAATTGCCTCCTGCAAGCTGCTGGCTCGGATGTCACCCACCTTACAGGTGCCCGCATCAGTCAGGAACAGGATGGGGATATTCGGCTGCTTGAAGCTCATGCACAGACAAATATCCGGGTTGAAGCTGCTGAAGATGATATGCCGGCCCTCGGCCAGGTCATATACCTTCTCAAGCACGGTATCACAGAACGAGTTAAGCTCGACTGCATATGCATCCATCTCGTGCTCCTCGCTCTCGTGAAGCATGGGATACTTGAGCTCGATGTTGAAGCCAACGCTGCGCGGCAGCTTCTTGAACAGGTCCTCGAGAGTAGCAAAGGGTGCTTGGATGAAGCGACCGCGTGAGTTGGCCTTGAACCCCTTGGCTTTAAAGTCACGCGTGTGCTTCATGCGCTCCTCCATCTCGGCGCCTACAAGCTCTGCGTTGTCGGGCCAGTCCATCGACATGGACCGCTGACGCGGGCCAGGGCTGTTACTGCGCTTGAAGGGCGGCTTGCCATGATGCTGACGAGACTTGTGCTTGTGGCCGTCGCCATTCTTGTGGATACGTGAAGTATCCGAATTGATGTGCAGGAACTGCTCGAGGGTCAAGGTATGCACAGGAGCATCAATGCCGGTCTCGCTGACGAGGAAGTCATGGTAGATGACAGGGACATGATCCTTGGTGAGCTGGACATCGAACTCGACATACTGTGCACCCAAATTGGCAGCCGCGATGAAAGACGGCACTGTATTCTCCCCCAACTGGAGTGACTTATTCGAGGTCATGTTCTTACCAAGCCCACGGTGGCCGATCACCATGGGGGTTGCCATCTTCTTCCAGTACGTTTGCCGCGACGTCACCTCCATCTTGGGGTGCGAGAATGGCGTGATGACCAAGAAATTGAAGTGAACCGTGCCAATCACCTCGAGGTTGGTGCCGATAATAGGCACGCACACGTCACCCTGAAGGTTCATGCGCTTGGTGCCAACGTTCGGTCGAACACTCGACAGCAGGGCCACAGCCCGGCCGATCTTGTTGTTCTTATTGCCAGAGTATGTCGGCACAATGTCAAATAGCAGCTTGACTTTGGATGCATCAGGGGTCATGAAGGAGATAGGCTCTGTCGAAATGTTTTCATGAACTGGCATGTCGATGATAGTTGGCTCACCCTGAGCCCCCTGGGCCGAGACAACGATCGATAGTGCCGTGTCAAGCTGCGTCTTATGCGCCTCGGCAAGCGGCACCCGATCCAGACAAACAGCCTGGATGTTCTTGCGCATGTCCATCGAGCCCAGGCTGACCAGCACCAGGCTCTCGGTAGTGAGGTAACGGTGACCAAAGGTTTTCAGGGGATCAGCCGGGCGAACATTGTTACTATTCCGGTCGCCGTTTGATCTTCTTTCACCCAGAGACGAGACACCCGGCTCCTTCTCCTCGTCTGAGCTACTGCTGCCATTGGTTTCCTCAACACCTTTGCTGTGCTTGGCAAGCAAGCGGGCAATTTCGAGATGGCCTCTCAAGGCAGCATGCTCGCGGGCTGTCCAGCCAGAAGAATCCACCTTGTCGACATCAGCGCCAGCTTCAACCAACAACTTCGCAACACCGAGGTGACCATCAACTGCGGCGATGTGCAGGGGAGTCCAGGCGAAAGCATGCTCCGCCAGCTCGAGGTTAGCCTTTTGCTCAGGTGTGCCCTTCAGAAGCACACGGGCACACTCATCATGACCAAAGCGTGCAGCGATGTGAAGGGCAGTTTCACCCATCTTATCCTGCCAGTTAATGTCAACACCGGCTTTGACAAGCATCTCAACAATGGCCTTAGAATTGGCCTTGGTGGCGATGGCCAACACAGCACTCGACTTGGAGATGAGACGCCGCATAGCAGCCTTGTTAGCGTTCACACCACTCCAGTCTTCGCCCTGGAGTAGGGCCTGGGTGGTCAGCACATGGCCTCCTAAAACGCTGAGATGCACTGGTGCATTGCCATCGCGGTCCTGCCACTCTGGAGCATCAATGCCATTCTCAACATTAAACTGGCCCCAGTCCTGCATGTACTTCATCAGAATCTGGCACACCACCACAAAGCCGAACTGAGCAGCATAGTGCAGCGGAATCCGGCCGAAACTATCCGGACTCCGGAGTGCCGGACGCTGCTCGTCCTTCAGGCTGTCCAGGAGGTAGATGAGCATCTGAACCGCCTCGTCATCCTTGCTCAGAAGCTTCGTCTCCTTCAAATCATAGGATCTCGGTGCTGCCGAGGGGGATGTTGCAGGGGTGATATAATTCTGAGCGTACTTGGCGGGCCCGCCGGGAAAGGGGAAGGAGTTCATGTCGGGTTCGTCTTCGCTTCGCTCAGTAACTGTCTTCGTGCGGCCAATGTGAATGACCAGGCGATGAATGCAATTCCGTCCGTTGATGTCGTCGGGCTCGTCCAGGGTTGTGATATGATTGATCAAAACAGATACGCAGCGCTTAGAACGGGCAGAGATGCAGCGCTGCAGCAGATTCAGCAGCAGCTTCTGCGAGACATCTGCTGCACTGATAAGATTGCCCTCTTCCAGGGCTGTCTTCAATGACTCAGTATCATCCTTCTTGATCGCTTGATCGATTTGGTCCAGTAAGTTGTTAGGAATAGCCAACATTGCCCGGACTGAAGCTCGCCCCAGTGAGAGAGTCGATCTCTCAGACCGGTTATCCTCGACATTACGCGCATCGCCCAAAACAGAAATCCATCTGTTGATCTCAGTAAGGATCCTGGCGACGGTGGTGTCCTTGGCAAAAGGCTTGGGGTCAACCTTGGTTGAGATGTAGCGATGCTGGGTCGTGGTGTTGGGCACCTTCTTGTCGAGCTTCTTAGTGATCTTGATGAAACCACGGCGGTTAATCTCGCCAAACCACTGCAGCTTACGCAGCTGGCTCCGCAGCTCGAGCAGAGCGCCCATTAACTCCTCGGCCTCGTCATCGTCAAGGTTGACTACCACCTCAGGAGTTGTGCCGTAGCGGTCCTGGAGCACCTTAAGCCTCCGGCAGGCGTCGGCGAACTTTTTGTTGTAAAAGGAGTCGACGTCCTCCAAGTTTCTGTCCAGAGCGAAAAAGAACTCTGGAAAATGTGTAAGTTAGAATGTCACAAGGGGGGCCAGAAGGGATGAGAACAAACCGGCGAGATCGACCGGCTGGCCATCTTTAGCAGATTCTGCGGCGGCCTTGACCAGTTTCTTAAGGCCTTTGTAGTTAATGTAGGACCCTGCCCACTCGGGCACCTGGTTCCGAGGAAGACTGTGCCGCGGTCAGCTTTGTAATCCCAAAACACAGAGCATGAGATGACTTACTTTTTACCAAACTTCATTGTGACAAACCAAAAACGAGATAGGGTATCTTGCCGCAAGGCAAGAGTGGAATGGGAAGGTGCGCAACACTGATAAGGGCCGGGAGGTCGAGCTAGAAAGGGGTTGGGAGCGTGTTTTAGTGTTACCGGCAAAATTATAGGTCTGGATATAAAAGGGGACGAAAGCTGCCGTTGAAGAGAGATTCTGGAGAAAACCACGGGACAAACAAAAAAAATGAGGAAATATCGCCGAGAATATGAGATCTCCAGTAGGGAAGACGCTCAATCAGTGGCCAAGAGCGTGCAAGAGAGACTGGACAGGACTGGGCGGCCAATCTCGTTGAGTTTCTTCGACACGGGGGTTTGGAGGATGACAGCTCTGCAGGCGGGATGGATGCTCGAGAGCGAATGACTTGCAGCTTGCAGAGCACCTCAAGTCTAGACCTTAAGATCTCGTCTCGTCTCGTCCACGCGCTCAAGCCTTTCCTTCCAGTTTCCACCAAGTGACGCAAACAAATGACGACCCCGAAGAGTGCCTAAAATAATGAAGTCAAAAGGCAAACAAACACTGCTGCCACCAGTGCGTCAAGTGCTGCAAGTGACGAGCAGATGGACAGGTAGAGGGTTTTAAAAAGCTCCCGTTACCCCCGGCGGCGACGCCCTGCAAGCACCCCCGGCTCCGTGGCCCCGTGACGGCGGAGTCGTCTGTGGCGCCGTTTTTACTCGGGTTCCTGAGGCAGGGCAGGTACCATAACTGCGACCTAAAAGCATCCTGAAGGTGGGATCACCAATGCATCGTCCCCAGCTTCGGCATTGTCATGTCGACGGTTTGACTGGTTCTTTGCTTGATTTCTAGCTGCTTTGAACGGGGAACGACGAACGAGACTTGCGCAAGCTGCTGCAATAAGATGCAGCTTGGACTATATACTGGGTGGCCTGAACACGTCGATATCACGCCGCGGGCACATTGCGGCACCCACAGCACAGTATCACCGGTACAAAAACTATGTACTTACTCTGTACCTACGGGAAGATCAATGAGCTCGGATTTCGGCAAGCATGCATATGTATCTCCAGATCCTGGGATGGAGTGGCGGGAAAGAAGCTCATCGCTGTGGTTAGGCTCTGGTCTGCCTGTCACTATTGCTGTCACTTTCACTTCATTTCAGGAACCGATGAAACTCAAGGGGGCCAGTGAGAGCCGAGCCCAGCATCCAGTGCCGCTAAGGTACCACGTGATTGGATGAAATTGTTGCCCCACAGGTACACAGTTCTTCAGATGGTTTGGTTCCAAAATGTCGAAGGGGTGATCCACCCGCTCTATCGGATTTGCTTCTCTGGCCGCGGCCACCTGCTGGACATCCTTGGGAGATCTGGCAGGCCTGTGATTCTGACAAGAGAGGGGCGACGTTTGACTATGGCAAGGTGGCGATTTGGCTGTGTATTTCGCGATCTGAAGTCCTCGAATCGTACTGAGAAATTACCAGCTATCAGAATTGTTACAGGCGAATGTTTAACAGTACCAGTAGGTACAACTTGATAGCCAGCGAGGACAGGATGCATGTGACAGCGCGCTCGCCCTCCAGACCTCGACCTCTCCTTTCTCCAGGAATTGATGGCATCACCTACAACCCCAACATTTTTGGCTCTCCTGAGTTGTCAATAGTCCCTCACCGCTTCTCGAACGGTTTCCTGTTTGACAACTCCAGGATACTCTTTACGATTGTGTGACTTTTCAGATTAAACCATCAATCAACACCCAAACAAAACACCTTCATTTCTCAGGTACCACTCATCAAAGAGAGATCGGGTACGTACTTTGCCCCGAGCTACAAAAGGGCAAATTGCGCAAAACGCCCTTGAAAAATGACATTGATCCTCGTGACTCGCGGGGCCTCAATTCTTTTTTCCCACATCCCGCGCCCACATCGGCCAGCTAGTCAGGCACCGCTGCCCCAGATTTCATTGAGCCCAACATGCGCGCTGTGGTCTTGTGACGCAGCTTGTCTCCAGGGGATCCCACGGTCTAGACACCCGTTTTTGAAACAGAGATTCCATTAACAGAGCGGTAAACAGTTGAATGGGTGAGCAACCCCCCACATGTCGGGCTGGGGTTCATGATCCAACATCGAGCCAAGATTCTCGTACACAAGAAGTTGCGTACGTAATTTAATATCAACACACAATACGTAGATGGTGCACAAGTAGGTCGGCGAACTGTGGTCTCAGTGCCAATATTTCGCCGTTATCGCCTTGCGAAAAATGGCTACAAATGGATCAATTCTCAAGAAACCAAATGCAAGTGACAATGAGACAATTCGAGAAGTTCCCGTACACAGAGTTGTTTACAATCAATTCCTGTACATTCGAATATTCCTAACAGGTGTGCGTAGCAAGTTCTTATTCTACAAGTTAACAGGAGGTATGAACCTCAGCTTGCGCTGTCCAACACCGAATCTGTTCATAAAACCATGATGAGTGTCTTGTCCGGCCAGCCGTTTTAGTGTATTCCCCTCTACCAACCCGCCATCCCAAACCGTGACAAGAGAAATAATTTTACAAGCATTCAAATATGTATCCAAAAAGAACCTACGGTCCTCACCACGTCTGGCTTGTTGTCGAAGTCGTGGCCGATGCTGCAGCCGAGTCCGTCACCGGCTGTGTCGTCTTGCTCTTCAGCAACCTAGAAAGCCGCTCCGACACTGGCAACTTTTCCCACAATTTCGCAAGCGGACCCGTTCTCCTCTTCCTCTTACCTCCATCACCATAGTCAAATGGCGAGAATGACAGCAGATACCTCTTTACCCTGCTCATCACGCTGTTCAGATGAACCTGACCCGTAATGGCCTTTCTCCTCATAACTTGGTTCCTTTCCTGTCGCGGCAGCGCGTCCAGAAGCACCTGCTTCAGTTGCCAGTCAATCTCCTTGCTGCGCCACCAGCAGGATGCCGCATAATACTCCGCCGTGCCCGGTATTGTGTATGACGTTGCTTGGCTTACACGCTGCGTGATCGGAACCTCCGGATCGAAGTGCTCCGGCGCGCGCAGCAGCCGCGGGACTTGCTTAGCCAGCACGTTACACAGCACATACTCAGCCATAGTGATCTGCTTAGCACTGTAGGCGAGTTGCGTCTCGATCCAGTCGATGTGCGCAAGACGGTGAATGAATTCGTTTTTCTTAAGTTTCCGTTCAGGGCGGCCGATCGCGTTGTCGAGGATGGAGAAGACGAGGTCAAGCCGGGTGAGAAGGGGTTTGCTGTGGTCAGAGAGCAATTGGTTTGCGCGACGAATACGGGCGATCATAATGCGACTGTTGTGGAGAGCTTGCCTGATCCAGATCGCTTTGACAAGGTGAGAGAAATCGGATTTTGATATAGGCGGTTTGGGGGGAAGGTAAAGAGCCCAATTGAACTCGCCCATGGAAAGGAATGGGTGGGGCTCCTTTTCTGATAGTGTAGGGTAATGTGCTTGGAAAATATTGAGGATGTGACGGAGCTGTCGGACAGCGGCCTGACTGATGGGATGAGGGCCAAGGATCATCTCTGTGGCCTGGTTGAGGTTGTTGAGCAGCCCTTGGACGATCACCTTAACGGCGGAATAATCCAGGGAGGAGATGCATGCATGGAATAATCGTTCCAGTAGCTCCGTTCCGATGACCCATCCATTGTGGAGGGAAACGGCAAGGAGCTTAGCAGCCTCGCGCAGCATCCTAAAGTCGATTAGGCCTTCGATGATGGCCTCAGTAAGATTTTGGCTCAATGGAACTCGCTCAACAACATAGCCATTGGATATCCTGATTGGCGAACTTCTTGCCCACATTTTAAGGTAGTTGTTTGACAGGACATCGTCGGCTGTTCTTCGCCGTAGGCCGATTCCACGTGGATCATGGCCAAAGAGACGACGCAGAACGCCCCAGAAACCAACAATGTCCTTCTTCAGCCGGTAGTGGTGCAGTAGACACAGATATGTACCCTCTGTGGGCCTAAGATGGCTCTTGTACAAAAACGAATCAACCACCGCCTGCGCCAGCCTGTGCTCTCCAAGTAACGAGAAGCCCATGATCAAAGCGTTGTAGTTCTGGATTGCCGGGACCACGCTGCAAACAGTGAGGTTATAGCAAATCTGGCCCACGAGCTTCTCTCTGCGAAACGGGATCCAATTGGCAATGATCTGCAAGTTCACTTCGTTTAACTTCGACCGGGCGATCACCGTCTCCTCCTCATCGACACTCGGGTGAGCATAGGCCGGATAACCTTCTGATCGCAGTAAGCGAATCATGGTGCGGGCAGAGTCCGGACTGGTGAGTGAGGGGTGTTTCCCTGGGAGGTCTTGTTCCGTCTGCCACCAGGCCTCCTCAATGAGACGGTCGACGAGATCCGTGACCATGTTCGTCATCCGGTGCAGCTGAAGTTCGGTTTTAGGCTCGCGGTGCTCAACTGCCGGATTGGCCTCCTCAGCGCACAGGATTTCCTGGGCTTTGGCCAGAGTCGATGTTCCCTCGGGTATCGAAGAACTCCATGGCATGCCGAGGCTATCGCGGAGCTGCTTGAGTGTTGTTCTCCTGTCTTTGCGAATCTGCTCCACCCGCTCCAAGTATTCTGGCTGGAAAACGCATATCGATTTTATCACATCCTGCTCTTCGAGCGAGCGTTCCCAAATCGGATCGGGGTATGGATTGTTGATTAGTTGGGCGAGATCATGGGCATTCGACTCTTCGAGGAGGGAAGCGAGCTTGTTCTTTGCCTCATTGAGCTCGCGGTCCAGCTTTTCCCTCCTCTTGTCCTTGTACTTGGCGTCCAGCACGGCCGCGGTGGCCATGATCGCTGAGTAGCAGGCTGTGAAGACATCGCTGGCAAGCACTTTTTTGCGGCGTGGATTCGCGGTGCTGGTTGTCGACCTCTTCAGAATTACGTTTGTCGCTCGCAGGCAAGCCCGGCAGTGACAAGCCCGTACCTGGGCTGCCATTGACCTGAGCCCATACATTCTTGGGGCATGTCGGCCAAGCTGAGCCTGCGAGCTGAATTTTTTGTCGCCGTCGTCGAGGGTGCCGAAGCTTAGGGTATTGGGTGGTGCAAGATCGTTCGACGTTGGCTCCTATGTTGAGCAATTAACGAATGCGATTATATGTGGGCCAAGAGCCCGGAAGTTTGGATGCCAAGCTCCTGAGAACCGTGGTGTATGCACAACAAGGACGGTGTGTATTTATCAAGTTAAGCGGGGCGGAATAGGAACTGAAAATACCCCGCCAAACACCAGGCTTTCTCATCGCGAAGTTTGTCTTCCAAGGAACTTGAAAGAATCTGGAGTATATATATACAGCGATTCAAGCTCAAATTGATCTGTCATTCAGCAATAACGTTGAAACCAACGAGGATTTCATCAAAATGTACGCTCTTACTCTGACCGCAGAGCTCGAGGGGTAAGTGGTTCCTTCTCATCTCACAACAAATAAAATCAAGACTTACACTATCTGACTGCCAGTGTCACAAACCTTCGGCCAAACGACACCCAGGATTCGCCCTTCTACTACACTTTCAAAGTCCAGTGCACGTCGTGCCGCGAAGTTCATCCTAACACCGTTACCGTCAGCCGTTTTGTATGATCATTCCGTTCTCCTGAGTCATGCAAAAAAGGCATGCTTGGCTTACACAAAGTCCTAGGAGAGCAACGAGATCAGCGGCAGCCGGGGCGAAGCCAACTTTGTCTGGAAGTGCAAGAACTGCAAGGTTTTTATTGCCCTTCCGGTTATTTCCCCTGTGATGAAGTGTTTGCTAATCCGTTTATGTTGATAGCGCGAGTCTTCTGCCTCCATCACATCTGTTCCAACCCCCTACGAGCAGGCTGAGCCGGCCAAGGCTCAAAAGATCCTTCTCTTTGACTGCCGTGGGTTGGAGTTCACTGAGTTCATCCCTGAGGTATGTTGGTGCCATGGTATTCATACAGTTTCCCAAGATGCTAACTGGTAATAAGGGAGAGTGGCTTGCGGAAGGCCTTGAGTCTGGCACACAGTTTTCTGGGATTGAGCTCACGGAGGGTGAGTGGTACGAATATGACGAAAAGGCTGGACAGGAAGTTAGCATTAAAAACATCAAGTGGGATATAGTCCGGGCATGAAGATAAAGCGAAGCTATTGCCATTCTCATGAACCTAGATCTGTTTTGCAGTTAACAAGCTGATTTCGGTTACCATCAGGGGTTGGATTACAGCCTCTTACAGCTTCGTATTGTTACCTTTAGTGGGTGATACAGTGCATCTTACTGTGCCACTGATGTCCGTTCTGCGCCATTCACTGAAGCTCTTGGGAGCCCTTACAGTGCATATACTGTTGCAGGCTCAACATACCGCAAACTCAACGTTGAGGGTAGTCGAAACTTTTTCCACCGCAATTCCCAGCGAAGCTCATCTGGATGACGGCATCATGGCTTCCAACGAGCTCGCCGCAACACTCAAATTCCTTACAAATGCGGGCCATCTGCTTGCTGAGACAGCCCCAGAGACATCGGCTTACATCATGAGCCGACGCAATGATCTCTTGTTCGAGCATGAGGTGCAGCTCTCCGACAAGGAAAGGCAGCGGGTGTGCACATGTTGTGGCCATATCATGCTCCCTGGCCAGGGTGACTTTCTGCAGATTAAATCTGCAAAATGCAAGCAGAGAAAGAAGAGGAAATCTCCGAAGGGCAAGTCAGCTCCTAAGCTTGGTGTGCAGCCTTACCAGTCGGGGCCGACGAAAACCATCACCTGCGGTCACTGTGGCAGAGTCACAGAGATCAAGCTGCCAGCCCCTACTCCTATTTACAGGCGAGCCTCCAAGGCCCAAGTTCAAAGCCAAAAAGTCTCTTCCAGAGTTTCTTCCAAGCCTTCGACGCTAGGAGCGCCCTCTTCTGCAGTCAGCTCCCGGCAAGAAACCCCGTCACAAAAGCCAAGCGCAAGCGCAAGCAGCAAGAAGCGAGCCAAGTCCCGCAAGGCAGGGCTGCAGGCTCTGCTCGACCATGCAAATGCATCGCGCAACTCAGGTCTGGGATTAGGCTTGAGTCTTGCCGACTTCATGGAGAAGAAGTGAAAATCGACCAAGCCAGCAGCATGTTCGCCGCAATGAGTCAATGTCAGGTTCCAGGATGGCGGTTCACGGCGGCAAGCTCCGGCAGGCACAAAGCCTTGCGAAGGTTCGTGAATCTTGGTGTTGGATCAGGCGCCTTCTGACTGTTTCCTGGGCTCTGGGACCCTCATGACATAAGCCATGCCTAACTGGGGCAACCCCACATGAGCGGCCGCACTCCTGTTAAAACTACCCCGCCAAAAAGTCCCTTTACCAGCTCCAATCAGCACAACATCACCCGCAGCCCCTCCCTGATCGATTTTTTCCCCCTCTTGATATTACTACTGGCAATAGAATAACTATCACGAAGACACACAAGCAAGACATATCACAATGTCAACATTCGCACCAATCGGCCAGAAGGTCGAGAAGGCGACCAAGGTCGCGAATGGCGTCGAGGAGGACGACAGGGTGGTCGAGGAGATCGAGTCCCTGTGCATGAACTGCCACGAGAATGTAATTCGATACAAGATGCAAACATGCAGTGATGCTCAATTGTTGCGTCATCATATGGCAACAGTTACTAACGCTGTCTGGCCAGGGCATAACACGACTACTCCTCACCAAGATCCCCTTCTTCCGTGAAATCATCATCATGTCTTTTTCATGCGAGAAGTGCGGCTTCTCGAACAATGAGGTCCAGCCAGCTGGCACCTTTCAGCTTAAGGGCTCTCGCTACGAACTCCGGTTAATCGATATGGCCGACTTCCAGCGCCAGGTTGTCAAGTCCGATACGGCTACTGTCAAGTTCATCGAACTGGACGTTGAGGTCCCTCCAGGAAAGGGCCAGCTTACCAATGTCGAAGGTTTGCTCACAACCTTGGTTGACGACCTGGCCTTCGGCCAGGAGGAGCGCAAGAAGGAGAATCCCGAGGTCTGGGCTAAGGTTGAGGAGGTCATCGCCAAGGGCAGGAGGATGCTGGCCGGCGAGCTGTTCCCCTTCCGTGTTGCCGTCGACGATCCCGCCGGTAACTCGTTCATCGCCCCCGACCCGCGCGACGGTGTCGGCAAGTGGGAGAAGCGCGAGTACCTCCGCACTCCTGAGCAAAATGCCATGCTTGGCCTTGCCGACACTGCGACGGACGGCCTCGATGAGAACGACGACATCATCCCCGACCAGGTCTACTCCTTCCCCGCGCATTGCCCTGGTTGCATGCATCCTTGTACCACCAACATGAAGATGGTTGACATTCCGCACTTCCGTCAGGTCGTGCTGATGAATACGACCTGCGACGACTGCGGCTACAAGTCGAACGACGTCAAGACCGGCGGTGAGATCCCCGAAAAGGGTAAGAAGATCTCGTTGAAGGTCAAGAGCGCCGAGGATCTGGCCCGCGACATTCTCAAGAGCGAGACCTGCTCGATGGAGTGCCCAGAGCTCAGCCTGGCGGTGAACCCAGGCACGCTGGGTGGCCGTTTCACCACCGTCGAGGGTCTGCTGACCCAGGTGCGCGACGACCTGCATGCGCAAATCTTCGAGGCCGACGCCGACGCTGGTGAGGAGGCGCGCATCAATGACTCTCTCAGCGAAGCCGAACGCCAGCGCTGGGAAGAGTTCTTCCGCGACCTCAATGCCGCCATCAAGGGCGAGAAGGAGTTTACCATTATTTTGACCGATCCGATTGCCGCGTCGTACGTGCAGAGCTTGGCCGACGACCCGAGCCAGCCTGATGAGCAAATGACGGTCGAGTGGTACGAGCGTACCGATGAGGAAGAAGAGGACCTTGGTCTGAAGGACATGAAGGTTGAGGGTTATGAGGAGGAGTACGCAAAGGAGAAGGAGAAGGAGGCAAGGAAGCAGACAGAGGAGGCTGCTGCTGAGTGAATGGTGTTTGAAGAAAAAAACAAAATAGAATGATATCTCCTTTTTTGTGTTTAGCGGAGTTCTGGCAGACTGCAAAACTGTGTGGGATGAGATACCTTGCTTGGGTTTAGGGATGGAATATACATGATGTACAAGCATTGACATAGAACAAGAGAGCACTGAGAGCCATTGGATGGCGCTCTGAGATGCTTGAGACCTGCTATTCTCCCACAACTTCGTGTAGCTAGCTGAACCATCAACGTGTTTCCTACACCAAATTATTGACGGACGGCTGATCTCCGACGACAAATGTGGAGATCGCGGATCTAGTGAGAAAACCACTTGCGACGTACGGCCACTTCACTGTAAGGAGGCATCTTGACGATTCACGACTGAGGATGGTAGGATAATTCTTAAACGACATATTAGAAGACGGACAGCGAAAGCTATCCAGCATTTTGGTCAAGCAAGTGCTATCTGTGGGAACGCAAACATTTGCCATATAGTAACCAACTCGACCGCCAGGTTTCTACGCTTAGCCTCCTCCATTATCACATCTTTTGCCATTTTTTGTCAACTAGATACCGGACGCCAGAACGCCGCCCCTTCTAGGTTCATACAAATCGACCGACCGACCGGGCGCCCATAACGAAAAGAGACGACGACCTTCCATCCATCCCTTTATTAGTCAGTTTCCTCCCCTCACTTTTGGTGTGTGAGCCAGTCTGTCCCAACTTAGTTTGGATCCCTCCAGCCTATCGTTGAAGATAACGTAAGTAAATGATAGTACGCAAAAACAATCGCCCCTAAAACGTAATAAACGACTTCATCCTCTCCCGTTTTCTCGGAAATAGCAATTGCATTGGGGTATAAAAAGCCTGGACCTGGATCTTTCTGCGAGAACGCCGCCTGCATGATTGACTGCCTGCCTACCTATCCGCCGACCTCTCCCATGACTGACTGAGAAAAGGAAGGGAATGATGATGACGATGTTGCCTAATAAGAGACGATCAAGAGAAAACCACCCGTAAAATGAAGTTTATCCCATCCCTTTGCCTTACCCAGTCAACTGAGAGGGCAAAGCTCCATCCATCCTACCAAGCCAAATCCAGATCAGACCCATCCTCCCTTTTTTACCCTTTGCCTCTCGAGAAGCAAGCTCAGTATCAGCAAAAGCTAGGCTTCATCAAAACGCGATATTCAACATAATCTTCGCCATCGATGCTAATAATAGTCCCACTGCTGACGAGCTTACCCTGGAACGGACCACTCTGCTTGCGCTCGTACTTGATACCCATGTACACCTTGGTATCGGGGTCATTACCCGCCCGTGCGCGGTTCGCCTCCTGCGACGCCCACACTCGGTTCAGTCGCGAGATGTGGTCCTGGAACATGGCGCGGTTGGCACTACTGCTGGTGCTAGCCACGGCAGTGGACGAGCCAGACGAGATGGACGAAGTGGTCGAATTATTACCGTTGGCTGTGGCTGTAGCAGCAGCCTCGCGCTCGCGCTGCTGTGCCTCGCGGGCAGCGATGCGCATCTCCTGGCGGGCCTGGGCGGTCTCCATACGGGCGATGGCACGCGTGGCGAGGTTGTTGGTCTTCTCAACCATGGGGTTGGTGCGATTAGCAGCACGGAACTCGATGTCTGGGAGCGGGGTGCGGCCGTTGGGGCGAGTGGTAGAGCCATTCTGCTGGGCAGCTGCCGCGGTGGCAGCTCGGGTTGCACGGCGGGACTCGTCAGGGTTGGCAGCAGCAGGCGTAGAGTTGCTGGCAGGAGCGACGCCGTTGCCGTTTGCGACAGAAGGGGGAGAACGATCTGAAGCAAAGCCGGCCTCGGCGACGCTGGCAAGAGGGGTGTAGCAAAGATTGGAAGCCACGCGCTGTTGAGCTTGATAAACGGCCTTGGTTTCGTTGGCGATGCGATCCTCCGGAGCTTCGCCCCTGTCGATCTGCTGCTGACGGACGCGGCAGTACTCCTTGATCTCAGCACGGGTGAGCTGCTTCAAATGCGGCTCAAACTCAACTTCGTCCCAATGGATCCATAGAGCACCGGCACCAGTAGGGAAATTGCCATGGCATGGACGGCCATCACGAGTCTCGCGGGCAAGCTTGACCCGAAACATGTCATTGGCGCCGAGGATGCCGAAAACGGCATGCTTGTTGGCGGGATCGGGTTCGCTGGAGTGTTTCCAATAACCCACCAGAACCCTCGTCGGGCGAGTGCCAGGGATGTTAGCCACAGAGGTCGGGGTCGAGGGCTCCGAACCACCAAATGTGCCAGAGTCAACGCGGCGACGCTTGTTGGGATCGCCACGCTGGTAAAGGACAGCGTTATCAGGGACGTCAGGGCCATAGGCAATCAAGGGCGCTATAGCACCCTCGGGAGGAGGGTTGGTTGTGATGTTATAGACCGCTTGGTCAATAGCCTCTTTGTCCCTCTTGGCCTTCTGCTCCGGAGTCTCTTTGACCTGCAGCGTTTGTGCACGCAGCTTAACATATTCTTTGACCACATGATGGTTATGACCAACCAGGTGTTCATCAAAGGCAATCTTGTCGAAGGTAACCCAGCTACCTCCAGGGCCAGGAGGAATGGGGTAGCGGTGATCAATCGTGCGGTTATCGCGGGTAGTTGGCTGGATGCGGGTCCGCAGACGGTCCCTGGCATCGATGAAGCCGATAACAGAGTGCTTGTCAGCATCATTGGGGACAGGAGAGTCCCTCCAAAAGCCGATAACTACACCCTTCAGGGGGGCTGGCTTGGTAGGGCGGATGAAGCGACGGGAATCATGATCTTCGGTGGATGCAGGGCTATGCTCATGCTCATCATCTGAGTCAGCTGACACAGAAGAACGCTTCCGCTTAGGATGATAGGCAAGAGGCTGGTCCTCTGTGTTGCCCATCTCAATGTCCTTAGACTCGGGTGTTGCCCGAGTAGGGCTGGCCTTGGTGTTATTGTTTGCGTCGGCACCAACAACAATCTCGTCATTGAGAGACACACTTGAGGCGCGGCTCGGGATAGTGTCGGCGATAGATTCCGGAGGAGGCGTCAAATCCTCATTAATATCTTCGATAGGCTCGCTCTTCGTACTAGACTCCTTGGTATCTTCCTTGATAGGATCGATGCTTTCCCAGTGTTAGTAAGCAGTCAATCTCACATTGATTGGTCAAGGATAAAGTGCCCCATCCTAGGTTACACAAGAGTAAAACCGAAAAGGAGCGAAATATAGAAAACTTACCCAATGTTGGCGTTACGATTGCTGATCGACGCAGGGTCAATGGCCGGAGACATGGGGGTGTCACTTGAGTCGCTGTCCTTCTGAGTAAGAGAACTAAGTGAAAAAGCCAGAGTTAGACGCAGTGCAAAAGATGAGATTTGAAAAGCAGATATGTCAATGACCGGAAATGCACCAAGAAGGTTTCTATGTTTGTATGTTCCGACGAGATGTGACCGAGTTCGTTTGATACCAAACACAGGTATGGAACAGGGCAACAGGGATAGAAATGACAGTGTCAATCCAGAGAACACAACTTACTTCCCGGGAATATCTTGAATGCTTTCTTGGTCTTTGAGGTCTGTTGGTTGATCTGCAGGAGACTCCCGGGCAGATTTAGACTCGAAGTGATCTTCAGGGAGACTGCTGGAGGAGAAAAGGTTCTGTTAGTCGCTCTTTTAATAACAATAAAAGCTGATATTTGTGTGAGGAATGAAAAACTCGACGTTCGAGTTGTCAGAGTTTTAACCAATAGAAAATGAGCGCCTGGTAACTCGCGAACTCAACTTGTTCAGAACAAGGCAGTTGCTAGGTAGGCACTTGCTGCGAGGATTAAAGAGCAAGAGCTCTCTGCAACTTCTTCATTGAAGTTCTCTGAACAAGTTGCGAAACACTCTATTCACAAAGAGTGCAAGCCAGGCTACTTAGTCCAAAGGCTTAGCCGAAGAAGTTATACTTCCTGTCTACTGTGAAGAATAGCGAAGGGAGTGGTGAGAAGTCTTGCTGAAGACAACTTACCTCAATGAACCTGAAATGGGCATTGAAGGCCTGTTTGATTGTTAGTTTGTAATGATTCAAATCCTGAACTGGGCAATGCAATAGCTTTTAGTGAGAAGGGACTTGAGTCCTAGTTAGACTCAATCCGTGCAGGTGCTGCCTTAGTGTCTTCGAAGTTGTGACGTAACGCTCTATCATCTGCAAGAGAAAAGAGACTGGTCGCGTGTTTGTGACCAGTTACCCACTTGACCTCCGACAACTTTCCATGTGACAACATAAACAATTGGTCTTTATACTTCTGCGAGATCGATGGTGTGAAGAGCATAGCCTAAGTGTTAGACTCAAAGAGCATGATGGTTTTTGAGCATGCTTGAGTTAACTATCCCGGGCTATTCATCGTGGTGTTTCGCGGCTTAGAGTTTGAGCCCACAAAATAGGCAACTTTTTAGTGGCAGGTTTCGTGGGTTATTGTGAGATGACGATCGCTATGAAGTGCGAAACAAAGAGTTGTGAACACGAAGTCCACAAATCATGGTCCAAGCACAGAGATTAAAGTCACTGAGTTACGTGAGGTATTTCATAGGCTGACAGCAAACCTCCAGGAAAAGCAGAGATTGGGGCATAGCCAACCTCAAACAGAGGGGAAATTATGATGTAGAATGCAGCAAACAACCCAGAACACGCACTTACCCTTCTGTTGGCTCAACATCAGGCTCAATAGGAGATGGTGACTTGACAATAGACGGAGAATCTTTGATCATAGGAGGGTCCTCCCTCACGCTGACGGACTCAACTGAGTCCCTATCATCCATTGTGGCTGGTGGTGTCCTCAGAGCTTTGTGACGAATTAACTTCTGGCAAAGCTGTTAGTGATGTGTATTAGAGAAGCAAAAAAAAAGGTGAAGGAGAGTAAAAGTACTCGTCGACCTGGATGGGCCCAATCGGATGAAAAAGTCCTCATATTGCAATGTAGACTCGGGACAGGAAGGAAGTGCTGGAGAGGCGTTTGATGGGTTGCAGAGACAGAAGAGATGGGATGGATGATAGTTGAGATGAAGAGAAGGGCAATGCAGCGCAAAGCAGATGAGCGAGGGCCAGCGCCGCTTACCAGTTAAACCTACAAAAGGATGAAGGGTCACGCCTCAAGTGACACAGAAGATGGACTGATGATAGAAACACTGGTGAGAGGCCAAAGTCTTGGCGTGGAACGTTCGAAGCCAAGAGCGTCTGGTGAAAGGTGATTTAGCGACGTGAAATGTACATACTGTACCAAAGACCAAAAGGCAATCAAGGTTGCCCCCAATCTGGCGAGATTTGTTGGTGTTGGTGAATACTTGGTGGCTTGCACGGACAATCACACAGTCAAGCCGAGCAGTCTGGGGGCTGTCAGTTGCTTTGTTGTTGCGACTGGAATGCGACAACAGACACAAACCAGGGTGTGCGGGCCGTTTTTGTTAACGCCGCAGCAGTATGTACCTTATGCAGGAGAGTCAGATGTGTTGCACTGACTTGTGCAATAAAAGTTGATGATAAAGTTCGGTTGCTGTGGTAGGTAAGGTAAGAAAAGTAGTAAAAAGTGGATGATGGATTGAAAATAATGCAAAAGAGATAAGGTGAGAGAGAGTGGTGGTGGAGATGTAAGAAAGGGGAAGAAGCACTGTTCTCTGCGGGAAGGTGAGAAGAATTGATTTGGGTCAAGGAAGAAAGGAGAAAAACAAGGTGACAAGGTCACAGGCGACGGGATTAGGTGACTTGGAGCTAAGGTGTTCTGTTCGTTCGGCACGATTCCAGGGGGACAGCTTACGACTAGGCAAGTCAGGTAATGCTATCCCGTATGCGTACCTTAGGTTAGGATGATTAGTAGTCCCACAGATGATAGGATGACGGATAGGGATGATTCGCTGACTGTGTTCAGCCAAATTGCAGCAATTGCAACAAGAGAATCCCATAGACTGATGCTCACAGAATTGGAAATGCGACTGGTGACTGGGGCTAAGCGAGACGACTTGATTCTTATTGGAAGACTCGAGCGATCGAGTCTGGGGACAATCTGGGAACAGCAAACACAAGGACTGCTTGGCTTGGCTTTTTTTCCCCTTTACCTATCCTCTTCTCAAAAGAGGGGAAAGGGCCCATTTCTGAGAAAAACTGGAAGGGAAATTTGAGACGTGCAGCGCCATACTGTGCGAAGCCGTTGCTTTACCTGTCTCTTCCCGTGCCAACTGCTTGTTTGTTTCTTGTGTGTCTTGGAGAAGTTTTTGTTTTGTTGTTATCCTCTTTCACAGAACTTCTTGTATGTTGGCTTTGGCCTTGGGTTGTCGGCATCAAACTGGAGTCTTGTCGGCTTGGACCAAGGGCCAAGGTGCCAGGCAAAGCCCCCATTCCACTCTCATATCCTAACCTCGAACCCACATTACCCCCATCTCCATATCCCCACCCCCTGCTTTGCTTGCAGCAGGTGCTTGTCCGAGTCCGGTGACCTTCCGCATCGAGTCGTTCCCTTTTTCCTGTGATGATATTCATGCAAGACAGTAATCAGGTTGTTCTCCCTCTCATCTCCCTCAACTACTTTACTATGCTCGAGGCAGCACGGCAATCTGAAACATACTGTCTGTTGCATCACGGCAATGCAGTGTTAAGCCAATCCTTCCAGTACATTGCAGACATAGAATTGAGGGTTCTATGGCTTGGAGTGGTCAACAACTCTTCCTCTTCTTGATCGGCTCTTTGCTTTCTTTTCTATCCCTATCGGTGTATTCATTCTAATGTAGCTTGGCTCTGGCAGCGCCCGTAATCTATTTTCCCCATCCCCCCTCTTTGGCCCAACCCAGGAACATTGCGCTGTCATTGCCCACTTTTGGAAGACAAAGCGCTGGCACGAATGAATTGTGCAGTCAAGCAGCGTGGCATGTTGACCGCCGATCATCCGTCCGCACAACACAAAATAGATCACGTAACAAGAGCATCAGAGATGCCAGTGTTGATGCCTTAGACACCACCCACTGGGTCTCTAATTACTTAGGGTTGGGAAAACAAGAACCAAGAAGACTCTTGCCCAGCCTTCCTTGCTTCCTCCCTTTTTCCCCATCACCAGACTCTCCATCACTCGGACACTTGTCGCAGCCGAAGTGGGATTGGTGAGAGAGGCGGACCCATCTGCTTCAATCCCATTGGTCAGCCAGATGGCAACTCAAACCACAAACAAAACGCAGCCTAAAATGAAGCGCGACAAGTTGCAGACTAGCCAGCCGGTGCAACGCAACATGATGATAAGACCAAAGAAAGGGGAATGAATATCTTCAAAGACCTGCGCCCATTATGTTGTGGCTCCGTATAGCATTAAATCATGACACCTTTAACAGTATATCACGCCCTTTTTTCCGAGTTAATTGACACTTGAGAACTCTATCCTGAATTCCCTTGAGACAAGTGCAAGAACGAAAAGGGTCTTTTGAGGACGAGGGGCCGAAGTTGAAGTTTGTCCTTCCGCCAGCCCGGGCTGTGATTGCTGTATCAGATACAGCCCAGGGGAACTTGACGCCACAATCCCGTCATGCAATTTCCAGCTTTAGATAATTCACCACCTTCGCTAGCACTATAATGCGCCATTTAAATCCATCCTCATCATACACTGAATCTCTATCTCATGATTGCCTCTGTATGATTTACTACCTAAGTAATATCCGTAGGACTGCTCCTGCAGGTACTAGAAAAACTGCTAAGTCCGAGATTTCGGGCTTGTGTAACTGTTCGAACGTTTGCAACCCTCAAGAAGAGTTGGTTGGTTTGATCACTCAAAGTGCTGAACCAACAAGCAGAAAACTGCAAAACAAGACAAAGGGTGATAGAATCACAAAAAGTATAGAAATGAAAAACTCCGCTCATAGCTCTAGCCGTTGGCCGGAATGGTAGTGACCACAATCATAGATGTACCTATCGGATTCTGTGAGCCGATTGCCAAATTACGACTGAACACCTCATCGTCGCCAAGGTAAGCCCTCCTTATGCAATGATAGCCAGGAATGCTCGTTCATTTGATACATGAGTCGTGCAACTTAAATAGGAGGGTGTGCAGCAATGCGACGTTTGTATAGCCAATAATATGTCAAGAGCCCGGGACTCATGTTAAGACTGTGAACTGATCTGTACACCATCAGACCGAGTTCATGACAGTTCCAAACCGAGTGCAGGAGCCGAGGTAACCAACAATTGAGTTACAAAGATACATCACCGCTAGAGCATCAAAGAGAATGACAGTTAAACTAACTCACCCGAAATTTCCATTCAACCTTGTGTCCTAACTGACCGCCACCATGAAGTTCATAGTAATGAAGTGAACCATACCTACGTGTCCAGCCATGCCAAACCCGGGTATCAACCAGCCATCTCAATCTAGATCTTTGTCCCAAAAAAAATGCCCTTCTTTTTTCCGGAACCTTACTGTTGCACCGGAAGCTCATCGTTGTGCCCCAAACCAACATAACATAATAAACTGAATCAACAACTCCCAATTGTACTTTCGTTATCTTTACCTACGTCCCCTACCCTTCCCCCCACTCTTCCCTCCACGTCCATTATTCCTCCCTCCTCCCTTCTTTCCACCAGCCTTGCCTGCCGCAGCAGCAGCAACATTCTCGTCAAACCTGGTCCAGAGCACTCCATCCTCCCCAAAGGCTGCCTCTGCGAACCTCATGTAGTTAATTACCCCGTGGTCCACAACCGCAACCAGTACGTGCCTGCGTCCATGCTTCAGCCGTGCGTAGAGATACCGGCCCTGCTGCAGCATCTGTTGCTGCTTCTGGGGGTTGTTGTTCTGTGGTGGGATGTAAGGCGAGTATGGAGTTGACAGTAGAAGGGCATCTACTTCGCGCAGGGTTGGAGGAGCTGACTCCTGCGCATCGACGACGGCGAGGTAGAAGTCTGGTGGTGGGTGACGAAGTTTGGTCCATTTTTGAGACGCCTTCCAAACGTGGAAGTGGACGGCGAAGGGTTCGATGGGAACAGGAGGGAAGGTTGGGTTAGGGTCGGGCTTGTGCCGTGGGAGGAGAGCTATTCGTCTGTAGATAGGGGCATAGGAGCGGTAGAGACCTGGAAGGATGAGGGGTCCGTATGGGGGATAGACGACAGGCTTAGGAGAAGGCGTTAGGAGATTGGTGAACCATTGCCAGAGCGAGGTTGGTTGGGTAGAGAATAGTGACTTTGACCGTGGCGGGGCCCGTAGAACATTGTAGCCACATCTCTTGAGGTTCGAATAGACTTGGAACTTCTGCAGGCTGATCTTGCCGCGGTCGCCCTCGTTGCCGATTAAGAGAGCATAAGCAGCTTGAAGACTGAGAGGGATTCCCAACTCGTACTCATCGATCTCCTCGTCATCCTCACCAACAAGGCCCTTGCCAGCCGGTGTCTCGGGTGGTGTGCCCGGAGGGAAGAGTTCCTCAAGACTCTTGAGCGGCCACCACAAATCCATCGACCCTCTCTCAACCAGATAAAGAGCCTCCTCGGGTAGCAACCAATCTCTCCCCCTCGCCGGCCGATCCTTCGCCTGTCCGGTCACCGCCCGTCCCAGGTTCTTGCTCGCGACCGACGACCCCTCAAGTACAACAACCCGATCCCTAATATGCCCATATGGCCTCTTCTCTTTCCCCTCAACCTCCCCATCCCCGGCCTCCTCGACCACCTCCTCATAATCCCTCCACCAATCTGGGAAATACCATCCTCTGAGTACATTCTTCTGCGATCCCGCATGCACACGGGTATACGACAGCACCTCGTGCATTGCAGCGCGACTCTGCTCCAGGGCATCGGCCTGCGCCCGCGTGCCGTGCGACTCAAAGTCCTTCTCACCTTTCCGGATTGTCTGTGCTGATACGCCCGGCTGCTTGCGGAATAGCCGGAAGTCCTGTGACGCGGCACCCTCATCTTCCAGCAGGTCCTCGGCCGTCAGGCCCTCGTCGGGGGAACCTTGGGCAGCAGCATCGACGCTGCTTCCACCAGCGCCAGAGCCAGATGAAGATGGGGCGAGAGGGGCCACCAGGGCGGGATTGTCGTCGTCGTCGAGAGGCATTGTGTTTGCGATTTAGCTGATGTTTGCGGTGATGAGGAGGATGCTTGAGTGACGGGTAAGAAATGAACGAAGTACGCTGCACCTTCAGATAAGTTTTCGGTGGGGCTCACACCGCGCCGCGGGGCAGCGCCTGGTGGTTTGCTATCGGGGGGGAAGGGAACCCAGATAGCCAATCAACAGCGATGAGAAATCCAGAGGTGCTTGTCGTGGGCGAATCTTGATTGAAATCTTAAGTTAGTCCCCCGAAATCGAGCTTCGATTGGGCGTGATATTGTTGGGCTGCGTTAGTTTACACATATAAAATCGCAAAGTCTCTCCCATTAGTAAAAGCTTCCCCCTTTTGGGAGTGAGCGATAGAAGGCAAGGTGGCCGAGTGGTTAAGGCGCCAGATTTAGGTATTCCTATTACCTCTGGTGGGTAACCGCGCGAGTTCGAATCTCGTCCTTGTCATCGATTTTTTGTGGGTGGGCAGGCTATCGGCTTTTTGCCAGAAATATATGGTCGCGCTGTCTGAGTTGAAGGAACGACTGTAACTGCTTGCTCAAAAGATATTCTCTTTCGACAATGGTAAAGCCATGATGGGCACGACTGCCTGGGAGATTCTTGAGGAAGACAGGAGATGACGGTAATCAGGAACATTCCCGGAAGACATCGTAATCCTTTGGATGCAAGTCCCTTCATAAGCATGACCAGAGTTGCAGGTCTAATAATCACCTAAATTATATACTCAATTTAATATATATATATTTTTCAAAACTACACTACAAGAACTTCTGGTCATTTTTCAGGGTTGGAGTAGGCCAAGAGGTAAGGTGAAGGTAAGGTGAAGGTAAGGTGAAGGTAAGGCAGATGTTGGTCTAACCGACCGTTCACCGCTGCCTTGAAAGTCCAACGAATGTTCCAAACGTGCAGTTTCCTCAGGTCCCTCGCCCCCCCCCCTTCCGCCGACCCCCTCATCTCTGTTCCCAATAAGAATGCATGAGAGCCATCATAGAATGTGCATTCCAAGCCCGAGCCGACCCTCTTCCCGTCACCCACTCTCATCTTGATAGACGCCAAAACGCCAGGGGCCTGGTGGTATCCGTTCGTGTAACATCGTGAAAGACATCAGCAAGAAAAAGAGTTGCCTTCGTACACTGAACAACACTTCCCAGCTCTACCTCCATTTGAGCTCTAAACATCTCCAGTTCAGATGTCAAGACATTTTCGTTTCCTCCTCACGATCCACAGATGGGTATCAATCCTCGCCTCGCCTTCTGATAACTCGTTCATCACATTCATCCGCATCATAAACCACATGATTGCATGTCAACTGTTGGCATGCTCATCGAACCCTTACCCCTCGCTGAGGACTTGGGAAATGCAGTGAATAGTTTAACCGCTAGGAACCTCGCATGTGGGAAAGATGGTACGGGGAACATAACATCATTGTCTTTGCTCCATCAACAATTTGATGATTTTAAGACCCCTGGACAACTTTCAGTCTAGGGTGATGCAGTTCCGTTGTCAAAGCTCGCGAAATAGTGCTCATTATCTGCGTACCGCTCTCGGCCGCGAAAATTGCCCACGAGGGCAATACCTCCCAAGACAATGGAAGCGCAACGATCGCATGTCGGCATGTGGTTGTCGTCGAATCAACCTCATTGACAGGTGATCTCGGCGGATACTTCGTCGTTTTGTTACGGCTTACCTCGTGGCCGCTACCGAAGGAATGGGGACATCACTCGATCAGCATCTTCTTCACGCCTCCAACTTCACAAAGTCCCAGATGACGAATCGCGTCCTTCTCGCTGGCAAGAACGATCATGCGCTCAGGGAGGACAGGATTATTTGGATCGACCATGGACGCGTCCTTGGCAGCCTGCTCAATGGCTTCCATCTCCTCCTTGCACGCTTGTTGGTCGAGAGGGCAAACTACGATCGGCTGGCGCAATGTAATGTCTCGCGCTGATGTCATGTGTGCCTGGAATCAGGTCAGTCACACCCTAACTTGTATCATTCTAAGGGCGAAATTATGTTCACCTTGACACTTAGGAAAAACTCAATCTTGTACAGCGTCGAGGTCGTCGTAAAGCTTGTCACTTCATATTGAGGAAAGTGCGGTTTGCCCCTCTTGATGATGCCATCCGGATCTCGTAGATTGCGCGCAGGAAGGACAAGACCGAGGTTTGTCATGTAACCGGTCTCTGGTAGCTTAGTGCCTACAGTCTGCGTGTGCTTTGCAATCTTGGTGACCTTTTTGGTTGGCTCATCACCTTCTGGATTAAAGGTAATCTCTTCCTCAATCGTCAAAGTGATCTTTTGTATCGTCACTTTCTTGGCCTTGCTCATGTAATCCGGATTCGGCGACAACTTAACGTAGACGGTAATCGGATCGAGCGGACCATAACTCCATTTGGGAAGGGAGATGCCCAGTGTCACGATGTGGTCCGCTGTCGCTGCCCTCGTCTCTGGCCGATTGTACATGCCGAAGGTCGAGAGGGTGTCGTAACGCTGTAGTTGTACTGGGAAAGTGTAGCGATTCTGCATGCTTGAGCCTTGCTGGACAGTCACCACGAGTTCATAGTATGTCTCAGCGATGCGACTTGGTAATTGCAAACTCGCCGGGGGAATGCGCCGGTTTGATTCTTCGCCGCTGCGGCCAAAGGGGATGAATATCTGGAAGGGCAGATCCATCGCGATTACGCTCTCTGCTTCCTTGCCAGTCATGCACCGAAACAGCAACACCTCCTTGCCCACCGTTTCGACCGTCTCACGTCGGGGGGTCCCAAGATGTCGTTTTGCGACATTTTCCGCCGATGGGTGAATGGTTTCTCGCCGTTGTAAACAGATGCGCACCATTGAAATATTTACCGGCGCCGAGATTCCCGCGCCAGGGCGAATCTCAACCTTTCCAACTATCCTAGGCTGCTCGATGAGTCAGTTTAGTCGCTTCGGAATCGCAAGGCTGTCGCATGTTTGGCAGCCTTTGCTCCGGCACTCGAACTAGAGATCCGGTGCGCTCATGTCTACATTTCATCTACACACGAACAAAGGCTAAAAGACTCCGGGGGAGAACTGACCAGTGTCGCAGAAATACCTGGATAGCCGACCAGAAAACTGCTGTTGGGAGGGCCAGATATCCTCACAACCGCGGGGATGTTAGGCGCATTCATGGCGGACTGGTCGCCTGTAAGGCTTCAGACTAAGGTTCAATCAGAGTTGGACAATTGTCGGATAATGGGCGCCGATGATGTTGGCGTGAGCGCAGAAACCGTCGCCGGTCATCAAAGGACGACGGACCGAATAGCTGCAGTCGGATTACTGGGTAAGGGTTGAGGAGAAGAGGCTGACGGTCGAGTTGGGATGAGGGGTTCTGGGGATTCGTGGATCGGACGTCTTGCTCACGGCGCAGTATCGATAAGAAGCTGCAGTTGCGCGCGTGAGCGCCGCACACGATGGCATGCGTAGCCGACAGGCAGGCTACGCGTGAGGTTGTGGGTAGAGTAATGCCAGGCAGCTGAATTACCAAAACTTGGGGGAGAGCTGTAATGTCCTCGGGGTTTGAGAATTGGTTGCAGTAAGAGCCAAGCCGTCCGCGCCGTCTTACGCAAAAGTGTTGTGCTGGTGGTACAGCTATGTACAGCTCAACAGCTGCGCAAATGGGGCCGAAATGGTCTGTGGTGCGCCCGGGATCTTCACAAAGGCACGGTAGCTGCAGAGCGGGCTGGTTACCACAAGAGTGCAGCTGGTGGGAAAGGCTTGGTTGGTGGGCGAGAGGAGTTTGAGATCGAATGGCAGCGCCTCTCCAGCCGCCGAGGTCTTCGTTCTTTCAAGTTGAGGACACCGCCGCGCTAGGGGTGCGTCTGGGTTGGAGTCTTCCAGAACGTCACGCCCGAGCCGTGCGGGACAATGTTCGGTGACTTCGACTTGATATCGGGATAACCTGACTCCTCGGGCAACCAACGACCCGATGGGAATTATAGGATGCTTTGCGTCGTCAGTCAAGTGTAATCCCGATTACGGTGGATCAATGGTAGAGCATGCGTATGAGAGAGGCTCACCCAAGGCTGGTCAGTAACCTAGAACAGCTTACAAGTCCTGGGTGTTTCGTGGTTGAGAGAAATGAAGGTACCTGTAGGACTTGGACTCGGGTCCTCCCCGCCCGAACCGTGGGGATTGAGGGGGGCCGGAGGAGCCGCGAAATTTTAGCCAAGTATTTCAAACCAAGCAATGGGCCTCAGGCCGTTATTGCTTACAGGGAGAAATGTATAGGCCAACAGTAACTTAAGGAAATGCAGAATTCGACGAAAAGTAAGCCAGGTACAGAGAAGGTCGTGGCAGCTTCACTTTGGTGAGCCCGGTGCCTAGTGCAACCTGCCGCACCACGCCGACCTGGAAGAGCCTGGAAGCTCCCGCCCGGTGGGTTCGCTGGCGAATTGGGTCTGGGCCGGGAACCTTGCCGGCGGGGTCGCCCCGCCATCAACCCCACATTCAGCTGCAGTGACATTCAATGAGGGCCATTCGATGGCACCTCGCCGGTCTGTGGACCTTATGGGTGGCTAACAGATCGACATTCTGTTGTTTGATGTTGGTGACTGTCTTTAGTGCTCTTGATTGATCTTGGAAATTTTCAATGTCATAATGGTCATATAAGGGACTGTTGCGAACTCGGATAAAATTATCTCAACCAGGAGATCTTCGGGGAGAGAACAAATCAAGAGAACTCTTTGACTCCAACATCAGCAGCACATTGTCCGACTGCCTTAGCAATCTCAACCTCATGTTAAAAAACTTATTCTGGGCTTTTGAACCAAAGCTTTAGAATCTCATGATACGAAGTTTGACGGGAAATGCTCGCTCCAACACTGACACCGCCTGGCTACTTGTCAGGGAAGATCTTCGGTCTCTTTCCATGGACGGAAGAGCAGTGAGCAGGAAGATGTTTCCAGCCACTCCTCAAGACCTGATGCCCCTGGTAGGTACCATCTCTAGCCAAACGTCCAGATAATGCAAAAGCCACCCAAGTTTCTACAATCTGAGAAACGAATCTTTTTCCACCGTGATCTTGCAGGGCTTGAACTTGGAGAGCCGGCTGTCATCACAGGTGGCACCCCAGCTTTCACATGGTCTTGGCGATGCCGCCAAGACCATGCCAATTAAGATCCCTGTCCGATGTTCTACGACCGGCCGGCCACCCTAAGGCCGAGACTGGCATCAACACCAACGACGACCTTGAACAACTATCCAGCTTCCTGTCAGGTTGCCTTAGCGCACTCGCGATTGTTCATCCAACATGTCTGTCACATTGCACACAACACATGGAGACATCAAGATTGAGGTCTTCTGCGAGAGTGTTCCCAAAACCGCTGAGGTAGGTCTTCTGTCCCTATTTCGCTGTTCCTTGAAGATTACATTTTAAGCCCCCCCCCCCCGAGAAGCTTGCTGACCACTTAATCCTCTAACCAGAACTTTCTCGCGCTTTGTGCATCCAACTACTACGATAACTCGCCATTCCACCGACTAATCGCAGGCTTCATGGTCCAAACCGGCGCGCCAGCAAATCCCAACCCTCCCGACAACCCCAAGGGCGGGCGCTCGATCTGGGGGCTAACCTTCGAAGATGAAATCCGCCCAGGGCTGCGACACCACGAGCGCGGCGTGGTCAGCATGGCAAACAAGGGTCCCAACACGAACGGCAGCCAGTTCTTCATCACGTTTGCTCCGGCGCCGCACTTGGACGGGCTGAACACTGTGTTCGGCAAGATTCTGGGCGACACGAGCCTGGAGACGCTGGCTAAGATCGAGAAGATCCCCGTGGATAAGAAGAACAGGCCTCAGGAGGATGTGAGGATCAAGTCGGTGACGATCCATGCCAATCCGTTGGCGAAATAGGCCAAGTCCTAGGATGTGAGATGAAGGCAGACGTTGGGATAAAAGGAGACTGCATGTCCCATATGATGGCTTTCTGCCATTCTGAAGATGTTGCTGTTGGACAAACCATCTATACAGGCCAAGTTGAGCAACACCGGTAGGGGTAGTGGGCAGGACAGTTCTTCTAAACGCACCACGTGTGCCGCTTAACAGGCGCAGGCGAGAGCCATCTAGCATGGCCCAAATATCGGGGCCGATATCATCACAGAATTATCAAGCTCCTCGGCATCGAATGCAAGGGAGACCAACTTTGACCCAACAGTCAATACTCGATATATGGCTGCTGAGGCTGGTGACAAAAGCACCGGGGGAAAGCAGCATCATGCCACATGTGGGGAAGCAAGGCATGAATGAGGACGAGAGATTTCAAGGAACAGTTGTGTACATATAGTCAACGATGTTTGACGAGGGATAAAAACTACAGGATTAAAGTCACTTTTTGCTGTTAGTCTGCTCAAGAAATAACACCCTTAGCATTTGTCCCACCCGGGAACTTTCTAAAAGAAATGACTCCATTGATGCTAGCTAACTACTTAGGCAGCTAGTCCCTATCCTCCTCCAACCCGTAAACTGTTTATCAGTGACAACCGAACAGCTCGAGCTCGCCCTCTCCAATTCCATAAAACGACAACAATCATCATGATCGTCATCCAGTAATAGGTCATGAAAAATGATGCAATTGAGCGTAGTTTACTGCCAGAACGTGTAGTTAACGCATGAAAATATGCACCATGTCTCTCACTCATCGTCATTTTGAGGTAATATGATAGGCGAATAGGTAGTAAAGGTATGTTAGTGTGCCACAGAGAACAGGTTGTAATAAGGTAGATAGGGTAAGGGGTAAGGTATCAGAGACATACGGACGTTAGCGACAAACACAAACTGCCCCCATACTCTTCACCACAAGACGAAACCCATCCCTTCTTCTTCTTCTCTCACCCCGGTAACCACTCTTCCACCCAAATGCCAATTGTTTTCCCTCCCAATTTTTTATGTGACAAGCCCATTGAGCAAACAACAAGCAAGGAAAGCCTGTAACTCTAACCATCCATCCGTTCATTCACCAACGAACCATCCAACCAACCACGCCGAGCCGAATCCAAAGTCAAAAGAATCAAATAGGAGGGGGGTGAAAAGGGAATGGAAACGGAAATGGGGGTACAAGGAAAAAGTTGAGAGAAAATAGCCAGCCAAGCGCCCAATCAACCATTTTCCAACCAAACAACCAACGACCCATCCGTCCATATTACTTTTTTTTATCTTTTTTTACTGTTTGCTTGTATTCATTCCTGTCACATATCAATGCCCATCCTTTGACCAACGTGTTGCCCACAACCAATACCACTGCTGGCTTGATCACCAATGCCACTCTCATCGGCGCTATTGATTCGAGCTGCGGAAGCAGCCGTAGTACCTGAGGGGGCAACAGGACCAGTTTTGTTACCTAGTAGCCCCTCTTAAAATCTCTTCCAGCATCCTGTCTAACGGATCTGACTCAGGCTTAGAACCAACGGGACCAGGAAGAGCAGGCGTACTGGGATTAGCGGCCGGAGCACCTGCCGGAACGGCAGAAACCGAGGGGCCAGCAGGGAGAGCACGAGTGGGGGGGGCAACCCTCGAAACAGGAGTCAAAGCGCGACGAGAGGGAACCAGAGCAGAAGGGCGAGCTGCAGGCCTCGAAACATTCGCAGCTGGGGTCAGCGGCAGGGGCGGCACCTAACTCTTCCGCCTGCGCTTCGTGCCACGCTCCGGGCTCTCCTCGAACAGCTCGGTCGCGCCGACACTAGCAGCGCGATCAGATACGGTCGTCGGACTAGGGCTATTTGTCGCTGACGTCGAGCTTGTCGTCTCGAAGACTTTGCCTGTTTCGAAGCCATTGCCGGCAGATGCAGCGACCCCGTTGCTGCTTTCAAGAGCAGTGGTGGCAGCATCATTCGGCGTGGGGGCTGCCGTGCTGGTGACGAAATCGGTTCCGTCCGCTGTGCCATCTAGGCTGAAGTCGAAATCAGTATCTCCTGCAGTGACGACGCCGTTTTGGTTGCTTGCGGTTCCATTGGTACTGGTGCCATTAACGCCAAAGGCATTCGTGGTCCCAGTTGTGGCGGTAGAGATTTGATCGACATTTCCATCAGCAAAGGCATTGGAGTTGATAAACTGATCATAATCCACGTTGTCAAAGTAGTTGGTGCCAATCGGATTGCCATGTTCATCCAAGCCTGGGATGCGACCAGAGGGGCTAAGAGGACCAAGTAGGCTCGTAAGCTCGTCAATCTGGGCGGCCTGCTCACTCTGTAGTCGTTGAAGCTCCTCGATCTCAGCCTGTGTAGCCTGGATATCTTGAAGAAATGGCGTGGTTGAAAGGCTAGTAGAGAGAGGGAGGCTGAGGGCGTTGGGCCGCGTTGTGGATGAGAGAGCAGGAGGAGTCGAGCCCGTTGTTGAAGCCGAAGCTGTAGGGGAGGTAACAGAGGACAAAGAAGTGGTGCTTGGGGCAGCACCCAACGGGGAGAGACCATTGGTCACAGCCGTGGTGGTAGTCGAATTGTTACCAGCCATGATATTGAGCATCTTGGTACGTTGAGCATCGCTCATGGTGGCTGAGGTCTTGGAAGCCACATCAGGAAGGTCAATTCCTGAGTTATTCACTGCATTGGTGTCCTGGATGAGCTTCATCATGCCTTCTTGAGGGTTAGTCCTCAACTCGTTCTCAATGAAACCCGTCGATGTAGTATCTGCAGGAGATGTGTCGAAAAGCTCGGTGACAGTGCCCATGGTAGGTTGACGCTGATGCCCTGGAGTCGGCGCTGTTGCAACTGTCGATAAACTGGACGCCTTGCTAACAGTGTGATGCGGCGCAGGAGGCAAAAGACGCTGCTGGCGCTTGGGAGTACCAACGCCCTGGCCACGCTGGTTGACGAAACCACCTAAGTCAACAACATTGGCACTCGAACCCATCTGAGACTGGCCATGGCCCTGGGCGTTGGGAATGATACTAGCCAAGAGCTCCTGAACGCTCTGGGCGCCACCCTGCTCCTCCAGAGACTTTCTGAAAACGTTGGCCAAGAAGTTGAGAATGGCATTGATCGAGTTTTCATGACGTTCGTGCATCGTCTGGAAGAGGACGGCCTGTTGATAAAGTTGGTTCTGGTTTTCCCGGAGCTTGTTCAGCATGTTGGAAATGGCGACTTGCTGTTGTTGAATTCGCTCAATCTGGGCCTTGACCTGAAGGAGCTCCTTCTTCTGGAGGGGAGCAAGCTCATTCGAAACCCCGCGACCAAGAGAATTCTGTCCGTTGTAGCCGTCATCAGCACCACCGTCTTCTTCGCTCTCATTTTCGTTTTCATCCTTCTTGCCCTTCTTTTTGCTACTGCCGCTCTTAGGCTTGTTGATAAGCCAGAGGAGGTTTGGGTGGCCGCGGCGGAAGTAGGGATTATAGTATTCGCTCGGGCTCTTGTTCTTCCGTTCGCTCGCTTTCATCGAATTGTCCGACAGGCCAACACGCTTGTGGAAGCCGTACATGTTGAGCTGACGGACAAATGATGCGTAGTTGTTGTGCTTGAAGAGCTCGGGGATCAGGGTTCTGGCAAACTCATCCTCATCTAGAACAATGAAAGAATCGCCCTTTTCAGACCAGCGAATCAAGTCCGTGTTCCTCGACTCATCCAAAAAACTATGACGTTTGTGTCAGTCATCTATCGTAAAAGCTCTGGGAAATTTTTGTGCAAGGTTACCTACCTGCTGAGCTTCTGGACAAACGGCGGGATCTGTTTTCTCTTGGCTTGTGCTTCCCTCTTGGCTCGTGCCGCCAGCTCTTCGAGTCGCTCGATGTTGTCATTGTCATCAATCGGCGCGTTTGCCGCCTGGAGGTAGCCGCCCGGGGGAGGCTCGTTGTAGTCATTCCAGCTGTCGGAACCGTTGAAGCTTCTGGAGCCAGAGGGAACCAGGGCTCGGCTGTTCGTTTGGCGGCGCGCCAGGGCCGTGGATGGTGCGGGGATCGTCTGGCCATACGGGTTTGCGCTGGTGGTTGTTGGCATCATTGAGAAAGAATTCAAGTTCGAGGTACCTGGATCAACGAAGCCATTACCATCGACCGCGCCATTCCACCTGAACAGCTGATCGGGCTGAACAGGCTGGAAAGGCTGCGGCAGCTGAGGATGGATTGGGGCCATGGAAGGCGGGGGGCCTGAAGCAGGTCGTTTCCTGGGATTTGGCGACGACATAACACTGGTGAGCCAGTGATTGACGAGCTGGGACTGTGCAGAAAGTCACCAGCGATGACGGCCAGTGGTGGTGTACCTACGGGACCTGCTCTCAAGGCGAGAGGCAATTCCGCGGTTCTGGAACGCCTCGGATGTGAAACTCAGTTCTGTGTACTCTCCGCTGCTGATGCCGCTGGTGGCCGGGTTTTGGACGATGGAGCGTGTTGGGATGGCGTAATCTCGGATGGTAACGATGTTGAGAGAGTTTGGGCTGGCGTCCACAACAGAGACGGCAGAGGAGGGGCAGCGAGGGCGAGCCGTACAGGCCGTTTATGTATCTTGAAGCCCGAAAATTCTGTTCTGCTGTAGACTTTTCTCGTCAAAGGAGGGATTGTCGTGAGCACCAGGCACCTGCTTCGCGACAAGTCTTTGTTACTGGCAGGCGCAGAACGAAAGGCGAGGGGAAGGGGAGGGGGTGTTGGCGTGTTGAATGTGGTAGTGTCTTGGGGGTCGCCCACGGATGTGAAGGCCGTGATAGATAGCTACAACAAACGTGTCTCGCAGACCACGATTATTTGGTCAATGGGCGACTGTCCCGTGTGAAAGCCTCGAGGCAGGCCTGCTAACAATGTGAAGGTTGGCCTGAAAGGTTGGGATAATCTCGTGCCTCGCGACGGCTCGGTTCCTGTTGGCTGGTCGAACAAACAGAGCGCCCTTCAAGTTCCCGCGCTGGCGGGCTGGACAACTTTTGGGGAACCCTTGTCGATTGATAGAGTCAGGAATCTAGGTAGTAACGAACGGGCCGCGCGGGCCAGCGCTTGTTCCCTAACGGCGAGGGTCACGATCGGCCGGGTTGGCGTTGTCCAAGAGAATCAGGTAAAGGTGGTTGAGGTCGAAAACTGGCACACTGCCAAACTCTTGCCGTGGTTGGCGGCAATGAAGCAAGCCTTCCAGGTTCCCAGTTTCAAGTCCCAAGTTCCAACAGGTAGCGACAGCATACCCTCCACTACAAGGTGAAGCATAATGAAGCGAGGCGGGCTCTGTTTGGCTGCGAAAAGTGGGCCCGGCAGGTATGGATAACGATGTTAGCTGTGTCAGCCAATCAAAACTAATGGACAATCATGTCCCACTTTCAGCGCACGCCAAGACACAGTTTTGCTGCAACTCCCAAGACGCCATGGAAAAACAAGGAACATCGATGGAAACATGCCGTTGTACTGCATACTGTGTAGAGTCATAACTCTCCTGTTCAAGAAAGGCAGCACCAACAATGAACCTCCCCATTACCTGCAAAGCGAGGACATAATCTTTTTTTGTGCCAGCTGGCTCGCCCACGCATCGGCTGTGTCAACTTCAAGCCTTGCTCTTAACCATCAAGGACCTGGCTGGCTTGGCTTGCGTCAGCTACCCAATGCCTGGCGGGGTTAACGACCTCTCCTAAGTCGTCGGCACTACGTAGAGGTATCGTCCGACTATGACGAAATTTCAACCGGATGGAGTAATCGAGGACTGTTTTGTGGCGTTCAGCGACACGGCGAGCGGGCCTGTCACAGTTCATGATGGATGAGGAATGCTATAGGCACAGATCTCTATGGCTGGTTCCTGTGAGGGGATCGTCGTCGTCAACAAGACGCTACGTCACTCTCTTCGTACATCACGTGGCGCTGTTTTAACCTCAGAGAACAATGCCCATCTTCTAGCCCCTATCTTGTCATTAATCTCGAGCCGAGTCATGAATGGCAATCTTAGACCGGATCTCTTATCCGCAGGTAGGTGGCATTCTAATGGAAAGGTAGCTTGTCAATTGTATCCTAAACACAAACTTACAAGTCGACTGTATGATGTGATATATGACCACCTGAGACAAAGACGGTGATGGTCACCGTCTCCTGTCCCTATCACGGCCTCTTTCCCGGTCTCCTTCCCAATAATCGCTGTCGCGGCCCCTCTCCCGGTCACGGTTGCGGTCCCTGTATCTGTCCCGATCCCGGTCCCGATCCAGGTCCCGGCCCCACCCTCTGCCGGAACCTTCCGGTCGGTGATTGCCCTCCCGTGATCCTTTCTTTTCTTCCTTCAATGCCTTGGCCTTCTCCAACGGATCAATCACCACCAATTCCTCTTCGGCTTTTTTCCTTTGGTTGTAGTCCTTGCCAAACTTATCAGCGGCAAAAGTGAGCCGGTGAGACATCCAGCCTTCGTCATCGCTCTCTTCCTTCTCTTCTTTGTCCCACGCTTTGCAGCTGAGGCAACCGGCGATGAAGTGCAGGTCACAAACCTCCTCCTCCTCACCACCACCTTCACCAGGATTTTCTGCTTTCTTTTCAGTGACGGTTCTCAGTTTCTCAGCTGGGGTCTTCTCGGGAGGAGCCTTTTCCAACTTGGCCTTGAAAGCGTTTAAAATGCTTATCGCGTCTCGTTCATCTTTAGGATTAGTTGCTCCTGGCCGACGTTTCCTCCCACGCATTGCTGTCTCAGGAACCATGAGCTCAAGAGCAGACTTCTTCTTTTCTTTTACTGGCTGCTCTGCATAAATCGTCCGTTTCATGGAGGCTTTGATCGCAGCTATCTCCTCATTGGTTTGTTCTAGAAGCGACTTCTTTGGAGGGGGCTCTGGTGATGACTCGGGCGTGGATTTTTCACTGAGAGTCTTGGCCGCCGGCGGTGATGGTGAATTCGGAACCTTTTTCGGAGCTGGTTCCGTTGTAACTAACCTTTCGCTTCTCTCTCTTTGTAGTTTCGCAGCCTCTTGTGTCTTCTTGCCTGCCACTTCAACTGCCTTTTTGATAGGCTCTCTAACTGGAATGGTCTTCGGTTGAGGTTCTTCGTCCACATCCATCACAATTCTTGTGTCGAACTTTGCTTTCTTGACAACCGGCTCCTCTTCCATATCACCCTCCTCGTCACCAAAGCTGAGCAACTGCTTCCCACCTTTCCTCTTCTTTGGCTTCTTCTCTGTTGCCGGAAGTGGTCGCGGTACCTCATGTTGGATTCTTCTCTCTCTCTTTTTCATATCTGGGAAGGGATTAAGAAGAATCTCAATATTTGTAATCTTCACTGGATACTGAGGCCGCTCCGTGCCCTCAATAAGCTCCGCCTCTCCCCATTTCATCAAGTTGTAGATGGTATCGCCTGCCGCAACCCGACCAAATAAAGTATTCTTATTGTTGAGCTCTTCAGCTTTCCCCAACGTAAAGAAAAATTGGCTGCCATTTGTGTCAGGAGCGCCCTCGTTTGCCATGCCCAAGAGCCCCCGACGGTTGAACTTCAGCCGTGAGTGGAACTCATCCTTGAAATTCACGCCCATAGGACCTGCGTTGTGCCCTTTGCGCTGGTCCATCGGCCATGGATCCAAATCTCCGCTGAAGGCGCCACCGTCATAGATCGACTCTCCTCCATGTCCTGTGCCGGTCGGATCACCACCTTGGATAATGAATCCCGGAACAAGACGGTGGAAAATGGTGCCGTCATAATAGCCATCGAGACTGTGTTGGAGGAAATTACGGCATGTAAGAGGGGTCTGTTTCGCGAAGAGTTCGACCTTCAGGTCGCCTTGGGTCGTGTGGATGATGACTGCTCCAGTTGGCTGCGGCTCAAGGTTGTAGATGGTGGACATTGTGATGCTCGCAGTGTTGCAACAATTGGGGCTTTAAATAACGCTCAAACTTGTCTGGATGCTGATATAGTTCCTTCGTCATAGAAAAGATTGGTCGGCCAATGTCCTCTGTCGGTGAGTTGATGTCCAAGATCAAGCTTTCATGACGCGCCTAGCTTTCGATGCCGAGTTCTAGATTGCCTGCCGCGAGCCAGCGAGCTGCCAGGTCTTGGCAGCTTTCGGTCGCACCGCCACGATTGCGACAGTTGTGGGGTCGTAGAGGTACCTGACAACAAACATCCTCCGCCTGTAGCGTTGGCGGACGTAACAAAAAACTTGAAGACCAAAATACCGTGAAAGATTCATATTGAAAACAGAATGCTAAGCATGTGACAAAATTTTAATTTTACGAGACATACACGAACCACTGGGCTACAACTGCGCCGTTGCATATGTGGCGGTGCCGATGCGGGATGTCCAGCGATGCGGGGCCAAGAGGGGCCAGGGGTTGTTGGTTGCGCCCAGCTGGGAAACTTGCTTGCGACTGCGGGCAACGCCGAACTAGCAGCTCCTCCGTCACCAACATCCGTCATCCGACCTCGAACTCGCTTTATCTTGTGGCCTCTGTATCGCCTTTCGGTACTGTAGCCAATACGCTACTGACAGTCTGCCGCCACTTCACATATTACCATCAAGAGCGTTTGCAATGGCAGACCCCCGCGAGTCGTCGTCGTATCGGGTCCAGCCCCGGATCCGGTACAACACCATTGGCGGTGTCAATGGTCCTCTGGTCGTCCTGGACAATGTGAGCTTCCCAGCGTTGCTGTGGAATTCCGTTTCCTCTAACTGTAGTTCAGGTCAAATTCCCAAAATACAATGAGATCGTTACCCTCACACTCCCTGATGGGACAGAACGCTCCGGCCAGGTTCTGGAGGCCCGAGGTAGGCACTCCGCCTTCCACCCTGAAAATCTGAGCATAGGCTGAACTTTCTCTCTTTTTTAGGCAATCGCGCGATTGTTCAGGTATATCAACATATAGTCTTAACGAATGCGACGATCGAATGCTGACTATATGTCGACAGGTCTTCGAGGGCACTGCTGGCATCGATGTGAAGAAGGTGAGCTGGAGCTCGGCCGATAATGGGCAGGATATAATGCTGATTTGACGATAAGACCCGTATCGAGTTTACAGGGCACAGTTTAAAGCTCGGCGTATCAGAAGACATGCTCGGGCGTATCTTCGATGGTTCCGGCCGTGCGATCGACAAGGGCCCCAAGGTGCTTGCCGAGGAATATCTGGACATCAATGGCAGCCCTATCAATCCTTACTCAAGAGTAACCACCTTAAGCCCAGCGATTTCAATAGAAAGCCAGTCGCTGACAGATGCACCCAGGTCTACCCCGAAGAAATGATTTCGACAGGTATCTCTGCCATCGATGTCATGAACTCAATCGCTCGCGGTCAAAAGATCCCGATTTTCTCAGCCTCTGGTTTGCCACACAACGAGATTGCTGCCCAAATTTGCCGGCAAGCAGGCTTGGTGCAGCGGGAGGGCGTTACAAATAAGGGTGTGCATGACGGACATGAAGAGAACTTCTCAATCGTCTTCGCTGCCATGGGTGTCAACCTGGAGACTGCCCGTTTTTTCACCCGTGATTTCGAGGAGAACGGTAGCTTGGAGCGTACTACACTTTTCCTTAACCTGGCCAATGACCCGACGTAAGTTACTTGGTAGCTATGGACTATTACAGCAAGCAATCTGACCGCAAGGACAGGATCGAGCGTATCATTACCCCGCGTCTTGCTCTTACTACCGCCGAGTACTATGCCTACCAGCTCGAGAAGCACGTTCTGGTCATTCTCACCGATCTCGCTTCATACTGCGATGCTCTTCGTGAGGTGTCAACTGCCCGCGAAGAAGTCCCCGGTCGTCGTGGTTATCCAGGTTACATGTACACGGACCTGTCTACCATCTACGAGCGTGCCGGTCGCGTGGCCGGCCGAAACGGTTCCATCACACAGATTCCTATCCTCACCATGCCAAACGATGATATCACCCATCCTATCCCCGATTTGACTGGTTATATTACAGAAGGGCAAATCTTCGTAGACCGCCAGCTCCATAATCGTGGTATCTACCCGCCTATCAACGTGCTGCCGTCGTTGTCACGTTTGATGAAGTCGGCTATCGGTGAAGGCATGACGCGCAAGGATCACGGTGATGTGTCCAACCAGCTGTATGCCAAATACGCTATCGGTCGTGATGCCGCGGCCATGAAGGCAGTCGTTGGTGAGGAAGCTTTGTCTGCCGAAGACAAGCTCTCACTTGAGTTCCTGGATAAGTTTGAGCGCACCTTCATCAGCCAGGGTCCGTATGAGTCACGGACTATCTACGAGTCACTGGATCTGGCTTGGAGTTTGCTGCGCATCTACCGCAAGGACATGCTTAACCGTATCCCAAAGAAGATCATCGACGAGTTCTACTCTAGGACACCCGCTGATCGGAAGGGCAAGGGTAAGGCTACCACCAAGGATACTCGCGATACAGCTCAGGAGGAGGAGAACCTTATCGAGACGTAAATAAGATTCATGGGATTAATTAATGGATGGTCGGTCTGGGAGCAGATGTACTGGATGTGTAGGGCTTTCAGGGTTTTTTCCTCGTATGTAGCTATGTTCGGATGCTCTCCGAGCTGTATGGCCGTGGAGAGACTGGCATATATGTATATCAGGGGCTGGTCGGCGGAGGCTAAGATTAGAATGGAGTTCATTCTCTGACCTCCCTACTATCCGCGTCCTTCTCATCAAAAGTGAATCTTCCCGACCCACCCTTCGTTCTAAGATCGGAGTTGAGTAGGCTGACATGCGACGCAAGTGGAAGCTGTTTATCTGCGTTTGTCTTCCAGGCAAATATCTAGGTCTTTTACACATGATCCTGAGATTGCATATTGAAAAACCTCAACTTGTCCTTAGTTGCAATGTTAGTCTCCAGAATTGAATCTTAGGTTAGCCTAAGCCGATGCTACGTATCATTAAGCAGGAATCAGTGACTTGGTGACTGGCGCTGCATATCTCCAGCACCAGCCTTTTAGGGGTATAACGAGAGGTGGATGTCGAGATTGTTGAGCCTTGCATCGAAAAGCAAGGGTTCTCGTTGGCCATTGTGCTCGTGGAATTGCCCCATGCTTCTGGTAGGGTAAATCATTCTGCAAGCTGAAGCCTCCTCCCTGACCAAGGAGACTTCCTTCGTAATTGTGGCCGGCAAGTCTCCGAAGAGGAACTCTACGTGGGTCGTCTGGTTTCTGCTGTGTTGCGCCTACATACCTCACATCGCACAAAGCACGGTGGCAGTTAGCCCGATTGTTTCTACACTAAATATCTATCCTCAAATGGTTGCTTGAATTCTCAGTGAGACGGATTGCAATACCAGATCCTCTCCAGCTGCGAATGGTGAGAATCAAGATCAGTCGGCCCCAAACACTGTTATTTATTTTGGTCTCCATTTATTGGACTCTCCATATCCTCTAATCTTACATATTGGCATCTTAGATGCACAAATATAATCGTTCTGTAACACCATTCTCTCAGTCTACACAAGTGTATTTAGGAGTCTGATGTTTGCGAGCCGAGTCAAACTTGGGCAAATGGGTTGTTTCGTGACCACCTATCAATTGCCCCTTTCAAACTGTCAGATCATGTTTCTGGGACACAGTAAGGAGGACACCGCATCTTGCACTGCATACTTCATAAGCACCTTGCATCATCCATCCGATCAAGCAGCGGCTTTGTTTCGGTCGGTCTTCCAAGACTACTCCGGGCAACCGATATCTAGCCGTTCACTTTCCTCACCATGCGTTTGCTAAATCCCCACCGTCCAAGAACGGATTGTTTACTCGTCTCCATTTTACAATTTAACTTCCATTATCCGATCTTCACTCGACTCTTCAACAACACAGCTACATCTCACTTGGTCAAAATGATTTTGGCGTTAGGGTTATTTATGATTCTTCGATGGATGGGTTTCGCCCTCTCTCTACCAACTGCGCTTAACAGCACCTCTTCCTCACGTCCTCAAATCATTGGCCCCGATCGGGCTGGCAAGTATTGGATCTACGGACAGGATATCTCGGCCGCTTTCATCCCTTACGGTGCTTCCATCACGAATCTCATCATCAAGGATCGTGACGGAATCGAACGGGATCTTGTTATGGGTTTTGATAATGCGACCCAATACGAGATCGATCCAGTTCATCCTCATCTTGGCGGAGTCCCTGGTCGCTACGCAAACCGCATCAAGAACAGCACTTTCGAGATCGATGGTGTTGTGTATCACGTTACTCCCAATGAGCATAAGACTCCAGAGCATCCCGAGGGCCTGAACACCCTCCATGGCGGCCCGGATGGCTGGGACTATCGCAAGTTCGAAGTGGTTTACCACACCAATACGTCGATCGGCTTCAAGATCGTCGATCCCGATGGCAAAGAAGGCTTTCCTGGTGAAGTCATCTCGTACATCACCTACTCACTGGGTGACATGACCTGGGATGCGAAGATGGTCGCTTCGGCTACTACCAAGAAAACTCCTATTATGCTTACCAGTCACACATACTGGAATCTTGACGGCTTTTCGAACCCCACCAACAACACGATTCTCAACCATACGCTATATCTGCCGTACAGCAGTCATCGCATCGAGGTTGACAACATCCTAATCCCAACTGGCGAGATTTTGCCAAATACAAAGGGTTCCGTCAATGACTTCTGGAGCCAGCCCAAGAAGATTGGTGATGGCTTCAACGATCCCGAGATTCATGGTAACTGTGGGTGGAAGTGCATTGGCTACGGTAATGCTCTATTTCTCCTATCTTCTGCTTTACCTGTCGATTATATTGCTGACCGTACAACAGATAACTGCTTCCTTATTAACCGCCAGTATACTGATGACTGGCAGGCTGTTCACAATTTCGTAGCCAGCCTGTATTCGGCCGACTCAGGTATTCGCCTGGACATCTATTCGGACCAGGCTGCTTTTCAGATGTATTCTTGCGGGGGGCAAGATGGCACATTCCCGCTCAAGAAGACTCAAGGGTATCAGTCTCGTTTCCCAGTTGGCGACAAGTATCATGACACGGGCAGCTTCGGTCGCTTTGTACCAAAATATGGCTGCGTAGTTCTTGAGGTCCAGGACTGGATCGACGGCATCAACCATCCGGAGTGGGGTCGGACCAACAAGCAGATCTTTGACCCTGATACTGGTCCGTATGTGCTGAATGTTCGTCACAAGTTCAGCGTTGACAAGGGCGGCCCTCTCAAGCTCCCTCCGGGTCGTCTAAGCTAGGAAGTCTGATTGGTTCAAGAGGATTGAGTATGTGTGTATACTCGAGTATTATAGAGAGCTCAGCAATGACAATTGCTTGACCCCAGAAAAGGGTCTTTAAACCATTTTTCTTCTTTTTGATGTGCTGGTAGAGGGATTATATGTAGGAGTCTTACTTAGACTCCCTGCAACTGCTTCCCATTAATGCATAATTATGCATCAATCGAGTATCGAAGCACGATACCTGTTGACTTGGGCTCATCTCCAAACTTACCCTCACACTGAAAATCGCACTATCTTGATTGCAACACTTTTGCTTCATTCCGACTTCAACCTCAAAATCAACTACAATCAACTAAAGGGAGTTTATACGATAGTACCGTTCACATTAATTTTAGTTGTCTACAAAAATTCTCATCTTATTCAAAGCTTTGAGTTTCTTTTCCAACCCTGCGCCTAGTACACCAGCATGTCAGTACGATCAGTATCTCTTTACCCGCCGCCCCCTCCGTCCATCAGGGGCCAGGACAAGCCCTTCAACCCCCTTCCACATCTCATTCGAACACCCTCTGGCCTAGCCCTTCTCGAGCTCCAGGGAACCATCAACCTTCCCGGAGAACAGCAGCCGCCGCAGCAAGACTGCCAGCCCCAAGAACAAGACCATGTCCCTATCGGAAGGATTCACTTCCCAGATTATAACCCTAATAACCCGTCAGAGGAAGGGCTGTGGATGAAGCGTGTCTGGCTTTATGTTGGAAAGCACCAGCGGCTGTTGGGCGAAGTGAAGAAGATGCCGAGGGCGATGGCTGTGGTGAGGAAACGGAAGAAAGAAGACGGGAACATGGGACAGAAAGGAGAAGAAGAGGCTGAGGAACTGGAAGTGTTGGAGATTGTTAAATATAAACTCGTGTTTTCGCAAAGGCCGGAGCCAGTTGGATGAGGGACCGAAAGACCCTAGCCTGGGAGGATGATGGAGGAAGTGGTAAATTTGACAGAGGGCTGGCCAGTTCATTCCGGTTTGATATTTACAAAGACAAAAAATACGGGTTAATACTGGCCAAGGAAAATGGAATGGCGAGTTAGTCAAAAGGTATATGAGACACGTTGAGTGAATGACTTCCCTTCGGAGCGTAAAGCTTACGGGTGATAGGTGTCCTGTCGCACATATTTAATTGAAACAATATTGCGTCTCTAAGAAATATGTACGTTTTGTCAACTATCTCGCTTCTACCGTAGGAGGCTTTGTCCGACCAAGACCCTCCTTTGCGTAATAGTCCATCGGATATGGCCCCTTACCCCAATCCTCTCTTTCCTCAAGAGCAACTAGCGCTTCATATGGTGTGAGCAACGGTCTCGGGAAGGCATACCCCCAGTCGATACTTAGCCGCGGGCAAGCCACCTGCACCCAGCACTCGACGTCACTCATCATGGCCAGTTTTTGCGGGAAGATCTCACTCATTAACACGTTGACAGACGGAATGCCCAACTTGGTCAACTTGTTCTCAATCAGTGCCATCGTGTTCGGGTTACCCTGTCGGCCCAATGAACCAAGAATCAGTCCCCATTTACGGGCCTTCTTAGCCGCGCGGATGGCATCACGCCGCAGATCCTGCATCTCATCGTGCCCGTACTCCTCGTGCGTAAGCTTGCGAGAATAGGGGTCATAGCGGTATGCTGGAACACCTGGGTTGTGGATCATGATGCTCTCGAGGTGGAAGCGCCCATCACCCAAATATAAGATCAAGTCAACTGGTTGGTCTGTGTAGGTTGAGAGGTTTGGTGATGTGCAGCCCAGGATCTCACCCCTGGAAAGAGGAGCAATCTGAGGTACAATGATATTGAATCCTGCTTTTTCCAGAGTCGGCTTTACGCCGTGAATGGTGGCGTTAAATTGGATCGTGCCCACCAGTGCGATGGTCTTTCCAGGGGCAAAGTTGCGTTCCACTGACTTGACGAAGTGAGAAGTGTCGATGCTAATGTCAACAAAGACATAGAGTGTCTTGATCGTTGTGACGTCGACGGGGATGAGGCAACTGTGAGCATAGTGGACCAGCAAATCGCATCCCATAGCTCGCGCAGTATAGTCATCAATGCAACAAGCCCCGTAGGTGACGTCTCCCATGATCAATGTCTCAATTCCGGGACAGAACTGGGTGAGGATATCGGAAATAGTAGTGGCGAACATTAGGAGACCTTCCGGCATTTGAAGGGCTACTCTCTTTGCTCCCAGGGTCCGAATACGGTGAATTGTCTTTGGTATCTCGAAGTTGTAATTGGATGGGAGGAGAGAAATTGCGGCCTTCAAGGCCTCATCGTTTAGGATCTCACGGGGCACCTGATTGAGCAGTCTGGGTGCCCTTCGTGGCTGAGCGACTGTAACGCTAGATCAGCCTTCAACGTCAAGCAACTTCGAGCGATTCAGCCCTAGGTACCTTGGATAGCACCGCTTTGATCTACTGAGCCATTCCTAGAGCTGGCTGAAGTGGCTTCACCCGCTGCTCTCTTTCCCACAAAGCGTTTCTTTGGCTGCTTTAAGGTAGGTTGAGATGTGTGGCTTTCCTCGATGTCGGCAGCTGTGCCTATATCGACAAGAGCACGATCATCCTCCATGCTGGCTGTTGGATTGAGCACAATACCCTTCGGATTTGAGCCTCAAGATTGTCACCACCCTGGAAGGAAGGGTTGAATGAGGGGCACTAAAATTAGGCGACAGAAGTCTTCTTTTGAAAACCAGAGGTGTTCTCGCCAGACCTGAATTACCGGTATGTGATCATCTAAAGATTCACAATGACGTAGAATTATCGTGCGATTTTAAAAGGTCCTTGTACCGAGATTTGGCTTTCCTCTGGATCTGGTTCAAATATTTCATTTAACAGTTCCTCATGCTCACCGTCACGGCCTGCTCTCATCCTTATCTTATCGTCCCCCCCGTTCTGGGCCCCTTGCGTTGTTCGCATCAGACCCACCTCATTGTGGAGAAAGAGCCACACAACTTCGACCAATCATAACCCTCAAAAATTTGCCCTAACAATCTTGTCTGGGTGTTCGAGAGCACACAAAACCTTCGCTTCCATTTCTCAAGTTCCCGAGTCCGATCATCAACGACAGCCGTTCAGCAAATACCGCCAAAATGAAGGTGAGATACTCCAGGATGCGAGTGATGACTCGATCATTCCTCGAAACCGATTTCGACACTTCCATCGACGACCGATAGATTCTGACTGACGCGGCCTCAATAAACAGCTGAACATTTCGCACCCCGCGAACGGCTCGCAGAAGCTGATTGAGGTTGAGGATGAGCGGAAGCTGAGGCACTTCTACGAGTATGTTCTCTTTGCTTGATTTCAAGTCATTCGGCGGCTGCTAACATAATTCTACAGCAAGCGCGTATGTCCAATCTCGAAGACGTCGAACCCGCCCGATTTCACTGTGGAAATAGATCGACTAACGATTACCAGATGGGCGCTGAGGTGGCCGGTGACCCGCTTGGCCCCGAGTGGAAGGGCTACATCCTCCGCATTACTGGCGGCAACGACAAGCAAGGTTTTCCGATGAAGCAGGGTGTCATTGCCCCCAACCGTGTGCGCCTCCTCCTCTCCGAGGGCCACTCCTGCTACCGCCCTCGCCGTGACGGTGAGCGGAAGCGCAAGTCCGTCCGTGGCTGCATTGTCGGCCCCGATCTCTCGGTTCTTGCCCTCTCGATTGTCAAGCAGGGCGAGCAGGACATCCCCGGCCTGACCGACGTTGTCCACCCCAAGCGCCTCGGCCCTAAGCGTGCAACCAAGATTCGCCGCTTCTTCAGCCTCAGCAAGGATGACGATGTATGTGCTATATGCCAACTTCAATCCGTCATCGCCTGCCCTACTCCTGTGTCGATTTCCCTCGCACAGGGAGGGTAGAGTCTGAGTGCAAACGACCCGCTAATACCGATTTTTGCGCCGGCAATATAGGTCCGCAAGTACGTCATCCGCCGCGAGGTCCAGCCTAAGGGCGAAGGCAAGAAGCCTTACACCAAGGCTCCTCGTATCCAGCGTCTGGTCACTCCCCAGCGCCTGCAGCACAAGCGCCACCGCATTGCGCTCAAGCGTCGCCAGCAGGAGAAGGTCAAGGAGGAGGCGGTATGTTTCAACCCTTCTGCCCTATGAAGATCTACAGAAACCCAGGCTGACGAAGATTCAGGCCGAGTACGCCCAGATCCTGGCCAAGCGTGTTGCTGAGGCCAAGGCCCAGAAGGCCGATCTCCGCAAGCGGAGGGCCAGCTCTCTCCACAAGTAAAATTGGGGCGTTTGGTAACGGGTCTCGGGTTGCTTTGGGAAAACGGTCATGGTTGGCGTGCTTGCTGTTCGGCTCATTCGGGATGTGTAGATGGCATAGAACCCGTTCACGAAATCTCGAGGTCGAGTCTGCTTTGAGCATCGCGTCTCCCTCGCCAGGCACAAGAGCAAAGCGGCATAGAGATCTATGCTATTCTTCCATACTTTTAAGGATGCCTTGCTGCAATGGCTCTCATGTGAAGGGTACAGAGCACTGCTTTCTCTGGAAATGATACCAATTATGATCGTCTCCCACTCACGTTTTGGCGACCCTTCAATGACCTGTGTAATTGGTCTGAGGACTTTTCTTCAACATGATCAGACTCAGTGTTGGGTGCACACACGCGCCTGGTGTCCAGGATCTTGTGTGTAAATTGCTAACAAAGCAGTTCAGTCTGATTACTGTATGGGAACGTCCACTACCATGGTCTCACTGATGGCGGATTGGCAGATAAATGACCAGTGAGCTGACGTACCATGTAAGGTAGGTAACGTATGCATTCTTACCAGATTTTTGTAAGATTACAAGGCGGTGTGTGCAAAGCTCAGCCTTGCTGGAGCCTAGTCCCTCTTCTCAGGCTGGAAAGTGGGGGTTCAAACGTTGCTATTTGAGCATTGCTTGATGTTTTCAATTGCATTGGAGGCTTTCCGGATTGTTCTACAGCGTTCTTTAATGCCCGTGCTTTTGATGAGTGTTTCTTGGAACATAAGCCGGTGGTGATACAGTGAAGCTGTTTCAGACCGCACCGTATTGTTGGGTTGAGAGGAGCGTTTGGAAAAACTTGGCAGTCTGGGAAAGGAAACGGCAAGACTCCAGGCTGGTGGGAGTTCGTGTTGAGCGTGGAAAGGAAGCTTGGGCTTCTGCCCCACATTCGATGACGGCGCGCTGTGGCGGCATTCCCCGTAACTCACACTTTTTTTAGGTGGGTGTTTGTACCTGACCACTTGCCGTCATTGCTCTAACAACTGCAAGCCTGGAGCCTGGTAACCTTCGCCGAGAAAGGTGCTTGTGCTCTCAGTCCTCTCATCTTACAAAACCCAAACCACCCATTTCCCTCACCAAGTTCTCCGCCAGTAGCCGCATTCTTTTGACGGCTGCGCTCTTGCGACACCGACCGCAACCCAGTGATTTCGCGGCTCTTGACCAACTCCCCAGCGATTCCAGACCTGTTCTCAGTTTCCGGAGACATCTAGAGGCCGACCTGCACTCGTCCTCTTGCTGCTCTCGAAACTGTGCTTTGTGCTGGGTGACCAGAGCTTCAGCTTTGGTTGCGATCTTCTGCCGAACTACCCGTCCTTCGCGCGCCCAGACTTTTTCCATCGACGAACCACAGATACACCTACGATACCAAACGTTTCATCAGTTTTTATCCGCCGATCACCTTTGTCTTGGGCGTCGTTGACTCGCAACTACGTCCCCGCTTTTCGCGTTCAGGTCCCTCCGCAACATTGCGGTAACTGCGGCTCTGAAGTAAGCATCGTCCGCTGTCAGGACGTTGCTGGTAGTGGAGGGGGAGTTTTTATCATTTTCAGCCCTCGCGGCCTAGCCGCTCCGTCAACATGGGCAAGATCACCAAGACTATGCAGCCCCGGCACAAGGAGACTTTGGTAAGCTTTCGTCCCTGTCCCCGTCCCTATCCACGTCCCCGCCCCCGCCTCGCTGTGTTGCATTTCCAGCCTCTCAGCCTTGCAGCCTTGTTGCGCCTTGTACTGACTTTGTCTAGTCTCCTTGGCTGAAGGACTACGTCCAGACTGCGGCATCCCTGCCGCTCCCTCTTATCCCCCAGAAGCTCGAGGAGTTTCCGACAAGATGGCCCTTCCCACGCGGCGATCTCTACCACTGGATTCCCTTGTTGAATCGCTTCGACAGCATTCTCGAGGCCTTCTGTGCCACGTATGAGCTCAACAAGGGCTTCCAGATGCGCGACTTTGGATGCGATCTCTTGATGAACAAAGGCGCACCGGTCGAGTATTGTGACCAGCAAGGGTGGTCTAAGGAACGTCTTGCTCAGCTGGGCTATGGAGAGGACGGCGACTGCCAGCTCATTGTTTCCATCCTCAACTTCACCCGAGTGCTCCTGCAGCACTGCGGAAATAGGAGCATATACGCCAGCAGCATGCATCTGAATGACCTGCTCAACACTACGTATCTCAGTGTTGTGTATGCAACGCTCGAGGTTGGCCTCGAGCTGGCTCAGCGCTATCAAGCTTCAATCAAGCGGGTGGCCCAGCCCACTCGTCAAGTGAGCAGCGCTCTACTGGCAAACCATTACAATATTGATCTTGATCGCGTGCAAGTCCTCTCACAGCCATTTGTCAAGACCCCAGTTGCCCCGGTTGCTCCTCGCTTCCCCGTCGACGGCCCACCGCAGACGCCGGCTTCAGCGAGCAAGGGCAAGGAGAAAACCTCTGGCAGCCATAAACCCCCGGCACCAGTGTATGCCAACGATCTCACCGCCCTCGTCGCTCCTGGCTCGCCCGATGATGGTCGCTGGAACGGTTGGGGTGACATCAAGATCGTCTACTATCCAAAGACCGATCCGTCGGGCACTTCCGCCGCTGATGCGTCTGCCGAGAACCGTCCCAGCCCTTCAACGAACGTACCGGCTACACCCACCCCTCTGCGGCGGTCTTCCACAGGCCCATCACAGCCATCTCAGCATACTCCGCGTCCGAGTAGGACTTCAGGCGTGGATGAGAGCCCAGGTAGCCGCAACCAGGAGGCAAACGTGGATGAGCATGGTCCCAAGACTATCGAGATTCGACAGGCCACAGTCCAATCCAGTTCCATCTATGAGCTTCTCCGTCTCTGTCCTGTTGATATGCCCAAGGTCTCGAGATACGAGTTCCTCAATCGTCTGCGGATCTGCAAAGCGCTTTTCGGGTCGACTGAGGACCGGCAACTTGCGGTCGCTGTCCGGCTGTTGGCTATCACGAATCTCGCCTATATACACTCGGAGAATACCTTTGCCGAGAAGGTCCTCAAGCAGGACAATGACGAGCCAAGGAGATATCAGCTCGTATACCAACTCGCCGAGCTCATCCATCCTTCTGTTGCTGGCGCACCCGAAACTCCTTTGTGGCTTCAGGCCATTGCATTTGCTGCTTTGGAGGCCATCAGCGTCGTTCCTGCTAAGTACGCAGACGTGCTCTCGGCCCTGAACGCCAATGTCAACCATGGTGTCCTTCTGTACGTGATCCGGAAGGCCGTGGCTAGCATGCGGGAAGACCCCGTAGAGGCAGACGAAGGGAAGGTGACGGATGCCGACCATTGGCGCGGCAGCCTCTTCGCTCTGACCCTGCACATGGCTATGAGCTCCAGGATCGGTCAGGAAATGGCATCTGCTGGCCTCCTCGATATTCTCGTGGAGATCCTCAATATCCGTTCAAAGACCGCGACGAGGAACTATAGCATGGTCCTGGCCTTCCTCGACACGCTGGTCTACACCTACCAGGGCGCTTTCTCTAATTTCAGCAGCGCCGGGGGACTGGACGCTATCTCGCGTCTTATCGTCGACACAGTTGCCCAGTCGAGAGATCTCGTTGCCCAAGGTCTCGGGACGAAGCCGGAATTCCATGCCCAGCTGGTTGATTACGAGATCCCGTTCTACCATCAGCAAACTCTAAAGTGGCTCCTCAAGTTCATTCACCACATTATGACCAACGCGTTCTCCTTCGGAGCCAACACGGATCGGCTGCTCAGGAACTTAGTGGACAACTCGTCTCTTCTACGCAGTCTTCGTGTTATTATTGAGAACACTCGTGTATTCGGCTCCGTGGTCTGGACGAATGCAGCCAGTCTGCTGAGTGATTTCCTCAACAACGACCCAACTAGTTTTGCAGCGATCTCCGAGTCGGGCCTGATCCAGAGCTTCCTCTCAACGCTCACGGGCAGAGAGGTCACACTGCCCAAACCCCCAGGTTCGCCTAAGCCTGAGCAGGAGGGAGAAGATGTTTCGTCTCCCGACTACTCTGATGATTCCATCACTTTTGAGCCCGATACTCGGCCCCACCCTCCAACAGCAGAGATGCTTGAGGAGCCAAGGGAGAACCTCGCCCAGGGCATTCTCGCTTCCTCTGATGCTATCAACGTTATCCCGCCGATCTTAAACTCCATCTCGCTCAACAACCAGGGTATGAAGATGGTTGTCGCCTCTAATGCTCTGGAGAGCTACTTGGAGATCTTCGAGAGCCCAGACCACGTTCAGGTGATGTCGTTGGTTGACCCTGATTTGGCGGGTGTGGTTGGCAGCAGCTTTGACGAGCTCGCTCGTCATCATCCGAAGCTGAGGCCTTCGATATCTAACGCTGTCATCGATATGGTCGCTCGAGTTCTGCACATTGCGAAGACCAAGGCAGCAGCAGCAGGATGGGGCGCAAAGCTCTTGGTTGTGGACCCAACTGGCCAAAAGGTCACTGCCGATGAGTCTTTGTTAGCAAATTTGGAGGGTGTGACCAAGGGCAAGGGGAAAGCGACGCCAGACGATATGGACGTCGATATGGTGGATGTAATACCGCCGGGCCCTTCAACGCCTACTGGTGGTGATGCGGAAGGGGAATCCGGTCTTGAGAAGCCTATCGGTGCTCACCATGAGATCACTCCGTACATTCTGGCGCTGGCGCAATTCCTCGGCAGTATAGTCACCAATTCTAGTCTTAGGTCCACCTTTGTCCAAGACGGAGGCATCGAGTTGCTCTTGGAGTTATCCGAAGCGCCCAGCCTTCCTGAGGATTTCGATAACACCCAAGCCTCACGCACACTCTCCCAGGTCATTGCCCAGCTGATTGAGTCTAGCCCGGTGCTTGGAATCCCCTCTCTGCTCAACCGGATTCATGCCGCTATTGACGATCTTCAGCCCCTTGTCAGCAAGGAGCGCTCGCAATCCTTCTTCGCCCCCTTTATTGTCCCTGGCTCTTCGCTGGTCAATACCCAAGGGGAATGGGATGCGACTCAGGTCCGCAAGGTTGCCAGCGGCACTCGTGTTGTCAAGGCTTTGGTCAAGTTGCAGACTTTGGTCAAAACTCTCTACCAAAGCTTCCCATACGCCTCTCGGCAAGGAATGGTTACCATGCCGGCTGTTAACGCCTACGACCTCTTTCGCAGCTTGATCCGACGTCTTGGGCCGCTCTTGCATGGCATTATCACGGAGGAGATGGCTATTGCTGCCCTAGTCCCACAGCACTGGACGGGCACAAAGCCTGTGACCCAAGATGGTACAGAGCTTCCAGCGCCTCCAGTTGCTTCATCCGGCATCGGCGACGAGTCCAAGGATGACAGCAACATCACGGACACGATATCAAACAAGAAGCCCGCAGCAGCAACGGAACCGAAGAAACCCACCCAGGAGGAGCGGTCCACAGTTCAGTTTCAGAATTACTTCGTTATTCACCAGCTCTTACACTCTCTTACGCCAAGCACGCTGCCATTTTTCCAAACGATTGGGAAGACCTTGCTGCTCAAGCGAGCAACAGACCGTGACAACCATTTGAGGTCTTACCATCTTTCCATTGCTGATGCTTTGGCGGAGACTGTTCTCGAGCAACTCAAGACGTCACAAGACCAGCTGACTGCAAGAGATCTTCACTACTGGATTGTCATGTTCCACACGCTCCGTGAGATGCTGATCGAACCCCCGCGACACGGCGATCGGTCCGTTAACGCTCAGCTCATTCTCCCAGTCCTCGTGGCTCTCAAAGAGCGTGGCGGGTTGGAGATGCTAAATGCCATGCTACAGAAGTTCTCCGATGAGATCCGAAATGGCAATCCCGATGGTGATGACGCCCACAAAGTGCGCCTGGCCACTGTCGGCATGAAGAAGATACTCGAGATCTACCATCTCATCGCTAATGGCAAGAATGTGAACGATTCGCTGAGCCAAACCAGCCTGTATCCTCGGAATATGCACAGGGATAGGGATTATGGCCATCAGCTGGTCGTGGAGCTGAGATATGCTATTCTTCCCGTTGTCCGGAAGCTCTGGGAGTCAGATATTGCTGAGAAGGCGCCGACGCCGGTGCTGAGCAAGATCATCGATATCCTTAAAACGATTGCTGCTGGGGACCAGGAACTCTCAGCATGGCGCAAGTCGGACAAGATATCTCCTCAACCTATTTTCAAAAACCGCGAGCCTCTTCGGTTCCCTTGGGCAACGCACAGCAACACTATCAAGAGCCTGACCGAGCACTTTGATGAGGACCTCGTGCGTGAGGCTGTCTACCGGGCCAATGGGAAGGTGGACGACGCCTCAGAGTACTGTCGTGCCCATTCAAAGGGTATTGCCGGGAAGCGTAACCCCATCCCGAAGGAGGATGAGTACCAGCGCACCTCGTCTCCGAAACCACAACAGCCTCGCAAGCATCTCGACGCAGAAGAGGAGCAACAGCTCCGTGCTACTGCTGACGCGATGCAATTCCTCCGGGACATGGGTGAGCACGTGTTTGGCGAGTCAAGTGATCATTCCTCCGATGAGTCTCACGACCATAGCAGCCATGACATTGGCGCTGAAGACTCCCCTATCCCGGTCCAAGAAGCGAGCAGCCGAGCTACGACAAAAATGGAGACAGACAGCGGCCCTTCCAGCGCTGCAGCAGCAGATTCCCGGCCGGCTTGGGTTACAAAAGAGGACCTTGACGAGGAGCGCACTAAGCTCCAGAAGGATCTGATCGAGCGTTGCCTCGATGTCGTTCGTGCCCACCCCGATTCGGTCTTTGAGATTTCTGATTTAGTAGACATCACACTGCTGAGATCGGACAATGAGGAGAAGCGCACAGAAGTCGGTGAGATTCTGGCAAATGCTCTTATGTCATTTGCTATGAATGACGATGTGGAGCGTCGCGAGAATGGTCAGGGCATTTCGGCTTATGCCCATTTGCTCTCTCTTCTCCTGCAAAACCGCCCCTTCTTTGAGTCTACACTGCCGACACTCAAGCAGAACATCGAGGACTACCTGGGCTTCCTCAAAGTCTCCCCTGCAAGTTCCAACGAGGAGCTTCCTTCTTGGCTGCCATACATCCTCTTGATTTTCGAGATTTTGCTCTCTGATGATCAGCAGCCAGTGGAGGTGCATTGGAAGCCGCCAGTGACGGACGATGAGCCGCTTGAGCAGCCTGTCTGGAAGGTCAAGGAGCCCAGTGTCTCCGACGAACACCGCTCTTCCCTTCTGCGCGCCATCTTAGACATTCTCCCGAGGGTTGGGAAGGAGGAATCCCTTGCCATTTCCGTCTTGCGCATACTCGTTATTCTCACCCGCGACCATGCTATGGCCAAGATTGTTGGAGAGAAGCGGAATCTCCAACGTTTGTTTGTGATGGCGAAGCAGTCGTGCAGCGGTGGTTCTGCTCGTCTCAACCAGACTCACATTTCGGACAACATCATGATCATTCTTCGCCATATCGTTGAGGATGAAGATGTCGTCCGCCAGATTATGCAGACAGAGATCCGCCAGTTCTTGAGTTCGGCACAGAGAAACCCCCGGTCTTACGACGTCTACTCCTACTTGCGGCATCTTTCCCATGTGGCGCTTCGGTCACCCAAGCTGTTTGTTGAAGTCACCAACGATCTGGTCAAGCTGAGCCGCTGGGTTTCGCTTGACACTGGTATTTCCAGGGGTCATCACAGCCTGGCGCTGAAGGAACAGCCGGCAGAGAACCCCGAACCTCCCAAGGATGGTTCCGTGGAGCCCGCCGTCCAGGCAACCGAAGACCTCACCATCGAGGACGTGAAGCCAACAACCGAGTCCGCAGACAAGGAGATGCCCGATGCGCCAAAAGGTCCTTTTGAAATCAAGCGTCCTGTCCTCGAGAACCCGGACGGTGTCATTCACTTCCTCCTCTGTGAGCTTCTCAATTACCGTGAGGTTGATGATAAGGAACTTCCAGTCCCCACTTCCAAGGATCAGAGAGCCGAGGGAGAGCCGTCAAGCGCTGGCGGTGATACAGTATCGACAAGCTCTGACGACCAACCGTCCGAATCCAAGGAGAAGGACAAGAAGTCTCTGAAGCCTGTCTTCAAGGCTGAGGAACACCCGATCTTCGTATATCGTTGCTTCCTTCTCAACTGCCTGGCCGAGCTTCTGCAGAACTACAACCGCTGCAAGGTTGAATTCATCAACTTCAAGCGCAGCGCTCCCATGCAGACAAATACACCTATCAAGCCTCGTTCGAGCATCCTTAATTACTTGCTTAACGACTTGCTATGCTTGGGGCCGGCCGGTATTCCTCTGGATTCCACAGCCATCAAGAAGAAGGCCGCTACCTCAAACCACGCACAGGCGGTACTCTGTGCTCTCGTTGCTCGCACGCCCGAGAAGCCTATCGACCGCAGCCGCGATCACTACGAGTACGATGATGACCCGGATCTGCTGTTCGTGCGTCGCTTCGTCCTCGACACCATCCTGCGTGCCTACAAAGAAGCCTCTCAGCCCGGAGAGCCTATCGAGATCCGCTATGGCAAAATGATGTGTGCCGCCGAGCTAATGAGCTTGATGATCGGCGAAAAGGACAGGGATGCGCAGCCCCGCGATAACCGCGGCACTGACCCTGTTATTGTCCGCTCGCAGATGCAGCTCAAGCGTCTAATGTATGAGAAGGGCTACATTGCTGCGCTTACTTCCTCGATCGCCGACATCGACCTCACTTTCCCCAACGTCAAGCGTACCATCAAGTACATCCTGCGTGTTCTCCGGTCCCTCACCAAGACCGCGTATCACCTCAGCCAATTGGACATTATTCCCGCCACAGTGACTGATCAGCCGGAGGATGACTTCCTCTCCTCGTCCTCACTCTCCGACCTCGATGATGATCGGGAGGAGACCCCCGACCTCTACCGCAACTCTACTCTTGGCATGCTTGAACCTGGCCGTGAGGAAGACTTTTCGGACGAGGATGAAGATGGTACATTTCTCGAATTTGACCCGTTTTTTCAAGCATTACTAACTTCTGCAGACGAAGATGCCATGTATGATGACGAGGCGTACGATGACGAACTTGATTATGGCGACGAGATGTCACAGGATGAGGAGGAGAATCCAAGTGATGACGACGAGGAGGAATTGGATGAGATGGGCGAGATTGAAGGCCTTCCTGGCGATCCCGGCGTCGTTGAAGTGATCATGGGTGAGAATGACGATGATGTGGACGAGGACATGGAGGAAGAAGATGAGGAGCCCAGCGAAGAAGATGAGGGAGATGAAGACGATGAGATGGGCTCCGACGACATGGAAGATGTCGAAGAGCAGGTCGAAATCGTCGACGAAGAAGGAAACCCAATCGACGACGACGGTGCTTCCGGATGGGAGAGCGCCACAGATGAAGAAGGCGAGGAAGGTGACGAGGATCTAGAGTATGAGGGTGAAGGGCAAGACATGCACGACGCCGTCCATGGGCATGGTATGGATAGAATTCCAGACATTCTACGTACGGTTGTCGACGGCGAAGACCTTGATGGCGAAGACATCGATGATCACTACATCGATGATGGCGGTGAGGATGATGGTAAGCTATCCCTTATAATATCACATTTTGGGAACGCGTCACTAACTTCATCAAGAAGAGGAAGATGAGGATGACATGGAGGATGATGAGGTGTATTACGACCAGGGTCATCATCGTAAGTCACCCCTTTCTCTTGTTTGTTCTGCTTTTGTCAGTTTCTTACCTGCGTCAGATGATGATTACCCGCCTCCTAACATGCCCTCAGGTCTCGGCTGGGACATCGCAGTCGAACCTGGCCATCGTGTCCGCCACGGTGGTGTCCGCAGCCCCTTCCCTTCTGGTCCATTAATAATGGGGCACTCGGGGCATGGTATGTGCTTTTCAAGTTGATGAGGCTCTGAATCGTTGTGTTGTCATCCAAATCATGGCAGCTGAATGCTAACACGATGCTCCAAACAGACTTCCGCCACTTCTTCGGCCCCTCCCATCACAGCCGCCTGATTCGTGCGCCAGGAGATGATGGCACCAATCCCTTGCTGCTGTCCAGCAGCCGGCACGCGCAGGACCAGATTACCCGCGCTAGTCAACAGCAACTGATTCGCCTAGGCTTCCCTCCCCACGCTTTTGGTGGCCCTGGCATGGACGGCCCCCTGGCCATCATCAATGATCTCATGCAGACAATCCCCTTGTCTGCCAGAGCTGGTGCTGGCATCCCTGTCAGCCTGCAGCTGCGGTCTGAAGGCCCGTCTGGAGAGATTAGGCACTTGAACATTCCCCTGGGCAACATGGCGCAGGCTACCCGCGATACTCGCCGTGAGGTGTACCAAGAGCCTCACCAAGCTGTCGCCTTCATTCCCCAGTCTACGGCTGAGCGGTGGCAAGAGGAGGCTAAGATTATCTTCACCTCCAACCATATTGATAAGTCCAGGGTGCTGGCCAACTTTATCTTGGGTATGCTTATGCCGGCTGCCATCAAGGAGGAGAAGGAAGCCAAGGCTCGTGAGGAAGAAGAGAGACGCAAACGTGAGGAGGAGCGCAAGAAGCGTGAGGAGGAAGAGCGCAAAGAGCGTGAGCGGAAAGAGGCTGAAGAGCGCGCTGCTAGGGAGAAGAAGGAGGCTGAAGAGCGCGAGCGGCGTGAACGTGAGCGCGCTGAGGCCGAAGCTGCCCGCGCTACTGGCCAAGAGGGTGCTGCCGAAGAACCTCAGGCTATGGAAGGTGTTGAATCTACCACGACCCAGGCCGAGCAGGCTCAGCCAAGTGCTCCCAGACCGCGCGTTCTCACCACTATCCGCGGCGAGACTGTGGACGTCACTGACCTTGGCATCGACCCAGACTACCTCGCGGCCCTTCCGGAGGAGTTTAGGGAAGAGGTCATTGCTCAGACAGTCAGCGCTCGCCGATCAGAGGCCCGACAGCAGGCGGCAGACAATGGCGAGAACACCGAAGTCTTCCAGGAGTTCCTCGACGCGCTTCCCGCGGAGCTACGGATGGAAATTGAGCAGCAGGAACGCCAAGAACGCCGTCGTCGCGAGCGCGAGGAACAGCGGAGACAAGCTGCCGCGGCTGGGCAGTCGCTGGGACCTTCGGATATGGACGCGGCCAGCATCTTGCTCACCTTCCCACCGGCTCTTCGTGAGCAAGTTCTGTTGGAGCAAGGTGAAGAGATTCTTGACCAGCTTCCACCCGATTTGGCTGCAGAGGCTCGCGCCCTTGCCCAACGCCATGGATTGCATCGCGCCGCAGTGCAGGCAGCTCGTGCTCAGAATGCCGGGCGCCAGCCCCAGGCTACTGAGCCCAAGCCCCAACGCCGCACGATCGTCCAGATGCTCGACAAGTCTGGCATCGCGACCCTCCTTCGGCTGATGTTTGTGGCTCAGCAAGGCTCCATCCGCAACTACCTCTTCGACGTCTTCGCCCACGTTTGCGAGAACCGCCAGAACCGCTTAGAGGTTATCTCCACGCTGCTCCAGATCCTGCAGGATGGCAGCACGGATATGGATGCGGTCGAGCGAAGCTTCGGTCAGCTCTCTCTGAAGGCTAAGCAGCCGAAGGACAATAAGGACACCAAGACCCCTCAGAGCCTCAAGCGCACCTTCACGAGCATCAGCACCAGCAATCAAACCACTGGCAGCTCGGAAGTGTCACCTCTGTTGGTTGTCCAGCAGTGCCTCGACTTGCTCTCTGAGCTCGCCACTAAGAACCCGCACATCCCATCCCTCTTCCTGACGGAGCACGAGAGCGTCGCCACTACGCTGAAGCGCAGCCTGAGCCGCAAGGGCAAGGGCAAAGATGTCAGCAGCAAGGCGCATAAGTTTGCCATCAATTCTCTCTTGGGTCTCCTTGACCGGAACCTTGTCATGGAGAGCTCATCCGTCATGCAGCTCCTGGCTGATCTTCTCAACAAGGTTACATACCCGTTACAGGCCCTTGAACGCCGCCGCAAGGAGGCTGAGGAGGAGGCCAAGAAGAAAGCTGGGAAGGCTAATGAGGAAGAGAGGGCTGCTGCCGGTGAATCAGCCGAGACCTCTAATACCCAAGCTTCAACTACCACAGAACAGCCCTCTGGACAGACTGGTGAACAGCAAGCTGAGGGGGTTGTCAAGGATAAGGAGTCGGAGCAAAAGCAGGATGAAAAGAAGGTTCGTCAACTCATTCCACCCACGATCCCGGACCATAACCTTAAGTTGGTCATCAAGATCTTTGTGGCGCGGGAATGCAGTTCCAAGACGTTCCAAAACACCATCTCGACCATAAAGAACCTGTCCAGCATCCCTGGGGCAAAGAAGGTTTTTGGCGAGGAGCTGGTGGTCCAGGCCAAGGCACTCAGCGAGAATATCGTCCAGGATCTCGATGACCTGCTGCCGCACATCTTGAAGGCGGAATCCGGCACCGAAATTCAGGGGATCGCTCTGGCCAAGTTTTCGCCTGGCGCATCAGAGCAAAACAAGCTACTGCGTGTCCTGACTGCCCTTGATCACCTCTTCGACAACAAGAAGTCGAACGGCGAGTCTTCACCTTCCTCACCTGCCTCGCCTGCTGAGGGTAAGGAGATCAAGGAGAGCACCAAGGACGAGCTGCTGGGATCGCTCTACCACAATGAAACGTTCAATGTTATGTGGGACAAGCTGAGCGCTTGCCTGAGCGCGATCCGTCAGCGGGAGAACATGATCAATGTGGCCACGATCCTCCTGCCTCTCATCGAGTCCCTGATGGTGGTGTGCAAGAACACCGTCCTGAAGGAGACCGCTGCTTCTCAGGCTTCCTCTCAGACGGTGTTGGGCAAGAATATGCCCTTGTCTACCCCGCCTCCGGAGGACCGCATGGCGAGCCTGTTCTTCACTTTCACCGAAGAGCATCGCCGGATCTTGAACGAGCTCGTGCGGCAGAACCCGAAGCTCATGTCTGGCACCTTCTCTCTGCTGGTGAAGAACCCCAAGGTACTCGAGTTCGACAACAAGCGGAACTACTTCAACCGCAGCGTACATGCCAAGAGCCGTGACCAGCAACGCCAGCAGTACCCGACCCTCCAGCTGTCAGTGCGCCGTGACCACGTCTTCCACGACTCGTTTAAGTCACTCTACTTCAAGTCTGGTCCAGAGATGAAGTATGGCAAGCTTAATATCCGTTTCCATGGCGAGGAGGGTGTGGATGCCGGCGGCGTTACGCGCGAGTGGTTCCAAGTGCTCGCCCGCCAGATGTTCGACCCTAACTATGCGCTTTTCGAGCCTGTATCGGCGGACCGCACGACTTTCCATCCCAATAAGCTCAGCGGCATCAACCCCGAACACCTGCTGTTCTTCAAGTTCATCGGGCGCATCATCGGCAAGGCCCTCTACGAGGGGCGGCTGCTGGATTGCTACTTTAGTCGTGCTGTCTACAAGCGCATCCTCGGCAAACCCGTCTCGGTCAAGGATATGGAATCGTTTGACCCAGAATACTACAAGTCTCTCATCTGGATGCTCGAGAATGACATCACCGACGTCATCACCGAGACATTCTCGATCGAGGACGAGGAGTTTGGTGTCAAGAAGGTGGTGGACCTCATCGAGAATGGACGCAACATTCCGGTCACCGAGGAGAACAAGCATGAGTACGTCCGGCTCATTGTGGAGCACAAGCTTCTCACGTCCGTCAAGGAGCAGATGGAGCACTTCTTGAAGGGCTTCCACGACATCATACCTGCGGACCTCATCTCTATCTTCAACGAGCAGGAGCTTGAGCTTCTGATCTCTGGTCTGCCGGATATCGACATCGACGACTGGAAGAGCAATACCGAGTACCACAACTACACTGCCGCCTCGCCGCAGATCCAATGGTTCTGGCGCGCGGTACGCTCGTTTGACAAGGAAGAGCAGGCCAAGCTGCTGCAGTTCGTGACAGGTACCTCCAAGGTCCCGCTCAACGGGTTCAAGGAGCTCGAGGGCATGAACGGCGTCAACCGCTTCAACATTCACCGCGACTACGGCAGCAAAGACCGGCTGCCTAGCTCTCATACTTGCTTCAACCGTAAGCCACATAACCCAATTGTCTTTAACTGAAGGAAGGATGGCATGCTAACTTCAACCTTTAGAACTTGACCTCCCTGAGTATGACAGCTACGAGACTCTCCGCAGCCAGTTGCTCAAGGCCATCACCGCTGGCAGCGACTACTTTGGCTTCGCGTAAACTAGGGAGCTTTTGTTGAAGAAAGATTGGCAGGATTGGGTGTATTGGGATTGGAGTCTGGGGAAAGATGGAAGATTTTAGATGGCCAGGAGAGAGGGCAAAAAATTGCCCAAGCTGTTATGGAAGAGATAAAGTTCATGATTACTACATTTTCAGGGATCGGGTCCACAAGGATGGTGAAAGAGAGGAGGTTGGTGGGCGGCGATATTGCACGTTGATTCAGAGAAGAGTGTACATTGATGTTGCATGTATTTGTTAAGCTTTTTTTTCCTCTTTAATAGCTGGGGTCTGACTGCGAGGTCTTGCAGGCAGGGGAAAGCGGAGTGCAGGCCGCTCTCCTCAGCTTTTACTTGGCCTTTGCTAGGACAGATGAGTCTGGCGATAGAGTTGCGATGAATTCCCCCCCTTATTCAGGAGCAAATGGAAATGAATGAATTGATTGTCTACAACTTGTGTTCCTTTCTAGTGCAGAGCTCACCATCTCTGTTATTCAACCTGTTGCTTTTGGACATCGAGCGAGGCTGGTACCTTGTTATGAGTCTGGTGGTCCTATTAACTATAAGGGTTAGGGTTGGATCAATTCTCAAAGGTCTCTGGTTTGTGCTTTTTCAACCCAGCCCGACCCCACCGCATGGGGCAGGGTTCCATCTCGGCAGCGGTGGAACTTGGTGCCGAAAAATTTCGCCCACATTTTCCAAAATCAATCGCTGCATCTTGGATCCGACTCTCGAACAACCGCTCAGCTAACGACCAGCGAGGTAAGTCATACCCTCTGTTCCTCGATTTTAATCTTCACGAATACGCCCATATCTGCATCGAATCCTTGGAATCTCGACGAAGTCAGATCGTCTCCGAGCTGTACGGATTTTCCACGTTGCAGCGAGCGCTTCGCGACGACTCCCACGCACACCTTCAAGCTTTCAACATCTTCAATTCCTACCCACCACCTACCGTTCGACATCACCTGTCTATAGCAAATCGGGCGACTAACTCAAGTTTTTGTCGAGCAGAATAAGTCAAGATGGGTATCTCTCGGGACTCGCGCCACAAGCGCTCGCACACCGGTGCCAAGCGGGCGTACGTACAATCCCTCCTATCTTGATCCTTTCATTGTAGAATGAACTTGGGATTTAGATTAAGAACAGTCGCTAACGTTTCTTTTGCGCTACAGCTTCTACCGTATGTCTTAAATCTTCTCCTCGGTCCCCTATATCTACAGGAATTGCCCCTCGGCACCAGGGGCACTCGAAGGTCCGCTTGGGAGGTTCTTGTGGTGTGCAAGCTCTGCCGCAGTCACCTTTCAATGAGGAGGTGGAGCTTTCCGCTACAGGAACTGACCCCTCGCGTTCTGAGCCTGTTCAAACGCACGTAGGAGAGGCCGATGTGGCTGACAGTTGCGTTTACAGGGAAGAAGAGAGCCTTCGAGCTGGGCCGCCAGCCCGCGAACACCCGTATCGGTCCCAAGCGCATTCACATCGTCCGCACCCGCGGTGGCAACCACAAGTACCGTGCTCTGCGTCTCGACTCGGGCAACTTTGCCTGGGGCTCTGAGGGCTGCACCCGCAAGACCCGTATCATCGGTGTCGTCTGTATGTTTTGCTCTGACTCTATCCAAGCATAGAGCATCAAAAATAACTAACAAAACTATCAGACCATCCCTCGAACAACGAGCTGGTCCGCACCAACACCCTGACCAAGTCGGCCGTCGTTCAGATCGATGCCGCTCCTTTCCGTCAGTGGTACGAGGCTCATTACGGCCAGCCCCTCGGCCGCCGTCGCCAGCAGAAGCAGGGCCAGGTTGTTGAGGAGGTGAAGAAGAGCAAGTCCGTTGAGAAGAAGCAGGCTGCCCGCTTCGCCGCCCACGGCAAGGTCGACCCTGCCCTCGAAAAGCAGTTCGAGGCTGGCCGTCTCTACGCCATCATCTCCAGCCGCCCCGGCCAGTCCGGCCGTGCTGACGGTTACATCCTGGAGGGTGAGGAGCTTGCCTTCTACCAGCGTAAGCTGCACAAGTAAATGCTTCGCGGGTCAAGGGGATAGCGGTTGTTGGTCGTTGTTGGGAGGGGCCAATCTGGACTTGGGAGCTCGGATCATCAGCATTTCGCCTTGGTGTTGATGGGTCTAGGTTTGCTTTGCTGCTGCTGCTGCTTCGTCTCGTGACATTTGGTGGGGTGTTTTACGGATATACAAAAAAAACAAGGCGGCAATTGCGATTTGATTTCCAATTGCTTCGTCTCCGGGAACAGGGCATGGCAGGGTTTTTAGGGCAATGGGAATACGAATACCACCACGATGAAGACAGCACAGCCGAGCCGAGTTAATTGAGCCAGATGCCACATGAGAAGCCACTCCATGCCATCTATTCCGTGACAGCGCTTTGTAGTTCACCAGGTAGGCCCACTATTCAGCGTGTTTTGAGGTGCTGTGTGGAAAAAACAATCTGAAGCCGAGGGTAAGCTTCCAATGAAAAATATTCAAGACGACTTCTACGGCCAATCCGTCTAACTTGACTATGATCAACCACTCCGTGTTATACAGCTATTGCTATTCCTCCTCGTTCATACATATATGCGCAGATGACGTAGTTGGTAGTAGTAGTGTAGTAGCACCCTTGCTTAATGCCAAAACGAAAACACAAAGCAAAACCAAGCATCCCAAAATAGCCCTGGGTACCCTACTTCCTAAAGACCTGTGATGTTAATGATGCGTCAGAGAGGTAGGTAGGCAATAAAAATAGGGCGATTTCCACATGAGTGATCCATTGGAACCCGCCAGGAGCGCAATCTAGCCCGTCCAACAGTCCAGTCATTCATCCAGCAAATCCATCCATACCAGCCAGTCAACCAAGCAACCGTCTACCTAACACCTCTATTCTCTTTCTTTCTTCCCGTCCAGCCATTCATACTTCTGCCCATCTGTTTAGCTGTCCAGCAGGCTACAGTCATGTTGTGCCATGCATGCAATGTGTGGTCAAGCAAAGAAGTGGGTAACCCCCTGAGGAGGGGCAGAGCAATATATGAATTTTTTTTTTTTCTTCCCCCGAGCTCATGCTTGCTTTCAGATTTAGGATCTTGTTTTCTTCATAGATCTTCTCCCCCATGTCTTCTCGGGCTATACAGTATTCTGCATTACCCCCGGCCTGTAAACAGCATGCCGATGCCCTTGAGGGAAGATCGTTGAGGTCCGAAGAGGGGAACTTATCAGGATATCGGTAAGATATAGGAGCCAGTCGATATAGTATCCGATCTGCCCTTCAAGCTCCAGGCTGATCTATCATTGGAACTGACGCTTCAGATCAGTCCATTTGCGGGTGAGCGTCTCATGAGCCGAGTTGATCTGTTTCCAACGTTAGTTAGCGTCAACAACCCCCCCCCCCCATTAGCAACTCTCCAGCATCGACGATACATACCTCAGCATACTGCATCTTCGCCTCAACAAGCTGCTTTCCCAGATCCTCGAGCTCCGCCTCCAACCTGCGATTCTCCTCACACACCGCCGCATTTCTCTTCATCAAATCATCCCTCTCCAGCTTCCACTGAGCTTCGAGTTCCTCGGGCTGTTTCTCAATCACGATCTTCAGCTCCTGCACCTGAATCCGCAACGACTCATTCTCATCCTTCAGCTCATTATTCTCCACCTTGGTATGCACCAGCTCTGTCGCGAGTGAGGCCTGCTCGGCATCCACCTGCTGCAGCCGCTCCTCCAGCTTGCGCAGGCGGATCGCGTAGCTAGCGTTCTGCGCACGCAGCGACTCGATCTCGGCCTCGCGCTCGCGCTCGGCGCGCATTTTCTCTTCCCACTCTGCCTGGTAGGCCTTGAGCATCTCAGGCGTGATCTTGATCTCGCAGGCGTCGCGCACCAGCTCGTCGGCGCGGTAGACTTCTTTGTCGATGCTGCTGGAGCTGCTGCCGAAGAAACCGTTCTCGAGGATGGAGTGCGAGGACGGGGTCGGGTCGATGTAGTAGTCGAAGAGGCGGTCGCGGAGGAAGGTGGTGAGCTGCGAGACGTCGGTGATGCCGAGCAGATTGGCGGCGTTCTTTTGCATAAGGACGACGCCGAACTTGAGGATAGCGGCGAGGCCTTCGGAGAGGATTAGGTCATAGATGCGGAGGACCAGTTGCAGGGGGAAGCGGTAGGCGAAGAGGGTGAGGAACCATTGGGTGGCGTAGAGATGGGGCGAAATGCCTCGCCTGCGGAGATGGCAGTAGAGGGCTGGCTCGAAGTCTTCAAGCAGACGCTCGAACTGATAGAGGCGCAAGTGAAGGCCGGGCATGTCGTGGATGAAGAGATCACGGAGGTGGTAGTGGTTCATGAGCCTCACCAGCAGGCAGAAGGCTTCCTCTTCGGGCATCTGTAATGGGAGGGGGGTTAGTCTCACGTGCATACAAGTCCACAAGGTCATAACGTCACTCACATTGAACAGCAGCGGCATGACAATAAAGTTCATGCCCTGTGCGTAGCCAACACCCTCGTCAAAGAGGGCATAGGCCTTGCACACATTGAACAGACCTTCCTGCAGACCCTGGGCAGCAGCGAACTTCGAATAGCTTGTCCTAGCACCCAGGTCTCTCCGGATAGTCTTCTCCAGCTTCTGGATAGCAGCCAGATCCTCCTTCTCCTTCTTCTTCCTCTCGGCCTCAGCAGCGGCTGACTCCTTCTCATTCGAAGAGCCATTAAGACCAGAGCTGTCAGAATGAACCGACGACGCAGACGAACCGGATTTGCTCTGCTTAGCCTTCTTCTCCTTGTCGGTGCCCCTAGCGACAAGCTCCCAGTAGATGGCCTCGAGCTCCTCATTCTTGCTCTGTGCCAGCACCTGCCAGATAACTCCGCGGATAACGGTCGGGATGCCAGTCGCGATAGCCTTGTTAAGCTCCTCAGGGCTAGTCCGCGCAACGGCAGCCGGGCCCTCATACACAACAGCCTGCCAGAGGTCCCAGTCAACAGCAGAATTGGCGATAGCAGAAGGGCCAGCCGTGACGCCCGAGGCAGTACCGGGAGCGAGGTTCGGGTTAGGACTCGTGGGGAGGGGGGATGTCAGCGCCGAAGGAACGTCAGCGCCGTCAGCCGCAGCGGCCTTGTCCTCTTCTCCCAGCGCAGCTTCTTCCCTCATGCGGAGCTGCTTGAAGCGGTCTTTCAGACTGTTGCGTGAACTGGCATCGCCCTCTTTCTCTTCTTCCAGCTTGCTCAGCATCAACTCTGGGTTACTAGACAGGGTAGCCACCGAGCTGGTTGTATTCCGTCTTGGAGAAGGGGCAGGGGGCTCCTTTGGCTGCTCCTTTTCTTTCGAACCCCTGGAGAGCCATGAAAATGTGAACTTTCTTGTCGTCGCAGGTGCTGGCGCTGGCGCAGTCTGAGTGGAAGCAGGGGGCGTCTTCGCACGGGTGTCTTTATCTTTGTCGGGGTTGGGTGACCATGGCATCGGGGGGAAGGCGCTTGCGATGCTGCTCAAGGACATCTTGGGCTTATGTGGTGGGCTCTTCTCTGTAAGGTTGTCAGTACATTAGCCAGGTTGAGCTACCAATGAAGCGTAGAACACTTGCCTGACTCCGGAGGAGTCGTTGATGAAGAAGTAGCTGTTGTGGATGTTGACGCGGCCGTGGCTGCTGTAGATGAGGTTGTAGTAGTAGTCGACGAGGTCGCCGCAGTCGCGGTTGTTGCGGCGGTCGCCGAGGTCGTCGTTGTGTCATCGTCATCGAGGTTCACGTTGTCGAGCTCACCGGCAGACTCCTGGGACAAGCGTCGTGGAGGTTTTTTCTCGGCAATATCGGCAGTCTCGGCAGGCTTCTCTTGTTGCTCCTCAGGGTCACCATTCGCAGCGATGGAGAGCTTGAGGGCTTCATCTTCCTTCTCCTGTATGGTCGGTTCCTCGGAAGACCGGCGTTTCACGGCGGAGTGCTGTCGCTTAGTAAGGGAGCGCACCGAGCCGGTCTCGAGGGCATCTTCAAATGTGACCTCCTGCAGGATTGGGGAGGAAATGTCAGCAAACGGCGACATGGTTGATGGGCGCTGGGCCTTTGAGCGTGTCTGTACCGAGGACTTGTCGGAGTCGCGCGAAGTTGGCCTCGACTGCGCATCGGCAGCAGTGGGGGAGCTCTGTGCCTGTTGCTCGGGGACCTTGTTGTCATCAAAGTCGGACGACTCGCGGGGTACCGTCTTCGGCGTTTCCTCGTTGGCGGACATGTTTGTCGTGTTGTGGCTTCAAGTTTGATGCTCTTGCTCTCTTTCACAACCACGGCAACACACGCAATCTTGCCTCTGTGCTCAGGAACACCAGAATGTGAACTGCAGGTAACCGCGAGAGAAGAGCTCAGGGGGAAAGTGGTGTGCCCATAGAAGCTCGAGGGGATGGCGGTGTGTATGTGTGTGTGTGTGTGTGTGTGTGTGTGTGTGTGTGTGTGTGTGTGGTGGGAGGGAGGGG